ACATGAGCATATCCAAGTATTTGGAGGTTGGAGTATCGAGGGTGTTGAGGAGGTTTATATTAAAGTCACCCAAAATTATGAATTGCTTTTTGGCTAATGTCAGCTTTTCGAATACAGAATACATCGCTCCAGTGAAGGATGGAATATTACGCTGGGGATGCTTGTAGATAACACCGATAACAAGGCATTGGGATTTTGGATTTTGTTCAGAGCCTTTCAACTCGATCCACATGTTCTCACAGTTTTCGAAAACAAAGTCAAATTCTTGCGTTATTTGAAAATTCATGTCATTTTTAATATAGAACCCCACACCACCTGCTTGAGTTGGGGATGGAGCATGGATAAAGGTGTAACCAGGGATGTCAACGTTGTTAACAGCGGCGTCCCTCTTTATCCTGATTTCGCTCAACGCAAGAATTTGTGGCAGGGAATAAAAATTAGTAATTAGTTCAGCTAGGTCATCAACATATTTACCCAAGGATCTAATATTGAAATGTAAAATAGTGAGATCTGAGGGTAGAAAACTAGATGTTACTTTATTGATATCCGGTATTTCAATGTACCGACATGGGATTGAAGCAAAATGCGGATGAAATCTTTCTGAATCCCATTGCGAGTTGTGATTAGGAGTTAGTTCTTGGACCGATGAGGTTGTTCGATTAGAATTTCTGCGCTGGGGATCTTAAACACCATCATGGAGACTGTTATAGGGAGGTAAAATACATAGCATATGGAGTAAAGGATGGCATAAGGCACACTACAAGTGCTAAATGGGTCACAAATCATACTACAGGTATTAATAAAACATGTTACAGAGTGATTTGGGTGGTTCATGGAAGAATAATGGATGTCATGTAAAAAATAAAGAGAGTTATAAAGAAGATATGACTTATCTTATTTTATTTAAATCTTCATCATCATCAATGGGCAAGGTGTTTGTGTCTTTATTCTTTTTAATCAACACTTTTCCATTAGAAGTCCATAGGAAAGCATAGCCACACTGATTTTTACGAACTTTTGCTTGGTAGAACAGGTTCTTATTTCTGTCAGTCAAGTTTTCAACAATAAAGATAATTTCTTTTCAGTCTAAGGTTAACCATCTCGATTATTTTATCGAAAGCTATAATTCTTCAGAATCAATGAGCGCAGTATCGTCTGCAAAAAAAGTCTATTTCAATAGTTGGTTGCTGCTGGACAGACTTCAATATATATATATATACCGTATTTCCCGGCGAATAAGTCTAGCCGGTCAATAAGACGAGGCCCATTTTTAAGCCTGAAAAATGGGTTTTTGCATATACCCTGCCAATAAGTCGGGATAGTAAAATCGCATCAACATCGGAATCTCAAATTACCCTGCAATGCCTTTTGAGCGGTCGCCGCGTTTGCGCATTGGTTAAAATAGCCTATAATGACGTTTTCTTGTAGCGTAATATTCAATCCATAATAATTATGGGAATTAAAACTGTCTTTAAAATTCAATATATATACTTTAAATTCAAGCGAATAAATATCATCAATGTAGCCTACTGTTTGTGAACATCGATATCATATTCAGACATTTTACCAAGCAAAATGTTATGGGTTTACAGTGTCCAAAGCTTTATTTGAATACTACTCAAACGACTTTGCCATTTGATAAGTTTTCAATTATTTTTTATTTCAATTTTGTTTTTGCGAGTTCGGTTGAGTAATCAGTTAATCACTGAATAGTCATTGCGAATACCAAATTGGGTTTCATTCCGTGCATTTGGTTTGTTAAAATAAACTGCTAGGCTGATTATACAAATTTTTTTCATGAATTTTGACAAATTAAAACGGAGAGAAATAGGGTTATAGTTGTAAGCGTCAGATTTTCGTCCTTTTTATGAATCGGTCCTACTTTTGCTTATTTTAATTAATCGAGATAAATATTGAATGTATTCTCTAAACTTTTTATTTCAACGGCTAGAATACAGTCATGAAAACAACTGAATCAAGTAAAAAAACACAAAATGTTATGGTGCAAACTGGAGATCTCAATTTATATATATATATATAGAAAATGTGCTTTGTAGATTCAAATTTTATACGTTAAACACGTTGATTATGAGCTTAAAATGCGAGTGCGAAGGCTAATAAATTATGAGAAATACATATACGCCAAGTTTTATTTTTTTAAATAAGTGGAATTGAAGTTTGTAATGTATTTATTTATTTGTGTCAATTATTTTAATGACTGTTATGGTGATTATGGAGTCCAAATAAACTACTCCAAATACTGTTGTCAATGAGAAATTAAATAAACTATATATATATATTTGAAGACTTTTAGTACAATTAGTAATTATTTGGTACAATCGCAAATCATCATCCTCATAAAATGTTAGAATGGCGATTATGCCATTCGTTGAAATTGCCGTTTTTATTTCAGCGATGGTGATAACAACAATAAAATAGTGAAAGTCTTATCGTTTATATTGTGCATCAAAATATATGGTATACTGCCCGATTATAAATTAGAATTGATTCGCATCTTGTAATTTGTTAAATTTGAGCCGCTCAAGAATATTTTCAAGATATCGTTGTAGCGATAAAATTTTACATTGAATAATTTTATATCATCATCACAATACGGAAAGGAGTCGTGTGCGACCCGGTTGATCAACTTCAGGTGACTAGTTGACTACGGTATATTTTCCGATCGAAAATTTCGAAATTTCGCAATTTAATCACGTCTAAAGTAGAGTTTTTAATCTGTCGCTGCACTCATAACACAAAATTTATGGTTTTTCTGTTTTATATATATATATTATGACACCGCTTTTTATTTTAATTTTATTATTTTTCAGTTGAAATTGGTTTTGCGTATTCCATCCTTAGGTTGTATTTAGCGTCTCGGCTTAGATGATCGCACACCAATGAGATTTTCACACGTTACGCACAGTTCCGGACGAGATAAAACTCTTTGTTGACATGTCCAGGGGAATACTTGTGAACTAGGGAGACTTTGCGAAAATATAGTTTACCGATATAATACTGATGTTCACGGACTAAATACAAGAAGAGACATAAAAATACAGTATTCATCATTCACTTTCATGTATAAATGATTTCTTTCGTGTATATGCTTGTGGGCGTGGACAAATCTTTAGTTCTTGTAACTGGAGAAGTTGGGAGAAGTCTCACTGGGTGGAATTTTGTTCTATTGCGAATGTTGATACAAATGTAATCCGTACTATATTCTGTACAGCTGCTATGTGTTTATTTATGTATTCAGCCGCTAAAGTATAACTGACATTTTTAGTAAACGGAGAGGAACGCCTAATCATGACAACGAAATCTGATATTTTAATTAGAAACTGTAAAATCACAAAGCGTGGAGAGTCATGTTTTGCACTACCACATGTTGTGCAGAAGTGTAGCGTCCGTGGCGACCGCATCTGATACAAAAGAACGCCCATTACTACGTTTTTAATTCTCTTTAAACTTGTTTTGAATGGGCTCTTTATGTACATTGTAGTATACCGTATATTTACTTAACCTCAATTCACGAGATACGACGCAAAAATACTTAGATTGCTATGTGTTGGTGACGCAGGAGCATAGGAGCATGGCAAATTCTGAAATTATAAAATACAGTAATGAAATCTGGAAATACAGAAATAGGCAATAATAATGCGTTAGTATTGTGTGAAATTTGAACACCGATATTTGGTCATTCATCATATTATGCACATTATACCGTTATTATACTTGTTTTGATCGTAATCTCCAGTTTAGAAGTTTCTCATGATCAGTTGATTGAACAAATTTCAGAAATTATTAGAATGGAGAAAAGTAAATAGATACGGTAGTTTAGATAAATACAGACCTTGACTGTAGTACAGTAGTAGGCTAATTATTGATACACTGATATAAATATGAGATATTACTGCATTAGGAGTTACGGGGTTGAAATTATGTTGACTAGCTTGACCCAAAGATAATTTGTTTTATGATTATTCCTGTATTCTGGTATTGGAATCGAAGAGTCAGAAACTTCAGTATTGAAATAAGTCGAACAGTATTGCAGTAGTTCAATTGAAATTACTATTTTCTCGTGAAATTTTTGCCTTACAGTCATTTTTAAATTTTTGCCTACTCCAACTGTCTGACTGTCCAAAGCGTGATTTGACAGAGGGTGTTAATGTTACGAAGAATTGTACATATATAGACATACCGTAGTTTGGTCATAAATAAAGGCTGAATGCTGGAAGGGGTAGACTGGTAGAGCTTGTGATCAAGTGAGCGCTGTTTTCCACAGAATGACATAGGCATTATATTATAATAAAAAGCATACAAAAATTACCAGTTCAGCAGTTGCTGATTTTTCAAAGTTATTCCATCACTCAAAGAGAATCTTAATTTACCATAGATCTCCTGTCTTTATAAGTCCTAAGCACAGAAACTTTCGAGAGATTCCTATTTTTGATCAACTTTATTGATTATGCTAACTAGACTTATTAGTTATTACCAATAAATATCTCCAAAATTTTTTTTTGCCAAGTTTTTATCTAAATGAGTCCATCAATTGCCATCAACTCCCTTATTTCAAAACTGAAACCTTGGTAAAAATAGTGTATGATAAGTGGCGACAACTTAATAATTTATAGTGGCCATCTCACCACTGATTGTATGGAATATTAATTAATGAATCATTTTTGACTCTACGTCCTGATTACCATAATGGTCTCATGAAGATGAAGATTGAAAGTATATAATGATATTGAAGTATGACTTCAGGGATCATCCATAACTTTGCTCAGAGATCAGTCTCCCCTTGTTCTGATTCAGTATATGAAAACAAAACATAAATAGGATAATTGTGGCATCAAATATTTAGGCTTCAGAACCAATCCCTAATAAAAATTGAATTTTGACAACTTTGAACAATGCTGGATTATAGTCCTCCATAAATTTATGATACAGAATTTACTTTAAAATTGTATGTATGGTATTAATAAGGCTGACTGAGTGTAGTATTTATTTGTTTGCAGTTGTGCAGTTCACTAATTCAATTTTTTGGTTGAATACCGGTGAATGTGCTTATTCCAGTTAAAATTAAAATATAAATTGTGACATTGGCAAGACCAAAATGTATTTCATCAGCAATATGAAATGAAGGTTCAATCAAATCCAGATTGATATTATAAATGGCTGAAAAGGGACAGAAAAATTCAAATTCTGATGATCCAGAAGATCTTCTGCATTCAGGTACATAAATTTTACATTTTATTTTCACATTAGTTTGAGGGAATTTGATTGTGCAATCAAAAGCGATTATTCTTCCTTGTTTGTTCCCAAATTTGTCTGACATTGAATCATACTGAAGCAGACTAAATGCTACTTCACTATACTGTCATTTCTAATTGCACTTTATTTGAAATTCAACAAAAAATTCATGGATAATGTATCTGATGAATATTTAATGAATTGAAAAAAATATCTTCGTCTTATTGGACTATTTCAAATGTACAGATCAGTTTTCAGTTAAGGGTACTTATCATTTGTCTGGAATAAAATTTTTGAAGTGAAGAGTTCGAAATACTTTCAAGTAGTACTTTGAGAAAGTTTGTTATAGATATTCTGGCTCTTGAACAAACGTCACCAGTTGGCAATCAAGATGATTTAAATTTTTCAGTTTTACTGGACCTTGTGTATTACTTACTTGTTATAGTGAAATAAATAGATGTCATATTTTGACATTTTTTGCTCATGTAGGCCTACCAGATAATGAAATTTTGTAATTGCTAACAATACTACTAATATATGTTTGATATTCTTATTTCTCTTTTTTATGTATGGCCAGCTTTGCTTTTTTTTTCTTTTTGTTACCTTTCTAATTTTTTTTATTTTGAATACTAATCGTTATTGGAAAGTGTTTAAGGAAAGTAATCCTCTCTTGATTTCAAATGAAAGAGTCTTTGTTTTAGCCCTAACTAAGGAAACATAGTCCTTTTTTCTGGTCATGATTGATTGTCTGGAGTCTTTTTCAGAGCAAACATTGAATAAAATCAACGAGAGGTTATACAATAGGCTACTACAATCACAAATGTTACATTTTAAACATACAAAAAATATTGTTACAATTTGCAACAATTAAATTGAAAACACAATTGCCCTTTTGTTATTTTACTACAGGTAATCATTGCTCAGCCTATTGAAGTTATATTTTGAATCTAAACATTATTTTATGATTGGGTAATAAATTTGTATCAATGCCAAATTCTGAAGTTGTCTTAGGGCTTAAGTACACAATAAGCTAGTGTCAACTGTTCAGGATAGAACTATCTTCTTTTTTTACTGATGGTTGTAATTTAGACTCGATCGGATATATGCCGTTGATAAAAATAGGTATTTTGAATATATTTCAAAAATTGTTGTTACAGCGTTCCCGAAGCTTTTTAAAATTTCCATTTCATAAAATAACTTAATAGGTCATATCTTTTCAAATAAGATTACTCTTATGTACACAAATTGAAAGCGGTTGAATTTTTGCGCTTTCAGTTGATTTATTGCTTTTCAATGAGTAATGTCATCAAAGGTACACAGTTTGAAAAATAGACAGTGGTAACTATCAGGTAGTAGATTGTGTCTATGTACTCTAGTTTTAATAGGAACCGATTTTAAATTTTATTTGCGACGCCGGTTAAATTATTCGAAGTATTTGCTGATGATGTTTGCTGTATCTTAGGTAATGTTGACTGATGCCCTGTGAAGGAGATATAATAATATGAAAGGCGTGTTTGTGTGCTTTTCAAAAGTTTAAATCTTGTATTTCTGATTTTTTCGAACCTACAAAATTTATTCGTTTGTATTTATATTGAGTAAAATTCATCATATATTATATTTTTTTTTCTATTTGTAAACCTAATGTTAAATCAGTCACATGTATGGTTTTTGAAATGCAGAAGAAATTATTCATGAAATTGTAATTTTTTAAAATACGATGATTGGGTAGCCAGCCCATCCTTTTCTTTTAAGGAATGTTCCAAACCAATTGAATATTTTGAATGATTTAAAATTAGTTATATTCTCTAGTTTAAGCGGAATTTAAAAAAATTTGAATAAAAGTTTGTCATTTTGACTTTGAGCATTTTGACACTGTGCAAAAAGAAACTCAAAAATATTTTCCCAAATTTACAATCATTTATCTGCTAAATATAATATACTTTCATATTTCATGTTCGAAAATATTGTTTCGGAATGTATTCAGAATAGTGTATCATTTGCCACCCTGCATTTCGGCTTTGTATATGAGTCCAGATTATTGTATGATTGTTCATCATTATAAATATTTTATCCCTTTTGTTATTGATTGTCTTCTCTTCCTAAAAGTTTCAAATTAATCTCAGATATTTAGCATTTCAACATGGAATATTTTGATGTAAGTGGAAGTGAAACATCATTTGATACTGTCACTTTGTTGTCAACATCTTTGCCAATTCAATCTCAAAAAAGGAAAAAACGTAGACGTAGACATCGATCTGATGATACAGATTTTCTACTTTTGCAACCAGCTGAATCTATATTGCTCCCTGTAACACACCTGATAAATATATCCCATCATGTAAACAATGAAAAAGAAAATTCTCAAATTCAAGAAAGGCATTGTACAATTATTGATGGATATCGGTTTTATCAATATAGAAATAGCAGCGTTCTACAAGGGTGTTTGAAAGACAGTTCAATGAAATGTCAAGAGCAACACCCAAACTTCAGTGGTTAGCATCTGTATATTTTGGATACATGAGCATGCTGATGTATTTTCTTCTTTGCTAGTTTTGATTACAATATACTTTATATGATTTTTTGATGTAGTGATTTCTTTCCGAGTCATTTTCTTTGAGAAGTTGCATGCCATGATTTTTTTCTTATAGGGTACCATCATTAGTAAGCCTATTCAAGATTCTTTATTTATGGCAGAGTTTAGATTACAGATAGTGGTTTCCTGATTATTTGATTTTCTTTGACACTATTTTTCATCCGTTTAAATCAGAATGTATAGTGAATCTTTCCAAACTGAGCTTTTGTATTCCAGAAATCGTTTGCTTTCAGCCTTCTTTCTACTTCTAGTAGCAAAATATAGGCATGTTTTTGGCCATTCACTTATGGTTCTTGGAGAATTATGACTAATTGTTCTTCGAAATGCATGACTTCTTGATTTGATTACAAATAGCATAGCTATGGATTTCCAAAATAATCAAATATTCAAATATATTGAAAATTATCATTATTAGAAACTTAAAAATCTGACCATCAGGAAAATTAAAGCTCTTGAACTTCTAATGAATTCAGATAACAAAATACAAAAATGCTTTCTTTACTTGTTTTGAATAATCGCTTCATATATGGACTCTCTCTGTTAAAACACAAATTTCTCAGTTAATAATAAAGACTTCATATTCCCAAATATTTATTAAAAGTATTTTGTTCAAATTATTATAGAAATTTGTGACAATTTTTTTATTATACGAACTCAAACTATCAGGTCTGTTAGGGAATCGGCATGATTTATAGCAAATGTGTAAAGATATGATGAAATAGTGTTTCCTAATAAGGCTAATCTTCCATTGATTGATATCTATTATACAACAAGAATCCTAGTATTCTTTTGTCAATGGAACAAAAACATTCTTTCCAGACATAATAAATGGATAATGAATGGCTTCGATAATTCGGATATAATTGTTTAAATTGTGTAGTGCGCTTGCTTAGCGTTTTGAAATTTGACCTTCTTTAGGTTACGTAACATCATGGGGGGAAAGAAACATGTGAAATGAAATGGAATGCCTGCTCTAATAAGCATGCCATGAGCCTCTTCAATGAATTGCTTTGAATTACTACATTCATTCCAATTTACAATGCAACTATATAGTTGCAGTTTCCAAATTGATGATTATGAAATTAATATTATTTAATGAAATGCTTCAGGAACAAAACTTTTTATAGTTATCATCATATGCTTTGAGGATGCTGACTTTTTGACATGTCACCTTCAATCCTTGTTCAACTCCACTATTCTCCTTAGGTGTCCACCTTACCCAGAATATAACAAATTATATGAACTGTTTTGAACTAGAAAAGTTAAATCTTTGTAAATCTAGCCGAAAAATATTGCGATGTCTGCATGCATAGATCCTTGTTTCGAACACAACATATAATAAATCACCATATTTTTAAATTTCATTATTTTTACCTGCAGCAATACTTGCAAAGCATGGGATTTCATATGATATGAGCCCGAATGGAAAATCCACAAAAGACCATGGCGGTTCAGTGTGTAGGGATGCTGCAGATCGACTGTTGGATGCAATGGATGAACAATTGCATGATGTGCTGTTGGCAAAGTGAGAAGATTGAATTTTTCAGTTATATGCTACTTTTACTCATTTCGATTTTAATATTGAACATTGGAACATCCCTTTTTTTCTCAAGACATTGACAGATAAATAAAACCTAACCTAACAAATTGTATGCTATATGCTTCTTATATGCAATCAGTTGCTTTTTTGTTTTGATTTCTCTGTTTATATACCTTGATATGGTCAACTTTTAAGTCTGTTTCGATCTTACCTCTAGGTGGCAGTATTGGTGCATTTTGATTAATCTCAGAACACACCATATTGTCCATAGATATTATGCTTTTTATTTCTATTCTTTTTATTTCTATTCTTTTTATTTTTATTGTGACAAAGTCTTATTAAACAGCCTGCTTTGGCTTTCAAACCAAATAGCCTACTAGACTTTATTTAATAGAGACCAATAAAGTGAATTAAAATCATAAAAGTGTCATCAATTCGACACACACATATCTTGTGTTGCGAGGATTTAAGGTTAGGATGTACACAAATCTACCAATAAGGTGGACCATTAGACTGTGGATCTCTCTATTTCACCTTTGAAGAGCATTATTGCATCATAGTAATTATAGCATTAACTTTTCTATTATGACATCATATTTTTTTTTCTGATAAAAAAATCCAATTACACCATCCATCGAGTGCAGCCATGTTAACAGCAAATTTTCGAAGACGTAATGGAAGACAAATGGTGAATAACTTAAAAAAAGACCCTATTCAAAACATGCAACCCTCGTGATTACTGGTGTCATACAATATAATTTAGGCTGAAGTTTTTATATAAAATTGGAAAAAAATAATTATGTTTTAGTGTTGGTATTGAAGATGTGAATGATGATCCGGGAGTTGACCCGGATTCTGTAAGGAGTTTGAGAAATCGTGTAATGTATGATCTTGCTGCAGCTGAACAGAAAAAACCAGCATTCGAAGTTAAAGTGGAGATTGATAATGAACCAGTTCCAAGGAAACAAGGTAATTTTAATTTTAATTATTTGGGACGAAAGGAAAGCCAGCTCAATCATGTGGCAAAGCATAAACTCTCGTCTAGTTTCCAGGGGGTGCATTTTTCAAGTACAGTTTGTCAGTAATTTTCTTAATATATACTGAACATAACTGCGAGTTGGTGAATTAAGAATTTCGCATTGACTTTATTGCACTAGACCATGGGTTCACAAGAAGATTACCAGGGGTACTTGGATGACAGTCGAGTTTTTATATGTTGCTGATTTTAAATATCCTTGATTAATACTATGGGAAAATGCGTGCCCATTGAAACTAGACGCCAATTGAAACGCAGATTTTACCTGATCTAGCGTTGTTGTGATTGTGATGCAACAATGTGAAATTCAAGGCTTTGCTTACAAACTGTGAAATCTCCAAAGACAGCATGCTGCGAGCATTGGAGAAGTGATTATGCTTATTGAAACTTGGGAGTGATTTTAAGAATTCATTAGTTAGGCAGACGAAAAGGGCAATTATATCAACAAGACGATTTAATTTAGTTAGCCTACATATGGTCAAAAAATTGGTATTGCAACAAATTGTTAGTCAATATATCAGTATATCACAACTTTGTTCAGTGTCTGATTACCGGGGATTCGCGTTGATTGTTTCGTGACTCGGGGGATACTTGACGGAAAAAAGGTTGAGAATCCCTGCACTAGACAATTACTCTTTTTGATTCTTGAAATTGAAAACTTTTTCAGCCACATGTGCTATTTTCCTATTCATGCTGGATGCAGCAGGTTTTTTATGGTTTAACCGAAAAACAGTTACCTATTGGTTAAAGAGGTAAATCTGACCATAATGACATCGCAGGTAAAAATCTTTGGTTCAAACTTCGAATCCTATGCCAACCACCTCACACAGGGTGTAAATTGGGATTAATGATGACGACTCGGAAAGATTTCATTTCTTATAAAATGAAGTAGCTCCTTACAAATCAGTGTTTGTGTGGAGCCTTGTTCCAAGTGAAAGGCATATAAACCTGTCCCATAAAAAACTTAAATTTGTCAACTTGTATAAGTCATACATCAAACTTTGTCATCTTTCACAAATGGTTGAAATATTTTATAGATGAAGCATCTGACAACAACAAGAGAACAACATCATATAGAAGTTCTTCTGCGTCACGATACGGTCAACGAAGTACAGGTGATCAACATACTTGTAATTCTTTAAAGTTATTTTTGAATCAATATTTTTTTGTAGTTATGTATACACAGGGCGAGGCTTTTTATATTGGTTGTAAAAATTACAAATACAAATATTAAATTGCGTAAATAATAGTTTAGATTCTTAGATTTATTACAACTTTAGAATTTAGTATTGCTGCAATTAATAAGTTTTCTAGTGTAAGAGATGCTTCGAAAAAACATTTCACATTTTTGAATCTGTTAGTAAGTGGAATCAGATTGCTTTGCTTATTTCAGTTCTGACAGAAGACTAGTAGAATCGTAGTACCCCATTGTAAATTTCTGGTTCAGATTGTTCAAAGCATGACCGTTGTATCTTCCCACAATAGGAAATATCACATAGGCCTACTGATGAAAGAGTTACATGCAAACTCTGATGCACTAGAACTCTTTAAATCTACATTGACTAGGAAACAATTTTTCTGAATTCAAAACAAGGGCAGATTATGGCTGTACAGAGCATTTTCAGTAATTTACTATAGGTTATGCATTTATATTTTTAAAACCTCAAAGTAGATACATAAGTTTTGAGTTTATTCCAGCTGAAATAAACCACAGACTGTCTTGAAATGTCAACAGACTTTTTTGGGTACGCTATATACCGTCATGTTGGGATTGATAAGGCCATTTTTATATATATTTTTTTAAATTATATTTTATTGTATACCGTCTTTCAATTCATTGCGTGTTGAATCCGTCTTAATGATATTCAACAATGTATTGTGTGTTATATTCACAGACATTGGTATTTCTAATGATGGGTTTCACAATCCTACACAAAAGCCTCTGGCGTCTTCATTAGATAGACTCGAACAGCATTCAACTGACAGAAACCAAAGTGCTTCATTATCAGCTAGGAATACGTCAGACAGTAGAAAAGGAAGAGATTATGAACGCTCAAGAGACAGAAGACGCTTGAATGGTATTTTTTGATAATTTAGTTACAAAAATTCTAGATGTTTTAAATTTATTAGACATGTATACTCAATCTTGTTAATATTGTTTGGTGGTTTGGTACAGGGTGACCAAAAAATACAGAACCTAATTCCTTTATTTTTTCGAAATCAAGAAAATTTATTTAACACTTGAATTTCTGTTTGTATATGACTGTATTCAAAATTTTAAGTAATTCTTGACGCTTTGCACAAAAGTTATTGTTTTCTATAATATGTTTCAAATGACTTGGGTTCTGTTTTTTTGGGTCCTTCTGTATACGATATGAATGAAATATGTAAATTCACAATAAAAATATAATATGATGACACTACACATGTCTATTTGAGCTTTTAATTTTAGCAATGTGCATGAATACTTTAATTATGGTTTTTCCTGATATAATTTATTTGTTTTTAATCATACACAAATGGCACACTTCATCGATTATTAAGTATTATTATTCTGTAAATGTTCTGTATTCAATGTATATGTATTTCACATAGCTTCTTAATTGTTTATGTTTCAATCACACAATGCACTGAATGTGATTAGAATAGCTACGTTCTGGTAGACATGTGCATTTTAATTATTTAATTTTGTTCTGGGGCAATTCGCAAGTTTCTATCTATGACTCAATGTTTTATGAAGCACAGGCTATCATCTCATTTCCTTTTATGCTCGCTTGGAGGATATGTTTTATATTATAGATATTGGAAAACACATTCGATATGCAATAGAAGACCCACACGTAATTTGTGATACAATTTCCTATAGTTATGGGTACTAGTAGTTAGAGTAAGTTTTGAAAGGAACATTGTCAGGTTAAGAGATATGAAAAGTAAAATAGGAGCTTTACATGGAGCTGAATTAGACAGCCATAGCTCACAGCTTTTTTGAATCAATTGGAAAGTTGTGTGATGCCTTTAGTTATCCTATTGTGTTGTGATGACACGTCCACCATATTTGGAACAGTAATTTACTCTTTCCACTAATTTGTAATGTTGGAGATTTTATCAATGTTCAGAGGATTTGATGAAGGAAACGATACTATTCAACAGAATGGTTATCCATCTTCGTGGGTGGGTGACTTTTTCTCTTCACACTTACATAGCATCTTATACTTTCTTGGATGTTTTGCTGTTATATTGCTACTTTCACACCACTTCTATTCAATGAGCACAAAATTTATAATTTTTGATTTTATTGCTTCTACTTTTTGAACAATATGCATTGCATGCTGAATGGAAGATTCTGATGTCACTGGCAGGCTGTAGAACAACTGCTGATATATAATTTCAACAGCTGCACTCTTTTGCACCTTTACTATGAATCCGCACATACAATGTAGTAGAAGCCAGCTTAATTCGCAAGTGTTGTACGAAGCACTTTCAATGCAATTATTGTCTTATTTGCTGCATTTAGAGTGCATGATTTGGAAATAAAACTCAAGCAAGCGCGAGCAAATTGTTTGATTGTGTTTTTGACAGACACCGTGAGTTCTTGGGACACACCTTCGAAATTAAGTTTACGAGATTTAGATTCACCTTATACATTGAGATCCAGGTTCTATAGATCAATGGATGATTCTCCTTCTAAGCAAGAAAATCCGTATTCACCTATTTCCACTATGTCGAGCATTCCTCGCGAGAGTTCCTATTCTCCTAACCGAAGAGAAAAATTTATGAATAGAACATTTGATTATTACCATTATAAACCATTGTCCACTAGGTGGCATAGCACTCCTATGGACCTCAATACAAAAGAGTATGCAGGTTTTACACCAAAACAACCAAAGAGGAAATGTGAAGATAGAAATGAACGTCGATGGAAGAAAATTGAATATAAAGATGATGTGCAGCCTTTTTCAACGCGCGCCCATCACTCCCACCCAAACTTTGGAGAAGAGTCTTATTTACAATCTGATGTGGAAAAGTCTGAATTTCATGTAAATCCGCTGCTGAATACTCCTGAAAAGCAGGAAGAATATGAATGGAGAATGAAAAACATGCTTAAAGAATTGCACAAAACGCCAATAAAACCAGAAGAATCTTTTCCAGTCACAATGTCATCAGCAGATCACAAGAATAAATCCAATGCAAGAATTCATGATCAGAAAAAATCCAAGCCAAATAAATCTAACCCTAATCATTCGGAAGACATTTTAAAGAATGAGAAATCAACCAAAGGTAAAGTTCCATCCGCTTACAGTCAAAACGAAGATGATAAAGTTTTATATGACAATAAAAAAGTTTCAGATCAGCTTTCTATTTCTGATACTTATGCAAAAACTGACTATCATGGCGTACCGGAATTTGCTGCATTAGGAACAAATGACTCGAAGACATCCACTAGTATTGCTACAGATAGCTTGCAATCAACAGATGAAAAAATTGAATCTGTGAATAATAACAGAAATGAAGAATCTGCATCCGAGACTATAACAGAAGAGAGCAACAATAATCAATTGTTTTTCACATCAAAAGATCAATCCAGTGATGAAAAAACTTGCACTATACCCGAGCCTCTTGGCAAAAACATACCAGCAAATTCCAATACAAGTAAGAGTGATGATAATATATCTGCACAACAAAAATCGGAGGTAGATAATCAGTCTTGTTCTTCAAAATCTTCGAGAGTAATAGCACCTAATGAATTTGGAAGAAAAGCCTATTCATATGGTACATTGTCATCATCTTCGATTCAGACTCCTTCTGAAGATATTTTGGAACATGAATCCATATCTGGAAATTCTCAAGAATTGTCTTCCAAAAATTCTACCTTGAAAAATGTAGCTAGTGCTTCAGCTTCTTCTTGTAATACAGATAACCTTCTCGATGAAGCTTCAAAAATGAAAACAGAAAAAGATATCGCTGGTATGCCAATTTCTTCACACTCATCTGAGGAAGCGGTAATTGAGGATCGTTCTCACAGCAGTAATACTCACACAAGTGTTCAAAATGAATTATCGCCTTCACATAGCTCTGACAAGCTCAGGGAACACAACGAGGCAAATGTACCAGATAATAATATAACAAGTGTGTCGTCATCGTCTTGTGGTACTGAAAATTTAATTCAATTTCATTCAAAAGATAAAGAAATGGTTCTTGTGAGTGCCTCATCTTCTTCTTGCGCTACAGAAACGCTTCTCACTGCACCTCAATCACTTGATGAAATAAAAGCACATGGAAGTACCTTATCATCTGCAAGTACAGAAAGTCTGCTTTTGAAGAAATGTCCCTCATCTACTGAATCAGAAATCATGGGTGAAAATAATTTTGTTGAAGATGACATTTCTTCAATTCATAGTGACAACACGCTCACAGGTGATAAAGAAAGTGATTCATTAGACACAAATGATGTTCCAAATGTTTTGAGGAATTCGTTAGTTCGCTGTTCGAGTGATGAGCGCTCAAGTCTTGAATTTACATTGCATGTTTCTTCCACTGATTTGGAGTCATTGCCAACTTCTGATTTTGAAGCAAATTGGCTCAAGCGACAAAAAACAAGATTTCCTGAACTACTTCCACCTGACAATAAATCTGCAGATGACAGCGGAATAAAATCCGACCCTTTTGCATCACTATCTCCCAGGTCGAAGAAAAAGCTTACCAGGCGAGAAAGAATGAAAATTGCCCTTGCAGCGAGTCAAAAAAGAACGTATTTATTTCAGGGGGATAACACTATCCTTTCTACACCAAAAAGAAGATATTCTTGGGGGTCTGATAGCTTGAGAAGCATCACTACAGATGAATTACTGCTCGCAAAATCAGATGGTAGTAATTTTAACGAGTTCATTGGGGAAAAGTATGTTGGTAAGTATGTTCAAATAAACCTTTTTATGAATCAGCTAAGAAAATTTACTCGCAATCATAATCATTCCGATTTTGACATGAGTTGAGCCTACCTTGTTTCCTAGTGTTAATAAAGCATTAGACCTGATGATGACATCACAGGTTCAAATCCCATGCCCATTCACCCAGGGTGAATTGGGTGACTGCTTATGCCGAGAATTGTTCAGTTGCAAGAGGCTTATCAAAAATAATTAATTGGCATCACTGCATGCTTGTCCACCCTCATTTACACTACAATAAGTATTGCTAAGCGTACAAAAGTGTAAGTGTGTTATTGTTCTGATTTGCCGTTCCCAAATACTATGATAAATAGGCCTCAATGGCTGGGATATTTTCAGATAACCAGGCAGGTCAGTTTGTGTAATTTGAAATTTATGGAATAGGTAGGCCTAGTGATGAAACCGGATTGTTTTTGAACAGTATGCTGTTTGTGTATGATTGTACCCAAAAGTTTCAGTAATCAAGGACACTTCAGTATTCAAGGTCACCCTGAATTTTTCATAAATGTTATCCAATTTCAAATATGTTCAAATCCACATTCGATGAAGTGGCAGTTAGATTGTGTTTGACAACCCATTGTCGACGTTACCACCATCTTGTGCACTGTGTTGTGATAAGGTGCCTATAATAACAATAATTCCATCACACTATCAGATTTGAATTTCCCTCACTTTATATGTTTTGATAAACTCAATAAGAATATACGCATCATCGCTTTACGTCTGGAGCGTCTGGTCTTAACTCTCAATTATGGTAGCTCTAAGAAAACAATTTAAAACACTCGAAAGTCGACATAAGCTTAAGTGGATCGATGTTATTTGTTTATACAACTCTTGAAATCTCTAAAAACAGTCAACCGTCAAAAGCACTCTCTTGAAACATTTCATATCAAAGTTCTAAATTCTGTCGCCAGCGTTTAATAATTTCTTTCATATATGATTTGAAGAATTCGTGTGAGACAAAGTTTAGAAACGGGCAATCAGTTTGATTGACTGACATTTTATTAAAATCGTAGACTTAAAATTAATTTTGGTGAGCTGAATTAAAACTTTGATTTACAATGCCTTCTCTAGAGGAAAAAGATCTTCAACGTTTACGTCGATATCTAGAAAGTAGGAACGGTAGGTTTGAGGGAATTATTTAACGCAAACGTTCACTTTATATATTAATAAGTTATGAGTTATGACAAGTGTTATTTATGGCTGGTTCTTTTTCTAGCATTTTGAGGATAATGATCGAAAATTAATGAATCAATTTGTATAGTTAATTAGAGCCGATAAAGAAGGTGGGGTTTGTGAAGTTAGTGTGTCAGTGTTGTTTGAATGGTTTTAATGTCTAGAATTCTGACTACCATTCCAGAACGTTGGGTATAATATCTGTATAATATTACTTATGTATTAAAATATTGAACCCACGTACATTTGAACCCATGACAATTGCACCTGTATGCTATTGCACCTATGAAATTTTTTTTGTTTTTCGGATAGTTGAACCCATACTAACCCTAACCCATGGGTTTTAGCACCCGCATATGGATTAAACCCGTGGATATACACATGGGTTCAAATGTACGTGGGTTCAAATGTACGGTCACCAACTTCAATAGGCCTATGCTTCGTGCAACTAATGGTGGGCCGATAAATGTGTATTAAATGATGTAAAAAAATGAAATAAACACTGATTAAGATAAAATAAACTGATTAAGATATATTGAAAAACTTTAAAGGAAAAGTGAAAAATTGTTCATAAAAATTTTCACTTCGAAATTATTGTTATAAATTATGGTTTTACTAAAAAAATTTTTTTAGAAATAAGACAGTAGCGTGATTACCGGTACCTTAAAATCTTGAAAAACTTTTTCTAGGTTTAGTAATTTTATTGAGCTAAATTCTTTGAGCGTCACAATATGTAATATTAAACTTATGCTAATATTGTAAATCTTGTTGATTATCTAGCATTTTGTGGTTATTAGTCAAGGTTCGAACTATCGTATTTCATTGCTTTATTTTTAATAATTGATAAGGTATGTGATGAAAAATGTACGTCATAGAACAACAAGAATATTAGGGATTTATGTAATTTAATCTTAGTATATGGACTCTCTTGTAGTAAGCAAATCAAGCATTAGTAGTTTCTATTTGGTATTGGAAAGATCATTTCATCAATAAAATATTCATCGATGTTCATTTAATAAGCTCATTAGTATATCAGAAATTATTTATACTTATCTTATTTATCTCATGGAATAGAATAGACGTCTGACCTTCTCTAAATTTTAAAATTCCACCTGTCTTTTTATTAGTTCTTTTTTAAATTTTATTTGCGCAAGCCAAAGAGTTGAATCTGCCATTGTGTTTGATTCTATCAAATATATTCAGTGTATGCTAATAATGCTATAAAACATGAATAATTTAATCCAAATTTTAAAGAAATGTTTTTGAATCTAAAATGTAAATAGAGTTGGTCATATGCAAACAAATCAATACATATTTGTGGGAATTAAATTGACAATGCGAAATAAGGAAAAGTAATGTTTAAATTGATTTTCAAGTATTCCCTTCTCGAATTTATTTTCTGAATGCGAGATCAAATATTTTAAGTGAAGTGTTTTGAAAATATTTTTAAAATAAAAAGTTATTATGTAGACCCATAGTATATCTAATTTTGATAGTTTAAATATTTCATTCTGGTACTATGTTTTAACGAAAAATGTCACGAAACACTCAACATAATATATTTTCATATTTTACTATTGTGATTCAGGTGGTAGATCCAACTTACCAAGATCAAGTTCAGTGACAAGTCTAAGCACAGTACAAACAGAAGAATATGAAGATAGGTGAAATATAATTCTATATACCTGCATTTTGATCCATTTTTAACTTAGTTATGCAGTTTTTATAATATTTCGAGAATTACTCAAGTTGAAATAATTTACCAATGATCTTTCATAATCCTACAAATCGCATTTATTTTGTTTGTTTCGTTTGTATTTAGAAGAAAAATGTAAAATAAACTTGGTTAATAATACTTTGTGTGCTCTTGCATCTGTTTTGTGACCCCCAATATTTAGCGTTTAAGACAAATATAGAGCCTATTACATTTAAGACACCATATACATTTAAGCAAGTCATCTCCATGCTATTGTGTTTGGTTAGAACTGAAATATTGCCGATTCCTCTTTCATGTTTTATTGTATCTTGGGATGGAGGTGTATTACTGGGGTTATGAGCTGTGATTTCTTAGCAGTCGAGGCTATTTAGCAACTACTAATCTACCATATTGATAAAAAGAAATTTCAATTTGTATTTTGAGAATATTGCGTGGCCAAATTGTTAAACTTAGTTATGATGGCTTCGGTATCGCAAGTTGAAATCTAGAAATTATATCCAATGCCCTTTTCCAAGGTCTAATAAATTGGGTGGGCAATTCCGAAATGGAAGGCACATGTATATAACCACATCGCATAAAAAATCATGCATTGATATTTCAATTCAGGTACAAACAAATGATGGTACGTCATCTCGCTGGTGTGCCAGTAACATCCTTCGACAGTGTAACTATAGCAAGTGATTTAGATTCCGTCCACACTGATGCAGTAAGAGAACATTTCCTCGACAGTATGAGGAAGCACAAAGGTTTGTAGAAACTTGGTAGAACAGAATGATATATAACTAGGTTAGGATAGCATTTCCATACTTATCTCAGGGGAAAGAAAAGATGATGGTCTAATCGTTGTAAACCATGGCTGGTGGGATATATGGAGCACAACTGGTGGTACTCCTGTGGTATGTGTATCAAGTTAGGGTTGGGCCATAGTTTTATTCCGATTTTCCTTATTTTAGTTCTATTACGAGGACTGTCTGTGTTAGCCAGGTGAATATACCCCCTGCCCATAGGCTTCCGTCCCTTTACATAACTTCATGTAAATGTAAAGTTGGTGAACAAAATTAATTACCTTCATATTGGTACACACACTTCTGGAGCACCCAACTTGTATTAGCATAACAATGTAATTTGCTGACGTTTCGAATGAATTCCCTGATGAAGTTTTTTTGTGTAGAAATTCGAAACATCCGCAAATTACATCATTCTACCAATGCTGATTGTGTTCTATATATCCCAACATGGGTTAGGAGTCTTCACTGATAAAGGTTTTACTTTCTGACAATCATGTCATTTATTGTGTGTAATATACAATAAAGTAAGGGTATTTTAGGATCCAAACCAAATTTTGCACTTGCCAGTTTTAAAGTCTTCTTCTTACAATATGCCAAATTGTTCCTTTTCCACCTCATTTATTTTTTTTGTGATAACAATGTTTGACGCATCTCTCTTCTCATAAATATAAAGAAACTTCACTTATTTAAGCATATTCAAGTTCCAAATATGTTTCTGGTACTTTTATTTATCTTTCTTAATTGGTATTTGTTTGTAAATATTTCTTAAGATTCTTCTATAGCTGGTGATTTGAATAAACCAATGCAAAATGAAACAATCAAATCACAACGACTCAGGGATCGATATATCAAATTGAAAGATCGAGAAAAACGTGAGTTAACATACCGTATGTCAGATTCTTAGTTTAAATCACCTTTAGCATTGTGGCTCTGGTTAAATCACTTATGGCAGTTTTAACTTCTTCGTCAATGGGGGAATGAACAGTGATACTGTTAGTTCCAAGTATCAAGTTTGTCACAGCCTTTTCATTGAACAGCCTGACCTCAACTTCTATTCTATAAATTATCTTGGCTACAAGTTGGTGTGCACAACTCTCACAGCTTTTATTATTAAGGAGCTAGTATAGTTCAGAAGGACTTAAACTTATCCATTTCGGCTTCGGCTTTGCCTACCCAATTTATTATACCCTGGGTATGGAGGTGGTCATGGGATTTGAAACAGCAATTTTAACTTGCGATGTCATCATCATTAAGTCTAACACCTCAACAACAAGCCAACATGCCCAACTACCAAATAGTTGGGCCAGTGGTTTCAACTGGGGGTTCCGCAAGTTTCATTTTAATATGATAGTCGATATCAGGGGTCACCAACCTTTTCGAAGCCGAGGGCTACTTTTTGGGTACAGATTAAGCTGCGGGCTACCAGTTCAATGTACACTTCTAAAAAAATCAGTTGCTCGATTAGGCTTCAATTATTGACATAATTACTGGTATTTAGTGAAGTATAGACACTAATAAACTTTAGGATTCTTCAGGAAATCAAACGATTATCACAAAGTTGCAAATAAATTTCTATCAATTACACTTGTATTTCAAAACTGAGTGTTTTCAAATTGATTTTCAACACTCTGCACAAGTCTAAGATAAAATGGACTTAACAGTTGTACTATCGAATGTTGCAGAGTATTATACTCCGACGTGTAACTTGACACTGTAACTCTGAGCGAGTCTTGCAGATTTTCATCAGTGAGGCGTGTTCCATGTTTGTTCCTGGTGGAGTGAGTCGCGGCGCTATGGCCCATCGTGTTAAGCGTTAGGTTCGCAGGTTAGAATCCCATGCGGGGATTGTTATGTGCAAAAGGATTGCTGGACTCCTCGCCGCCGCAGTATGGTTCACGAAACCGCTGGTCGGTTAAGGCTTCCTTCGCCATCAAGTCCAGGCTTCCAGAAACAAATTACTATCTAATTCCATACCCGACATCAAATGGTAACCGGCGAGAAGCCATGGTTTATTATCATATGGTTAAGCCGTCCTATCGGCTATCTTCTCCCCCGGGATAAATATGTAAATCTCCTATCCTGAATTTATGTCAAAAATGTTGATTCGAAAGGATAGGTTGAAACAAACGATGGTCTCGTAAAATAGGATTACTGTATGATTTGAATCGCGAGATTTTTTCTGTCCGTACTGTGCTGACCAGTGGGTAGTTAGCGCGGAAGATTATGTGACAAGATGTGAAATATCTCTCCGCTTTGCCGTCGCTAAAATCGCCCCACTAATGAGACACACGCAGGCTGTTTCATGGTGGTATAAATATATCCACCTCCCATTCATCGTGAAAATGATGGATTTTTCTTTGGAATCAATAATTGTATTATTACTGCTCCGCTAACCAACGGACAAGAAAAAGCGCGGGTTCGTGGAAAGTGATCTCAGTGTGATGACATAATTGGAAGAGTGTTAATTGACCCGTCACATCACTGAGGTCAAATAAAAATAAGGTTGCTGGTTACAATAATTAATATAGTGCCATTTCTAGTTCCCATATAAGTGTGATTTATACTAAAATAGCAGGACAAAATATATCTGATGTAGCTTACTTAAAAGAGCCTTTATTAAGCTTAGTTTGGAACAGACCTGCGGGCGACTAATATGGTCTTCGCGGGCGACTTGGTGCCCGTGGGCAACGCGCTGGTGACCCCTGGACTATATCAATAATAAGCTAACACTGATTATTATATTGTTTAGGTTTATCCTAATATTAAACTTGCTGCACTTTTGTTTTGCCAGTGTTTGGTTCATTTTGTAAAGTTTTAAACAGGGTGGATGAGAATTTGTGTTGTGCATTTTGGGTATCAATGTCATATTATAATTTGAATGATCAAACAATGAAAATCATTTTCTAATATACAGGGTGTTCATAATGAAATCCTGTATTAAATTAGGTATAAAAATCTTTGATGTGCTTCTTCAACGAATGGTGGGCAATTGGCATATAAAAAGTGTATCAAATGAAGTAAAAAACTGAAATAAACACTGATTAAAATAAAGCAAACCTAGTCAATATATATAGAGAACTGATAAAATTTATAACGTAATTCAAATTATAATAGAGTTTTATGAATCCACTGTATATTGGCCATTGTATAAATGAATTTTCAAGAGCAGTATTCTTTTTTAGTTATAATCCATGTACTGTTACAAATTTGGCAGAAGTGAATTTTGTAATTTGGAACAGCCATTTTTATGTAACAAAATGTTTTAGAAGCAATATACTGTAGGTGCTTCAAAACCTGAAAACTAATAATACGTCATTAACAATATCTTCCCGCCATTTTTCAAAATGTCATCAAGTCTTCTCACCAATCTTAAGAAGCATTTTTAAAGATTATTATGATTCAAAGATTTTCCGCGATATTAACAAGCTCTCGAGTAATGCCCACTTGAAAATATTATGACCACTCATATTCTCCATCTCAAGTGGTGAGAGAAAGTAATATGTGTAGAAATTTACCAAGTTTGTGCCGTGCTTGATTTATAGATAATACTTAATTTATGATTTGTACAAGCTTGGCTCGAGTTTTAAATGAGGCTATTCTGTAATATCACGGAATATTTTAATCTGTATAAATATGCAACTTTTGCCGTCGGAGGCGATTGAATTTTTGTTGAGGGTGGTTTTGTGTTACAGAAGAACTCTTGTAATTGTATTGATTACTACTGTTTATTGTTATTTATATATTGGAGATACAAAGGACAGGACGCCTATTCAGAAGCAAGGCATGACAGTGTCAGCAGCGTTTCGTTTTTACGTAAAGTTGAACTTATTAGCTGTAGATTTAGGCAATTTTTGTATCTTTACGATGAAAGGTAACAGAATTTAATAGAATTATTGTTAGTAATGTCCCTTTGTGATATGAGACCTCTCTTTGACTCAATTGGTAGTGGAAGCAGTATGAAAAGCTCATTGAGTAAGTAGAATTTTTTAATTAATGGAAAACTAATTGTCTTATATAGAGGGTGCTAGGATATTGTGTATTGAAGAATAGCACAATGTCCTAGCAAGTATATTTGTTAGCTTTTTCTGGATTGTAGTCTAACTTCTTCAGGCAAAACAAGATGTAACTTAATCATGCAACGAATAATTTACTCGCTGATATACTTTGGTTTTGTATCAATTCAATTCAGAAAAAGATATTGTCAGATTGTGAAATTGCATTTCATAGTGAAAACGATTGAAACTGATTTTTTTCAAAACTGACCATCTGAATTTTTCGAGATTATTGAGATATATAAAATATAGCATAGGTAAAGAAAATCAAACTAATACATTGGGATTGCATCCTTTAGATTTAGTTATCATATAAATATTGAAAAATCACTTATCCATACAAAACATTTCCTGTTGTCTGAATAAAATTTGGTACTCAACTATGATTAGCCTTGCTCCTATTCATGCTTTGTAAAATTTCCTCTTTGTTTCTATTTTTGATCTTGTTATTCTTATCTCACTTTGCATATTTCCGTTATTTATTCAATTTTCAAATAATCTTTAGCTTGTGCTACACGACTCAGATTCTTGACTTTTTCACAATTTGAATACCTAGTTTATAATGTGTCCATTTACGTGTATTACAAATTTACCATAACAAGAAATCGACTAAACATTATTTGTAAAATTTCTTCTATAACGGAGTAATATTTTTTTATTTCCTCCCAAAACAACAAAATTCATTCCAGGGAAGGAATTCCTGCTGGGTTCGGAAACGCTGGTTTAAGTGTTAGAATATGCTCTTCATTACACTATTGAGTATCCTGTAATGATTCTTGGATTGTTAGATGTTCACAAAAAAAAATGCAATATACCAAGTGTTAAGAATACTTTTTATTGACATGTCGACTGGACTCAACACAATAACACGGTGGTTTGGGTTATGTTTTTGTGTTGGGTACACTCCCAGATGTCCAACTTAGCAAAAATTCTGTTTACTATATGTTTGAGCTGGCGTATAACTTGTCCATTTACTATGGTACAAATATTCAATCTTTGGGTTGCTCAGACTGGTACCTCTGCCCCCTTAGGGGGGTGGTGACACGGTTCTCTGGGGGCCACAAACAAAGGCTTTTACTAGATAATATTAATTGAATTAGCATTGATTCGTTTATTTATTTCTTTGACTATATTGCATTTATTCTTTTTCCATTGTTTGTTGACATTTTATTATAAACATGGTGAGTAAAATAATTGATTGAAACAGTTTAAAACTAACTAACTCTTGTCTTTTTGAATTTATTTGCTCCTATGTTGAGTCATTTTTCCTACCAATATACTTAATATTTTTAGTTACAAGGACAAACGATTCAATTCACACTAACGATTCTGTAATCAGTCAAAATGGTGTTTTACCAAGTCGATGTCGAACTCCATCCAGACAATCAAATGGTTCAAGACATCATGTGAGTTATTTTTATTTTTTTGTCATGCTTTGATACATTCACATTACAATAGAATTGCAAGACATTATTACCATGGCAAGATGGCTTAGTCGGGTGGTGTGCAACAGTCGGCCTGCGAGCTCCTACCCGGACTGCTAGGTCATTATGTGTGGCCCTTGCCAACAGTTTGATGTTTTCCCAGTTTATTGTTTTTCTAGTTTATTATTAGAATTTTTTATTTCGTTGTGTACATGGAAAAATTAATTTTTTTGTGAGACCCAGCTAGATGATTGAAGTTGGTTATATGACCCGCCGACAAAAAAAAAGTTGCACTCCTGGCCTAGACTTTAGAACATCAGACTCAACTATGTCGGCATCGCAGGTAAAGAACTCACCCAGAGTTTAATGAAATGGGTAAGCTCTGGTGAACTGGGAAGATTCAAGTCTATCCAAAAAAAAGGACTTTGACGACGACCGTGGCAGTTTGTACAGCGCATACTTCAGAGTGAATATGTGAAAACTTCTCTGTTGGACATGCTGGTCAAAATTTGTTTATATCTGTATTGTGTTATTTAAAAGACCTGCATCATGTATATGGGCTCACATGAATAACAAATCACCTTTTTTTCATCCACCACACATACACAGAGATAACATTGACTTCTATGTAGTTCAGGGTCCCTAAAAACAGGCCTTTGGCCCCCTGAGGTGCCCAAGAACAACTTTCTGGGGGTTATTAGCAAAAACCATCACGAGGTACCATTTGCAATGAATAAATTTTATTAGGGTAAATTATCTGTGATTTGGTTAATTTTTGAATTGTAATGTATTTGTTCTTTAATTTCAATTTTAGCGTTTTATTATAGCGAATAAAATAACTAATGGGAATCTGTTAAAAACCCTTTTTTTTTTTCATCATTGAAGAGCTAGGGTCACTGAGCGTGGAGGGTCTTTGTAACGGGGCCACAGATCTTGAAAGTTTGATATCTTTGATTAGTTAAATAATCTATAAATGATGTCATTCAATTCTTTTCAGTCAGCAGAAGTCACTTCATCCCATCATCGGCCTTCGTCATCTTCTAAAGCAAGTTCAAGACATAGCAGGGCACATAGTGTTGGTCCTACCAATAGAAGAGAAAGGACGGTAGAAGCAGATGATACCCATAACCAGTATTACACAAACGATGTCACAAGAGATTCATCTAAGCCAGTATCAAGGTCTGTTTTATTCATCGTTAGAATTTGTGACTCTTTTCATAATATGTGTGAACATCCACAGATATACTGCATCACTAAAGAGATATTATATTTTCGGTGCTCCCGAAGTATGCGAACCAAGATGGCGGACATCGGAACGTAACATGGGTAACAGGTTAGGGTTAGGCGATAATTTTTTTCCAATTTTCCTTATTTTAGTCCTATTATCAGTTGGAAGACTAGCCAAGAGCCTCCTGAACCTAAAATTATGACCTAACCCTAACCTAGTACACATATTACAGTCCGATGTCCGCCATCTTGGTTCGCATACTTCGGGAGCCCCATATTTTCTTCCCCTCTTAGGTAACGCTGCAGGTGCGACCTCCTCGTTGAGGTGGGGGGCATTTGAAACTGAAATTTTTTATCCACTTTTATAAACATAAATTTAAAACCCCATGCAGTTCAATAGTAATTTTTTCTTATACTTATATACATATCTTTTTTCAGGCAATCTTACCATCGCAGTGATAGTATTGATTCTGCTAATGACAGAAGAAAAATAACTTCGAATGCTCTAAATAAATTACAAGAATTGGATTCGCAAATTGAAGAAATTGAATCAAAAAAGAAGGTATGTAGGCTATTGTTTTATCATATTTCAGGTCTCTTTTTATATACTTTTCCCTCACAACAGGGCTCTTGCGAGCAATGTAAGATGTTACTATAGTGTGAGCGGTACGTAAATTTTTCGATTAGTCCCCTCCTAATAAATTTATTACACAAATTTTATATCCAAAACTTAGTTATACTTTTTTTCAAATATTTATATTTTTGAGCATTCTAGTTATAGTATGAGTGTTCACTCTCCTATCTGGTATTTCTAGACAAGTGAACAAGAATTGAAATTAATGGAAAAAACAATGGAAGGTCATAGAATAAATTTATTAAAATTAGAAGAGAAATTGAGAGAAAATCAAGCAAAAGCCGATGATGCAAGGTATGTTTATATCAGATAGGTGGGAAAAAGGCAACGTTGATATCGTGGTCAATACATCCTTTCTTTTGTTTATGGAATGTTAGAAGTTGCAAGTCTTTAGTGTTGATGTTCTTCAAACAGCATATTTATCTGATGTTTGCTCTGAACATGGCTTTGCACGATCAGCTAGGTATAAAATCCAACAAACAGCGCTCAATACTACGAAAACAAACTGTTGCCTGAGTTTAGGTGTCTGAGTGGCTCTTCAAATTTCAATTGTTACACCATTATCCATCCTATAACTTCTGTTTGAGTTTTTATTTTATTTTTTACAGAACGGAACTGATGGTTTTAGAATTTAAGAAAGATCAATGTAGAAAGGATTTGGATGCAACAACAAAAGAATTTAATACAATGCAAGATAAAGTGAAAGAAACTGAAGATTTGGGAATGTCATATGATGATGTGAGTTGATGTGTTTTTAATTTGCAAGCAAACAGTTTTTGTTGAAACTCATGTTCAAGTCTATACAAACAGTAGGGTAACTGTGTTAATAAGATAGAATTTACATATTTAGGTATGATGAAGCTACAGTTAATTCTCATTTTTGCTTCCTTTTTACCATTTATAATTATAACTATTCTGAGGGTTTAAGAGCTCAAACAATAACTGTAATTTGTGAAAAAGATTTTGATTTTTTAAATATTCATAGATAAAATAAAATGTACGCCATTTTAGATTGTTGCTCTCATGCAAGAAAGAGATGATTTACGAGCTCGTTTTCGACGAGGTGAAGCGTCAAGAACTTCGATCACAGAAAGACAAGAACTTGAACGTGCATTACATACTGCTAAAGAAGATTTATTCAGGGAAAGGAAATTAACAAGAGAACGCGTAGAAGAACTGGAAGAGGTATGATGGATTTCCATGGATGATATTCGTTCAACTGCAAAGCGCCTAGATTGCTGAAAATTTTGGGTACAATCATGCGCAAATAGAAGTTCAAGTGTTGAATGAATTTTCTTCATTTTCATAATTAGGATTTTTTTTTTATTGGGTCAAAGTATACATTGGAGAAAGACCTGGAATTTTGATTGAAAACACTAATTCTATATGTTTTTATTTTCTTTTCTTCCGTTTTTCTACAGAAAATGGAAGATGTGAACCATAATTTTGAAATAATGGAATCTGAAAAAAGTAATGAAATATCCCGATTGCAATCTGTTATTGAAGAAATGAAGAAAACGGAGGCAGTCGATAGAAATTCACCTTATAAGGTACAATTTTGTTCATTTGTTAAACATTCTGTATTCATGATATTAGGAATAATTTAGAAAACTAAAAAGAATATAATTTTGAGCAATTTAAATCACAGTATGATTGCGAATGCAATGGCAGAGTGGTTGAAATATTGAATTTGTATTGGTATCCCAAGATAATCCCATCAACTTACCCAGGGTATAATAAATTAGGTGGACAATGTTGAAACGGGAAGATTCGGGTCATTCCAAAAATAGTATCTTCCTATATATCGTTAGATATTAAAGGCTGCTTATGCAAAGCCTTGTTTTAAGCAAAATGGGCGAATAATCATTGTATAGAATTAGAAAAAAATGACCAAAAAGTCTTCCATTTAATTCTTAAAAACCATAAAAATCGAGAGCTAATCAAATCATTGTTTATCTGAACTTGACGAGGTTCAAATCTTGCACCCACCACCTCACTCAGGGTGTAATAAATTGGATTGGAGATTGCCGAACAGGAATTTCCCCCAAACTTTAATATCTATTAACCTAGCAGTGGCTCTTTGTGAAAAGCTTTGTTTGGTGCCAAAGACATGTAAATATACTGTTGAAAAAATTTAAAAAATAATTTTTTTACTAACATTGTTTAAATTTTATGGCCCAGTTTATTCCTCTTATTCCATTATACAACATTGTATCATTAATGAGTTCTTATTAAATCTGAAGATCTGTGGAAATAGCTAGTTAAAAATCTCATGTGTGTATAATTGCCTTTTTTTAATTTTTAATTTTAAACCCTGAATATTTTTGCATTAAGGCTGATCGTGTAGACGCAATTGAAGCAGAAAAAAGAAATTTATTTGAAAAAGTTGACGAATTAAACAAATTATTGCAACAGAAAAATAATGAAATTGTTTCATTGGCAACCGAGACTAACAGGTAAAGATTAGTTGCTTTTGTTTATTTTGTAATTAATTCAATTTTATACAATTCCGTCCGATCATCAGTTGTTTTTGTAAAAAAATTTGCAAAATTCTGGGTCTCTCAAACTTACTCAGAAATGTAGGAGATTGATCTACGAGCAAAATTATGACGACTACTAGTGTGCCAAAAGCTACTGAGATTATAAACATCATAGTGTAGAATTGTGGGGTAGTAAATACGGATTGATGCGAGACTCAAAAACTTAGAATTATATCACACTGCACCGTGACAAAAAAATGCTACAACATGCTTTCTACCAGTACATTGCTTGCTTCAGGTCTCGAGAAGAAAATCGAAAGTTACAAGAGAAAATTCCCGAACTTGAATCAAAAATGTCCGAACAGATTGAACTGCGAGAAAAACTTATTTCTGAAACTGAGAGAAATACAAATGCATTGAAAAAAGATAAGGTGGTTATAACCTTCTGTTTATTTGCTTCTTATAAATCTTGACTCTTCAAATATAATCTGTACCAAATATGATTTGAAAGCTTTTTGTTTTAAGTCTCGTGAAACTTGTGAATTAGCGAGTTGACTTGAGCCAGCCATTACAAAACTGGGCCCTCGGCTCACCTAGGGGCCACAAAACGATTTTCTCTCAATGAGCAAAGACCTTTTTTGGATATCATTTGCAATGACTATATTGATTTAAAGTAAATTACATATATTTTGTTTAACTTCTTGACCATAATGCATAGATTCTAGTTTTATTTTTCATTATTGATTGTGTTGAATAAAATAACTGATGATAAATCGTTAAAATAGGACAGATCAAGAAAGTTTGATTTGATGAAAATCTTTTTCTATATTTACTGCGACTATTGTTTTTAAATTTCTATTTAAGGTAATGTTAATTGTTAATGAAATGTTCCCAATAAAATGCTCTTACTCACTGGTATATGATTTCTCATATTTTCATTGCCTCACTTCCTGGGAATTTGCCATTCGTTTAAAAAAATATTGCCCCACCATCTTTTATTTCTGTAGAATACTTGGTCTCATTTCATAAGGTTTCTAGGAATATATAAAAATTAATATTTTTATTTCTAAGGAACATGCAATTGCTGCCGGAAAACAGGAAAAAGAACATGAAATACAGAGAGTAAGATATTTCCATAACTATGAGTGATGAAACGTAAATTGACTATTTTAAGAAAATATTAAAGACGAGCAATTTAACCTAAAATTAAAATTGAATGATTTATAATTCAATATAACTATCAAATTTGTGTTCATGTTTTTCTTTAAGATTTTAATTTCATTCTTAGATACTTGAAGAATTGGAAAAAGAAAAATCAAGAGCAGTTCTAGAATATAAGTCGGAACATCAAGAAGAAATTTGTAGACTAAGATCTGTCTTGGAGGTTTGGAAAATTAATTGTGTATTAGTATGGTTTTATATTTTCAGCCATACCCTATTGACTGTGAGCTCTCATTTGGGTGGCTTGGTGTGTGTACCAGGTTAGGGTTAGGCTATAATTTATTTCCGATTTTCCTTATTTTAGTTCTATTATGAGTTCGGGGACTGTCTTGTGCCCATCAGCATGTATGGACCAGTAAGGCATTGCCATAAACCTATAAATTTTCAGTTGGCTTTCCATTGCCAAAGATAAATCTTCTTTACCTCTAAGTGAGTGTGAGTGAGTTTACTCCAAGTGATTCATTGAAAAAATATCATAGAATCTGAATTTGAAATCGTTTTGAATCGACTTCTTATTGCCAATATTGTAACATGGCTTTATCATATGGTGCACCACATTTGTTCAGTAAAGCAATCATTGACTGGCTATTCAATCATATTTTTTTCAGAATAAAGATAAGGAAATAGAACAATTAAGAGGAAGATTAAATCATGAAGATGACGCCAAACGAGCATTGGGAGAAAAATTAAGAATGGACGCCAAAGAACAGGTATTTGAAAAATAATTTCTGATTCGACCATTGAAGCACAATGTAATTGTAGAAAATTTTTGTTAGCACCCTGCAAGCTTAAAGCAATGTCTAATTTGAATGTGTATAAATGCTTAAAATAAATGCTTTGAATATTCATATCGCAAGTGTGTTGGACGATTGAATCAAATAAAAATCTCTATCAGGCCTGCTGAGAGGCAGTTTTTCAGCATATGATTTAGCTTCCCTATCGGTAGGGCTTGGCATTTTGAATTGAATATTCAATCCGAATCGAATAGTAAATTATTATATTCGGTTTTGTTACCATCTTGTTTTTTATTGTCTGCTAAAGGTCAAGATGAATCCTTAATTTATTTATTAAAGCCCTATTTTAACGAAGCGATTCTGACAAAATGACTATTTTCTTCATAGTGATTTTTTGTTGAAACATGTTTCTTGTTGTGTGTGAACGCTCAGCAAACTGTCTGAGTGATGAATTCTATGTTTTTAGTAATTTATGTGCCTGGAGGACCCATTGCAATAAAAAATCGCAAAAAATTAAATATCTAAATATTCAAGATTCCATTTGCAAAAAATATTCGAGTTGATTCTGAAATTATCAGGTATTCAAAAATATGCAGTCGTACTTAACACCTTTCCTCTCTTCCAGAATAAATTTGGAATCGTAGTCTAACTGGCTAACATAATTCTGCATATCGTTGTGATATTATTTTTCCCTAATAATAAACATTATTTTTGTATTGTTTGCTCATTTTCAGGTTCGAAGCGTTCTTGCTAAAGAACGGTTGTCATGGGAGCAAGAAAAACAAATAGCAGATAAACGTGAAGATGATTTACGACGAGCAGATTTCGAAAAAGAACGTACTCACTTAAATTCTGAGGTCGAAGAGGCAAGAAACAAATGTAAAATTGCAACGGAGCAAATTTCGAGACTTCGAACTGTAAGTGTGGTAAATACTGGTATTTCATTATTAGAACTCGATCAGTGACTGGTTGAAACGGGCGACAGGGAAATATTTACAAAACTATCAATACATTTAAGTGTGTGTGATGACCCGGCGGATAAAGTGATGTAACTATGATGGCATCGCGGGTTAAAATTGCGGGTTCAAATACCTTACTGAGCGTGAAGCCGAGTAGAAATAAAATTTTTGATAGATTTGATTTTTCCCGCCTTATTTGTTTTTAAAACATATCATTTATTCCATTATTTACAGTCCATCCACATATTTTTAACATGTTTTTGGAATAAAACATACTTTCGCTTTACTATGTGTTATTTGTAGCTCATTGTTATCCAGTTATTTTTGAGCTGGGGCACGAGACTTGACAAATTCTGAAAATGGGACCCGGTTTAAAAACTTTGAGAACCACTGTTTCAAACCATAGTAGCTTCTTTTCTAGCATTGGCTGTTTGTCTGGAGCTTGCTTCAGAGTCAGAGACGCATATATACACCATAAAAAAATACATTTCAAATTTTTAAATGAATTGGGATTTCGGAGTCGATCAAAATATTGGTCTCACTGGAGTGCTGAAAAATTAGAAAACGACCATAAAGTATTTCTTCCATATAATTTAGTGATTTAGAAATAGGTTTTCATAAATACAATGATTTGTGATCATTTCAATTTTACTAGATATTCTAGATTTGAAAAAAAAAAAAATTCAGAAATGTATTCGGATTATCAAATTATTCATGTTTGGTCCACACTGCAGACTCGGTGCAGTGCTCGAGATTGACAGTAAAATTTTTTCTCTTATCTATATCAATTAAAACAAATTTTTGCTTCAGGAAATTGAAGAATTAAGACTTGAAACGAGAAAATTACTTCAAGAAAAATTAGATGCAGCAACACAAGCCAGAGAGCACGAACGGAGAGACCAAAATAAGGTAATTTAAATACGCCATTTAACCCGTAATTTGAAAGTTTACATCACATTCGTATAGCTATTGTACATAAGAAGCGAAATGAAAAATTTGGTATAATATAGGATGTTCAAAGAGACTCGTTACAAATTGAATTTTGTTATGAAGTCAGTTCTCAATATATCTTGACGAGGTTTATTTTATTTTGATCAGTGTTTATTTAGTTTTTTTCACTTCATTTAACACAGTTGTAGGAGCCAACAAAATTTATATGATGTTGATAAATCTCTCTGCAATTCAAAAAATTTTAAGAATTAATGAAGGTCCCTTGTTGAGATGCTTATGGTTATGTAGTGAAAAAAATTGCCTTTCTCCTCATCTACTGGATCAATTGATTCTAGTTTTCCGGTACTTGCCGATAGAAGAAGAAGTTGCCGAAAGAATTTTTTTTATAATTCATTCTGAGACCTACTGAGCCCAATATTTCATCCACAATTTTGCAGTTTTATTTTAATACATTGGGTTTTCTTTTTGATACCTGAACTTCATGTACATATATTTGAACATTGCTCTTTTGGTTGTTTTTAGAAAATGGATCAGCTGAGAGCTGAACTTGAAGAAATGAATCAAACCGAGATTGAAAAACAAAGATCAAAATATAATAAGTTGGAAGAAGAAATGAGAAAAATAAAACATGAAAAAAATGATGCATTGTTGAAGGTGATAAAGATTCAAATTTATTTTCTGTTGTATTGTAAGATTTTAACGAAGATCAAACCCCATGCCCCACACCTCACCCACGGTGTAAATTGGATATGGAAAGATTCCAGTCTTCCTAGAAATAATATCTCTTTACATATCATTAGCTGCTTGTTTGGCTCGTTCGAAGTGAGTGTCACAGATGAAAAAAAATATTCATTGTGTCATCCAAAACCAACTGTTCAACTCTACCTAACTGACTTGGGCTAGCACCAGAGCAAAATGCCACGTTTTTCATTTGCTCAAACCATCCTATCAATTTTGATTTGCCAAAATCTTGATTCATTTATCGCATTCTACAATAGGTGTGTCCATATGTAAATGTTCATTTATGCTAAAATTCCTCTCTGTCATTCGTTTCGATTTTAAAAATACTAAACACTGTGCAGTTTTTGTACCATGCCAGATTATAAAATAATCCCGGTACTCCCGTAGTATATGTACCAGGTTAGGGTAGGCAGAGGAGAATTTCTCAGTTACAAACTATTTAATTACTGAAATTCTTATCTGGATTGAAACTATACATTTTTCAAATTCTTATAGAAATTTCGACCTAAACCAAGCGTATCTCGATTTGAATTTCAGTGTAAAGAAGCAAATTCAAATTCTGAAAGGAATGAGAGATGTTTCACTGTGGAAGTTTATGATGAATGTCAGAAAATAGGTGATTTGATTCGAGGTATTAGAACGCCGAGTCAATCTCGTAACAGAAGTTCATCACTTGCATCAAGATCCGGTTCTCATCTATCAAGAAGGTAGGTTTAGTAACTTTTTTATCTGATAAAAAAGGTTCTATTCTTTAGAAGAGAGCTATTTAATTTCAAATTTTGCGAGAGCAAAGATTTCGTGCATTTTCTATTCTGTAGCATAAAACTAAATTAGTAATTAATTTAATTGTCTGCCATTTGACAATGATTAGCTTTTCGAAATACCTAGTCGTGTTTCAATTTTTGGAAAATGACCACACCTCTCAAACACCCCACTGTCTATACATCAGATAAAATATGATCATATACAATGCTTTGATTGTTTTAAATTTTTGAAGAAAATTAACAAATCTTATTTTGAGTGGTTCATTATTTTCCAGCAACCGACCAACAAATGCTGAAGGTGCTGTTTCTCAGCTGAGAGCATTGAGTGACGATGTTCGAGCCACTTTACGAGACTTGACTACGGAAGTAGAAACACATCGAAGAGCAGCACAAATTGCACAACGAGAACGAGACATGGCTGCAACGAACAGCGGACAATCGAGAAACTCAACATCAAGTTCAAATCATCTATCACAACAGATTGCGGAACTGAATGGACATAATTCAGAAGATATAAGAGCTTTATCGTAAGATTTTTCTTTTTTACATATTATATAAATTATGTTGAATTTTTTGCGATTTACAAGGTTTTAAAAACCGAATAATTGACTTTCCCAAATACATTTTCAAATAATCATGATATCGTATATAGGTATTGAATTTTACACAAACAATTGTAAATTCATCGAAATAAAATTTGGCAATGCAAAATGTTTGAATTCGTTTGGATTTTTATGACGTAAAATTGTCTGGGTGTATGTATTACCATGGTGATGAGTTCAGCAATTGTCATATACATCATAGTCATTCCTTGGGGCACACAAAGTTATGTAGACAAATTGGGTATTTTCAATGTTTTTCTCCAAGACAATGAGATTACAACCTTCCCAAAACAACACCTCTCTACAGTTTTTCATATTTTAAAGTTCTCTACTGTTCAAGGAACTGTGACTTGCGATTCTAGTAAAAGCAGAAGATTTTTGACTGTATTTATATTTCTGAGAACGCATATATTCAAGATATCGTTTATAATGACATTTTTGGGTTTGTCAATAATGTTACATTTCTAGGAAACAACTATCGGAAAAAGACAACGAACTCCGAGATATACAACGTAACATGTGCATGTGGAAAGATACAACAGCTCAAAAACTTGCTCAGAAATTTGAAGAAGAATTGGCTGTACAACTGGAAAGGTACAAATTTATTCCAACTAGAAATTTATCTTTACAATGTGATGTATTTGTTGTTTCCATGCACTGACTTTGATCAATTTTGGATTATTTCGATTGGGGATCATACTTTCGATGATGATAATAAAATCAAAAATTTCTCAGGAAACTCAAAAGGCAACAGGCCCACTGACAGTTTTTTAGGGGCATAGCCAGAGACATTCATAGGGAGGTGAGGTTCTGAATTTTCTAATTGCTAATGTATACCATAAGAGCTAGCTGGTCGGGCTGAAGGCCACAAAGCTAGGTGGTTTTCAAGAGTTTCAAGGATCTACTTGGCTACCTGGCTTGCATATGCCAATGTTTTTGTTTTCGAAATTTGATTTTCTCTGATAATATGGAGTGAGAGTCTAAGACGGCATTTTTTTTTCGACCAGAGTCCGGTTTCAAAATTTTTTTACCCTGTAGGGAACCGGAGTCACCGTTAACTTTTTCTCAGCCCGAAGTAAGAATCGATGGTAAATAATTTAGTGTAATAACCTGAGCCTGAACCCAAGATTTTCAACATGTGAAAGACAAAATAAATCATTATGAAATCAGTGAAAAATGATTTCTCATTTTTGCAGAAAACTTGGAAGACATCGTCTGGAGCATAAACGACAAATTGAAAGAATGGAAGAAGATCTTGCTCGTTTGGCATCTGTAAGTTTTCAAATTTCTTCAGTATTCAACAAATTTATTAGTCGATTGGTCACTCGTTTATACTCTTGTTTAATTATAAAGAGCGTAGCCATAGCTTCCAGTAGAATTTTATGCTGTGAGTGTTTTTCTATTGCTGGGGTTTATCATATTAGTTGACCAAATAGTTTAAGCATAAGCAACTTGTTTTCTTACCAGTCCAAGTTTTGTATGCAATCCATTGGGGTTTGGGAAGTTGATGGGACAATGCAATCACATGAGATTTTGGGTATTTGATTTGGACCAAATCTATTGTTTATTTTGAAGCATTGCCCCATTAAGATTGAATAGGTGTTTTATTAAAGCTTCCTTTTTTATAACCTTCATTTGTAAGTTTTTATTCGCTGATCATATCAACGATATAAGAAGAGAGTTATGATGTCGAAACGACCCTGACAATTTTGAAGTTTTATAAATTGATTTTTGGGAAAATCCCTGACACAAAGTATACACAAATAATGTTTTCCCTGAGGGGCTTATATTTTACAAGAATTAAAAACTTTTAACAGAGTCACGGTCACCTAGGATCAATGCACAGTGAGTATGATGCATCATCTTCACTTATACCTCCAATATCAAGCACACCTGTTAAAGTTGCACCAGCTAACGGAGCAACAGGAGATAAAGGCACTGTCAAATTACTCAGGCATTTGCAAGGAAGAGTGAAACAACTACGAGCAGAAAATGATGTGAGTATGGTTTGTATTCAGTCACCATTAGCATTGAAAAAACTTAGGTCTTTAAGTCGAGGCTATTTTCACCAGTACTTGACAAAGTGCAGTGAAATAAATTTGGAATTCTGAAAATTGACATAATGAGTGAAATTGACCAGAGGTGGCTAATGTGACGTATTTACCCCATTCTGAACACGATTCAATTTTACTTCAAGCTATTATAGAATATTCAGATTAGGTTGATCCAGTGATATGAGTCCCCTTTATTACTGTCGTTAGAGGGGACTTAACGTGGGTAATAAATTGCACTGTGACTTTATTTGATTTACAAGGAATTGGTTGAACAATGTCTTTGCTCTTGTCTGAAAACTCAAGTCCAGTCGCAAATGACTACCAACTTGGTTTTTCAAAGAAGTGGACTCCAACTTCAAAAAACTTGGCTTCCTAGTAATGTGTGTCTGTATGGTTTTTTTGATGGAACTTAGTCTGAACTATATTGATTGCTTTTTCCCAGTTGTGCTTGTCTTACTATGATATTACAATAGTCTTATTCATTCCTCAAAAATGCTAAAAGTTACAGAATGAAATATTTTTTGTATGATTTGTATGTTAAAATATGTTTCATTCTTTTTACAGTTATTGCGATCCAACAGCCAGATTATGGATTACGAAGGATTCAGAAAATCAAGATAATGAAGATGTGTTCATGATTATGATATCAGCTGCTTTTTTACAGTCTATAGCCTTTTCACTCACTGCAAACATACAAATTGTAAAAGATGATGGTGTGTCAGATTTACTAAGTCATGTTAGAAACTTTTACTAAGCATGGTACATTGATAAACAATGATGAAAGGGCCAAACTACTTGCAAATTTTTTTAATGGAAGACTTCGTGCGAAGTTATATATTTTATTATAAATTGTAAATACAACTAAGACCGAATTTGTATCTTGTTTCCATTTTTTTGTCCCAAGTCTGTTTCATTCCATATCATTTTTTGTATTATTTTCGGTATATGTGTCACTACTTACATCCTTCATGTACTATTTTCATTCAAATTTGCACTATACCATATGTTCTCTTTTTGTTACCTGTAGCTGTGATCAATGCGTGTAGCACCAAGAAAATTATAAATTGCACAATGATCGTTTTATTCACACATATATATATATATATATATTTAGACCATAGTTGTAAATTTATTATGAATATCTTCAAGACATACTCAGCTATGCTCGAGTGATGAATTGTTTATGTCTATCGTAGCAATTTATGCTTTGCCATAGCTTGCTTGTGCTTATTTATATCATTTAGTTCACTGTATATTCGTATTAACCTGTGCCTCATTTTATCATAGTACATTATATAGTCTAGTTTCACACTGTATTAATTCACCCACTCTGTGCTAATTTTGTATATTTTTAATATAATTCATGTTTTTGTATACAATTTGCACTAGATTTCATCATTTTTCTATTTATATTCTTCTGTCTTGTATACAAATACACAGTAATCGAGTGGCCGGTTATTGAAAAAAAATAATAGTAATTCAGCATATTTCATGCTTTGCATAGGAGAAATCAGAAATGAGTTTTGATGTCAGAGATTTATGTTTATTTCACATTTCAATTCTGGATTTTTTTTGATTCTTCATTTGTATTTTATTTTTATATAATGTCCATTAAATATCATGATCAATTTTCTTATGTGTGGTATCTTGTACATGCTGACCACTGACCAGTCCTAATCCAATCTTGTCAAGCATGATATTTTGCAAATGTTATGTGTGCTAGATTGAGATGTAGATGGTACAATTTAGGTCTGGATTGCTGAACATTATTTGTGGTATTGGACAAGAAATTCTGTTGTATGGCATAACAAGCTTTCTTTTGGATTTCGACCGATAGTTTGTAGTGAAGCAGTAAAAATTCAGCCGTTATGAGCGAGTTAGATATCTAAAACGAATAACTGGTTAACTATTCCCATACCTGACATGGACTGGTACCTAACAGATGAAAGAGGGATTTGTCATAGGGTTGCTGTTTCATCAACTTTCCTCTCCCCGGATAAATATGTAATAGTGCAATAGGGTTAGACGTTGTATTTCAAAAATTTGTCCCGAGAATGGATTGCTTGCTTCACGGAAGTGGCGTTTGCATTTCGGTTTTTGGAAAAAAGTATTTCCGGTTCCATTACATTTGAATCCACGAAAATTTCACCTGAATATTATTGCACCTACGGAAACGGACTTTACGGATATTTGAACCCGTGTATTTTAGCACTCTCATATAGATTGAACCCACGGATATACGGGTTCAAATGTACGGTCACCAGTATTTCCATATTGGTGAACTCATTTTAGCGTAAATGTTCCCAGAATTTTAGCCTTAGCTGGTGATTGGCAGAGGATGTATTAGACGGCAAGTGGATACGAGTTTAGTTACAAATACCATAGTGAACTATATAATACATATATAGTTTAATTTTCGTATGATTTACCGTGTACCCATAGGTTTTGCCACCTTGTGGGTTTTGTCATCACAATCAGCTGATCGCCGGTGTCTGTTACGCATCAGTCATCACCGTCTAAACATAGATCTGTTTAATTTTGTTTAACTTAGCTGACGAGATATTCTGGAATTGCGCTTATTTGAAATTTGCGTCTTAGGACCAGCTTCATTGGTTGTTACTATAGTCTAACGTTATATTCCTTTAGTAATAAACACCGATGATGTCAGCCAGATATTTGCTTAGCACTGGGCAAAAATGGAGACAGGTGTTGAAATCTTTCAACCCAAATCACAATGCAAGATGCATTGCTTCTTCATCGAAATGTTGCAATTCTTATGCACAGGGAGTTCACACAAGAGAGCTTGGCGGAAAACAGTTATTGCTTGATCCACATACAAACAAGGTAAGGCCAAGGGGTTTTCAATATTTTGTCTCTAGTAAGAATACATTTTCATGAAAATTTGTACAGTCTGATACCGGTATCGTTGCAAACACTCAGCAGATTTTTCTTGTACTTTCTGAGCTAGGATACCATATCTGTCGATTCATATTATCATGAAATGTTGTGTGATGGATGACGCATCATGCTTAGCCTGTAAGTGTCACAACATTAGGAATAAATACGTTTGATATCGCACCTTTAATTGCTCTGGGTGGGTTCGCAGGTTCGAATCCTGTGAGCGATATGTGTGAGAGGATTGCTGGACTCCTCATTCTGTCATTGTCATAAGGTCGTTCAAGCAAACGATGTTCGGTTAAGGCTTCCTCTACCCTTAAGTCAGCAAGTCCGTACATCTGAAACATAAAGCATAGAACAAAATTTATCCAGATATTTCAGTATTTATTTATCTAAATTTGCATTGTGCTGATTTGAAGTGTAAACATATAGCTTTCAGGCTTTAGTTCTTCCACTTGGCCAACGATCAATAATAAAACCCATTAATACAAATGTTTTGGTACTTCAGGGTCTTGGATTTACTTTAGAAGAGAGACAAATACTTGGAATGCATGGACTGTTGCCTCCTATTGTGTTAGATCAAGATAGGCAATTATCTAGGATAAAGAAAGCTTACAGTCAAATACAAACTGATCTTGAAAGGTAACTTGCAAACTTATATAGTCTATATTGTTTTTCTTTCTTTTCGTTGCAACTATTTTATGACTCGTCCTGCAGGATAAACTGAAACTTTGAACTCCTAAAAGAGCCTAAGCAGACAGAATCTAAAACCCCAGATATTTAAACCTTCCGCTGTCTAATCGCATGTTTCCCTGGTATTCAGCAGTTATTTTTCTAAGAATATTTATTTCATTCTTAAGAAGGTCTACGTATTCCTATAACTGTTAATCACTGAAGGAGTTGTCCTAATTTGAAGTCAGAAATATGCTTTCAATTTTTATTACATCAGTTTTGGTAAAACTATGGATTCGTAACCCATTTCTTCTGTTAAATATCCACAAGTCCTAAAACAATCAACTCAAACCCCCTGCAACCTGACACTAAATTAAATAGTAATATATCTACTAACAGGTGGAATATTTCAAATAGGTGACCCAAAAAGCGACAAACAACCCATAAATTTATTAATTACTTCTAGGAAAATGAAGAAAATTTATTCAACACTTGACTTTATGTTTGTGTATGATTGTACCCAAAGTTTCAATAATCTAGGACACATTGTTTTATCTGGAATATGTTTCAAATGATCTGGGTTTTGTTTTTGGGGTCACACTGTATTACAAAGCATAATAAGAAAAGCATTTATTGAGCACATTCGTGTGCATGCTTTGTATCTTTGTTGAAAATATTTTTTTGCAAAGTAGAAATGCGTGAAAATTCAACTGCAATCTGCATTCTGCAATGTCTAAATTTGCAGGCTTTGCAAACCCTAATTTAGAACCCCTGGAGACAGTCAAGAAATGACCCATAAATATAGTCCTAATCTATGTTTCTTTATTTCAAGTTTAATCTTTCTAACTTCTTTTTTCATAGATATTCTTTCCTCACTGATTTACAAGAACGAAACGAGAAATTATTTTTCCGAATGTTACAAGATGATATTGAACTTGTGATGCCAATTGTTTATACTCCGACTGTTGGACTAGCATGTATGCAGTATGGAAATATTTTCAGAAGGCCCAGGTTTTATATTTTTATTTCTTATATTTGAATATCATCACAATTGTATAGGAAAACCTAGTTTTACAATAAACGCATTTTGTGCATGCTAAAATATACCTCAAATTATCTATCTTTTCTATTCATTTGTTGGTAATTTGGATTTATTGTATTCCCCTGAACATAATACGCACATGAGTTTTAGCGAGTGGATCATAAGAGAAATATACAATCTCCACTCATGATAGGCATAGTGGGGTTTCCAATTCTCTATTACATTGTGGGTGTTTTTATCGCCAAAACTATTCAGACATTCTGTCTGCTTTTTGTTAACCACCGGTATATCACTGTATCTCGCATATTTGTTGTATATTTTGACTATCATAGTGTTATTCGTCTCATTATAAGGACACAATCTAGTCACGAAAGGGAACAGAGAAATATGGTGATTGTGTAATAATAACCACACTGATTTTTTGCACTCAAGAAATTTCCATTATGCAAATGTACTAAAAAGAAGCTTTTGTGTCTTCGAGTTGATATTGCACTAATGGAAAATAGATCTAGATTTTGGAAAATCAGCTCGGGTAAGGAGTTTAATTGGTACTCCTGAAGTATGCACACCTAGATGTCGCACAACCTGAACCCTAACCTGGTACACAACCTGGGTTCAGGCTGTGCGCCATCTTGGTGTGCATACTTCAGGAGGTATGTTTAATTAATATTCAAAAACTACGTTTTTCACAGGGGAATGTTCATAACGATCCATGACCAAGGTTACATAGCAGATATATTGCAAAATTGGCCAGCGAAAGATGTGCGTGCGGTTGTTGTCACAGATGGACAAAGGATTTTGGGACTTGGTGATTTAGGAAGCTATGGGATGGGAATTCCATGTGGAAAATTGGCTTTATATACAGCTTGTGGTGGAATTCACCCACACCAGTGCCTACCTGTGTGTATTGATGTTGGAACTGACAATGAGGTACGCAGGGAAATTCAGTGAGGATTTAGTCAACTATTTTGTTTTCTTTATCTAAATGACAAGCAAGTGCAGAGACCTTGTGTCATTGACCACATGTTTTAATTTTAAAAACTTTCCGTTGATATTTGGAAAAAGATTTTCATAAAGTATATTAACCCTAATTAGGTACTGTTTTTTAATATGTAATTTAGCATCTTGCATCTTGAGTTGTGAACTTTGACATTAAATTCAGAGAAATTCCTTCACTGACTGGTTTCAAGCTATGCTAATTTAACCTAGTAAAACTTGTGCTTCAATAAATAATATGACATTTTTCCAGAAATTGCTTTCTGATCCATTTTACATTGGTTTAACACATAGAAGAGTAACTGGTATCGAATACGATGAGTTAATTGATGAATTCATGGAGGTATAGTAGAATTAATACCTAAATAAACATATTATTAAAAATGACTGCCACTTTGTTTTGCAAATTGAGACATATGGTGTATCATATCATATGGGGAATATGGGTTGTATCATTATACACTTTTTAAGGAAATTTGATCAGAGCAAAGTCATACGTCTTTTTGGTCAAGCAAACCGTTTACCAACAGCCTTATTTAGAGCAAATATTAAGTGCGAACAAATTCTGAATTGTGAAGATTGAAAACTTTTAAAAAATCATCTTGTCAAGTATACATGGTCATTGCAATTTCTGAACAGATTTTCCTGTGGATAAGTCGATTAATGTTGAGAAAAACAATTTGAAATCCTAATATTTGTTTCACTCTAATTTTGTTTATGTTAATCTGTTAGAGAAGTAATATCATTTTATATTTATTTAGGCTGTTTCTGATACTTTTGGAAGGCAAGTTCTCATACAGTTTGAAGATTTCGGAAATCACAATGCTTTTAGATTTTTACGGAAATACAGAAATCAGTTTTGCACTTTTAATGACGATATACAAGGTATGCGTTATTGGTAATTCAACAATGGTCATATCTTAGGATTCAAGAGTTATGCTGCACAGCACACTAAAAGTACGTTTCTGTCGATTTTCATCAGAACAAAGTATTTCTTCAACAAACATTTTGAATTATGTGTTGGATCATTACCCTTAAATATGTTTAGTTAAGTTGATTCTGAAATATGTGAAGGGCATTATTACATAATAAGCCTATGCTGATACCACTATTTTGTTTTGGTATCAGGTACAGCATCTGTAGCAGTGGGAGGCTTATTGACAGCAGAAAAAATTGTAAACAAGAAATTGACTGATATGAAATTTCTATTTGCTGGTGCAGGGGAGGTGAAGTATTCTATTTATAGACAATTTGGTTGGTGGGTTTGCTGTATATGACTTTGATTCAATTTTCATGACTCTCAGTCTCAATATATATCCACCAGAGACCACAACTAGCATTATACAACACTTTCAGATGTAGCCTGTTATATTATATCCTTATATAGGTTTTAACCCTATTCTAACCTGCTATATCATCATCGTTGAATCTAAAGTTTAGGCCATTAGGTCACCATTGTTGATGATGCTTGTGAACGGTCATACCTGATTTGAGATCTTTTTAAAGTGAATCGTGCTTTTCAGACATCTCTGTATTTATATTTGTTAACTGTTTTAGAATCATTATTTATATTTGTTAACTGTTTTAGAATCATTTTAAGTTCCTAAGCAGCTTTGGCCTCTTGATACATGGACATCGAATCATGTAGTTTTGCTTCTATGATTGATACAAATGAGTCAAAATATTGTCATGTGTTAATGTGAATTCAAGCAAAATTAGAGTTATGATTTTTCTGCAGATTTTAACAACCATTGCATTCTTTCTCACAGGCAGCTCTCGGGATTGCAAACTTGTTAACACGGCACATGTGGGAAAGTGGAAAACCTAAAAATGAGACTTACAAAAATATATTTCTTTTCAACAAAGGTATAATTTCTACTCAATTAATGGATCTGGAGCAGCTATTCATATGAAAATTTTTCAGGCAAAATTTGTAATTAGTCCTATATTTTGCATTAAGATAGGATTTCATATTCATCCGGGAAAGAAAAGTTAGTAAGAAAACTATCTTGTGTTGGCAAGAAGTCCAGAAATCCTCTTACCTTGATTATTCTCTACTAGATTTAAACAAGGAAAACACGAAAATGAGCTAATGTTACCACCAATTACCATGCCTAAAATTACCATACCTAAAAATATGTTTGTCTGAAAAAACTGTCTAAGCAACTGATAAAATTTCAATTGTTGCATCACCATTGACATCTTGATTATTAGAGAATGTTATGGAAGTAAAGAAGGACGTTGTTCTCTGGTGAAACATCCATTATCTATTGAAAAGACTAGTGCAGGGATGTGTCATTAGACCACTAATTTTTCTGTTATACATCAGATGGTCTACTTGTGAAAAATCAGCCTCAGCCACTAGAAAGTCCAGAGCAATCGAACTACGCTCACGATCACAATTATATTGAGGATTTTAATGAAGCTGTAAAAACAATAAAGCCAGATGCAATAATAGGTAAACTAACTTAATTTCCATTTAATCGAAATATTAAGCCTGACTAGCGAGTCTCTGAAAAGGCTTCAACCTTTGGGTGTGAGTTTTCTGTGTAACCAATTTGTATCATTCAGATATATCTGTGGACCCAACATCAAACTCATTGTGTAATAAAATTTGGTATGCACTGCTGAACCAGTAAGATGCTGGTATCAAAAACCTCAATGGGTATGAAGTCAGAGCTGGAGCTCAGCTCCTACATAAAAGATAAAGCCGCGGGGCTGAAGCCACAGTTAGGATATACAGTGACTACAGGGCTAGACCCAGAGCCACTGTGATTTTGAACTAGCTTCCTAGCCCTGGCTTGTATAGAGCCTTGTTCAGAGTGGCAGTGTGGAAATGCTCATAAAAAAGTTTTTAACATTATGCTAAATCTTTTGAAGTAAGATGAACATTTCACAATGATAATGGAGTATTTCCGGTAAAAAATATTCCCTAATATTTTAAAATAATTTTACAATTTTAGAAGGTTACATGTAAGGTTTAGTTATTGTGTCATGGAACAATATATTCATATTTTTATGCTATATCAGATCTCTATATTTATATTCAATATCTGTATTTTTGCTAGAGTTATTTATTTAATTAAAATGGTGTGTTGGAAGTTGGAACCCTTTTAAACTTACTTCAATATTTATGTTCAATATTCCAAAGGTGTTGCTGGAGCAGGTCGTCTATTTACCAAAGATGTTTTAGAAAGCATGGCTGAAATCAATGAACGACCGATCATTTTTGCATTAAGTAATCCAACTGATAGAGCTGAATGTACTGCAGAGGAAGCATACACACATACTAAGGTACTGCTCGAATCAAAATAGATTTACGGCTATTTTAGTGGACTGTTTTGTAAATTTTCAGAACACAGCTTTCACCCTTTCAGTGTCAGTGCACTGACCTCCAGTTACCGGTATGTGGAATTCAGTACCTCATAGCTGTTTGTCTAATCATATTGCCATGATCTTCTTCAAGTTTCAATTAATTGGCGTTTACCAACTTGCAATTCTGTACTATGAGGATTTATAGTCTCAGTAGCTCTTGACACTTAGTAGTCTTGTTACTTTGCTCAGAGATCAATCTTCTGTATTTGTAAGTGAGTGAGTGTGTTTAACCTTGTGTTAAGCAAATTGTCTTTTTAAAAAAAATTGTATGTAGTTTTAGAAAATTAGACATATGATATAATAAGATATAATAATAGGACCTGGAGATAGTTTGTGGCAGTTCAGGCACAAGATCCATCTGCAATGTTGAGTTGGCTCCAGCTGACAGCTCCAACGAAACTTTTTGGCTTTCTATTCTGAAATAGTAGAGCCAATCGCAGAAATATTTGTTGTAGCTAGATTGTTAGCCTGCACAGGCAAAGATTAGTCTCATTTGCAAAGTTTTTGTAGTTTTTACCAAAATTACAAGAAAATGAAAAAAGATAAGCCCACTTCCTGATGCCTAAAAACCTTTATATTGTATTAACCATTTTTCTGAATTCAGGTTTTCACAGCTTTCAATGAACTATTATAGGGAAGATATTCTTTTCTTTAGTACTCTTTTATGTTGATAAAAGGGAATTCGAGATTTCCTCTGATTTCAGCTTTTATTCTGGATTTTGCTGCCTTGCTATAAGTTTTGGAATTATGTTTCATGCGGCACGGATTTATTTGAAATATCCCAGTACTAGATTCTGTCAAATGTTATACATGTTTGATGTGAACTAGAAAAATATAGCTATCCATAAATAGCTATTATCACCGCTTCGATCCACAGTGTGTGTTCTTACCTAAAAAGGTATTGCTTCTATTAATATTATTCAATACTTTCATCCACTCAGGGACAATGCATATTTGCAAGTGGAAGTCCATTTGACCAAGTCACACTTGAAGATGGAAGGACCTTCACATCAGGACAGGGAAATAATGTCTACATTTTTCCAGGTGTCTAATGAAAATCTAATATTGACAGGGTTTCTGAATTGTCCTTATTTTTTCATCATTAAGACAAGTAATACATAAATGTAAATGTTTTGAAGGTGAATTTGATGGTGCACAGATGTTGTAAATGTAGTTCCCTCTTGAACCTATGCTTTTATACTGTTTTTCGACAAATTGATTGCCTGAAAAACTTTCTTTCTCGTTTAATTTAATTAAATATATAGCTTGAACTGTCAAAATCATTCTTAAAGATGAAAAGTAATTCTGGACTTAAATTGCAATAAAATGTAACGATTTTGAATATTGAGAAATGATTCTGGCGTATTGGCAACTCGTTTTTTATAGTCATGCTTGTTTTTGGTTTTGGGATAAAGGTATACTTCTTTATTCTAGCTTGCTATGAGTACTTATTGTAATTTATTATTCCAGGTGTTGCTCTTGGTGTAATATCATGTGGAGTGAGGCATATACCTGATCAGATTTTCTTGATTGCAGCAAAGGTAGGAATAGCTGAATATTTTTCCAAGCTGTGTAGGAATTGATAGTCTTATCAATTTTTTTTTTATTCCTTTTTCTTGTTTTCCTTCTGTTTACTAAGTAACTTATACTAAGTTCTCACATTTTTTAATTTTATTCCATCGCTTTGACGGTCTGTGTGTGTGATTCATATTTATATTTTTGGTGTATTAATGCATGTGCACCACTTCTTTTGACAATGCCTTTTATTTTAAATTATGTATGGTTTTCAATCTTAAGGTTTTGTTTACTATCCTGATTCTGTAGTCAGTTTATATTTGTATAATTTTATCAATTATTTTATCGTCTAGTATGCATAACATTGTTATCATCTCCTAGTGATATACTTGGTGGCTGAAAATTTCAGAAATTATGGTTACTTTGGATCTTGTCAGTTATCTTGCCAGACAAGACTCAACCTTAACATTTCGATAAAAACCCAAAAAATGTTACTCAATGCAATAAGAAGATTTCTAATTTATTCTTGCAGACATTAGCGAATGAAATGACACCTGAAGAGGTATCGCAAGGTCGAGTTTACCCCAATCTGAAGAGAATTCAAGATGTCTCCATCAATATTGCAGTTAAGGTAGGTTTACTGAATGAACTCTTAAAATAATATAAGAATAAAGTGCCATCCAGCCCCGTGTATTGTACTGCAGATTAAGGTTTGAGTCTTATGTTTTCAACCTTAAATGAGACATAGAAACGTGGGACTTGTCTGTGACCAAGAATTATTTAGGGTTCTTGATTAGGAATCAATTTCACCTGCTGACAGTTGAAATGTGAAAGCTAGAGCTTCGCATAACTACATGATTTACATAAGCATAAATAAAGTTGACAGTAAAATTCTAGAAAAGACTGAAAACAAATTGACAATAAATGTGTGCTTTGTTGCATTGAATCCAGAACAATCGATATTAGAATCTACATCCATACTTCCGCATTCTTATTTTTTTTAAAGACTTTTTACTTAGTGAGCCATTAAATAGGTATTCATAAAAGTGAAAATATTCTCGAAATTTCAATCTTGAATGAAATATGCGTATTGGTAAATGGAAAAATAAATGTTGAGACTAACAGCCCCAGATCTCGGGGAATCTGAAAGCAGCGAAATTGTTTAATAAACGATTCTAAGTTTCAACTCAATTAACTTGATATTTTGGCAGATTGCCGAGTATGTATATGCCCACGGTATGGCAGGTCATCAACCAGAACCAGTGGATAAATATGATTTCATCAGATCACAAATGTACAGTACAGATTATGAATCTCTTCTACCTTCGAGATATGATTGGCCCGAAGATGTTATGAAACCACAAGGAAAAGGTTGCAAAGGAGGATTAAAGAAAGAATAAAATATTTCTGTGAAAAATTCAACATTTTTGTACAAACATTTTTTTCTTGTCTTCCTTGTGAAACGCTACATTTCACACTTTCATTCACAAATACTTTTGAGATACACTATTCAAGACTTAAGATGAATTTTCTCATAAAATACCTATTGACTGACTTGTTAACGCTTTTTTAAGAATTCAATTTTGTTAAGTATGATTTGAGTCAATTCCAACTTTAAGTTGATGAAGTCAAATCACCAGGTCAAAGGTCACGTAAACGCCATTATATGGAGTCATTCCCAAGAGATCTGCCCTATTATAACACAATTTGGTAACAAAAAAAAGTTTATTGTCTGATATGCGTATTAATATATTTAGCCTCGATTCATACTTAATGATAATTGTATTAGAGCTCATGTTTGCAAGACAAATAGTGATTTCTTATATATGAGCAGTGGATTGTTTCGACAAACAGATTCCCATTGAAGCAACATTTTTGTTGCAAATAACCAGTATGCTAACGGGGTTTTAAGAGTTTATTAATGTCATTCACGCTTTATACCTTGTGTAAATTGCCTTTCATAGTCATTTTCACATTTTTCGTTCTGTAGTCTTTCCATGCAATCATTTTCTTACAAATTGCAGTTTCTTCATTTTTGCTTTTTTTGAACACTGTTTTCATGTGTTAAAGTTCCCTTTATTGAGTATATGACTTTATGAAGTCAACAATATATAGTCAAACTATAAAAATAAAACTGTGATATATCAACAGACATAATTATATTACTATATTGTATTGCATACATGTGTCGTAATAAGATAAAGGTGTTGGGAATGGGAACAGGGCCGGGATTTTCGGAGAGAAAAAATTAAAGGGATGACTCCCAACGACTTCTTACATCTTTAGATACAGAAAATATGAAGTCGTTTGGTCCGGTAATATATGGAAAAGGCGAAAACCAACAACAATTTGGCAAACTCTCTAGGATATGATATCCTATCCTAACTCTCTACTCAATAAACAGTTCTGGCTTTTCTGCTCTCCGGGAAATGTGATTTATTAGTTTATTTAACACTCTTTATTTATAACGTGAATTTTTATTTTGGTGATAAATTATCTACCGATTACGGTACATTTCCTGTCGGATTAACTATGTGCCATTAAGCCAGGGGTCACCAAACTACGGCCCGCGGGCCGGATCCGGCCCGCGACGTCATTTTATCCGGTCCGCAATAACACACAAAAATGGCTAAATTTTTTTCCAAGGGAGATTTTCACGAGCATCGTCGTCTTTGTTTATTTCGTAACATTGGCCAATCGGCAAGATGCAAAAAAGTGACGTAATAATTGGCCTTTCCGCGTCCGCTCAGACACTATTGTCACCCCGACAGATTTTCAGTTGTGGTTGTAAACAAAACTTCGTTTTTGCGACTTTGAATGCTACCATAACGTAACGTTTTCTGCGATACACTTGTACACTCGTGGCGCGTGCTTTCGACGAAACTAAACTGCTCCAGTGGAAAGATCTGAGTAAAAATAGAAAACAATACCAAGTTAACAATAAACGGTCAAGAAATAACGGAGATATCGGAATTTTAGACTCGCCCGACTGGCCAATTTTTTCCATAATGATTGTATTACTTTTTTGATAAGAACTGAACTAAATATGGAAAAATAACACATATCAAAATCACTAATCTTTCGTTGTGCGTCACATCTATGGTATATTGAGACTATTTCAGATTTTTATTCTGGCAACGGTCATTGACACCGCCGAAAGATCGTCGCAAATAAACGCTGGAGTTGTGCATGATAGTTTGACAGTGGTTCATTGTGGGTAATAATTAACGATGTTCTGATTGTACGAACTTCATAAAAATTGTATCAAGTTAAGAAAGAAATACACACGTCCACATACATTTTATTGGTGTCCATAGACAATATCATTATTTTGCACTACGTATAACTGGAGCGTAATTTTTAAAAGCGTCGAATGTTGGGAAATTTATGCGCAAATGAATAAAAATACAAATACCAGATAATAGTTGTTTATTTTATCTAAATTATGTCAAAATTTCATAGAAATCCAAGCTACAGCAGGTAGTCGTTTTTATGAGAGGTATTTCAACAAGGCGTAACGGTACTTAGCAGACCGTAGTAGTATATATTTACGAGCAGACGTGATGCGTACATTTTTTGCCGCGGATTTTGTAACATTTCTAATTCATGACAGCAACGTTTTGATAACAGCTAAACTCAGGATAGTTGTCTAGATATAGAAATCTTGTTAATTTTTTTCCTATGATGTTCTCGATCGATATTCTGCGATATTCCCAACATTTGTGAATTTATTGTCTTGCATTGACAAAAATATTCATCCGGCCCGTTTCAACACAATTTGAGTTATACCCGGCCCGCGGTCAAAAAAGTTTGGTGACCCCTGCATTAAGCGAACTCTAGTATTCGCTTATGCCCAATTCTCGCTCGTTTCGAACTTTGTTTGGGATTGCCGTATGGTGTGTAATTTTCGAACGCATCATCCATCAGATGTAGATAGTTCGAGGAAAAATTCGAACGCCGCTTGATCGATGTCATGAATTCCTATTATTTTCGGTAAATTGTTCTAGTTTTGACATGACATAGAATGGGGCAGATGGTTGGTTACAATTCGGACTTTTTTCCACGACTTTCTGGCAACTATATTTGCTGTGGCTTTTTGCACTATTCAACTACCGGGGTTAGGATTTTCATATATAGCTGCTCTCACGAGTATCATTTCTGTGAATTGTTTCACAAGGGCAGACTTTGAATGGAATTTCGCGTTTATCCTGAAAGAGATAGCGATATGTAATCTTAGTCAGCATCGGTTTTCATTGTGCTTGCCTGGTCCGATGCACATTCAGTTAGCAATCCATTTCAATGCGTGAGTTGAGCAGCTGGACCTCTGTCTTTACAGTACATACTCTGTTCTTCCACTTCATCAGTCTCATCCTTTTATTCCACTTTTGCTTGTAATTACTTTATCGTATATATATATATATATACCACTTGTCTTATGGGTAGGCTTACCATAAATCTGAAACAAAAAACCGGGACGGTGCGATTTGGCAAACATTCGGTCGATTGCCAGTCTTTGTAATATTGAAACGTCTACCATGTCATTAAGGGTATATACGGCTGTAAATCTCTACTGATCATTGAATTAGGAAAAACCTAAAAAAATAGTTTGTACGAGTATTATTTATTTAGACCAAAAGTATTGTCCGCAGATGGAACCCTTCTCAAAAATTCATGTTCTGATTTTTTCATAAAACTGATAACAAGAGACATCACCATTAAATTTGCAGGTCACGAGTGCTTTTATATATTCTTCTGGCATTCTGAACCTGCTTTCGGATCAAAAAATTTTAACAATGGAGAAAATCCGTTCAACAGATGCCGATGTTTCGGCAAACAAAATCTACGAGTTTCTGCAAATTCGAAATGCTAATATTTCTGTTAGAAAAAACGTTAAACATCTCTGTCCACTTAATTTCAACCGGCAAAGTAAGCCAAATTGCATTTGAACCATGCTCATTTAAATAAATATCTCTTCATTTTTTTTTGTCGAAAAGTGCATCGCTATTCAAAATCTGACTAGCCAACCAAACATATATATCATTTATCAATTTTGAAGACCAATCACTTCAGTCCAGTTTATTTCACCCTTCAAATTTCTCCATATGTTTGGCCTGACAGCATTGTAGGCTTCATCATGCAGCTACGACAGACATTTCTCGTAAAAAACGCAAACATTATAGAGTTACGTCGTTTTCGCCAGAGCGTCCCAAGGATTCCAGAAGTACAAGTGATTGCGACGGAATTAACAGACTTTACCCTTTTTCCTTCAAATTTAGCTTCACCTCTGACATCTACGGCAGGGATCGGCAACCTTTTGTCGATCGCGGGCCAAAATTAAGGGTTGCGAGTCATTGGCGGGCCGCACATATTTTTAGAAAGCTGAAACCGAACGGATGATACTTTTTATAATAAAAATCAAGCAGTAATACATCTCTCGAATAGAATATAGAATATATTTGTCTAATTATAATTAAATTATAGGCACATTAAACGAGTAATTGTGAATTATATACTTGTAAGGTTATACAATAATTTAGTTTAAAAAATATAATCGTCAAAACGGCTGTTTTGTTACTATGATTCAGTAAGCGTCACGAGCCGGCTTATAATACTCTGCGGGCCGGATCCGACCCGGGGGCCGTAGGTTGCCGACCCCTGATCTACGGCATTACTATTATCTTTTTCCAAAATTAGAATAATTTTGCTGAAGTAGGTGAGCTGGCAAAGGACAAATTTCAAGTGAAGCTCGTACGTTGGAACATTTAAGCATAAGAGTAGGACCGTAAATATATACTACTACGGTAGGACATCCTTCTTGAGAATTTGAATAACTTATCAAGCTTTCAAACATTTCCGTAATCCTTTGCAAAGCAGGTAATAAAGGGAGAAACCGAGTGTTGCCATGCTGTAATAGCCGTTGATATTCAATATCAAAAAAATCGCAAAATGGTTTCTGCTCTGTTACTCGGACAGTGTGAATGTAAAAATAATCATACATTCTGACAACAACACAAACAGGCAAAGTATCTACGGCATGTTGGAAAGGGCATCGCAGTGCAGTGTTGAACTACATGAGCCGCACAATCTATACCGGTTATATTTCTTTTAGTTTAAAAAAAAAGCATTATTTGTTTTTCGTCTTTTTACGCCTCCAAAGTTGGTGTTGCAGTTATCCGCACAGAATCCAACAACTTTTCCGAGAACAGAGAGCAAGTATTCAGTAAAAGTTTTGGCGGTTTCCCTGGGTAGAGATTTGAATTCTAATAGTTTTATCTTCACACCAACATCAGGTAAAAAATAACGAACCACAACTGGAACAAGCTTTAAATTTTTTCTGTTTGATGCATCGAAGGTTACTAATACGAAACTGGTTTAAAGTAAATCATCATTAGGTTCAGAGGAGAACAGCAGAGCAATGCAATCAAAAATCACCGACTCTAATTTATTTATGGCTAAACGTGCAAAATCAGCGAATCCGCTTATCAGACAGCGGACATCAGAAATTCTAACTGTGTATATTTACAAGTTACCGCAAATTTAGGCTAAAGAAAAAAAGAAAAATTAATTTAGAGGTGCAGTCAAAACTTTGGCCATGAATAGCAGTGTGATAGTAAAACATATACCGATTGTGACATAACAATAGAGCAATTTCTCTCTCTCTGAACTAGCGAAGTGTGTCGCAAAACAGTGGTGAATGGGCTGCCATCGTTAAAAAAAAATTGTAATAATAATGAATATGAATTTTTTACCCACGACAGTCGTGCTGACAAACCGGGACATTTGAGTCAACCGGCCGGGACGCCGGGACAGCTCGTCAAAACCGGGACTGTCCCGGCTAAACCGGGACGTATGGTAAGCCTGCTTATGGGTATATGTTTCAAAAGTATTGCTACGGCTCACTCTTTGTTTTCGGAATTTTGATGATTCAGGCAAGGGGTCGTTGAAATTATTGAAATAAAAATGATCGACATTAAACATCGCACTTGATTGGGTGATATATCCAGTGAAAATATTCAAAATTCTATAAACCGTTCGAACTCATTAGCAACCGGTTCCCTCATTCCAGATTATGTTATTTTGTCACTACATGATATACATACATTAGCTGCGATTAGCATAACACGTTTTACATAAATATAATACAAAACTTTCGAAATGCCAAATATAATGCTAGTCGTCAGTCAGCCGTGGTGCATGTTACTCATTTTTGAGGTCGACTGATGCCGAGAACAAGAACGGTTTCGCTGATTATATCAACATGCAATGAATCGGTTCGCGCAATCCTCACTCGGGTATGAAAATACGGGGTTGGGAGCTGCAACTCACGAACTCTTAGCGTTAAGCATAAGCACAACTTTTCAATGTCGTCGTCAAATAATCAAGATGCGCCCTTTTTTATGAATTCTATCAGATAATGATACGATCACCCCCACAGCACATGAGTATTGAACCTCGCAAGCAAACGTTTCTTTCCTATGCAATAAGAGTCATATATGTACATTATATATATATATTAAAAGATAGTTACATAAACAAATATATGTTCGAGCATAGTTCAAAACGATCAATGTCGCATAAAATTTTATATATCTGCCTACCAGCAAATAGTCTGATTTATCAAGTACAGTGGCGTAGCATCCACCCCCGCAGTCGCGGGAGGGCCCTCGGCGCAAATGGGCCGAAGCGGTTAGAATTTAGAAATTTAAGCCGCAAACCAAAAGCTGCAGTGCAAAACAAGTAATGCACATCTTATAACGCTGATGTTAGTTCTGCGCAAATCGTTTTGTTACGTAACAATGCCAAGAAGTCGTCGATTTTCGGCGTCTTGTGGTTTGATCGCACCGGCAAAATTACGAAGGCTGTCAGAATGATGTCGAAAGTAAAACCTCTCAGTGGCGCACAGAAACGCAGAAAAGGGGCAGAAAAAGAAGAAAGTATGAAAAAAATTAAAGTAACCAAAATAAACGGCAAATTTTAGGTTACCATTGCCCTTTTATAGCGATATGTTATGCTTTTTGACGAAATAAAAAAAAAGCGTTGTTTTAGCTTATGTCCGAGAGTTTTTAGGGTCATTTCCACGAAATATTTTTGCGGGGGGCCCACGAGAGTCTTGCTACGCCACTGAATAAGTACCATAGCTTTAGTGACGTATCTCCCGTGGTAAAGTTTAAAAATGCGCCACTGGCAATAACAGTTGTTGAATTAAGAAACTTGTAAGTTATCATTTCAGTAAAAATACGAGTTGCTATTATTTCAATTTGAAATTATTTATTGGAACATTTCAGTATTAAAACTCATCTTCGTTTTTGTACCCCAATCCTAACGGTGCCCATGGCACGAGTCATGTCTGCCATACCCTAGATAAGCCTACGCCTCTGCATAGCTTATATCAGGGGCTCCAACACGCGTCCCGCGGGCCGCATGCGGCTCGCCAGGCATTTTTTTTGCGGCCCGCGTCATGGTTGGGATTTTTCCACAAAAAACTAAAATAGTATGATGTCAACTATCAGTAAGTTTTATCGTGTCATTTAACATCAAGAGTCCGGTCCGACAAATTGTAAAAAGTGAGACAAAAATTCCCTCCTGTTATTCCACTTAACCACGTTCATGTTTTATTCTATTGTTATAATTCAAATATAAATACAATAATTTCATTTCGCATGTTCATTGTGACGAAATAAACGAGTTTCGGTCAGTCCATTGTGCCCGAAGAAAAGTTTACGAAGCTAATTGCACATTCATGTTGCATACCTGCGATGGCAGTTCTTATATTTGCGAGCAGTTTTTTCAACTATTAAAGTTAGCAAGTCAGCCCTCCGCACACGACTAACGGATGAGCATTTGCATGCTGTCTTAAGACTAGCGAACCGACGCAAAATAAGGCCAAACATCGAAACCAAATATCCAGCACGAGTAAATGAATATGTTTTATGTCTCGTTTGCTGTAAGATCCAAGTGGAATTTCAACACAATACATTCAGATACCCATTTTTGTACCTAATTTCTCGGTTTGCGACCCGCGTGTTCAATAAATTTCAAAAAGTGACCCGCGACATGTTTTGAGTTGAGACCCCTGGCTAATATTATGCAATTCAATAGTCCTATATTTCTGTCAGACAGGCAGTTTACACCTATTTATATTGTTGTTAAATTCGATTTCCTAAAACGGAGACGCAATTATTGTTGGGTGAGTCTTGAAATATTTTACTGACAAAATGCTTCTGATGTCAGTTTCTGCTCTTTGTCAATTTGTTATGAAATCCTCTGCAAAGTATCAGCAAGAGATTTTTCCGACAGCTCGACATCGTCAGTTTTTTCCTTCTCTGTGTCGTAATCGAGCGCCATTTTCTTCGCGTCAATTGCTTTCAGGTAGTGAGTCTGAGCTTCCACGAACTTTCCCATGTTATTATTGCCGATCCCAATGTTATGTAGAAGCATGCCATACACTCTGTATTTGGTAGCATTGGATCCAAAATGACGCTCAAACTCTTCAGCGCCCCCTTTTCGCACACGGACGCTTTTTCCATTGTCTTTCGCAAGTCCGTAGTTAAATCCGATTTTATTGACACAAAAAGCAATTAGCAACGCTTTTTTCTCGGAATATACGTTTTGCAGCGAACGTAAAGATTCTAGCATTTCATTCATATACTCGATTCCATAGTCTATAGCTATGGCTAAAAGGCGATCTCCCGCCGCAATCATCCCGCCAACGATATTGTGAGTTTTATTGATGCACTTGTTAACCCCATCCAGCGCGTCATTACCTGACTGTGAGTTTGTAATGAACATTGTTCCTGCTATGCGCAAGAGTACTAGCGCCCGAATAAAGCAGGATATTTCCGTTAATTCGTCAGCTAAACATAAGACATCACTAACATCAGGACATGGTGGAGTTAATAAAATATTTCTGACGTCTTCTATGGCTTTATTCGCCTTGTTTTCTCTTCCTAGTTGCAGGTAACATTCCACAAATAATAAGCTGGTATCAAGGCCTGCTGTTATCTTCATTGAGGCAATCTCTTCCAATGGTTTTGCGGCTTCAGCAAATTTGAATTGACTGAGGAGCGTGTAAGCTTGTGCTGTTCAATTCGAAGAAGAATATTTTAGATTTTTCCTAAAATGAATAGGAATCCTAATGCACAGTAAGACGTTTTGTGTGATGCTGGAAGTGATTTTATTTGACAAAAATCATAGAAATTACCTCGTAAGAGAGCCAATCTTTTAACTTTAATATCATTTGTGTCATTCAGATTTAATTGACTCGACACATTGCACGCACTTCCGTCTTTAGAATTTACAGGCGCTAAAAGGTGACAATGGAAATAGTTTACATTAATTTTTATTTATACATGGTGCTTATCTATATTAACCGCCTTCACAGCAAAATATGTATTCAACAAAAATCATGGCCAAAATATAAATTCTCTGAAAAATATTTGACTCTTCCGGAGGATAATGAACCAGAAGATCATATTTTGCGCTACATTAAATAGTTTATTTGCATTTGGGATAAAAATTTTGTATTGCTATAGTAAAATCACGGTTTGAATTATTCAAGTATTAGATATATATATTGTCTTTTATGTTTGTGACTTTTGCATCCTACCTACACCGCAATGATAAATATTGATAATATACGCTATAGTTCGATATATACACTATAAATTGGAACTCGATGTATATTTTACATTCCTTATGATTTCTTATTATTGCTAGCATCGAAACACCCTATCTATTTATAGTAAATAAGTCTTGGACGCCCAGTCGCTAATAAACACTAAAAATAAGTATTCAACTTGCTCGCCCAACAGTGGCATGAAGCCCAACTCAATTCTTATACTCACCGGGTGTCCCAGGATTCAATGATTTATTTCTGAAATAGGCAATATATTCAGTGAATCTACATTAAACCTAATCAGTCGGTGACCGTACATTTGAACCCATGTACATTTGAACCCATGCGTATATCCACGGGTTCAATCTACATGCGGGTGCTAAAACCCATGGGTTAGGGTTAGTATGGGTTTAACTATCCGTGAAACAAAAAAAATTCCATAGGTGCAATAGCATACAGGTGCAATTGTCATGGGTTCAAATGTACGTGGGTTCAAATGTAATGGAACCTAATCAGTCAGGCCAATTGATTATCATCGCCTTTTTCATAACGACATATGAAAAAACAGTAGATTATATCCTTTTCACAACTAACTAATAATGTAATGTACACGGGTAATTCCGTTAAGTATTTTCTATTTTAACAGTTACTGAAATATAACTAATTTGGGACTGATGTTATACATGCGTCGCAATGCAAATAGCTGGTAAAATAATGTCTACGAATTACAGAGCAGCCCAATAACCATGCCTCTTCCGAAAATGCCATTCAAATGGAGATTGGGAATAAATATCGGCCTTCCCAAGCTAAATAGCGAGCAAAAAAAAAACTGAAACTTACTGGAAATTCATTCCAAACAGCTGATCGTTGATTTTTGCAATTTGATGCTGTTTTTCTTCGCCTGCCATGGTTATATTATCCGATAAGATGGTGACTGTCGACAAAACAGTCTTATCCAACTGCCGTACCTGTTTTACCGTGTGGATTGTTCACCAAGTTAAACCTAATTCTCCGAAGTCACCGAGGCGCAACGCAGCGGTGTATAAATATTGCTCAATGTTTTGTGACATTGTAAACATGAAACGTTCCAGTCGGTACATAACTTCTAACCTGTAGGAACACGCTGTCGCAAAACTGTATTTCAGATGGGTACCGGTATCTATACTTGCAATAAAGGATGTTACATTTGTTGACAATATTCCCATATTACGATTATTGCAGAACATATTGTTTGTTGTTACTTACGGATAATCGACAAATGCTCAACTAGAAATACAAAAAATTGTTTGAAATCAGAATATATCTCGAGTCTTCTATTTGATTCCATCTACTTTTTTGATACAGTTTACTTTTATTTCGTAGTCTCGGAGGTTGGCGCATCGTGATAGGCGTTACGACCACCAGGCGTTACCATGCGTGGGTTCTCCGGTTTTAGTTAATTGTGTGCGAGAGGATTGCTGGACTCCTTCCCCACCGTCGTAAGGTTGGTTTACGTAACCGCTGACGGCTTCCTTCGCCACTAAGTACATGTATCTGAAACAAGTAACTGGTTAACTATTCCAATACCCGACATGAATTGGAAATCGGACGGGAGGTCGTAGTAATCCATATGATTGAGGCGCCTCGCCGACTTTCTCATCCGACGTGATAAACCTCCTTCCCCACCGTCGTAAGGTTGGTTTACGTAACCGCTGACGGCTTCCTTCGCCACTAAGTACATGTATCTGAAACAAGTAACTGGTTAACTATTCCAATACCCGACATGAATTGGAAATCGGACGGGAGGTCGTAGTAATCCATATGATTGGGGCGCCTCGCCGACTTTCTCATCCGACGTGATAAACATGAAAATCCTTTTATTAAAATCTAATATCATACAGCGCATGCCGCATTAAACCACTTTGTCTATCTATAGTAATATAGAATCCTCGATAGCATCGTCGGTCACGACCGATATCTGATGACTTAGTTCAAAATTCGAGTACAAATAAACGAAGCGACCAACATGTATGCATGGCGAAGCAACACAATTCTCAAGCTTGAAACAAAATGTGAGGTCTGGTAAAAATTATTTTGATCTAAAATTAAGCAACCGGCAAACAATTTTTTTTGATTGAATCCGATTTTAAATTTTATTTATTTTCTTAATCGTTCCATTTTAATTATTTAAAATCTCGGGTTATTCAGTTTATCTGAATGTAACGATTTCGTTTGATTGACAGAATTCGTTGACTTTATAGTATGCACTTGCACAGTTTGTTCAGCAACATTCCACTGGCAAAGTTACATAGATATTGTTATCAAGTGTTAGAATAGGGGAATCTGAACCGTAAAATCAGTATTTTAGAACATCAATAAACAACTGAAAGAGAAGAGTAAACATTACAAGCCGGAATATCAACTTCGCGAGATCGCCACGCGTCAATTTGAAGTGCGCTATGTGAGACAGACGGCGCTTACTCGATTCTAAAATCATATTTGAGTAAGTTTGGCACACCACTTTGTTTACTCAGTGAGATGGGTTAGATCGAGTACTTGAACTTGATCACTTTTCCTATTCACATTAGACACTTATTATACTTAAAATTGCATGTGATGATCCACTTGAAAATATTTACATCACTTGACAGTCAATACGTGGTTTTCTGAAATTCTATATAGCAAGTTTGCGTGAGCTTGAGATCCCATACAGCTTTCATTGACAATATAAATCTATTTTCTCTCCAGCAGGATCGAAGCTAAAATTGTAACGTCAACATGCGTTGTTTGATCCTCCTTGCTATTTTGAGTACGGCCACGGCCTTGCCACTGAATTTTGGAACTTTCTGTAAGTTTGCTTTATATTTATTGTAATATAGATTATTGTTTAACGCCAAAATACTTATTTCTTTCAATCTAGTGGGATGTGGCGACACAGGTACCTCGATATCCGCATCAGCTGTCGCAAAAACTTCGTTTGGTCCATGCGCTGATTTGCAGAAGCCTGATATTGTCATTGACGATCCATGTGTTGAAGTGAAGAAACCGTACGTGGAGGTTCAATCTCCATGCACCTTTAGACGACCTTGTTTCAGACGAAGCTCTTCGTGCCGATGTGTTTCCTCGCCGTGCATTACCAGAACAATCACACGTACACCGTGCGTAAGAAGAACCACATCGCCGTGCGTGAGAAGAACCATAACACCACCGTGCGTGAGAAGAACCCTATCGCCATGCAGGACGATCATGCCACAACAGTGTAGAACTATTACAAGAACGCCATGTGGTTAGTAAACGTTTTCAATATATATTTTAGTATTCATACTCATTCCTAATTTACTAAACAAATCTCTTTTTATTATATTTTCAGTGAGACGCTCCTTCAGGTAAGCCAATAAAGTAACAACAAAACAATTTTAGTTTCATTCTAGCTATGTTTATATTTTTGATTTCTTACAATATTAATTGCGGAATGAATGTTCAGAACAGGCGAAGTAAAAAAAAAATATTAAAATTTATACTCAGTTATCCCTGCATCCAAAGAAGACCATGTGCCACGAGAAGAGTCATTAACCCATGCGTCACCATCAAGCAACCGTGCGTACCAAAGATAGTTGAAGATCCATGCATCACCGTCGAGCAACCATGCGTACCAACAAAAATTGAAGCGCCATGCTTACCAGTTAGAACCATCGATCCGTGCGGTATAGTATATTTTTATTTGATTAAAAGATAAGGTTAAATTTGTTATGAATGCATGGTTTGACGTTGATTTATGATGTCTTCAACAATATGGTGTAACTTTGCACAGTTCATGTATACATTATTTCAACTTGGGCAGGAATTATCTAATCTATCTTTTATTATTTCTATCTTTTTATTTGTGATAAAATAAAATAATTACACAAAAATATTTTTGTTCAATAGTTGGTTTCAGTGCGACCGCTTGTGCAAGTGCTTCGGCCTCAACATCAAGCACCTTTGGAACTGACTGCATCGGAGGAGTAAGCGCTTCTGCAAGCGCTTCTACTTCAAATGATGTTATAGTTTGAGGTAGAATAAATTTTTTTAGAAAAAACTTGAATATCAAATTGTCATACAACAACCGCACCTAACTGTTACCGCACCAACTGTTACACTAAAACTATAAAAAGATTTCACATTATCACATTAATGATGTAATCATACGAGATCCGATAAAATAAAAAGACAATGAAGGTTACAAAACTCCATTTCTCGATTCCAATAATGTTTATCAATAATTTACCAAGGCAAACTTTACAAAAAAAAATCATCATTCTTCTAGGCTTGAATTCCACAACTTGGTTCGCAGGGTATTTCATTGTCAAAAAAAAAAAAAACAGTATGCCAAGCACCACTATGTCTGTACTAACCACAATGTATATATGTTTATATAACACTCAATATGAACAAACTTACCAAAAAAACACGCAAAAAGAACGACTTTTGACAGTCAAGGTCGTCCGGGCATTAAGAATTATAAAGTTCAGAAGACTTATATAGTAATATAGTCATATCAACACGTTATATTCCGGGGCCAAATTTTATGAATTCCAGTAATGGTAAAATCAGACCATTAAAAATACCAAACGACAAATTTGTTTTATTATTTCACGATTTTTTTCAATTTTAGATAGAATTCAATCATAACGGTTTATTGTCTTTCAGGGTTCAATGAAACGCTGTGTCAACCTCGGGATAGATAGATGGTGTAAGTAACTAAATCTTAGTGTTTTTGATGCAAGACCCAGGTAGAATTCGAGTTTTATATTTCACCCCGTGAGTGGAAAAAAAACCAATGAAACTTTTCTGACAATAGATGAGTATAGGAATAGTTGGCCAGATAAAATTTCTTGAAACGTTCAAATATGATGGTGGTCATGATTCTGGAGACGCAAAATATACAAAATCATATTGGTCTTAAGAAAGTTGCCGTTTTATGCACTCATTAATTAAAAATCTTTTGTTAATTTTTGATTTTTTCTGTTTCTAGGTGGTTCTAGGATAGATTCTGTTGAATCCCAGGGAGACAGCTGGAGTTAAACACTCCCTTAATGTTGGAGAAAAGTAGTCAGAAAGGAGAGCGACTTTATTGTTCCTTTTTTCCTTTGAATGTTCTCTTCTCTTTGTGTGCATGCTTGCACACCAATTTGTCTGATTAGTTCTCTTGCGTCTTCGTTTCTCTGCCTGTATTAAAACCTAAATATTTGAAAACAAACTTTTTAAATGTATTTAGGTTTGTGCGTATCTTTTTGTGTTTTGTCTCGTTGAATAAATATCAAAATTGCCTCCAGTTTTGTTGCCAATTTATTGTACACGTTTATACAAATGATCTAGCCAGAGACCTGTAACGGGTAGACAATCTAACTTGAAAATTATAGACATCGATTTTGCGCGACAAAATGGTATTTTTCTGCTTTAGAAAGAAAAACGCAGTGAAGGAGATAATAAGAACTACGAAGCATGTCATCGTTATATAACATGACCCGGTGAGATGTCGAGTTGATTTTGCTGTTGTTGTTGCTTTCTGGCATTAGCCCATTTTTATAGATTTAAACATTATACGTAGCTGATAGTAACATAAAAACCACATTGCAACCAAACAACAAATTTCACGAGAAGGCCATTTTGTATTTATATATCAAATAAATCAAGTTCGATGTCAGCCACCTAAATACTCCTAATTACCTTTATTGTCCTCACAACAAACACATTGGTCCAAGCTTGTTAGGCTGTGTACCTATTCTAGACAACAATACTTGGGGAAATGAAGATGGAAGTTTGTTTTAGTGAGCTTACAAAGACCAGTGCCACGGTTTCGTTACTAAACTCCAAAAACTCGAAACAAAAAAGTTCCTTTGCAGAAATTTACAGTTGGACTCCACAATCAGTATGTCGCATACACATTGGATAGTAAAAGTAAAAATCATCTTTCTAAACTCTAATCCAAGGATCGAGATTCATGTCTTATTCTTTCTTCAAGCTCCTTTATTTCTAGCGTGTTATGTGACTTCTACAACGAAAGTTTAAATTAAGGTCGCTGGTGACACGCAGAGATCCACTTATAGATTACTAGTGTGGAACAGATGTGAGCAGACGACTAAATGCATTGAGAACAAATATCATTTCAGAGAAAACAAGAGAGCTATGCTCAAATTACAAATATATGGACACCTTGACTAAAACGAAATATATTATCATCACTTCACCGAAAGCCATAGGGTACCGGTACAGGTATCCTGTACGAAGCTGAACAGTGAAACAGCGTTAACTACATGGCTATGGTACCGGTAACTGACTTACTAGTACCGATACCCAGTACGACACAGTTTATCTATTTCAAAAAAGCCCCCATATTAAAAGACATTAATTATAACTGTGACTGCAAGCCCCGCATTTGAGAGACTGTTTGGGCTTCCATATCGACAAAGCGCCGAAAGCGGCACTGTTACAGGTACACGGATTCTCCAGTTTCTTTCGCGATTCTGTTTCAACTTTACTTGAAATACCAACTGATTCGACTTACCACCGTATCATAACAGTAAATACCGCAGTCTACAAATATATGGACACCAAGCGAAGCAGCAGTTTACAACATTAAGCGTACCGGTAACCTCCAAATCTTCCGAGATTCTTGAGCGAGAATTTCCAAAATCGGCCGTCACTCTTGGCGGATTAAAAATGGTGTTCCCATAGTTAAAAAGTAATATATCGAAATTTTTGATGAAATATTAAATCTTATATGATTCCCAGAAAACTTGAAGGAAAATATAAGTAATAGCCTTCTGGAAAAAAAATTCCAATTTAAACCACTAAAAATTTTATAAATGGTCAGTAATCGAAGAGAAAAGCTACTTTTTATTAATAACGTGTAAAAGAACAAGCATAAGAACAACAACAACAAGAGAGCTAGGCTCAAATATATGGACACATAGAGCCACATAATTTTGATGACATCATAGCAAAAAATTAAAGTAATAGCCTTCTGAAGACAAATTCTATTTTTAACTACTAAAAATGTCAAAACAATTGGTCCAGTGATCAAAGAGAAGAGCGATTTTTTCACAACGATACAAAGAACAAGAACAACATAACAACAAAACGACCGTAATGTCCACTTACGTGTTCAAAAATACCAAAACGATCGTTATGTCCAATAAAGTGTCCGAAACTTTGCCACAGAAACACCATAGGTAAGTGGAATTTCATTGTGACGGTTTTTATTGTCATGCCTGCAGTCAATGAATTCATTTGGAGCCAAGTCATATCTGGCAAAGGCCATTGTCGCAGTATTTTGGCATTTTACTAAAGTATTCTATACTTAATTATACTATCTTGGTATTCTACCTACACCGCCAATGATAAATAACAATAAGCTACAGTTGGATATACCATAAATTGGAACTGGATGTATGTTTTGCTTTTCTTACGATGTTTTTGGACAAGTCAGTGTACATAACGATCGTTCCAATATTATGTTGTTGTTCTTGTTGATATCATTCTTCTTTGTCACCATAAAATCGGGTTTCTCTTCGAATACTGGACCAATTGCTTTGAAATTTTCAGGGGTTAAAGATTGATTTTTTCGCCAGAAGGCTATTACTTTCACTCATTTCAAAAATTTCTGTGGACTTCAAGAGATTCGTTTTTTATGTGTCAGAATAAAAAATAGCGACAACTTGTGACGTGTCCATAAATTTGAGCATCTCTGTTGTATTATTGATAGCATCGAAACGCCCTATCTATTTATTGGAAACGTCAGTGTACATAACGATCGTTTCAATAATATGTTGTTGTTGTTGGTATTATTCTTCTTCGTCACCATAAAATCGCTTTTCTCTTCGAATATTGGACCAATTGCTTTGAAATTTTCAGGGGTTAAAGATTGATTTTCCCGCCAGAAGGCTATTACTTTTACTTTTTCAAAAATTTCTGTGGACTTCCGGAGGTTCGTTTTTTGTGTGTCAGAATAAAAAAGAGCGACACCTTTTGACGTGTCCATATATTTGAGCGTAGCTCTCTTGTCGTAAATAAGTCTTGGACGTCCAGTCGCTGATAAGTAATGAAAATATCTATTTAACTCGCTTGCCCAACAGTGGCATGTAACTCAATTCTTTTACTTACCGGGTGTCCCAGGATTCAATGATTTATTTCTGTACTAGGCAAAATATTCAGTGAATCTACATTAAATTTAATCAGATAGGCCAATTGATTATCATGGCCTTTTTTTAACGACATAAGAAAAAGGCAGTAGGTTGTATTGCATTGACTAAACCCAGGCCAACGTCAACTGAACAATCATGTAATAAACACGGGTGATTCCCTTTAAGTATTCTCCAATTTGATAGTTTAACTAACGAGTGGTTTTCATCCTTTTTCAGTTCGCGGACCGGTAAAATTCCAAAACAAATTTTGCGGACCGGCGGACCTTCAAAATTAACCAAACATGTCATGAACACAAAACATAATCAAAAGAATGCAATTGCTACAAAAGTAGATGGTGCAAAATAAGCCAATCCAATTTGATGAGAAATTTGCTGCTGTGTTTCTGATATTATACGTGTTAAACGCAGTTCTAATGGAGTTTCTGCAATGCGTAATACAGCTGTTTGAACTGGATAATACTTTGCTGTTTGTTTGCCTCCATTTACTATCAAACCTCGCTAAACTATAGGTCCACTGTCAAATTACGAAATGTGCGAACTTCTCACCCAGGTATCGTCTGGGTTGCCCGGTGAAAAAAAGCCAGGAAAAGTCAACAATTTTAACAAAGTACAAAAACTTCATGATTTGACAGATTTGAAACTCTTAGCACAATAGTGGATTTGCACAGTTTGCAATCATGATGATTTAGAGCCATCAGTTAATTTAGTGAGTCACCCCAAATGCTAAATCCAACCAAAAGTTGTAGTTTTCGTTGCTATCATGGCAATTTCAACATCCGCATGATCAAGAGTTTACGACTGAGAAGGATTATTACGTGTTTCCAAAAAGCCAAAATCGTGAAATTTGTCGTTAAATCACAAAATTAATTGACATCCCGTCAATACTTTGTATTTTGCAATTTGCTTATAATATATATATTTATATTGGAATATATTAAGCGGATCGGCAGCAAGGTTGGCGCGGACCGGCGGTTGAGAACCACTGGTTTAAAGCAAATTCGCCTAATTTTACATCGATGTTATATCAGTGCTTTGATGACAAAGTATTCTTCGTCAATGCAAATAGCAGGAAAAATCATGTAGCAAATTACAGCAGTCCAATAGCCATCCACTTTCCGAAAATGCCATTCGAAGGTAAACTGAGAATAAATATCAGCCTCTATTTCTCAAGCAAAAAGTGGTAACTTACTGATAATTCATTCTAAACAGCTGATCATTGATTTTTGCATTTTGATGCCGTTTTTTTTTCGCATGCCATGTTTATATTATCGGATAAGATGGTGATTCTCGAAAAAACAGTTTTACCCCACTACCTGTTCTACCGTGTGCATTGTTTACCAAGTTAAACGTAAGTCTTCAAAGTCACGGAGGCGCAACGCAGCGGTATATAAATATTGTTCAATATTTTGTGATATTGGAAACATGAAACGTTCCAATCGGTACATCATTTTGAACCTGTAGCCCACTGTCGTAAAACTGCATTTCAGATGGTTACGGTGTGCGGTGTCTATATTTACATTTGAGGATGTTACATTTGGCGACAATATTCCCATACTACGATTATTGTAACAGAAATTGTTTGTTGTTACTTACGGATAATCGACAAACGCTGATCTAAAAATATACACAAAACTTTTCTCAAAATCAGAATATATTTCGCGTCCTCTATTTGGTTCCATCCACTTATTTGACGCATTCTTTCCTTTTTTCAGTAGGCTCGGCGGTTGGCGCATCACACTGGGCGTTGGGAACATCTCGCACCTGATTAACATGCGTGAGTTCTCCGGTTTTGGTTAATTGTGTGCGAGAGGATTGCTGGACTCCCTTCCCACTGTCGCAAGGGGGTTCACGTAACCAGTGATCGGCAACGGCTTCCTCCACCACCAAGTACATGTATCTGAGACAAGTAACTGGTTAACTATTCCCATACCCAGAATGAATAGGAAACCGGACGGGAGGTCGTAGTAATCCATATGTAGGAATGTAAGTTTCGAATATTCTATTTCCGAATCTGATTCTATTTAGTATAACATCACATTATCGTTAACTTTAATTGAATTTGGAAGAACTAGAGCGCAAATTGTGATAAAATAACAATAACGAACTTGAAGAAAGAGTTGAGTTAGTTGAAGAACACATTAAATTGATACTTTAACTACATAATGTAGTAGAAAATATGTATTTTGTTACATAGAGTTACACTCAGTTATATTTACTTATTACATGAATTTATGTTCGCAAACAATACCGGATCGTTTCTTCTAAAATTCACCTTCAAAATTCATCCAGATGATAAACGCCATTGGAATATGCGATAGTACCGATTGGCCGTGAAAGAAAGCAAATGATAACTAGGGAAGTATCGCAGACCTATGCTTTTAATGGGAAATAATGTTGTTATTATAATGACATTACATATCGTCACGCTAATAACCGAATTGCGTAAGTCATTTTTAGCAGTTTTGAGAAAAACATAAAAAACCTCCTAATGATATTGTTATGCCACTGAGAGTCAATACTTTGCCATGGTTCAATTTTTTGGTTGTAGCCGGATTTAAGTTAATTTGTATGACGCAGTTATGTGACGTCATAATGACGCACTGTGACTTAGGCAGAAATGTGTCTATGACTTGGGGACAAACGCAATTTTGCAACTTGCCTATATGCACCAGTTCTGAAAACCAAACATTCCAAAAAACGAATGTAATTCTCAGTATCTACGATGTCTAATCCCCAAATAGGGCTAATCTGCTTCAATTACATTATTTTTTTTTGTTTAAAAATATATATTTCATCAATATAACACGCTCTGCACACCCACCGAAATAAGACTAAGATTAAATGTAAGGAATAAAACAGCAATACACCCAATATAAAAGCCACCAAGGTGAATTGGACTCGGACAGTGAATATCACAAGTGCCTTTCTATACTGTAGTATAAATTCAAATTTATAAGCGCTAAGCTACAATCTGAGATGCAAAAACTTGCAAAAAATACTTCGCCGAGGCTATTTTGTCTTTGTGACGTCACAATAGCCTTACGGTAACAATGACAATTCATTATGACGAAACAATTGCACAAATGTGCATGTCATACAAAATCTCCATTTTAATGGGCTTCAGAATTCTTAAAATTAAATCTGAGTTAACAGACACGTGCGCAGCATTACATAAATACCTATTTTCTAAAAACTCAAAATCGCCAAAAATGACTTACGCAATTCGGTTATTAGCCTGACAATATGTAATTTTAAAAAAGTTTATAAATTATATATTGGTAAAACTTCTTAACTTTTTAAATAGTAAAAGAAATAAACGAAATATTGGTTCCTCTGAAGCTGTGATCCATATGAAATATTACGGAGTGTTACGACTTGGGAACGCTGTAAACGTGGGGAAAATAAACGCTTTTGGTCGATTATGAGACAACACCGCTGCGTCGTGCAATAGCCACGTGTAATCTAAATTATTATTATTTTTTAAATCACTCAAGCTGCTGTTTCTCAAATTGCTTCGAATCAATTCGAACTGATATTGATTCGCTTCAATTCAAAATTTTTAAACTCACATCCCTATCCATATTATTAGGGCGCCTCGCCGACTTTCCTGTCAAACTGGATAAACATGAAAACACTTTTATTAAAATCTCGTAACTTACAGCGCATGCCACACTTTGTCTATACTATCTATAGCAAGGCTGCCCAACCCGCCGGAGTGTTTTTTGCGGCCCGCCCTCTAAAGTTTGTAAGTGAACTTTTTAATATTTACATACATTTTACTATACATAAGTATCTTTCTTGATTTTGGTGTAATTATTCCTGCCATCTATCTACGTTCAAATGCCGGTTTTTATTATTACGTATGTGTCAAGTCTTTCACCCTGGTGAACATAAACGTCATTTTTTTTTATTTCTCGCAAAACTGTGCACTCTGTTCGACGAACTATAAAGATATTGTGCGATCATTGGGGACAAACACTGAGCGCAATTATAGGAACGAACTTGGTGCCTAAGTTTGCAAATTACTGAATATCGATCTTGATCGGTAAGTATGTTGATAGGTATTTGTCTGTCTGTATGTCTGTGTGTTAGATGCACGGGATATCTCACGAAAGTGAGATTAGATCTGCTGCAGATTTCGCATGTGCATTCATCATAGCTCGGATCAGAAGCCCATTAATGGATTATGTCGTATAATTAGCGAGTTATTAATTAATTAGTGATGGGACACACGGTGTCACTATGGAGTAAGACCACTGTTTTGGGGAACCCCTAACCTTCGATCGATAAGTCTTCGGTTTCCAACCGAATTCTAGTTTTCATTTTGATTGCTTTCTTTCGTGTCGGATTTGATCGTCTTTATCGCCAACGTAAAATAAAAAGTCAACAATATCTTGGGTACTGGTCCCCGGACTCGTTGTCTTTTTATGCTTGTACTTTTGTTCATGTTATGTTCGCGTTAAATAAGATTTTGGAAATGTCGTCACTGCGTATTCGTCAATAATTCTGATGAAATTGACGTAATGGCATTGCTACTAATTAGTCACAAATCAGTATATATCGACTTATCGTTCAGAAATCTTCGTTGTGTTACTTCATTAAATACTTGTATTGGTGTTCCAAATTTTACGAAACGGCCCACTAAAACTTGATATTGCCGCGACATTGACGCACATTAGGCTTATTTAAACATTAAAGCAGTATCGTAGCTACTGAAAATGAATGAATTAAAAACACTTTAACGCAATTACAACACTCAACTTTGACGTGATGTGTGTGTTTCTTGCGTGTTCGCCAAAAAACCGCAAGTGTGTTGTGTAATGATTGATTCTTTGATTCGGTCGCCCGAGAGTATTATGTCCACGCCGGTTTACCAGATATTCGAATAGTAAACCGCTATTCTAATATTCGAATAATTTGCCAGCCCTTCCTAGTAACGAGAGAGCAATTATTAATTTAATTGATTTCATGTTAATAAACTCGCCTTTTATGTAATTACCTACACCAAAATCAGGACTTATCTTGTATTAATGTTTGGTACAAACGTTTGCGGCCCGCGACCGATTTCGTCACGTGAAAGTGGCCCGCGAGACGAAAAAGGTTGGGCAGGCCTGATCTATAGTAATACAGAATCCTCTATAGCATCATCGGTCAAGGCCGATATCTGATTACTTTGTTTAAAATTGTATTTATTTTCGTAATCGTTCGATTTTGATTATTTGAAATCCAGGGGTTATTCAGTTCATCTGAATGTCACGATTTCGTTTGATTGACAGAATTCGTTGACTATATATTATGCACTTGCACAGTTTGTTCAGCAACAGTCCACTGGCAAAGTTACATATACATATTGTGATCAAGTGTTAGAATAGGGGCATTTGAACCGTAAAATCAGTATTTTAGAACATCAATAAGCATCTGAAAGAGAAGAGTAAACAATACAAGCAAAAATATCAAATTCGCGAGATCGCCACGCGTCAATGTGAAGTGCGCTATGTAAGACAGACGGCGCTGATTGACTTTCACTCGATTTTAAAATCATATTTGAAGTAACTTGGCACACGACTATGTTTACTCAGTGAGATGCGTTAGATCGAGTACTTGAACTTGATCACCTTTTCTGTTCACATTAAACACTTATTACACCTGAAATTGCATGTGATGATACACTTAAAAATATTTACATCTTTCGACAGTCAATACGTGGTTTTCCAAAATTCTATATAACAAGTTTGCGCGAGCTTGAGATTCCATACAGCTTTCATTGACGATATAGAACTATTTTCTCTCCAGCAGAATCGAAGCTAAGATTGTAACGTCAACATGCGTTGTTTGATCCTCCTTGCTATTTTGAGTACGGCTACAGCATTGCCACTGAATTTTGGAACTTTCCGTAAGTTTGCTTTATAAACATTGTATAACAGATAATTGTTAAACGCCACAATACTTATTTCTTTCAATATAGTCGGATGTGGCGACACAGGTACTTCAGTATCCGCATCAGCTGTCGCCAAAACTTCGTTTGGTCCATGCGCTGAATTGCAGAAGCCTGAAATTGTCATCGACGATCCGTGTGTTGAAGTGAAGAAACCGTCCGTAGAGGTAAAATCTCCATGCACCTTTACACGACCTTGTTTCAGACGGAGCTTTATGCGCCGACGTGTTTCCTCGCCGTGCTTTACTAGAACAATCACACGCACACCGTGCGTAAGAAGAACCGTAACATCACCGTGCGTCAGAAGAACCATAACATCACCTTGCGTGAGAAGAACCATAACACCGTGCGTGAGAAGAACCATATCGCCTTGCAGGACGATCATTTCACAACCGTGTAGAACTATTACAAGAACGCCAAGTGGTTAGTAAACGTTTCGAACATATATTTTAGTATTTATACTTATTCCTGATTTACTAAACAAATCTCTTTTTATTATATTTTCAGTGAGACGTTCCTTCAGGTAAGCCAATAAAGTAATAACAAAACAAATTTTTGTTTTATTCTAGCTATGTTTATATTTTTGATTCATTGCAATACTAATTACAGAATGAATGTTAGGAACAGGCGAAGTAAAAAAAAATTATTAATATTTATACTCAGTTATCCCTGCATCCAAAGAAGACCATGCGTCACGAGAAGAGTCATTAACCCATGCGTCACCACCAAGCAAACGTTCGTACCAAAGATAGTTGAAGATCCATGCATCACCACCTTCGAGCAACCATGCGAACCAACGATAGTTGAAGATCCATGCATCACCACCTTCCAGCAACCATGCGAACCAAAGATAGTTGAAGATCCATGCATCACCACCTTCGAGCAACCATGCGAACCAAAGATAGTTGAAGATCCATGCATCACCACCTTCGAGCAACCATGCGAACCAAAGATAGTTGAAGATCCATGCATCACCACCTTCCAGCAACCATGCGAACCAACGATAGTTGAAGATCCATGCATCACCACCTTCCAGCAACCACGCGAACCAAAGATAGTTGAAGATCCATGCATCACCACCTTCGAGCAACCATGCGAACCAAAGATAGTTGAAGATCCATGCATCACCACCTTCGAGCAACCATGCGAACCAAAGATAGTTGAAGATCCATGCATCACCACCTTCCAGCAACCATGCGAACCAAAGATAGTTGAAGAGCCATGCTTACCAGTTAGAACCATCGATCCGTGCGGTATAGTATATTTTTATTTGATTGAAAGATAAGGTTTAATTTGTTATGGATGCATGGTTTGACGTTGATTTATGATGTCTTCCATAATATGGTGTAACTTCGCACAGCTCTTGTATACATAATTCTAACTTGGGCGAGAAATATCACATTCTATCTTCTATTATTCCTATCCTTTTATTTGTGATAAAATAAAACAATTTCACAATAATATTTATGTCCAATAGTTGGTGTCCGTGCGACCGCTTGTGCTAGTGCTTCGGCTTCAACATCAAGCACTTTTGGAACTGGCTGCAACGGAGGAGTAAGAGCTTCTGCAGGCGCTTCTGCTTTAACATCAAGCACTTTTGGAACTGGCTGCATCGGAGGAGTAAGAGCTTCTGCAGGCGCTTCTGCTTTCCATCATACTCTTTTTTGAGGTAAAATAAAAAATTTGAGAAGTGTGAATATCAAATTGTCAGTTAACAGATTAACAAATTGTCAGAATTACAGTTAATTGTTATACTAACACTAGAAAAAATTGATGTCATTCGATAAAATAGAAATACAATGAAAGCTACAAAACTTCATTTCTGGATTCCGATAATGTTTATCAATAATTTATCAAGGCGAACTGAAAACATCATTCTTCTACGCCCAAACTTCACAACTTGGTTTGCGGGATATTTCCTTGCCACATCATTTCATTGACACGAATAAAACCAAACAGCATGCCAAGTACCACTATGCTTGTACTAGCCTCAATGTATATATATATTTATATAACACTCAATATGAACAAACTTCTCGTAAAATCACAAATACAGATCGGCATGTGACAGTCAAGGTCGTCCGGGCAATTAACTACAAAGTTTAGAAGAATTATTTATGTAATATAGTCATATCATCACGTTATATTCCGGGGCCAAATCTTACAGATTCCATTAGTGGTAAAATCAGATCATTAAAAAATCAAAAACAGATTTGTTTTATTTTTTCACGATTTTTTTAAAATTTTAATGAGAACTCATTTATAACGATTCATTATCTTTCAGGGTTCAATGAAACGCTGTGTCAACCTTGGGATAGATAGATGGTGTAAGTAACTAAATCTCAGTGAAGTTTGTTTCTTATACATGGATGCGAGACCTGAGTGAAATTGGGGTTTTATATTTCACCCCATGAGTAGTAAAACCAATGAGACAACCATGGCCTCTTCTCTGGTAATAGATGAGTATAGGAATAGTTGGCCAAATAAAAATTGAAACGTAGAAATGATGATGGTCATGAATTCGAAGACGCCAAATATACAACATTCTAACGGTTTCAAGGAAGTCGCCATGTATGCACTCAATAACTAAAAATCATTTGTTAATTTTTTTTTCTTCGTTTCAGGTGGTTTTAGGATAGATTCTGTTGAATCCCAGGGAGACAGCTGGAGGTACACACTCCTTTAATGTTGGAGAAAAGTAGTCAAAAAGGAGAGCGACTTTATTGTTCCTTTTTTCTTTGAATGTTCCCTTCCCTTTGTGTGCATGCTTGCACACCAATTTGTCTGATTAGTTCTCTTGCGTCTTCGTTTCTCTGCCTGTATTAAAACCTAAATATTTGAAAACAAACTTTTTAAATGTATTTAGGTTTGTGCGTTTTTTTTGTGTTTTGTCTTGTTGAATAAATATCAAAAGTGCCTCCAGTTTTGTTGCCAATTTATTGTACACGTTTTCACAAATGATTTAGCCAGAGACCTGTAACGGGTAGACAGTCTAACTTGAAAATTATAGACATCGCTTTTGCGCGACAAAACGGTATTTTTCTGCTTTAGGAAGAAAAACGCAGTGAATGAGATAATAAGAACTACGAAGCATGTCATCGTTATATAACAGGGATGGCGAACCTTTTCCGATGAATGAGTCAAAAATTATATTTTTATCGCGGAACAGAAGTGTGTGGGTCACAGATATTTAATCAATGTTTGTATCTGTAAGAAACTTCTGAATCAAATCTTGTAAGCTTCTGTTGGTGTTGGTGTAGTTTTGGGATTATGCAGCATTTCCATTAGGGACTTTTTATGGCACTCGATTATATGAAATTAGAGTACGAAAACACGCATATTAATTACCAAAAACGTTTAGGATGATAGGGAAAATTAATTTACGGTACCAAATAGTTTAGAGGGAATTCCACTCTGATAGTGCAATATTTTTCGATCTTCTTCCAACCACATTAAGGCACTTTTACACTGCCCCATTGGTATTTCGGATTTCTAGGTTTTTATTTCAAGTCTGGAATATTTTGTTTTTACAGCGGCATTGTAGATGAGAAACTAATAAAATGCAAAGTAGCATCTAGTTCTCGTATAACCCCTAAAAAAGCATGCAGGTGCACTTCCGAAAGAGACAAGGCGTTGCGAAAAATTACCAGATCAAATGCATTGTTATATCGTAAACGATGTCAGAGCCAATAGCTGAATAACGGTACACAGCGGTGCAGACATGCGTCCAAGATTAGGGGTTTTGAAAATTATCATACCGGCCCGGAAATATAAATTCGAATATGAGCGATCGCAGCCTTGACTGCCCAACTGACGGTACATTCTAATTTATACATTTAGTTTATAGTTTTATATAGTTAATAAATGAAGGCCGGTTTTATCAATTTTTAGCACTGATATGTTAGCATTTTTTTATTTCATTCGTGCCTTGGTGGGTCACGAATAAAACGAGGTGGGCCGCGGGTCAGTGGTTCGCCATCCCTGTTATATAACATGGCCTGGTGTCATGTCGAGTTGATTTTGCTGTTGTTGTTCCTTTCTGGCATTAGCACATTTTTAGATTTAAACATTATACGTAGCTGATAGTAACATAAAAACCACATTGCAACCAAACAACAAATTTTATGAGGAAGCTATTTTGTATTTATATATCAAATGAATCAAGTTCGATGTCAGCCACCTACATACTCCTAATTACCTTTCTTGTCCTTACAACAAACACACTAGTCCAAGCTTGTTAGGCTGTGTACCTATTCTTAACAACAGTATTTGGGAAATGAAGATGGAAATTTTGTTTTAGTAAGCTTACAAAGACCAGTACCAAAGTTTTGTTCTTAAACTTCAAAAACTCGAAACAGAAAAGTTCCATCGCAGAAATTCACAGTTAGACTCCACAATAAGTATGTCGCATACAAATTGGTTGGTAAAAGTAAAAATTATCTTTCTAAACTCTCGAAATTTTCCCTAAGATAATCCAAGGATCGAGATTCATGTCTTATTCTTCAAGCTCCTTTATTTCCAGCGTGTTATGTGACTTCTACAACGAAAGTTCAAATTAAGGTCGCTGGTGACACGCAGAGATCCACTTTTAGATTACTCGTGTGGAACAGATGTGAGCAGACGACTAAACGCATTGAGAACAAATATCATTTCAGAGAAAACAAGAGAGCTATGCTCAAATATATGGACACCTTGAATAAAACGAAATATATATTATCATCACTTCACCGAAAGCCATAGGGTACCGGTACAGGTATCCTGTACGAAGCTGAACAGTGAAACAGCGTTAACTACATGGCTATGGTACCGGTAACTGACTTAATAGTACCGATACCCAGTACGACACAGTTTATCTATTTCAAAAAAGCCCCCATATTCAAAGACATTAGTTATAACTGTGACTTCAAGCCCCGTATTTGAGAGACTGTTTGTGCTTCCATATCGACAAAGCGCCGAAAGCGGCACTGTTACAGGTACACGGATTCTCCAGTTTCTTTCGCGATTCTGTTTCAACTTTAATTGAAATTGACACCATCTGACACCAAATTTAATTGACACCAAGCGAAGCAGCAGTTTACAACATTACGCGTACCGGTAACCTCAGAAATTTCCCGAGTTTCTTGAGCAAGAATTTCCAAAATCGGTCGTCACGCTTGGCGGATTAAAAATGGTGTTTCCATAATTTAAAAGAAATGTATCAAAATTTTTGATCAAATATTAAATCTAATATGATTCCCAGAAAGTTTGAAGGAAAATAAAGGTAATAAATAGCCTTCTGGAAAAAAAATCCAATTCAAACCACTAAAAATTTTAAAGCAATTGATCCAGTAATCGAAGAGAAAAGCTACTTTTTAGTAACGTGTCAAAGAACGAGAACAAGCATAAGAACAACAACAAGAGAGCTAGGCTCAAATATATGGACACATAGCACCACATAATTTCGATGACGTCATAGCAAAAAATTAAAGTAATAGCCTTGTGACGTGTCCATATATTTGAGCAACTTTCTTGTATTATTGATAGCATCGAAACGCCCTATCTATTTATTGAACACATCAGTATATATAACGATTGTTTCAATATTATGTTGTTGTTCTTGTTGGTATTATTCTTCTTCGTCACCATAAAATCGCTTTTCTCTTCGAATACCGGACCAAATGCTTTGAAATTTTCAGAGGTTAAAGATTTATTTTTCCGTCAGAAGGATATTACTTTTACCTATTTCAAAAATTTCTGTGGACTTCTAGAGGTACGCCTTGTGACGTGTCCATATATGTGAGCGTAGCTCTCTTGTCGTAAACAAGTCTTGGACGTCCAGTCGCTGATAAGTAATAAAAGTATCTATTCAACTCGCTTGCACATCAGTGGCATGTAACTCAATTCTTTTACCAACCGGGTGTCCCAGGATTCAATGATTTATTTCTGAAATAGGCAATACCTTCAGTGAATCTACATTAAATTTAATTAGATAGGCCAATTGATTTTATCATTGACTTTTCATAATGACATAAGAAAAAAGTAGTAGGTTGTATTGCATTGACAAAACCCAGGTAAACGTCGCCAGAAATGCTCCTCTTCCACAACTAGACAATGATTAAGTATTTCCAATTTGATAGTTTACCTAACCAGTGGTTTTCATCCTTTTTCAGTTCGCGGACCGGTAAAATTCCAAAACAAAATTTGCGGATCGGCGGACCTTCAAAATTAACGTCATGAACACAAAACATAATCAAAAGAATGCAATTGCAACAAAAGTAGATGGTGCAAAATAAGCCAATCCAATTTGATGAGAAATTTGCTGCTGTGTTTTTGATATTATACGTGTTAAACGCTAATGGAGTTTCTGTAAGGCGTAGTAGAGCTGTTTAAACTGGATAATACTTTGCTGTTTGTTTGCCTCCATTTTACTATCAAACCTCGCTAAACTATAGATCTACTGTCAAATTACGGAATGTGCGAACTTCTCACTCCGGTTCCGTCTGGTTTGCCAGGTGAAAAAAAGCCAAAAAAAGTCAACAATTTTAACAAGTACAAAAACCTCATGATTTGACAGATTTGAAACTCTTAGCACAATAGTGGATTTGCACAGTTTGCAATCATGCTGATTTAGAGCCATCAGTTGACTTAGCGTTAATTCACGAAATTAATAGACATGCCGTCAATACTTTGTATTTTGCAATTTGCTTATAATATATTTATATTGGAATATATTAAGCGGATCGGCAGCAAGGTTAGCGCGAACCGGCGGTTGAGAACCACTGGTTTAAAGCAAATTCGCCTAATTTTACATTGATGTTATATCAGTGCTTTGATGACAAAGTATTCTTCGTCAATGCAAATAGCAGGAAAAATCATGCAGTGAATTACAGCAGTCCAATAGCCATCCACTCTCCGAAAATGCCATTCGAAGGAAAACTGAGAATAAATATCAGCCTCTTTTTCTCAAGCTAAAAGTGGAAACTTACTGGTAATTCATTTCAAACAGCATTAATTTTGGTGCTTTTTTTCTTTGCATGTCATGGTTATATTATCCGATAAGAATAAGATGGTGATTCTCGAAAAAACAGTTTTACCCCACTACCTGTTCTACCGTGTGCATTGTTTACCAAGAAACGTAATTCTCCAAAGTCATCGAGGCGCAACGCAGCGGTATATAAATATTGTTCAATATTTTGTGATATTGAAAACATGAAACGTTCCAATCGGTACATCATTTTGAACTTGTAGCCCACTGTCGTAAAACTGCATTTCAGATGGTTACTGGTATCTATTTTTACATTTAAGGATGTTACATTTGGCGACAATATTCCCATACTACGAATATTGTAAAAGAAATTTTTTGTTGTTACTTACGGATAATCGACAAACGCTTATCTAAAAATATACACAAAACTTTTTTCAAAATCAGAATATATTTCGCGTCCTCTATTTGGTTCCATCCACTTATTTGACGCATTCTTTCCTTTATTCAGTAGGTGCGATGCACCAAATAGAGGATGCGAAATATATTCTGATTTTGAAAAAAGTTTTGTGTATATTTTTAGATAAGCGTTTGTCGATTATCCGTAAGTAACAACAAACAATTTCTGTTACAATATTCGTAGTATGGGAATATTGTCGCCAAATGTAACATCCTTAAATGTAAAAATAGATACCAGTAACCATCTGAAATGCAGTTTTACGACAGTGGGCTACAAGTTCAAAATGATGTACCGATTGGAACGTTTCAGGTTTCCAATATCACAAAATATTGAACAATATTTATATACCGCTGCGTTGCGCCTCGATGACTTTGGAGAATTACGTTTAACTTGGTAAACAATGCGCACGGTAGAACAGGTAGTGGGGTAAAACTGTTTTTTCGAGAATCACCATCTTATTCTTATCGGATAATATAACCATGACATGCAAAGAAAAAAAGCACCAAAATTAATGCTGTTTGAAATGAATTACCAGTAAGTTTCCACTTTTTGCTTGAGAAAAGAGGCTGATATATATTTATTCTCAGTTTTCCTTCGAATGGCATTTTCGGAGAGTGGATGGCTATTGGACTGCTGTAATTCACTACATGATTTTTCCTGCTATTTGCATTGATGAAGAATACTTTGTCATCAAAGCACTGATATAACATCAATGTAAAATTAGGCGAATTTGCTTTAAACCAGTGGTTCTCAACCGCCGGTCCGCGCCAACCTTGCTGCCGATCCGCTTAATATATTCCAATATAAATATATTATAAGCAAATTGCAAAATACAAAGTATTGACGGCATGTCCATTAATTTTGTGAATTAACGCCAAATTTCACGATTTGGGCTTTTTCGAAACCCGTAATAATCCTTCTCAGTCGTATACACTTGATCATGCGGAAGTTGAATTTGCCATGATAGCACCAAAAACTACAACTTTTGGTTGGATTTAGCATTTGGCGTGACTCACTAAATCAACTGATGGCTCTAAATCAGCATGATTGCAAACTGTGCAAATCCACTATTGTGCTAAGAGTTTCAAATCTGTCAAATCATGAAGTTTATGTACTTGTTAAATTTGTTGATTTTTTTTGGCTTTTTTTCACCTGGCAACCCAGACGGAACCGGAGTGAGAAGTTCGCACATTCCGTAATTTGACTGTAGATCTATAGTTTAGCGAGGTTTGATAGTAAAATGGAGGCAAACAGGCGTCCGCTGACATCTGTTCCACACGAGTAAATCTATACGTGGATCTTTGCGAGTCAGAATTTCTCCAACTTTTCTATATCATTGATCGCACTGCTCTTAGTTGAAGACCAGCGACCTTAATTCGAGCAAACTTTTGTTGTTAAATCCGATTCAACTCAGAATTTGTCTCAATTTAGTATCTCACTAAATAGAACAGGCAGCTAACAATAATAAAAATGAACCCCATACTATGAAGTTACTTTATTTATTGACCAGTATCCATAAGACCATAAACAAGACAATACAGAGTATAAAGCTTCAAAAAAGTGAATAATTCGTAGTCAAGTTGGGCGATAAATTAAAAGATAAACATAATCGTAATTTTGCCGGTTGGATCAAACCACAAGACGCCGAAAATCGACGACTCCCTGGCATTGTTACGTAACAAAACGATTTGAGCAGAACTAACATCAACGTTAGATCTGCATTACTAGTTTTGCAATGCAACTTTTGGTTTTGCGGCTTACATTTCTAAATTCTAACCGCTTGGGCCCCTTTGCGCTGTGGGCGCGACCGCGGGGGTGGATGCTACGCCACTGCCCATGCAGTCTTAAGCATGTAGTTTATTCCTACTCCACCATGTTATCATATGATGTAAAATAAGACAATTAGCTATATAAATATATCGATTCCGGAATATGTTTTATAGAAATTGAAATAACACGCTAGAAATTAAGGAATGATTTATCATGACATTATTCTACACGAAATGGACCTGAATTGTATAGTATTATTAATTTACTATTGTTGTTGTTGCGCCAGTCAGTGGTCGAGAGATGGCTCTTATGTTTCGAGTTTTTGATGTTTAAGAACGACTCCGGGGTACTGGTCTTCGTAAGATCATCGAAACAAAATTGATATCTTAATTCTTCTAAACATTGCTAGAATAGGTGCACAACGTAACAACCGTAAGTATGTTGTAAAAACAAAAAAGGGTCGAACTTGGATGTTTTGCTATATAAATGAAAAATATATATTACGCTTATGTTCTCTAATTGCATTGTGGTTTGAACGTTTTTATGCTATAATTGGCTCCTTATGTTGCATAGATCTATAAAAATGAGCTAATGTCAGAAAGGAACGATTATAGCAGAAAATTGAATTCGACATTACACCAGATCATATTATATAACGATAACAGGCCTTGTAGTTCCTATTATACCCCTCGCTTTTTCTTTCTATAGCACTAAAGAACATCGTTTTGTCACGAAAAAGCGATGACTGAAATTTGCAAGTTAGACTGTCCACCCGCTGCAGGTCAATAGCTCATTGATGAAAACATGTACAATAAATTGGCAACACAACTGGAGGCGATTTTGATATATATATTCAAGACAAGACAAAACACAGAAAGACACGAAAAAACCTTAATATATTAAAAAGTTAGTTTTCAAATATTTAGGTTCTAATACAGATAGACAAACGAGGACACAAGAGAATTAATCAGACAAAATAGCGTGCAAGCATGAACACAAGGGAAGAGAACATTCAAAGAAAAAAGAAACAATAAAGTCGCTCTCCTTTTTGACTACTTTTCTCCAACATTAAAGGAGCGTGTGACTCCAGCTGTCTCCCTGGGATTCAAGAGAATCTATTCTAAAACCACCTGGAATGAGACAAAATTAAAAATTAACAAATGATTTTTAGTTAATGAGTGCATCAATGGCGACTTTCTTGAAACCATAGAATGTTGTATATTTGGCCGAAATCATGACCACCATCATTTCTACGTTTCAAGAACTTTTATCTGACCAACTATTCCTATACTCTTCTATTACCAGAGAAGAGGCCATAGTTGTCTCATTGGTTTTTCCTACTCATGGAGTAAAATATAAAAGCCCAATTTCACTCAGGTCTCGCATTCATGTATTAAACCAAACTTCACTGAGATTTAGTTACTTACACCATCTATCTATCCCAAGGTTGACACAGCGTTTCATTGAACCCTGAAAGGCAATAAACAGTTATGAATGAATTATACCTCAAATTTAAAAAAAAATCGTGAAAAATAAAAAAAAATCTGTTTTTGATACTTTTAATTATCTGATTTGACCACTAATGAAATATGTAAGATTTGGCCCCGGAATATAACGTGATTATATGACTATATTACATAAATAATTTTTCTAAACTTTGTAGTTAATTGCGCGGACGACCTTGACTGTCACATGCCGATCTGTATTTGAGATTTTACGAGGAGTTTGTTCATATTGAGTGTTATATATATATATATATATATATATACATTGAGGCTAGTACAAGCATAGTGGTACTTGGCATGCTGTTTGGTTTTATTCGTGACAATGAAATGATGTGGCAAGGACATATCCCGCAAACCAAGTTGTGAAGTTTGGGCGTAGAAGAATGATGTTTTTAGTTCGCCTTGATAAATTATTGATAAACATTATCTGAATCCAGAAATGAAGTTTTGTAGCTTTCATTGTATTTTTATTTTATCGAATGACATCATTTTTTTCTAGTGTTAGTATACCAATTAACTGTAATTCTGACAATTTGATATTCACACTTTTCAAATTGTTTATTTTACCTCAAAAAAGAGTATGATGGAAAGCAGAAGCGCCTGCAGAAGCTCTTACTCCTCCGATGCAGCCAGTTCCAAAAGTGCTTGATGTTAAAGCAGAAGCGCCTGCAGAAGCTCTTACTCCTCCGTTGCAGCCAGTTCCAAAAGTGCTTGATGTTGAAGCCGAAGCACTAGCACGAGCGGTCGCACGGACACCAACTATTGGACATAAATATTATTGTGAAATTGTTTTATTTTATCACAAATAAAAGGATAGAAATAATAGAAGATAGAATGTGATAATTCTCGTCCAAGTTAAAATTTTGCATACATGAAATGTGCGAAGTTACACCATACTATGGAAACATCCATAACAAATTTAACCTTTTCTTTCAATCAAATAAAAATATACTATACCGCACGGATCGATGGTTCTAACTGGTAAGCATGGCTTTTCAACTATCGTTGGTTCGCATGGTTGCTGGAAGGTGGTGATGCATGGATCTTCAACTATCTTTGATTCGCATGGTTGCTCGAAGGTGGTGATGCATGGATCTTCAACTATTTTTGGTTCGCATGGTTGCTGAGAGGTGGTGATGCATGGATCTTCAACTATTTTTGGTTCGCATGGTTGCTGGAAGGTGGTGATGCATGGATCTTCAACTATCGTTGGTTCGCATGGTTGCTGGAAGGTGGTGATGCATGGATCTTCAACTATCTTTGGTTCGCATGGTTGCTGGAAGGTGCTGATGCATGGATCTTCAACTATCTTTGGTTCGCATGGTTGCTGGAAGGTGGTGATGCATGGATCTTCAACTATCGTTGGTTCGCATGGTTGCTGGAAGGTGGTGATGCATGGATCTTCAACTATCTTTGGTTCGCATGGTTGCTGGAAGGTGGTGATGCATGGATCTTCAACTATCTTTGGTTCGCATGGTTGCTGGAAGGTGGTGATGCATGGATCTTCAACTATCTTTGGTTCGCATGGTTGCTGGAAGGTGGTGATGCATGGATCTTCAACTACCGTTGGTTCGCATGGTTGCTCGAAGGTGGTGATGCATGGATCTTCAACTATCTTTGGTACGAACGGTTGCTTGGTGGTGACGCATGGGTTAATAACTCTTCTCGTGACGCATGGTCTTCTTTGGATGCAGGGATAACTGAGTGTAAATATTAATAATTTTTTTTATTTTGCCCGTTCTTAACATTCATTCTGTAAATATTATTGCAATAAATCAAAAACATAAACATAGCTAGATTAAAACAAAAATTTGTTTTGTTATTACTTTATTGGCTTACCTGAAGGAGCGTCTCACTGAAAATATAATAAAAAGAGATTTGTTTAGTAAATTAGGAATAAGTATAAATACTAAAATATATGTCCGAAACGTTTACTAACCACTTGGCGTTCTTGTAATAGTTCTACAAGGTTGTGAAATGATCGTCCTGGTTCTTCTCACGCAAGGTGATGTTATGGTTCTTCTCACGTAAGATGGTGTTACGGTTCTTCTCACGCACGGTGTACGTGTGATTGTTCTGGTAAAGCACGGCGAGGAAAAACGTCGGCGCATAAAGCTTCGTCTGAAACAAGGTCGTGTAAAGGTGCATGGAGATTTTACCTCTACGGACGGTTTCTTCACTTCAACACACGGATCGTCGAAGACAATGTCAGGCTTCTGCAATTCAGCACATGGACCAAACGAAGTTTTTGCGACAGCTGATGCGGATACCGAGGTACCTGTGTCGCCACATCCCACTAGATTGAAAGAAATAAGTATTGTGGCGTTTAAAAATTCTCTGTTATACAATATTTATAAAGCAAACTTACAGAAAGTTTCAAAATTCAGTGGCAATGCCGTAGCCGTACTCAAAATAGCAAGGAGGATCAAACAACGCATGTTGACGTTACAATCTTAGCTTTGATCCTGCTGAGAAGAAAATGGTTTTATATCGTCAATGAAAGCTGTATGGGATCTCAAGCTCACGCAACCTTGTTATATAGAATTTCGGAAAACCACGTATTGACTGTCAAGAGATGTAAATATTTTTAAGTGTATCATCACATGCAATTTCAGGTGTAATAAGTGTTTAATGTGAACAGGAAAGGTGATCGAGTTCAAGTACTCGATCTAACGCATCACACTGAATAAATAAAGTCGTGTGCCAACTTACTTCAAATATGATTTTAGAATCGAGTGATAGTCAATCAGCGCCGTCTGTCTTACATAGCGCACTTCAAATTGACGCGTGGCGATCTCGCGAAGTTGATATTTTTGCTTGTATTGTTTACTTTTCTCTTTCAGTTGTTTATTGATGTTCTAAAATACTGATTTTACGGTTCAAATGCCCCTATTCTAACACTTGGTCACAATATGTATATGTAACTTTGCCAGTAGACTGTTGCTGAACAAACTGTGCAAGTGCATAATATATAGTCAACGAATTCTGTCAATCAAACGAAATTGTGGCATTCAGATAAACTGAATAACCCCTAGATTTTAAATAATCAAAATCGAACGATTACGAAAATAAATAAAATTTTAAACAAAGTAATCAGATATCGGCCTTGACCGATGATGCTATCGAGGATTCTGTAATACTATAGATAGAGTATACCCAAAGTGGTTTAATGTGACATGCGCTGTTACGAGATTTTAATAAAAGTGTTTTTATGTTTTTCCAGTTTAATAGGAAAGTCGGCAAGGCGCCCTAATCATATGGATAGGGATATAAGTTTAAGAATTTTGAATCGAAACGAATCAATATCAATTCGAATTGATTCGAAGAATTTTGAGAAAATGCAGCTTGATTGATTTAAAAAAATAATAATAATTTAGAAAACACGAGGCGATTGCACGACGCAGCGGTGTTGTCTCATAATCTACCAAAGGCGTTTATTTTCCCCACGTTTGCAGCGTTCCCAAGTCGTAACTTCATATGGAACACAGCTTCAGAGGAACCAATATTTCGTTTATTTATTTTTTTTCTATTTAAAAAGTTAAGAAGTTTTACCAATATATAAGTTTATAAACTTATGTAATGTCATTATAATAACAACATTATTTCTCATCAAAAACATAGGTCTGCGATGCTTTCCTTGTTATCATTTGCTTTCTCCCACGACCAATCGGTACTATCGCATATTCCAATGGCATTTATCATTTGGATGAATTTTGAAGGTGAATTTTAGAAGAAACGATCCGGTATTGTTTGCGAACATAAATTCATGTAATTAGTAAATATAACTGAGTGTAACTCTATGTAACAAAAGACATATTCTCTACTACATTATGTAGTTGAAGCATCAATTCAATGTGTTCTTCAACTAACTTAACTCTTTCTTCAAGTTCGTTATTGTTATTTTATCACAATTTGCGCTCTAGTTCTTCCAAATTTAATTAAAGTTCACGATAATGTGATGTTATACTAAATAGAATCATATTCGGAAATAGAATATTCGAAACTTACATTCCCACATATGGATTACTACGACCTCCCGTCCGGTTCCCACTTCAGGTTGGCGCATCGCACTGGGCGTTGGGAACATCTCGCACCTGATTACCATGCGTGAGTTCTCCGGTTTTGGTTAATTGTGTGCGAGAGGATTGCTGGACTCCCTTCCCACTGTCGCAAGGGGGTTCACGTAACCAGTGATCGGCAACGGCTTCCTCCACCACCAAGTACATGTATCTGAAACAAGTAACTGGTTAACTATTCCCATACCCAGAATGAATTGGAAACCGGACGGGAGGTCGTAGTAATCCATATGTGGGAATGTAAGTTTCGAATATTCTATTTCCGAATATGATTCTATTTAGTATAACATCACATTATTGTTAACTTCAATTAAATTTGGAAGAACTAGAGCGCAAATTGTGATAAAATAACAATAACGAACTTGAAGAAAGAGTTAAGTTAGTTGAAGAACACATTAAATTGATACTTCAACTACATAATGTAGTAGAAAATATGTATTTTGTTACATAGAGTTACACTCAGTTATATTTACTTATTACATGAATTTATGTTCGCAAACAATACCGGATCGTTTTTTCTAAAATTCACCTTCAAAATTCATCCAAATGATAAACGCCATTGGAATATGCGATAGTACCGATTGGCCGTGAAAGAAAGCAAATGATAACTAGGGAAGTATCGCAGACCTATGCTTTTAATGGGAAATAATGTTGTTATTATAATGACATTACATATCGTCACGCTAATAACCGAATTGCGTAAGTCATTTTTAGCTGTTTTGAGAAAAACATAAAAAACCTCCTAATGATATTGTTATGCCACTGAGAGTCAATAATTTGCCATGGTTCAATTTTTTGGTTGTAGCCGGATTTAAGTTAATTTGTATGACGCAGTTATGTGACGTCATAATGACGCACTGTGACTTAGGCAGAAATGTGTCTATGACTTGGGGACATATATACGCAATTTTGCAACTTGCCTATATGCACCAGTTCTGAAAACCAAACATTCCAAAAAACGAATGTAATTCTCAGTATCTACGATGTCTAATCCCCAAATAGGGCTAATCTGCTTCAATTACATTATTTTTTTTGTTTAAAAATATATATTTCATCAATATAACACGCTCTGCACACCCACCGAAATAAGACTAAGATTAAATGTAAGGAATAAAACAGCAATACACCCAATATAAAAGCCAACCAAGGTGAATTGGACTCGGACAGTGAATATCACAACTGCCTTTCTATACTGTAGTATAAATTCAAATTCATAAGGGCTAAGCTACAATCTGAGATGCAAAAACTTGCAAAAAATACTTCGCCGAGGCTATTTTGTCTTTGTGACGTCACAATAGCCTTACGGTAACAATGATAATTCATTATGACGAAACAATTGCACAAATGTGCATGTCATACAAAATCTCCATTTTTATGGGCTTCAGAATTCTTAAAATTAAATCTGAGTTAACAGACACGTGCGCAGCATTACATAAATACCTATTTTCTAAAACCTCAAAATCGCCAAAAATGACTTACGCAATTCGGTTATTAGCCTGACAATATGTAATTTTAAAAAAGTTTATAAATTATATATTGGTAAAACTTCTTAACTTTTTAAATAGTAAAAGAAATAAACGAAATATTGGTTCCTCTGAAGCTGTGATCCATATGAAATATTACGGAGTGTTACGACTTGGGAACGCTGTAAACGTGGGGAAAATAAACGCTTTTGGTCGATTATGAGACAACACCGCTGCGTCGTGCAATAGCCACGTGTAATCTAAATTATTATTATTTTTTAAATCACTCAAGCTGCTGTTTCTCAAATTGCTTCGAATCAATTCGAATTGATATTGATTCGCTTCAATTCAAAATTCTTAAACTTACATCCCTATCCATATTATTAGGGCGCCTCGCCGACTTTCCTATCAAACTGGATAAACATGAAAACACTTTTATTAAAATCTCGTAACTTACAGCGCATGCCACATTAAACCACTTTGTCTATACTATCTATAGCAAGGCTGCCCAACCCGCCGGAGTGTTTTTTGCGGCCCGCCCTCTAAAGTTTGTAAGTGAACTTTTTAATATTTACATACATTTTACTATACATAAGTATCTTTCTTGATTTTGGTGTAATTATTCCTGCCATCTATCTACGTTCAAATGCCGGTTTTTATTATTACGTATGTGTCAAGTCTTGCACCCTGGTGAACATAAACGTCATTTTTTTTATTTCTCGCAAAACTGTGCACTCTGTTCGACGAACTATAAAGATATTGTGCGATCATTGGGGACAAACACTGAGCGCAATTATAGGAACGAACTTGGTGCCTAAGTTTGCAAATTACTGAATATCGATCTTGATCGGTAAGTATGTTGATAGGTATTTGTCTGTCTGTATGTCTGTGTGTTAGATGCACGGGATATCTCACGAAAGTGAGATTGGATCTGCTGCAGATTTCGCATGTGCATTCATCATAGCTCGGATCAGAAGCCCATCAATTTTGGATGGATTATGTCGTATAATTAGCGAGTTATTAATTGATTAGTGATGGGACACACGGTGTCACTATGGAGTAAGACCACTGTTTTGGGGGAACCCCTAACCTTCGATCGATAAGTCTTCGGTTTCCAACCGAATTCTAGTTTTCATTTTGATTGCTTTCTTTCGTGTCGGATTTGATCGTCTTTATCGCCAACGTAAAATAAAAAGTCAACAATATCTTGGGTACTGGTCCCCGGACTCGTTGTCTTTTTATGTTTGTACTTTTGTTCATGTTATGTTCGCGTTAATTAAGATTTTGGAAATGTCGTCACTGCGTATTCGTCAATAATTCTGATGAAATTGACGTAATGGCATTGCTACTAATTAGTCACAAATCAGTATATATCGACTTTTCGTTCAGAAATCTTCGTTGTGTTACTTCATTAAATACTTGTATTGGTGTTCCATATTTTACGAAACGGCCCACTAAAACTTGATATTGCCGCGACATTGACGCACATTAGGCTTATTTAAACATTAAAGCAGTATCGTAGCTACTGAAAATGAATGAATTAAAAACACTTTAACGCAATTACAACACTCAACTTTGACGTGATGTGTGTGTTTCTTGCGTGTTCGCCAAAAAACCGCAAGTGTGTTGTGTAATGATTGATTCTTTGATTCGGTCGCCCGAGAGTATTATGTCCACGCCGGTTTACCAGATATTCGAATAGTAAACCGCTATTCTAATATTCGAATAATTTGCCAGCCCTTCCTAGTAACGAGAGAGCAATTATTAATTTAATTGATTTCATGTTAATAAACTCGCCTTTTATGTAATTACCTACACCAAAATCAGGACTTATCTTGTATTAATGTTTGGTACAAACGTTTGCGGCCCGCGACCGATTTCGTCACGTGAAAGTGGCCCGCGAGACGAAAAAGGTTGGGCAGGCCTGATCTATAGTAATACAGAATTCTCTATAGCATCATCGGTCAAGGCCGATATCTGATTACTTTGTTTAAAATTGTATTTATTTTCGTAATCGTTCGATTTTGATTATTTGAAATCCAGGGGGTTATTCAGTTCATCTGAATGTCACGATTTCGTTTGATTGACAGAATTCGTTGACTATATATTATGCACTTGCACAGTTTGTTCAGCAACAGTCCACTGGCAAAGTTACATATACATATTGTGATCAAGTGTTAGAATAGGGGCATTTGAACCGTAAAATCAGTATTTTAGAACATCAATAAGCATCTGAAAGAGAAGAGTAAACAATACAAGCAAAAATATCGAATTCGCGAGATCGCCACGCGTCAATGTGAAGACAGACGGCGCTGATTGACTTTCACTCGATTTTAAAATCATATTTGAAGTAACTTGGCACACGACTATGTTTACTCAGTGAGATGCGTTAGATCGAGTACTTGAACTTGATCACCTTTTCTGTTCACATTAAACACTTATTACACCTGAAATTGCATGTGATGATACACTTAAAAATATTTACATCTTTCGACAGTCAATACGTGGTTTTCCAAAATTCTATATAACAAGTTTGCGCGAGCTTGAGATTCCATACAGCTTTCATTGACGATATAGAACTATTTTCTCTCCAGCAGAATCGAAGCTAAGATTGTACCGTCAGCATGCGTTGTTTGATCCTCCTTGCTATTTTGAGTACGGCTACAGCATTGCCACTGAATTTTGGAACTTTCCGTAAGTTTGCTTTATAAATATTGTATAACAGATAATTGTTAAACGCCACAATACTTATTTCTTTCAATATAGTCGGATGTGGCGACACAGGTACCTCAGTATCCGCATCAGCTGTCGCCAAAACTTCGTTTGGTCCATGCGCTGAATTGCAGAAGCCTGACATTGTCTTCGACGATCCGTGTGTTGAAGTGAAGAAACCGTCCGTAGAGGTAAAATCTCCATGCACCTTTACACGACCTTGTTTCAGACGAAGCTTTATGCGCCGACGTTTTTCCTCGCCGTGCTTTACCAGAACAATCACACGTACACCGTGCGTGAGAAGAACCGTAACACCATCTTGCGTGAGAAGAACCATAACATCACCTTGCGTGAGAAGAACCAGGACGATCATTTCACAACCTTGTAGAACTATTACAAGAACGCCAAGTGGTTAGTAAACGTTTCGGACATATATTTTAGTATTTATACTTATTCCTAATTTACTAAACAAATCTCTTTTTATTATATTTTCAGTGAGACGCTCCTTCAGGTAAGTCAATAAAGTAATAACAAAACAAATTTTTGTTTTAATCTAGCTATGTTTATGTTTTTGATTTATTGCAATATTATTTACAGAATGAATGTTAAGAACGGGCAAAATAAAAAAAATTATTAATATTTACACTCAGTTATCCCTGCATCCAAAGAAGACCATGCGTCACGAGAAGAGTTATTAACCCATGCGTCACCACCAAGCAACCGTTCGTACCAAAGATAGTTGAAGATCCATGCATCACCACCTTCGAGCAACCATGCGAACCAACGATAGTTGAAGATCCATGCATCACCACCTTCCAGCAACCATGCGAACCAACGATAGTTGAAGATCCATGCATCACCACCTTCCAGCAACCATGCGAACCAAAGATAGTTGAAGATCCATGCATCACCACCTTCCAGCAACCATGCGAACCAAAGATAGTTGAAGATCCATGCATCACCACCTTCCAGCAACCATGCGAACCAACGATAGTTGAAGATCCATGCATCACCACCTTCCAGCAACCATGCGAACCAAAGATAGTTGAAGATCCATGCATCACCACCTTCCAGCAACCATGCGAACCAAAGATAGTTGAAGATCCATGCATCACAACCTTCCAGCAACCATGCGTACCAAAGATAGTTGAAGATCCATGCATCACCACCTTCCAGCAACCATGCGAACCAAAAATAGTTGAAGATCCATGCATCACCACCTCTCAGCAACCATGCGAACCAAAGATAGTTGAAGATCCATGCATCACCACCTTCGAGCAACCATGCGAATCAAAGATAGTTGAAGATCCATGCATCACCACCTTCCAGCAACCATGCGAACCAACGATAGTTGAAGAGCCATGCTTACCAGTTAGAACCATCGATCCGTGCGGTATAGTATATTTTTATTTGATTGAAAGAAAAGGTTAAATTTGTTATGGATGTTTTCCATAGTATGGTGTAACTTCGCACATTTCATGTATACACAATTTTAACTTGGACGAGAATTATCACATTCTATCTCCTATTATTTCTATCCTTTTATTTGTGATAAAATAAAACAATTTCACAATAATATTTATGTCCAATAGTTGGTGTCCGTGCGACCGCTTGTGCTAGTGCTTCGGCTTCAACATCGAGCACTTTTGGAACTGGCTGCAACGGAGGAGTAAGAGCTTCTGCAGGCGCTTCTGCTTTAACATCAAGCACTTTTGGAACTGGCTGCATCGGAGGAGTAAGAGCTTCTGCAGGCGCTTCTGCTTTTCATCATACTCTTTTTTGAGGTAAAATAAAAAATTTGAGAAGTGTGAATATCAAATTGTCAGTTAACAGATTAACAAATTGTCAGAATTACAGTTAATTGTTATACTAACACTAGAAAAAAATGATGTCATTCGATAAAATAAAAATACAATGAAAGCTACAAAACTTCATTTCTGGATTCAGATAATGTTTATCAATAATTTATCAAGGCGAACTAAAAACATCATTCTTCTACGCCCAAACTTCAAAACTTGGTTTGCGGGATATTTCCTTGCCACATCATTTCATTGTCACGAAAAAAACCAAACAGCATGCCAAGTACCACTATGCTTGTACTAGCCTCAATGTATATATATATATATATATAACACTCAATATGAACAAACTCCTCGTAAAATCTCAAATACAGATCGGCATGTGACAGTCAAGGTCGTCCGGGCAATTAACTACAAAGTTTAGAAGAATTATTTATGTAATATAGTCATATCATCACGTTATATTCCGGGGCCAAATCTTACATATTTCATTAGTGGTCAAATCAGATAATTAAAAGTATCAAAAACAGATTTTTTTTTTCATTTTTCACGATTTTTTTTTAAATTTGAGGTATAATTCATTCATAACTGTTTATTGCCTTTCAGGGTTCAATGAAACGCTGTGTCAACCTTGGGATAGATAGATGGTGTAAGTAACTAAATCTCAGTGAAGTTTGGTTTAATACATGAATGCGAGACCTGAGTGAAATTGGGCTTTTATATTTTACTCCATGAGTAGGAAAAACCAATGAGACAACTATGGCCTCTTCTCTGGTAATAGAAGAGTATAGGAATAGTTGGTCAGATAAAAGTTCTTGAAACGTAGAAATGATGGTGGTCATGATTTCGGCCAAATATACAACATTCTATGGTTTCAAGAAAGTCGCCATTGATGCACTCATTAACTAAAAATCATTTGTTAATTTTTAATTTTGTCTCATTCCAGGTGGTTTTAGAATAGATTCTCTTGAATCCCAGGGAGACAGCTGGAGTCACACGCTCCTTTAATGTTGGAAAAAAGTAGTCAAAAAGGAGAGCGACTTTATTGTTTCTTTTTTCTTTGAATGTTCTCTTCCCTTGTGTTCATGCTTGCACGCTATTTTGTCTGATTAATTCTCTTGTGTCTTCGTTTGTCTATCTGTATTAGAACCTAAATATTTGAAAACTAACTTTTTGATATATTAAGGTTTTTTCGTGTCTTTCTGTGTTTTGTCTTGTCTTGAATATATATCAAAATCGCCTCCAGTTGTGTTGCCAATTTATTGTACATGTTTTCATCAGTGAGCTATTGACCTGTAGCGGGTGGACAGTCTAACTTGCAAATTTCAGTCATCGCTTTTTCGTGACAAAACGATGTTCTTTAGTGCTATAGAAAGATAGCGAGGGGTATAATAGGAACTACAAGGCCTGTTATCGCTATATAATATGATCTGGTGTAATGTCGAATTCAATTTTCTGCTATAATCGCTCCTTTCTGACATTAGCTCATTTTTATAGATCTATGCAACATAAGGAGCCAATTATAGCATAAAAACGTTCAAACCACAATGCAATTAGAGAACATAAGCGTAATATATATTTTTCATTTATATAGCAAAACATCCAAGTTCGACCCTTTTTTGTTTTTACAACATACTTACGGTTGTTACGTTGTGCACCTATTCTAGCAATGTTTAGAAGAATTAAGATATCAATTTTGTTTCGATGATCTTACGAAGACCAGTACCACGCAGTCGTTCTTAAACATCAAAAACTCGAAACATAAGAGCCATCTCTCGACCACTGACTGGCGCAACAACAACAATAGTAAATTAATAATACTATACAATTCAGGTCCATTTCGTGTAGAATAATGTCATGATAAATCATTCCTTAATTTCGCAAAAGTAAAGCTGCCTAATTTCTAGCGTGTTATTTAATTTCTATAAAACATATTCCGGAATCGATATATATATAGCTAATTGTCTTATTTTTTATCATATGATAACATGGTGGATTAAGAATAAACTACACGCTTAAGACTGCATGGGCAGTGGCGTAGCATACACTCCCGCGGTCGCGGGAGGGCCCGCAGCGCAAAGGGGCCCAAGCGGTTAGAATTTAGAAATGTAAGCCGCAAAACCAAAAGTTGCATTGCAAAACCAGTAATGCACATCTAACGTTGATGTTAGTTCTGTTCGTAACAATGCCAGGGAGTCGTCGGTTTTCGGCGTCTTGTGGTCTGACCCCACCGGCAAAATTACAATTATGTTTATCTTTTAATTTACCGCCCAACTTGACTACGAATTATTCCCTTTTTTGAAGCTTTATACTCTGTATTGTCTTGTTTATGGTCTTATGGATAGTGGGTAATAAATAAAGTAACTTCATAGTATGGGGTTCATTTTTATTGATGTTAGCTGCCTGTTCTATTTAGTGAGAAACTAAATTGAGACAAATTCTGAGTTGAATCGGATTTAACAACAAAAGTTTGCTCGAATTAAGGTCGCTGGTCTTCAACTAAGAGCAGTGCGATCAATGATATAAAAAAGTTGAAGAAATTCTGACACGCAAAGATCCACGTATAGATTTACTCGTGTGGAACAGATGTCAGCGGACGCGTGGAGGACATATATTATTTCCAAGAAAAAAACTTTACCACAGAAAAATCATTAGTAAGCGAAATTTCGTTGTGACAGTTTTTATTGTCATGCCTGCAGTAAATTAATTCAGTTGGAGCCAAGTCATATCTGGCAAAGACCATTGGTCGCAGTTTTTGGATTTTTAGTAAACTTTTCATAATATGATAGCATTCCTCGCGTTATGACTTGGATATCCTTTTTGTATTTTGGTTTTGAGTCGCGTAGTTCAAACTGAGCAAATTGCCACCTGACAAGCCTATATTTCTTATGTATATATCAGTAATGAATATGGAAAGGGAGATTTTACACGCTTATCAGCGTTTGCACACAAAAAGCAATGTGTTTTAAGCAATAACATCCACTACCTAAATCGTTTTTAGATGGCTTTGTTTACAAATTAAATGGCAAGATTGGGAATGAGATTGAATTTACATCATATTGTCAACCCCCCCCCCCCCCTGAGACGGAGGTAAGCGTAGGCTGATTGCTAATTATTAGTTAATTGATTGATGAATGTCGGTATTTGATTGGTCGATCGCGTCGACGCTTTTAGGCGGGAAAGTAAGAAAGCGTCGTGACGTATTCGTACAGTCACAGAACTGCGAGACGCCAGGGGGTTGTTTTGTTCTACCAGCTACGTATCTGTCTCGCCGTGTAACATAAACAGGTAAGCGAGTAAAAATTTGACTACATCTATAAACTTTCGCCATTTCAGTGACCTAATCTTTAAACACTTTATAAATAAATGTATAAAGCAATCTGTTGTTGAAGTGTTCATCAAACGCGGTTCGTGTATGAAATTTCAAGTATATGTAAGTTTGACTGCCTAATTTTCTATCATTTTATGTGTAATTTACGCTTAAATAACGGATAGTTCAGCTTAGTTAATATAAATAAACTATTTGAAAACTCCCCCGATCACTTATTGACAGAGGTCTTTCTGTTGTATCGTAAGTTTTTTTTTAGCTTGTAGCTTCTGTGCGACAGCTAATAAGGTTGAAATGGTCGTTGTCAAATCAATGTTGAGGTGTAATTGTGCTCAGGACTGCGTATTTCAAGGTTCGTATTAATTTATTTTATTATTATTTTCTCCTCCCGATTTTAGACATGTCTTATTCATCTTTGCCCGTTATAACGTCATCAAAAAATTTATTTTGAGATTGATGCAAAATTATCAAAGACCCCTTCCTCTCCTGTCCGAAAGAGTTTCTAAGCTACGGGTCGCAACAGTTACAAATTACTATGTCAAAATTTGATAATTGGCTTAACATCCCATTAAGTTTAATATTTTATTGAACACGAAGTAGCCATATAGATCGTTTTGTTATTGTAATGTTGTTTTTATTAGTTGTCTTGTTATGGTTGTGGGAAAATAGTTTTTCTCCTCAACTACCGTACTGAACAAATTGCTTCAAAATATGCAGTGTTTGGAGATTGTTGATTGGTTAAAGGGAATATGTTGGTGTTAGAGTTTTTTTTTGATTTTGTTGTTGTTTTGAATGGCCTTTCTTTCCGATTACTAGACCAATTGCTTTGATAGTTTTAGTTGTTGCTGAAATGCTATTACTTTTATTTTTTTCAAAAATTTCTGTGTGCTCTGTGGGATTTGCCTCTCACTAGGTAATGGCGTCATCAAAATTATAAATTGCGCATTTTGTGGCGATTCCGCGTTTGTTGTCGTTGCGATTTGGTGCTCACAAGAAGTCGAAGAGACCACAATTTCGCATCGGTAATGTGACAGATTAGATACCCGTAGGCCTACTATTTTGCTTTGGCTTTCGTGTCCATGTATTTGAGCATTGCTTCTTTGTTTTATAAATTGTCGTCCTGGTATAAAATTCTGTACTGCGCATTCTGTAATTGCGCATCTTGTGGCGATTCCGCGTTTGTTGTCGTTGCGATGTGGTGCTCACAAGAAGTCGAAGAGACCACAATTTCGCATCGGTAATGTGACAGATTAGATACCCGTAGGCCTACTATTTTGCTTTGGCTTTCGTGTCCATGTATTTGAGCATTGCTTCTTTGTTTTATAAATTGTCGTCCTGGTATAAAATTCTGTACTTCAAGTAGGTCAAAATGAGTATATAAAAGTATGAAAATCGATTTTCAATTGGAACGTAATATATAGGCCTACGGTATGCGCGGAATTCCGACTAACAAAATCCTATTGTGAAATTTTTCTAATCGTGAATACTATGGTAACACTTTAAAAAGATGTAAGCAGCCGGGTATAAACTTATTTTGGAATGATATGTATTGGTACTACGGTTGCATTTAATTGAAGGTTGACAATTAATAAATTTTAGTATGTACTCTGTGTTCTCCGATTCGAATTCATGATCTTAATCTGTGTTTTGTTCATCATTTTGCTACAGACTTTCATTTCCATTTCAATATTATTTCGATAATAAAGAAAATATCCGAGGCAATGCCAATAAATAACATGACACGAAAGAAGGTAAAACATATATAACAGTTGTATCACCCCTCTCAGCATAATGCTGGTTATCACATGAAACAGGTTTGTTTCCAATGGAGACAAGCAATATATCTGATTTTATAAATTGCTCATCCGCCATTCCAATTTTGCATAATAAAATTGAGGATAAGAAATCGGATAATATATAAGATTTTTTTCTGTAGGTCTGAATAATATATATATATAGCTGTGTGTTATAACTCCCCAATTAATCGTAATTGGAAACAATACAATTAATCGTAATTGTATTAATTAATTTAATTTTTAGAAATTGGAAGACTATGCAGTGTCGTGCCACAAGGAAAAATATCATGGGAAGATATGTAGGGTTGAATTGATGGGAGCATGCGCTCGACTAACAGGTATGAAGATGAAACCCGTATTTTATCCGCAATTTTGCAATAAATGCTATTATTCATTGTTTGTTGGACACAAAGCGGACATATGAATCGTTTTGTTATTATGTTGTTGTTCTTGTTATTATTTTTTCTTATATTTGTTATGAAAAATCGCTTTTCTGATTAACTACTGGACCGATTGCCGGAAACTGAAGAACCAATGAAAATTTTCAGTGGTTTAAGATTGTATTTTTTGCTGAAAGGTTACTACTACTTTTATACATTTCAAAAATTCCTTTGGGCTAAATGGAATTCGTTTTTTGTGTGCGATGACGTCATCAAAAAATTTCCCGCCTTGTGACTGTTTCGCTTCCGAGTTAGTTGTGAAGATTGCCGTACCGATAGTCTATTGTGACAGATTCGCGTACCTGTACTACTTCGATTCGGCTTTCGTATCCATATATTTGAGAATCATTCTCTTGTTTTTGTCTTAGTCTTGTCTTGTCGGCCCATTAGTTGCAGCATGAAAATATCAACAACAACAGCAATAACCCCAACAACAACGATAAGAAATTGACAATACAATCCAGATCCATTTAGTCCTCAATAGTGCCGTGATAAAAGTTCATCCATTTCGTTAGTTAAGTTGAGTTGTGTCACTTCTATAACACAATTCCAGCATTAATGTATTTAACAGATTCGTTTTATATGAAACGATAACACATCGTGTATAAACACTTTTTTATTCTCTATACCATGGTTCCCAACCGCCGGTCCGCGAAGCTTTTTTGCCGGTCCGCGAGAAATTTCGTTGTTTTGTTGTTTTTATGCAGTCTCAATCGCTTTACCGTAGACAAAGTTGCGTTGGCTCATTACGCAATTCTCTTCCTCCGTCATATTGCGACGTCTTTCGAGACATGTTGGCGCCGTCTTACGCGACATCTTGGCGCCGATCAATTACACTTTTCGCTTTTTCGGCTCCGATTCATCGCGAATGCGCTCCATCAAATCTCGCAAAATTGAAAAGCAAAAAAATCGGTTGGCTGCGGCTGTTCTGCGTGCTTTTCCTGATTAATATGACCATCCATATAAAACGTAATGCATATCTCCTTGCTTAAACCAGAAAACTGTCAAGAACAGTATAATGTTCCAGTAAGACCCCACAGGTGGTCAAGACGCGCAAAAAGCATAGGCCGCAGAGATCTTTTCCAGACACCGTAGATTTTGAGCCTGTTGCCAAGTTATCGACGACTTTGTCATTGTAATGTAAATTCATTTCGTTTGAGGCGTCGATCAACTGCAGAGGGATTAATATGATAAACCCAATGAAAAAGAAAAGGCTTGATTAAAATAGCAATTCTACTTTAAAGTCCAGATTAAAAAAGTATTACTTATCACAATTTTCCATGATAACGAATCCCCATCGCCAAGTAATCGAGCAATCAAACTGTTGTCCGTCTTTTCAGCCAGTTACTGCGTTATGCGAAAAAACATTTTCACTAGATTCAATTAAAACGAAGCAAAGAAATCGACTGCACGCGGCTGCAGAGCTACGTGTTGCAAAAACTTCTTTGAGGCCTCGTTTGCAATCTTATATTGGAAACGAAACAGCAGCAAAATTCTCACACGAGTTAATTGTGCATGTCTTTAATGAGAGATATTTTATGCGTGCATTTCATTGCATCCTATTACGAAAATAGATGTTATTCTTTTCTTTTCCGGCCATTTCAATTTTTTGCCGGTCCGCGAGTAGGCTACATTTAATCTAATTTTACCGGTCCGCCAGGGTAGAAAGGTTGGGAACCGCTGCTCTATACCCTTGGCCTGGTTTCAGTCCATTTAGCTCTGATCAATTACGGAGTATATCAATAATATGGAGCCTGTTTTATTGATGCTTACCCACGTGCTCAGTAACAAAATATTGGATCCATGGACAGATACTTAAGACCTAGGTGGAAACACTTTAATTCTGGCAGACGTCAGACATTTTTTCATTGTTTAGGAAAACATCAATTAACGTCCAGCCTTATTTTATGGTCCAAATGTAAAACACCTGAGCTTGCCATCTCAACTCAGTGTGACCCCGCTAGATTTAATATTAATCACCGAAACTCCGGTTGCGTGATAAAATTTTATGTTTGATAAAACATAATAAACGCTCAATTTAACACATGCTCGCACCGTGAGTTTGGAATGGAAATTTATACGCCATTTTCGTACGCTTTTCTATAATTTATGTATATTTTACTACAGGATTTTGAGGAACGTCTTCGCCATGAAATAGAAGAGAAACAAAGTAAGTACAAATATGTTTTCTAATCGTTTCTTGCCCCATTCAAACGCACTAAGAAGTATCGTGAAAAATTTGATAAAATGGAGATTTTGTATTTCAATATTGATCGGATCGGATTCCAAATTATTGTATACGATTTGAATGGAGATTTGGCTTATTTTTATTTATTAATCAGGCCATCTTTCCAATTGGCAATTTTAGCATCCCTATAAAGCAGAAATTGTCAACTTCTTTTAGGGAAATCATAACTTTTCGATTTAATCTGTAGCTGCAAACATTTGTATTTGTTTCCACTCCCAAATTTATTCTCGATAATTATTACATCATATATATTTGTATTAACATACATTATAATGTCGTTTCAAGTATGTATTATTATAAATATTTTCGAACAGAATCACGAATTCAATACTGTCTTCTGGCTTTCAAATTCAAATAGACGTTTTTAATTCATTGCCGCCATTTTCTGCTGGTCGATTTTTTTTTCTGCTAAAATGTGTCTCCACACTGGCTTAAGACAATATAAGTATTCATCCATGATCCTCTCGTCATCCTTTTTTCATTTTGTTTCCAATGATTCGTGTGATTTTCCAATGTAACAAGAATATGTCATGCCGCACAGAGATTTGCCTTCAACTTTTAGTGAAATAATTTAAGCAAAACTGACTTAGACCAAGGGTTACCTCAAATAAAACATTGATATTTTTTGTTAGGATTTCACAACAAGACTCTAATATTGTGCTCTATAATTAGGTGCCCGGAGACAACAGAATTACTCCGACAAGAAGAAGATGCCTCAGAAGAATTTATTTTTGATTTACAAATTGTTTACTGCTTTCTTATTGGCTTGATTTTTTATGTTGTTACGCGTTCGCGGCTCGCTTATTTTGGCTAAATGCAAAGAGCTGCGGATGCTGTGGCGCGTAGTTCTGAATCCTTACAATTGTGTTTTGTGGGTGACTGTGGAGTTAAAGAATTTACACCTGACTCCTGCTCAGAGTCGTTTTAAAACGACTCCGGCTTTAGAGATAGAGAATTTCAACTTCCGCATTCAGCTTCCATCTCCCGAAGACTGAATTTAGAGGTGCTTATGCTTTTGCAGCGGTGCGAATTCACGGATAGGTTTGTGAAACCCTGCGCAGATTCCATGTGCTGCAAAGCAAATATGATCCATAATATGATGGCGACAGTAAAAGACTTTATTTCCAAACACGGGCCAACAGAAAAAACACGTACAATTTTAACACTATAGCGTGACCGGAACAGAATTACACGACACAAAGTGGTCACGTTGTAACCTGAATAAGCAAAAACATAGTCGGTCTGATGACCCATGGGGAAGTAGAGAAAGAAGCTCCAACCACGCAAATTCTAGCACATTATGAAGTATATTTATTTCACAAAAGCAATCAAGTATATAACAAACAACTTCAATTCCAACCACAAAATTCTTGTTTCCGCGAAATGAAATTGAGGTGCAGTCTGGGGCTTTTCACAGAATTTTTCTGTAAATATTCTCTGGCAATCTCTAACTAACTGACTATTAGTAAATCCCGTCGCTTCAGTTATGGCACGGCAATGCTTGTCCTTAGTGGCAAAACGTAATAATTTATAGCAAGAGAGAAACATAAATTGGGCAACAAATACCGATCCACCTATCTCTCAAACAGTCTTATATCCACATGACATCAGCAAATCGTACAACGAACGGGACAGTTACACTTCGAACAAACTTGTCTGTCACAACTATAGGATCAGAATTAATTAGACCAGGGTGACAAACTCGCGGGCCCCATGTGGCCCAAGAGAGCTTCCAATGCGGCCCTCGAACGCTCAAAAATAATTGTAATATTTTGTAAGTTTTTACATTTTTCAAACCTTTCAGAGGAATTGATTCACACAGAAAATGACAATTTACTGAAAGTAGTTTGAAAATTAAAATTTTTTTTTTTTTCAATTTTACCCAATTATGGATACACCTCAAGCTAGCAAAAGAATACTTACTTGAAACGCATAGTACATGAAGAAGGTGGCATTTTTGAAGAAAAATGGGAGTTGCAATATTTCTGCATTTCTCAAAATTTGTCACATTCACATCCGTACAATGAATGAAAGAATACAAACAACATTATCATAGCTCATCAGCAGTCAATATGACGAATTTATAGATCAACTTCGAACGGAAACTTTTTATGTGTTTGTATATCATTAGAATTATACAACTACCTAGTTACTAAAAATCAATATCAATCATAATAACTCAAGCGGTCCTATATAACGTAATGGTAGGAAATGTGACGGGAAAATGTCGGGTCCGAAAAGTCATTTGTTTGTTTACTGATCTATACATGAAATGATAAACGTAATATTTTTGCATCACTGAAATAAATCGAACATTCTCAACGATCCAGATTAATCGATGATCTTGTGACCTCGTTAATTAGAGTTGGTACTGCGAAATCATTTCATCCTGTTTTTCATAAGCTGTTGACGCAAAAGAGACGCCAAACGTCGGGGCATATTTAAATGATGAAACATTGAGTTTATTCAGAATTACTAATAATAACAAGAACCCATAGGACCCACAACAAGTTTTGAAATAAATAAAAGAGCGATGTTCAAATATATAAACATGAAAGTCAAAAGAAAGCAGTAGAGTCCGTTACCTCTTTACGGTACCTTACATATATATAGTCTGGTACAGTCAGCACGAGAGAGGTCGCAGACCCGCTACGAACAATTTTATTAATTTTGAAGTGTTCATAAGACAGCACATGTCATAGAGGTAGAGCATACGGAAAGTTTTATAATAAATCTAAATTAAAAATACAATCTTCAATCACTGAAAATGTCGAGCGATCCAGTAGTGATTTTTTCACAACAACGTGAAGGAAATTACTGACAACATAATAACAAATCAATCCATATGTACATTCCGTGTCTGAGTCGCATGGCTTTCGTTTTTACTATATACGTATTGAGGAGGTCAAGGATGGCATTTTCGGTATTATGATTCTACAAGCTTGTTTACGTTTTTTCCCTAAAGCGATTATGATGAATTAGTAACGTGGGGTGAATACGCTTGTCACAAGGCTTCTTTGTCTAAGACTGCTGTCTTGATATTAGCGTTGTATTTATAACGTGCTGAATCGAGTTATAAATATTGGGATCAAGCTTTTTTTTCCACGTTCATTTCCATCCGTAAACTATGACCCATCAATTGCACCCAGTATGCTTGACCCATGGACGTCGACATTGCATCGATGAATTGCATCGTTGTTAATTATATCATATAGGTATTGAAAATCAAATCATATTTACAAATAATAAATATAATCCTGATTAGGTTTTTTATTCACATTATGAACAGGGACCATTGTACCAAAATCATCTTTGTTGTCGTATATTTTTTTATCAACGCCGTAACACAGAAGTACTATAATCATGAATCGTAAATCCCAGTATACCAGCGGTTCCAAAACTATGAGTCACGACCCACTGGAGGGTCGCAAAAGGAATCTTGGTGGGTCGTGAAGAGATGTAGAAAGCTTTGATTAATTATACTGGTTATTAGGATCGGTGGCGACTCGAATACGTAAATCTTCAAACAATAAAAAAAATTAAATTGAATTTAAGTTCTAATCTGTGAAAGTTTCCTTTTTACAATCTTCTCAAAGGAACAAAATTTTGCTACACAAAGAATGACCATGTGGCTTTTTTTAGGCATGGCAGTTTTGTACACTGTACAGCACTTCATATCGTGTTTCTCTGAAATTTAGACAGGATTTAGATTTATTTTCTTTCGAAGAAGAACACAATGTTTTTTTTTGGAAGAGGTCTTTTGTGTTCATACATTAAAAATAAAATTACATTGTAGAAAAGCACGGGGTTTTTTAATAAACAATATATAAAAACCGACATCCATTGTTTTTATTTGTATTTCCTATAAAAAAATTAAAGGACAAATATCATAATCGTGATATCAAACAATCTTGAATAGTGGTGTGATCTCCACCTTACCTCGGGTTATTGAACCTTTCTTCTCCCACACATTTCAAATTTATTTTAAGGGTAGGGTTTATTTAAAATCATTTTTATAATTCAAATTAGGTCTTATTTTCAGGGCAGGTCTTATTTTCGAGGAAACACGGTAGTTTTGCGATGATTAGCCATTGCTGTGTTTTGTGTTATGTCATAAAAATTAAATGGGTCGCCATAAGCTGTGGTAATAAATAGCGGGTCCCAACTCTAAAAAGTTTGGGAACCATGCACTGCAGTATACAAGTAATAGAAGTAACATAAGGGCTGCTTATGGTGTTTGTTTAATACACGCTGACGATTAAACCGTATAAAATGAATTGTATTTTCGTCATGAATTGTACTAAAAATAAAATATTGCATACGAAAAACTGGGCTATAAAAACTGGTAGGAAGGGAAAACACAGCGAACGAGAAATTACCTCGATCCAGATGAAGCCGAACTATTCATCGGTCCATTTTGTGTTCAATAGCAGCGAAGAAATGATTCGAGAATAACCACATGCTCTATCATCGTTTTCATTTTTGACAAATAACATCCCAAAATAATTAATATATATAAATATCATCCATTCTTTATATTAACCATTTTGAAACTACTTTTAAAACAGTCTTTATTTTCCTTTGTATAGAACCAAATCTTCAGTGATTCCACTTTTCTCGGTGACATAGATTTATCAAATAAGGGCCGAGATGCAGATTCCGGATTATAGTTCGGATTGTAAATGTCATCGATATTAATTCCATGAACAATTCTACACAGTTGACATAAATCATGTTTTCTTTTAAATATTGGAAATTCTTCTATTTTCATGGTTCGCCACCTAAACATATATATATTTACATTAAGATACAATAAGGTGGGAGTCCTCGGTCGCGTTGAATGGTGGCAGCCATCCACGCGTCACTAGCAAACCTCATATAAAACTAAAGTCATTTTTTTTATTGCCATACGCAATTTCTGTCGGATTTTATAGGAAACATAGATGGAGTAATAATTAACATTCTGTGGTTGAATGAATTAAGTCCACATACAATACAGTCAACAAAGTTTTATCAAGCAACTTGAATGAAAGGGTAACGTTATGAATTATTATTATACTTATTTTGTATTATGTGGCGAAGAAAATTATTTTCTTCAATGTCGAAATAGTAGGACGGTAATTTGGTGATCATACTTTCAATATTTTAAAACTAATAATTTATGTGAAATCAAGGTTACAAGTAATGCTCTATCTTAAATCCTATGATTGTATTGAAATAGTCAGGTTGGTCATTAATAAAAACATGTAAGCGTTACATTATATTTGCATATTTGGAGATTCTGGCAAATATTTTATGGAAACATTTTGTTCGTATCTGGTAATTCACCGCAAAAAAATTCGCCGTAGGAAATCTCGCCGTATAGGAAAATTCGCCGCAAGAGCATTTTGTTGTAAAACAAGTATCTGTGATGATAACAGTTTTATTAGGTTTATTGCGTATGCTCTTAAATAACGAATCTTTTATAAAGAAAAAGGTATTTCAAAAACCTAGCTGTTTTTAACACAAATACTCGTTTTACAGCAAAATGCTCATACGGCGATTTTTCCTATGCGGCGAAATTTCCGGCGGCGAGATGTCTTACGGCGAAATTTTCTGCGGCATTTTGTCGGCCAAATACGAACTAAAAATACTGAAAAGAATGAGCTAATTACACTCTTACGAACTGATTGAATAATGTACCCCAAGGTCGGTAAATTCAATTTGGTTTCAAAAGTTTTCAAATCAACTAAATCGTTTGCCACAGTACGTAATTAATTCATTGCTATCTATGTCTGAGAAAGACAATGGGGGACTATAAATAATAAGGCAACATACCTAAAATACTCCAAATATGCTGTGTCATTTTTATCGAGATAATCCAAATAGTCAATCAGAGCTTTTGTCGAGACAAAATCTTCAACGAATATGAAAGATCCAGGAGGTGCCACTTCTAAATAATCTTCTTTTGTTGCTCCCCATACCACAGGTATGGCATTGCCGTGAAGTGCATTTTGAAAGAATTTTTCTGTTATGTAGTCTCTACAGTGGTAAGAATTTTCGAAAGCCAAGAAGAATTTATAAGGTTTCACAAAGTCTGCTATCGAATTTTTCGTTCGTGGTATTACTTTACCGAAGCAGCTTCCAAATGTTTGCAATCTACCTTTCGACTCAATCATCATTTGTTGAATGAAATTTAATCTGAAAATTGAGCTTGGTGAGTCTTTACAATTTGTTACAACAGCGGCTGCCCACAAATTCTTCGATGGCAGTATCTCCGTTAAATCGTTGCTCTGTAAATCCGACATTTTGTAAGTTCGAAAGATGCTTGTTATATATGGCCGGTATATATCTGAATCTCTTCTGCAAAGTAATTTATTTCGGTAACAATTACCACTTTGTTTCTAAAATCCGAGGTGTCTTAGTTTAGTTTTAAAAATCGAATATTAGTCCAGAGGCTGTGATAGACCAGGTGGATAAAACCAGGTGGATAAACTAGGATAAAACCAAAATTACAGATTTGCTTGTGAGCGTGATGAGATGTTCGCAAAATCACTTTCAAAATAAGCAATAAAATGGTAAAGTATAGAAAGCAATTTTCTGTAATTAACGGTCGGGGAAACATCTATTTGAAACAATGAAAAATGTATTTAAAATTATTGGTCAACCTGTAAGTCATGGTGGCATTGAATTTTACATAATCTTCAAATTCGAACGTTTTTCCGTGGTTTTGCTTCAAATTATTTGGACTCTCATTCGTCCAATACACGTATAGCTGATCGGTTCTCCTATAATTAATTAAATACAAATTTAAACCAAAAAACTTTTTTAAGGAGGAAATGTCGTAATAGTATTCAATTCATCAGATCGAAGAAAGCGAGAAGGATACGACAAGCGGAGGATTCTTACAAGTTTGTGCGAACTTGTTCTTGGAATTTTGTTTTAGAAGTTAGACTACCACATCAATGCGTAACGTGCAACACACCTGGCGAATAGTTTTCTATTTGTCGTTTTGAATTTTATTATTAGAGTTATGTAAAACGTGTAATGTTAATGTAGCTTACACAGTGACATAATGCCTTTTCTGGAATGGGGGAACATGTTGTTAGTAAGTCCGGTACAAATGAGAACTTGTTCAATTAATTATGAATCTCATCATTGGACACCGGATTACTACGAAAAATATAACGAGGAAATAAATGAAAAGTAGAATGAATATATGTACCTCTTTTGGGGCATTATCCCAGGATGCACAAACTTATACAAAAAGATCACAGCAGCCGTATCCGGAGCTTCAATCTGTAAAAACATCTCGAGTTTACTTTTTCAGAAATTCTAAAAAATAGTGGTTACGAAATTTCATGGATGGATTTGGATTTTTTTTATCATTTGATCTTATTGTTTTGAATCATCAATGGATTCAATCATGATCAATGAATATATTCAATTTCAGTCAGTTCTATCAGCAAGTATTAAAAAGTACACCTACTTTGCTCTGATTTAAAGAAAAAACGCAATTTCCACATTCTTGAATGGGACTATATGTCGAGTGAGCATCGTCAATATAAGTCTGCAACCTCGCTATTTCAGCAGACGATTCTCCTGGCCAGAACAATATTGTCTGAAATATAAAAAATGAATTAGGCCTTCTAGAAAGTTTTTAACGTTTGTGAGAAATTGGACTAGATTATTTGTTTCAAGTTCTGTGCTTTGAATATCATTTTGTGTTATGCGAGAATTATATCGTATTGAGGTTTCAAATAAGATTACTAAGAAATTTACTAGCGTTGAAGTAACTGCATTTTTCTATACAATAGATGTTTTTGGCATCAGTGGTGTCAGTGCACGTAAATCATTCATTTGACTAATATAGTTGTTTATATTAGATTCATTTGTCTCCAGTGTTATTCTGGTAATTCAAATATTATTTGCTTATCGACCGTCAAAAGAATTGCCACGTTGTAATATATTTTAGAATCCCATAGACAGCGCTGTTGAGTAGGAAAGAATCGTCTCCGATTGAAAAATAGGTACTCCTGAAGTATGCGCACCAAGATGTCGCATAACCTGGACCCTAACCTCGTACACAACCTGAGTTCAGGTTGTGCGCATACTTCAGGAGGTCCGAAAAATATTTATTACGAATCCGAATTTTAAAACACTACGGCTCCCGGGAAAATTCCTACTTCGGCTCCGATATAAAATTTCGGTATCAAAAACTTAGGATTACGCACGCCGTCTTCAACAGATTGTTAAGAAAGCTCTGACAACTTATTTTTAAGTTCAATATCACTGTTTGAACTCTAACATTTCGACTCATTTTGTTGAAAATTTCGACTTTGAAATTGCTACTCAATAAAATCATGCCAAACTTGGACTCCACGGTGCTACTTGTAGGACCAGTGTGGGTGAGAAGTTTCTTTCCCAAATTATCTTGTTAAAGTCTCGTAATATGTTGAAGTGTTACCTTTGGTTCTTTAATAGCTTTGCCTAATGCTCGTTGCAACTTCCTCTCTTCTGGTGTGATATTATGCTCATTGATATGGTTATCCGGATGGTAATTTGAATGGTGCGTGGAAAAATAGAACAGAGCCTCCAATATACAGATTGCGGCAAGGATTTTGAAGTATACAATCTTGAACTTCATATTCCATGAAACAACAGCTAGTCCTACGCCTATTTGTTTGGGACCGAAACATCTAAATCATTGTCTGAAACAGTGATTTTTGAACTATTTTGCCACAAAGTACAGTAATTAAAAAGGCATGATTTAAATTCTAATTATGCGTATCCATGACTGAATATTATATGTTAGGTGGGCTTACTTGAAAATAAGTAATGAATAGTTGTGTATCTGAGCACCGCTGCTTTCTTTTAGCTGGGTCAACAGTCCATATAAAGCATGGTATGATTGTACACCACACTAAGAATTCATGCTTTCAAACTTTATTTGCAATTTGTTCAAACAGATGTATGCTGACTCACTTAACTATAGCGCTGATGAAAACGAAAGTTCCTGATTTGTTTTATTGACTTTCGCTTTCTAGATCAAACACATTAAAACAAGCAAAAATACATTTGAATTAAAGGTAAACTAACATAGGCACAGTCGTGTTCAGAGAAACACCAAACGTGCTAGTTATCGAGTTCAGCTATGTTTAACTATTCCCACCCAATCCGTCTGCTTTGAAAACATGCCCTGAATGTTGTCTAACAACGTACAATTCACAAAATTAAGCTGGTATACGCTGCTTTATGAACCCTGCCTTCACCACTAAAGATGCAAAATCAGACGATTATACTAAATGTAGATGTGCCGTCGAGCAGCTAATTTCTTGTTTCGCCTCCGGCGAATTTGACTTGTGAATTAGAATATGCTTCACAATGGCACTCCAGTAAAAAATATAAATATATACCGGAACGTATGAACCACGCGATATATCGCACTTATGTGCAACAAAAATCTCGCTGTTTGCAAAACTTGGAGAAGTAAGTCCCTGATTTTCATTTCAGGGGTATATTATGGAAAGTCCTTCTGCTGAACGTGCAATAACGCACGAACAATGAAATTTGTGCTGGTCATGTATAAATGCGATTGAGTGATAGTTTTACTTGAGTCAGTGAGATTTCCATGTTTGTATATTTTTTAGTATGTTACATTCAAAAAAGCAGTTGGCCTTGTCCTGGTCTGAGGGCCTTCTTCCAATATAAACCTGCAAGCTGAACCATCTCAGTTTTTCATGTTAGAATGAGATTGAGAAGAGACGTTGCCAGCAGTTAGATTTGTGACCTGGAAGTTAGACTCATTATACGCTTATTTTACTTACTACTGAGGTATTATTACTTCGTCCATTGTTCCCATTAAGATAACTAAATAAAATATACTGATTTCTAAACTTGTGTGGTCGCGAATATCCGTGATTTTTCAGTTTACGAAAATTGGGGCCGATAAAAAAGGTTGCGAATCACTGGGTTAGTAGGTTAATGGAAGCAAGAGAGAAAAGCTCAAATATATGGACACGAGGACCAAAACGAAATATTTTACCCACAATTTCCTCCAAACCATATCTTGGATGAATTCGGCAGCGTCGAATTTGACATTAGCAAAGGTAGATTGAAGCATAGAGGCCTCTCAATGCTCGGTGCCTCGGCATTCAATTTTGAACTGCTATTCATTTTTAAAAATTTGTTCATGACATCATAATGTATTTAGTATGTTAGCTTTGAGGTCTATTATGAAATCATTATTGATTCCACAAGCTTGTGGTGTTGAAGTGGGTCTCACGAATGAAATAGCCTACAGCATAGGTTCTCAAAGTGCTCCGTACGGAGCCCCAGGGCTCCGCGAGAGAAACCCAGGGGCTCCGCGAGCTATTCGATTACTCTTCGAAATACTGACTCAAAATTTTGTAACTGTTGAAAGAAGCAATAACAGCGTTGATAAAATCTGACAACAATACAGCCTCGAAATATGGTAAAGAGGCTGAATTAAAAATGACATTATTTATAAGCAGGAGCGCAGCCAGGATTCTTAAGAGGGAGGTGGTTCAAAATTGGAATCGGAAATTTCCGCGCAACATTCTTCGCCATTAAAAAAACGGATAACGAGATTTCTGTTGCGTAAAATATTCAATCCATGACCGATGCGAGCATTCAACGTGTCTCTTCGTTATAATGTAATAGTGATCATCGTTACTCAAGTTTGATTCGAGATTAGTATTAGTATTACTTAAATGAAAGAATACCATTCTAAAATAACATAAAATATGTAATAAACTGCCAACAATAAATAAAGTGGAGTCGTATTTTCGCGATCTTGGGATTTGTCAAACTTGATTTGTTCTTTCGCACCTGAGATTATTTTTAAGCAGGATATCGCCGTTTAAAAAATCACAATGTCTGGGCAAAATACGAACAATTAGAATTTATTTTATTGCATTCGGCTCCGTCGGTAGTTTCAGAATGAAAAAAGGTACATCGCGGATCGCGTGCACAATTGATTGCGTGCGGCTTCGTCGGTAGTTTCAGAATGGGAAAAAAGGGTACATCGCGCGCACAATTGACTGTGTTTCGATTTCGCAGTTACTACGACGAAAACCTAACATAACAGCAAATTTTGTGATTTACAATGTCTATAAAAGCGTTTTCAATCTGAGGTGAGTCTGCTGAAGCCAAACGTGTGATCTTCCATTTTAAGTTTCAGTTTTAATATTTTAGAATGCCGTTTTTCAATCAAGAAATTTGAGTTGCGGATTTATCTCTTTATTAATTATAATTTTTAACATTTCGTCGCAGATGACTATTATATGGTAACATGTTTTTCACATTGAACTCATAATTTCCCACGAGAACAAAAAAGGAATTAAAGTCGTCATTGTGTAACAATACATGTATATGCCGAGGGAAATTTTTGATTTAGGGAGAATAAACACCGGCGTAAAGATGTTCAAAACACGCCATGCTGACGAAAAAAATCGGCGATTGTAACAAAATAAAATCGCGCACGTTATTAGCGGCCCGTTAAGTCTTCAAAAAATGTCAAAAGAGAAAAGATTCGACCCCTAATTTATTAATATGTTCGTCAAGTGTCAAATTTACAGCTTTAGTATAAAATTCAGATTCATTTATGGCTTGTGTTAATCCTATTAAAAAAGGTTCAGCATTTTAAATAAGTAAAGTACTTTTAACTTGCCCAGGAATATTAATCTGGAAGTAACAATTTTAACATTTATCTTGGGGCTCCGCGAATAATATTCAACTTTTCAAGGGCTCCGCAACACCAAAAGTTTGAGAACCCCTGGCCTACAGGGTCATCTTATCGTTTGAATCCGGCTCTGCTGCTACGAGTTTACATTGGAGTATTGGACCCCGTAACCTTACCATAACATTTCCGTTGTGCGCTCACCAGCTTCGCAAAATCAAAACGGAGAAAGCCTCGAAGTAAGCCGTCACTCTTGACGTAACAAAAACCATGTTCCCACAAATAAAAACAAAACAGCGAAATTTGGGGTAAAATATCAGGTCTCATAGGAAATTCAGGAATAAATAAAATAACAGCTTTCTAGTGACAACAACATTCTTTGACCACCGAAATTATAAAAGCAATTAGTATATAGTTAAAGAGAAAAAGGAAATTTTCACTACGACAAGCAGAAAAATACTAACAAGAAAAACAATAAACAACATAATAACAAAACCGTCCGTTCAATGGTTCACTCAGTGTGATAAAACTACAATTGTCTTCTGCAGAGTTGTTCTAACGTTTGATCATGAAATATTATAAAAATAAATGTTTCCTCAACACGGTTATGTCAGTGATGGGATTCAAATTTTTTGTCAGCCGGTTTCATCACATAAGTCATATTTTTCGGCCGGTTCGGTTATATGTTTTTTTAGTAATGCCAACCGGTTCGCTGATCTCATAAAATTCCGCGAGACTGTTCTATAGAACCGGTGCGAACTGACTGAATCTCGCAATTGGGTTATGTGAATCTTTACGTTTTGCAAACGGATCCCTATATTTTAAACAAAATTGAAGTAGACTAAAAGAAGAGACGTATTTGTCATGTCAAGACTGCACTGCGGTAGTAAGACTAAAATCTTTCTTATTCAAAATAGTTTGGGCGAGCCGTGACAAAAAGCGGACCAATTATGCACTATGTCCCTGGAGGAAATATCCACCACCGTTTATTCTGAGACCATAAAACCGCAGTGTGTTATGGAATAAGTCTTCTGTTGCTACAATGGATTGAGGAATTTGGCCTAAAACGAAAAGCTTCTAATCACTGCTCTATTTACTTATAAAACACAAATGCAATATAACAAATATATTTCTGTTTTTATTTGTTTATAATATTTTCCACTTTTTCTAGAATTGAGAAAACGATTTGGTCGTCCAAATGCATATTTATGCATGCTTGAACATCAATAATAAAATATTTTCATTTCACGAAATTGTCTTCTATTTAAACAATACACAAGTTAAACACTTGTTTCACTAGATTTCCGCAGTTTGTCGTACATAGATTTTCCTGACAAATGTTCATTTTTATCCTCCGTTCCTCTGAAATGTGCCTCTCCATCTCCCACTCTTTCTTCGATTACGTCATCTAGCTCCTTGTCTTCTAAGTTTGTAGGTTTGTATGTCATGTAGACGAGAACGTAAAACACCACACAAATAGACTGAAAAGAGAGTAGCTTAGTCAGTATTGTAGTCAACGAATGATACGTAATTTATATTGTGGAGAAAGAAGTTCAATTCAGTATTGGTTTAAATCCCCTAAAACAAGCTTTTTAAAAACGTGATTTGTATTACCAGTGACTCCTAACACCGTTTGAATCGTTCGTTACCCATGGCGATTTGATTACCCTTTTTATTACCCATTATCTAAAATAATTTAAAACAAAAACAAAGCTATCTTTGCAATTCTGAAATAAACTACAATATTCAAGGTAAGGGAGCATTTCGGTGATACAAATGTATAGTGAAATTATAGTGTTTGAAAAGGGTTTTTCAAAATAATAGCACTCTTGAAAATTGTATTAAGGATTTTCAAATAAATGTTCAATAAATTTATTGACTTCTCAAAAAAAGTGCCTCTGTTTGACTTAAAAATTAAATACACAAACCGTCTGTGCAAGAAGCAACAAAGCAGTATTCCTTGACAATTCCCATCGATTGTAGGATCGACAAGATCCTTTCTCTCCACACTCTGTACTCCAGGTTACACAGGCCAAGTCTAGTACTATACCAGTGAGCATACGGCCCGGTAAAACTCCAACGACTAGAATGATAGCGGTCTTAAAATAACATTGGTAATTTGATATGAAGTTTCTAAAACAGAATCGAACGATTGTTTTCACGCTGATTTTTTGCGCTACATTTAAAAGCAAATTTGCGTAATTAAATTACAATGGAAGCGGAATGTTATGTTATAATAGCAGAGCACATAAAAGCCTCATGTGGCTCCAACACACCGTTTTCCTCGTGCTAGTTTGTGGGAGAATCCCACGAATTGAGATGCATTTTCCTTCATATGTATGTGTATACGGAAATACTCTTTTCTGTTTAACATTTTTTGATTATAAATATTTCATCAGCATTCCAATGCAAAATATTTCACAAAAAAGCCACATGTGTTGTTCGGAGCTTGTACCCACCTGCATAGCCACGGCCAGAGTTCTGTTTGCGAATGGGACACATCTTAGCGTAACTTGCAATGCAGGTGAAATTGTTAGTATCGACGAGAAAAAGCAGAAAAAGACGACAAAAATAAAAGGCAACAACAAGTTACAAGCAGCACTGTCACAGGTGTCATTAGATACAATTGAATCAGAACGTGGAAGACAAGAACAGTCAGTGAAAGCCTGAAATATGAACAATAAATTAACTTAAAATCGAAGGTAGACTAACAGCTTACGGTTACGAGCCAACAATTCAGTCCTATACGATTTTCAGTCTTTGACCAAATAAAAAATCGCACCCACGTACAGTTCGATATAACTACTAATAATCCATATTCTTTCAAAACTACTTTATCTTAACTGCAATGCGTATATATATGTAACATTAGGTTAACATTGGCCGGCCTAATTGGCTTTTAGTTTCCAGTGCTTTCTGGGTTATAATCGCCAGCAATTATCATTGTACAAACCGTATCATTGATTTGTGTTGTGCATCCAGCAAAGCAAGGCGAAAAATAAGTAATGCCATCCAGACACACTGGTTCGTAATGGTCAGTGCTGCATCCACATATTTCGTTACAGCTAGACTCTGGCGAGTACATGATAGTTTCATTAATGTAAGGTACAGTTCCTCCTGCAAAATCTAAAAACGGCAATATTGTTAGGAAGTTCAATTTACAAAACATTACTGTATTTTGTTTGTCTCGAGTTGAAAGCATAGGCTTTTTACCTATGGAACAGTATATGCTATTTGTATGCCCACCATTCTCGGCGCGCTCCGGCGCGCATATATATTCTAAACTAAAACTACAAAACTGATTAATCAGAAAATGTTTCATATCGGAGATTGGCCGATTTTGACTCCCTTGTCCAGTGGATTTAAAACATGGGGACGAAGCAAGTTGCTATCGCGGGTCTTTTTATCCGTCACCGCTGAGTAAGCAGGCCGCACAACTTTTCAGTCATATTATATATATACTATGATACCTTTTAATTTTCATCAACAGAAACAAACAACAAACGAAAGTAATAAATCCCACGCCTCCATACAGCTGAAGTTATTTAACGATATATGGCAGCATAAATTAAAATAAGAAAGAAACATTCAATGCATTTTTTGCTTAATGAAATTTTTAGGAAACTTTTTTGCTTTACTAAGCGCTTAATATTAGGACGAACTGACGATTTAGAAATTCCCAACTGCATACAAAGATTTTCGTCTGTCAGTCTTGACATGTATCGACCTCCCGTTTTTCTCTGTACAGGTTTATGCCTTCACGCCTAACATACACTGAATCGCCTGAATGCGTCACGGGCCGCACGAAATTCTTTGCGTGACGAATAGCGAATAGGTCTAACATGAATAAACATTCACAGCCCCATGGCTTTGTTCTATCTGTCAACAATAACAATGCATAAATACCAGCTGCATTGAACTTTTGATTTGCCTAAAGTTTAAACCAAGCTATCCAAATATTCAACGTAGATTATCCTACTTACTTATATCGGGACAGTGTACAAAGAAACCTAGACTGCATAGAGCCGAAAATATTCCGCAACATATCATTAACTTCAATATTCCAGTAACGCTAAGTGAAAACTTTGAAATAATGACTCCACTTGAAACTTGAGCTCCGACTGCAGCAAATATAGCAGTAACACCTTAAAAAATAAGACATAAATATAATGTATGAACATACTGACTAACTTTTGGAAATAACTAGGCTGCAATCATATTATTCACTGCTACTCAGTTGTATTCAAATTTAAGACCGTTCGCCTAAAATAGAATCACCAAATCCGGGGCCACAAAATGTAATCAGATATTTGAAAATTAGGTTTTGTTCGACAAAAAATGCGGTTCAGCAGAGCATAATATTGCATACGTCTACTAAGTTTGTGAACTTGGATTTTTCATCTTTTTTTTAACTAATCATTTAGATACAAACAATGGTTACAAATCTACCAAGTTTACGTTGTTTTTCTTACCATATAAAACTGAAGAGTGGAAAGCACTTAACCCGAAAACCGATTCTAAAAACTTCGCTCCAAATGTATTGAAACCGTAGATAAATGCACAATTGACAGTGCAACCCAATGTCAAAAATATAAAAGGCTTATTGTAGAATAGCAACTTCACCGCTTGAAGACGAATCTGCAACTGGCTGAATAATAATATCTCGTGTAGTTAAGTAAGAGGGCAACCTCACAAAAGTCATTCCATTTTATTTTAATATTACAATTATCCAATTAGTCGTCGTGTTTATACTATATAATGAGTCACCATCCATCCATCCACACATCCATCGTATTTATTTCATGGCCCGTGATGAGCCATGCCTCCACCCAATAATTATATATATATTCACATTGATCCTCCCAATTCTGACGAGCCCTCAAATTGTATTCCAACGCCTGATTTTCTTTTATTCCCCTCCATATGTGAATTTTAACATCGATATATTTCTCATATAGATTCATGAAGAAAGTAGAATGTACCAGTATCAAATTATAATAAGATTTTTAAGAGCGGTATATGAAGGGTAGAATACCTTTTAGATTCCTTTTCATGTTTAGACAAGCTCCATTTTAGCATAGTTTTCTGCATTTCATAGTTTCTATTCTTTCTGTATTTTTCAGTTTGAGGGAGATGCCGAGGAAGCATCATAATGGGAATTGAAATTATCATAAGAAATATTCCACAGACCATGAATCCCAGCCACCACGCACCAATCCACAAATAACTGGTGCTGTCTACGTCTGGTTTTGCTGAAGTGATATCCGTATATATTTCAAGTGTTGCTCCTCCAAAAAGATAACCAAGCGCGGGCCCGAAGCCGCCGCAAGCGTAGTATATTCCTATAGAAAATTGAATGCAAAAACAACAATTACACTTTGTGTGTATTATGACCTTGTAATTGATGAGACATTCACACTGTGTAACAGGAAAATGCCGTATGGAACGCAACTGTTAAATATTCCGAATATACGTTTCTTATTCTACTAATTCTCATACCGAGGGCTATTTATTGACGTTTCTGTCTGTTATGATTTATATATTTTTGCTCACACTTGAAGCATCAGTGATCAATACTTTTACTAACAGAGATTATGGCGATTTTAGATGTGTGTTAGAACTGGAAAAAACTCACCGTTATATAAAGCTGAATTTTCCTTTTTTACGTTTTCATCAAAAAATGTTACCGCGTATGTGTAAAGAGGGTTCGATCCGATACCAACAATTGCAATAGCGACGAGGAAGATGTACCTGAGCAATAAAACAGGAAACACGAGAAATTGGATCAAATATATATTTTTAGATGAGGTAAAGCTGTTTATAAGAAGACAAAAGATGCACAAAAACAATCGGCGCTCCCGTAGTATGTGAACCAAGATGGCGGACACTGGAACGTAGTATAAGTACCAGGTTAGGGTTAGGCCATAATTTTATTTCAAGTTTCCTTATTTTAGTTATATTACGAGTTCGGGAACTAGCCAAGTGGCTCCCGTAGTATCTGTACCTGAAATTATGGCCTAACCCTAGGGTTACCATATTTTTGTGACTTCAAAGCGGGACACCTCAAAAGACAACGATGATTCTGTAACTTCGCATTTTCCTATTTTACTACATAGGCCTACATTCCTACATTTGAAGCTGTCCCGGCTGTCTTCATTGACCATATTGTTATCAAAATTTCATGCGCATATTCTCTGTACAAATATCGGGTTTAGTTCGAAAAATAGAAAGGAATTGACGTTAACGAAACCGGTACAAATAATTCGAATCCAGACTAATTAGTATTGGTTTTACATGCGATACGTCTGCTATCAATGGGAATCAGCGGGAAACAAACGTCATTCATCTTCAGTATGTATTTAGGCTATCGCTGCGCTACACAGAAACAACAGTAACAAGAACATGTTCGTGTATTATGCTGGATGGCTGAACGTAAAAGCGGGACTTTTGGCTGACTTGTCGGGACGGCGGGACAAGACGCTAAAAAGCGGGACTGTTCCGCCTAAAGCGGGACGTATGGTAAGCCTACCTAACCCTAACTTGGTACACATACTGCGTTCCGGTGTCCGCCATATTGGTTCACATACTACATGGGTACCAACCAATCTAGCTATTAAAGAACTGATGTTATTCTTCAGCATATGTCTACGTTCATTAAATATTTTTTACAAACAATACAAGTAGATTGAGTGGTTCAATAGTCTTGCATCACAGTTTCACAAAAATTTTTATGACGTTTCGTTTGATTACAATAAACAGAATTACAGAATAATCTATGTTACAAAGTATGCCAGTTTAGATAATTGCTACATCATCTTTGAAGTTTGTGCATATTTGCCCACTAAAGCAAAGGAAATCAGAAAGAAGAAGCGGAGCTAACGCTTCTTCAATTAACTATACTAAAGATAAGCGATAAAATCTATAACAGGGTGGTCCAACGTTGCGAGGTTGAAGGGCCGCAGAAAACTTTTGGGGAGGTCACGCGGGCCGTAGTCGTAGAAATCCCAAAAGTGATCAAAATATCGCGAGTTTACTTACTTTAAATATATCAAAGAATGAGAGTTTACCGTTCTAATCAGCCTATTGTTATGTTGCATGGGTGGTGTATTTTATTTTAGGGAAGATATATAAAGCCTTCAATTATTTTGAAATTGCTTCCAGAAAAGTATCGTGGTATTTTCTCGTGTTTGGTTTTGTAATATCGCTTCATATTATATTCTTTCGTGACAGATATTACTTGAAAGCACACAAGACACTGTGGCTTACCGTTGTTGTGGTCTAGGAGAAACGTTTCTTCTCAGTTTTCATATGTCATCTTTCTTTTGAGACTCATTTTATGATGAATTGGTAAATTTGACTAAAATTATCACTGCAGCGTGAGCAGGCCTTGTGATATCGTCAAAACACAACCAAGTTCGTCTTAGTTGGGATTTCGGTATCTAGCTAAAAAAAATGGATCGCGCGTGGCTAAGTCAGTTCTACGTTATGTCACTGCTGTCATATGGCCCACGCTTAAAAGTAGAGGAGTGTTTGACAAAAATAAAGGCACAAAACGTCTCTCCAAAGAAGAAGTTGCTTAACGAGAGCTTAATTAAGGTGCAGAGTGGAGATGAAAGGCTCGACTCATCTCATCGGCTGAGTGCTGTCTGTAAGAGACAATTCATTCACCTGGTACCGATCACAGGACGTCATTACTTATCGATCTCGATAAGTATGTTGATAGGAATTTGTTTGTCTGTCTGTTTGTTTGTCTGTTAGATGCACGCGATATCTCACGAAAGCGAGGTTGAATCTGCTCCAAATTTTGCATGTGCAATCATCATATCTCGGACCAGAAGCATATTGATTTTGAATGAATTATGTCGTATAATTAGCGAGTTATCAATTAATTAGTGATGTGACACACGATGTCACTATGGATTAAGAGCAAATGAATCGAAACCGCAGTTTCTGTTTTTGGGAAACCCCTAACTTTCGATCGATAAGTCTTCGGTCTCCGACCGATATTATCGTTCCAATATTGGCACCGTCTCGACGTTTATAGATACAACTTTGAAATTCCGTGATTTTAACAAACATTATTACCGACATCAGAATTAGGAAAAGGGTTTAAATCTCCGAATTCAAACTCTAGTTCGAATAGCTAAAAAAAAACTCGCAAATTTTCTGCCAATAAATACAAATAGTTGCCAATGGTTTAGTATACGCCAACAGTAAAAGTGTCCTGCGGACCGCATGGACTACTCTGATATATAACATACCTAAAATCTCTCATATTTGTTGTGCTGCATTCAGATACCGTAACGTTTTCACATAAATTGTATAGCTCCGTTTCCATGAATGTATATTGTGGCGATATAAAGTGAGGAAGTGTGAAGAGTAACGTTCCTAGTCCTGCTAGGAAGATTCCCCATCCAATCCATCGTGGCTTATGAATATCTTCGCCGACAAATGTAATGATGAGCAGCGCACAAACGGCAGCCATATCAAAGCTACTGGCAATGATACCACTTTCTATACTTTGCAACTCAAATCTGAAAAAAAAAAATGTGCACTAAGAAGTGGAAATTGGATGGCGTAATGTGAGGACAAAGAAAAAGCCATGTTTAGGAACGATTGTATATGAAATATGTGGGAAAAAAGGGTGGAGAGGGAGAATTGGTGGAATTGGAGAGAAGACCAAGAATTAAGAGACCCGTAGGCCGCGGGACAAATACAGAGAAGAGAAAAAATTGTTAACTTGCCTCTTTTCCAGCGTGCTAATGCATACACCAAGTAATCCCGACATGATTGTTTGCTCTATCATATGGGCCATGCTGAGAACAAGTAGTGCCCATTTTGCATTTGCGAAACGTTGACATTGGTCGGCTTCATACCTGGAATGCCGAAATATTGTAGTTGTAAAAAGCTATAGCCTACTCTAAGGGTTATATACTCATTACTGCAGTATATAAGAGTAGAAAATCCGTGCAGCTCCAGTAACACTAATGCAGACTATACACTGTATCAGAGTTTAACATTGCTGCAAATTGTAAAACTACTTTGGATTATAAGTTCACGACAACGTTGCGTTGATGAAATTTCATTTCAAATGTTATACTTTTGTATAAAGCGGCCGCCACTAATGCAAAAAATATGAGATTTGAGAGAAACACCCGCCAAGTTTTAGAATTAAAAAATCAGCAATTATTCAGTCATGGTTCGGGTTAGGAATAATTTGAAAATTTGAAATTTCAGCTCAATCTTCATTCCAAATCCTAATTGGATATTTATCTTATTTTCATTATGAGAGGTGGCGGGGGTGGTTTTAGGATACTCCTGTAGTATGTGAACCAAGATGGCGGACACCGGAACGTAGTATGTGTACCAGGTTAGGCCATAATGTTAGGTAAAAATACTACGCGTGTCATTTGGCTAGTCCCCGAACTCGTAATAGAACTGAAATAAGGAATATTGGAATGAAATTATTGCTTAACCCTAACATGGTACACGTATTACGTTCCGATGTACGCCATCTTGGTGCATATACTACGGGGGCGCCGTTTCTAGTGAGGGCTTCCTACAAAAAATCCCGTTTTCTTACCGCTTAGAAAAGCAACAACATGTAATTTGACACCCACATCCTTCTGCGTCACCATCATCACCATCTTCAGTTTTCTTGTGATTGTTTGTACCCATTACTATACATAAACACTCTAAATATAAGCTGAATATATCAAGGGCCTCCTCATCGTTAAACGACAGTATGAATTTGCAAAAATTTTAATCATTTGTATACAACCGATATAAAATATTTATGCATAATGCATTCTATCCAATAAGCAAGTATAACCACTGCCCGTCTAGTATTCATATAAATCAAATCGAGTGATTTACATATATATTATAAAATTATAGCCCTTCATCATGAGCAAAGTTTGAGAATTCAGACTTTTTTTTATTTAGGTTCAAACTATTTATAAGTATGTATATACCGAAACGATTCGAGTGTGTAGTTTAGTGCAGGGGTCGGCAAACTTTTGTTGTTCGAGGGCCAAAATTAAAGGTTGCAAGTCATTCGCGGGCCGCACATATTTTCAGAAAGTTACAAACCGAGAGAATGGCCAATAAATCAGATTTTTTCACACAAATTTCAGTTAAATTTCAAGCAGCGCGCGAAGTCTGATAATTTGAATATTTTCTGCGCCCATAAACCATTTACACTCAGCATCAACTTTGTCACGTTCTGTTGCCATTTGTCTAATTATAATCAATTTATAGGTTCATTAAACGAGTGATTGTAAATTATATACTTGTTAGATTATAATATAATTAGGTGTCTCAAAACAAATTCTGTTACGTAAAGAATATAATCGTCAATAAAATTGTTTTGTAAATAAAATTCAGTGAAGTGTCGCGGGCCGGATTAGCGGGCTGGTTTAGTGCCACAATTCATTGCAAAGAATCTTTATGCTTTTTATTTTACTTTAAACACATTTATAAAAAAGTATGTTATAATACACTACCATAGCACTTTAACAGTAATCGCGACAAAGGAGCTGCCAAGCCTGTGAATGTATTTGTATTATCATATTTTTGGATCACCGCTCTAGGAGACCCTCATTTTCAGCCGTTCTGTCTATCTGTATGTTTGTCTGTCTGTCTGTCTGTGTGTTTAGCTGTAGCGTCTAAACGGCTGGACCGATCTGGATGAAATTTCTAACGTGGGTTATGCTGTCACCCTAGTTATGTGCGTTTCACTGAAAGTCCGAATTGATGTTCCGTTTTCATGGCAATAGCGAAAAAACGCGCCAACCGTTGTGAAATTCTAGTTTTCTGAGAATTTGTGGCCATTATCTCTTTAACAACGTCGAAAATTAAAATTGCGAGATTGCTTCCCTGATAATCGGGTATGCTTTCGACAGTTTACGTGTCACAAGTTACATTTTCCATTCCGATCATCGTGTAATCGCAATTATTTTTTGCAGGTAAATCAATCATGGTTTACTGGGTAAATAGCAATACTTGAAACGCGTTAAGACCCATAGAAGCTTTTGTAGGCATACAAGACATAACCCTACACGAAATGATTTCCTTATTTAGCAAAATTGACTTCGCGCGGTTGTACGTTACGTCTAAGCCTTTCTTCAAACAACACAGATATCTATAAAAGTACTGAAAATGAACAAGGGCATGTATTATTGAATACTCACAAAACTTGTACAAGAGTTGACATACATCTCGCTGTCTAGAACATCGCACACGACAAACCAATAGCATGTTGCACATAAATGTTCATATCGGTTGTGTAAGCCCAATCACATCAAACTTGTGAATCGAAAATAAACTATGTCCAGTGCACAAAAGCGAACAAATGTAATTGCTGTTCGCTATATGCAGATCGCATCATCGACATCCGATTCGGAGCAAGGCTCAGACTCCGGATAACACCCTGATTTTTCATTGATTTGAGGTGGTACACATATTCCTACTTACCGTGACGACTCCTGCAACTCACTCATGATATTCTTACTACCCCGGATCTCGAAAAACTCTGATTGTGATGAACCAGTTTCATCTAATTCACCCGTTTTAGGACATTTGAGGCCTGCGATAGTGCTGTCCAATATTACTATTTTAGCGTTCCGTGCTTTAATTACAAGTTCTTGCCGTTTGTGACCGCTCTCCATTTTTTTCAATCATAACTGCAATACGAGCCTCTTGCGCTGATACCTGTTGCTTTGTCAAAATGGCGAACTGGCTGCCGTAACATTTTTAACGAAGGTGGTCGGGCACTCAGAAATAAGAAAGATTTATATCCGAATGAAGTTAAGCCACTACCACCAACCACTACCAAAATGCCAAGAGCTACAGGGACTAAAACAAATTGGATCATCGCGATAGCCTATATACTGACGCGGGTCTGAGTATAAGCGGAGATCCTGATAGGCGCCTACCGGTTTGCACCATTTTAAATCAGTAACATTGATTAAAACATTCACTTCATACAGATTATTGCCGATAAATAAACATATCAAACACCCACACAGACACTCTCAGCAAACGACTCACGTAATTACAGCCCCAAGTAGGTATCATGACCTGCATTATTTGTTTAACTATATATTTATAATTCTCAGTCACGTTGCACGGTGTAAAATAGTCGACATCAGCTGTTTTTGCAGCGATACACTCATGACTTCACTGAGGTATGTATATATCTATATCAGTCCCGGAATTTATTACCCTGAAAAATAGCCTGCACTAAAAAGTACATATGTGGCACATTGGCTCAATAACTTTCCCGTTTATTGCTTGATTTCCAAAAAAATAGTTAGATAAATACGAATATATGTACTAATCGCAGACCATTTCTTTCTTACATAGAAGTTGAAAAAAATCGTATACTGTAGCCTGTATGTCTTAGTCTTGGGGCAGCTACACTTGGTATACATACAATTACTGATTTTAATTTCCTGGAGATATACTTACGAATGTATAGGCAATAGGCGTTTTGATAAACTACATAGAGTAAAAATAATGCCAATTCATATGTGATTTATTCTACACCGTCAATTTTGGTATATATTGGGATTTATCTCACTTTTACATCCTATAGTTTTGCTAAACCGTTATTGTAATGATTAGTATATTTTTTCCTGTATAAGAGCAAGTGTATAAAAAGAGCGCAAAAACTATTCTTCGAATCAGTTGTTAACAAACATGCGGCAATAACAATTGACTAGAAGTTACAGGAAAACCTATCACTAGTCACACGCGTTGGCAACTGTCTCTAACTAACTGAGATGTTTCATTTTCTTCGCAGGAATACAAACTCTAAAAAATTAATTTTTGATATATATATATTAAAAATACGCTGAATAGCTTCGATTACTATATCAAGCGTAAAACGATTCAATATATAAGCCATCGATATAAGCTAATCTGTGGTACGACATGTATTATTATGCATACTTGTATTTATATAATCTATCAACCTTTACACATATATGAATGATGAGGTTGCTGCTTGTATCGGTTGTTAACAGGAACACATTCGTTTGTTTGTTTGTTAGATCAGTTGTTTGTCTTCCCGGATAACGCCATATAGTTCAAAACAGTACTGTAAAGATAATATCACGTCAGTTATAAGTAAAGGTATTAATATACTCAATATCATAATGTGTGGAAAACGTCATTGGATCACATCAATAGGAATCATAGACCCTTGGTAGATTTTCAATTTCCGGTGATCATCTTTCACACACAAATGATTGTGAATTTTAAGATTTTTTTGCAATCAGATGGCGCAAACAATCTTCCATTCATAGCACCTCGTTCGTTTACGATATAATTTTACTGTTAACTGAACAATCAATTCGCGTTAATTTGGTTGCTTGTCAACAACACGCGCAGTACTATTGTTCTGGTCCTGCAAAATCTGTTACGTAGTAATGTATTTTCGGATTTGCTCTGAACTTTTTCTTACTCCAAATTCTTGTCAAAACCATATAATATCTTCCTCTGTAAATTCCTATATTTATGAAGATAGCACCACTGCAATAATGAACTCAGATATTGAAGTAAAGTGATATCTATCTATGTTAGAGTTAGGAAAATAATATTTGTGACGATTGGTTGGTCGAATAGAATCCTGTACGCCAGTCTACTATGATGCTGATAAGTTGTTGAGAACCAAATAGCACCGTAAATAAATCGACAGTGTTTTGGACTGGAAGAATTGTGTCGATGCTGTCCATTTTGACCCATTAAGGAATTGTTGCAGCAATTTTAAAGTTTTTTATTCGCGATAAAAATGGAAAAATCAAAACTGAAATCAAGCAATACACAATAAAAGATAACACTTGAATAAACAGGGGAATAAATAAATGCAAAAAAGAAACGAAGCATAAAAATGCAGAGGTAGAAATGACAGATAAAATACAAGAAAATGCACAATATGCGAGCGTCAATTGATATAGTCTGATCATACGCATTGAATACCAAAAATTGTACCATGATTTAGGTACGGCATTTGCGTTGCTGATTTCGTAAAATCGAAGGTAAAAATCTATATGTAGCAAATGCAAATGGAAGCGAATAGAACTTATCAACTTCATTCTAAATTAGACTGAAACTGGTATATATACTTCCCACTGAATAACGCTAATACGAAAGGTAAAAGAAATATGGCGAGTTAACTTTCATAACATTTACTAGACAATTCTGGGTCTGTGTCACGAACATCATCGATGATGGCTCGGCACGTGATTTCTCCAAATAAAAACATTCCACCGACAAACAGGAGCATGCCCACACCCATAAGAAAATAGGATTTGCGCGTCTTTGGGGATGTATCGTCGAGAATGATCCTCGTTAAAGCGAAACCTGTAGAAAAATGATATTCTGGATTTAGCAACTAAATTGTCAATTCGTATAATACAGTAGTGTGCTTTCGTGTCAGTACCTAACCATCCCAAAACAGAGTTGTTGGTCTGGGCTTCTACGTTTTTTAGAAGTGGAGCCAAAACTAGCTGTCCCAGATTCGTATTTCTACTTGGAGGGAAATTAAAGAACTCCTCGGATATGAGAGTCGGAATTGAAGACCGAAGATAAAAAATATTTGCGAAAGCCAAATTTTCAACATTCAAAATTCCGTGTCTCGGGAATTAAATCTGGAATCCAATTTTTATCAATCCGATTTTGGGAATTATTGCTGAATCTGATTATTTGAATGAAGCAAAGTATGATAATGGCCGGGTGCAGAAACCATTAGCATAATCGACGAACCCAAGAAACTTTTCTTCAACCAGAACAGAATGCTTTATATCAGCTATTTTTTTCAACTATTTAATTTTATAGATCTTAACCAAGAAAGCATTTCTCAGATATACGGACACGAAAGCTAAAACGAAAAATTTTACTTCTAATGAAATGAAAATGCAGTCGCGGAACAACAATGAACAATTTTGATGACGTCATCAAACAACATTTAGAAGTCAAAAACGAACCCCATGAAGTCTAAGAAAAATTTTGAAATCAATGAAAGTAAGTGATAAACACAATCTTCAACCACCGAAATTATAAAGCCATTGGTCCAGTAGTTAAAGAGAACAGCGATTTTTTTCCACAAAAACAATAACAACAGGAAAAGAATAAACGATAACAACAACCTAATAACAAAATGATCCAAATTTTTGTCTTGCCAAATCCCTCACCTGGAAACACCAATATGAAACATCCAGCAATCCCGCCTACGACTGCTATCGCCACGCCTATATTAGGAACGAGAAGAGAGAATGCCAAAGAAGAGAAAAACCATGTCATCGTTATGACGTAACGACGAATCTTTTCGCGCTTGGGTGGAGGTGTCAAAGTCGTCATTCCAGTCTTTGAAAGAAGAGTGATAAGCGCCGCTCTATTGTAACAAACAGAAGAAATGTGGTGAGGCATTTGGTTCTTAATAGTATGAACAATTATAATAAATAAAAGTCTCACCTTCCGCAAAATTGCAAAATAGGATATGATGTAATCATTGCAACTACAACTGATATTCTAGCAGCAATGACAAACCAATCTTTAGCATCATATGATTGTAAAATATCACTCTTCGCGGCATCGCCGAATGTCAGGTAGCCGAAAACTCCTGGTGAAAAATAATAAGTCCATGTAAATAACTTGTTTCTCGTAGATACGGATGAAAAAAAGAATAAATCCATTTCATATTGACAAATGAAATGGAAAGAATGCATTCTGAATTCAGAACAACTAAATACCGATTTCCATCTGTATAACGTTCTATCTATATTAAAAGTTTATTATTGAACAATAAAAATCTCAGCAGATTGCGGTTCGAGAAAACAAAACAAGTTCACAGTTTGGTGCGTGTGAGTAAATGAAGCAGGCAACGATGAACAATTGGTGTGTGATGTTGTTGTTTACTACTGGTCGAAATAGGCTGGGCACTAATCGCCTACTTTGCTGAACGCCAATACCACAAGTGGCAAAATATTGTCTTGAGTTGGAAGTGGGTTTAATTAATAAGTACGAACCTGTCACAGTGTATGTAGTGGCGCATAATACCATAGAACTTACAATAACAATCGACCAGTTTGACATTGTTTTACGTTTTAATGTTGCATAGACTGGGACTGAGCTAACGTGACACTGAAAAAGAAAATGTATGTTAGCAAATCAAGTCTGACAAAATGAAATAAAATTATACGATGATTACAAACTTCAGAATTCGGCTTGATCAAAATTAAATTAACAGCTTTTGAAGTGGCTTAATTTTTTTCGTTAAATACAGATATTCGTTTATAGATAAAAAATTATATTGTAATATAATGTGATATGTACTTCCCTGGCCAACAAAGTAATATGTGTAAGAGAATGGTGTATCAAATTGCCAAATGATCTTCTATTAACCAGGATTTCCAGAAATATATAACATGCTTTTAAAAAATTACTAAAAGATACATATAGGATTTCAAAGATATATATATTTTTTATATAAATTTCGTTCACCTGATAAGCAAAGAAGATAGCAGGAATCGCACTGAAAGTCATTCCCCAGCTATCTTTACCACGAGGGTTATGTACTGGGTGATGGTCTTCGGTAAAATATTTGATGACAACAGTAAACATAACAACCAAGGTTGCAATAACGCCGATAACACTGGAGGAAAATAAGGAGCATATCAAAAATCTGAATAAAGGGTAAATCAGCCGAGAGTGTTTCATCTATCGCTCATAATCGGATAAAATTCAACGGGCCTATACTGTGATATGGACTAGCAAGCTATTGCTAACTGTGGCTAAATACGAAGTGAATAATTAAATTAAACATCATTCACGTTCATGAGTTGCTTGAACTGGATAAACTCACGAAGAATCTGTCGAGAGCTTCACTATCGAGATGAGTGCGAAAATAAACTAGAACTCAATTTGAGTTGAATGAGAAAAAGGGTTTTGCGATCTTAGAAAAAGATAATACTATGATTGCACAGAAGAGAACGCCGCCTTCCAAGACAGATAACATTTATCGCATGTAACAATAGCAGCGTGTGTCTTATCAACTCCGTGTTACCAAGACTATGTGGGACACTAGATGTCGCTAGATACTCGAACAGAAAACAACACTTTTAGGAATATTTATTCGAATATTATCCGATGATTGTCCCGTTTGAGAGCAGGGGATTTCACATTCACATGTCGAAGGTGTAAAACTATTTTCTATCATATAGTATACCTTTCATCAAGGTCTAATACAGGTAGCTGAAAATGCACCTCAGAAATCGTTCCCAAAAACCCTATCCTATGACATAGTAATATATCCAATTCATCCAGAATAGATTGTGATTGTGAACTGTCTTTCAATAAACTTTCATAAAACTTAAACATTGATGCAAGTCTGGGCAAGGTTCTCAGGTTCCTGCATTTCATACTTTAACCCCAATTATAGTTTGAATTTAAAGTGGTGTTACCTGGCGTGTCTTAGGAAACCGATATCTTTTGGTATGCATAACGGTAGTATAATTAGAATTGCAAACGCTGACATTGTGAATTTTCTGTTCATGTACCAGTGATGACAAAAATCGATTCCCACTATGGCTTCCATAACTGTAAAAGAAGGTATTGTCGTATTAAAAAGTTCGGGCCGGAGTATGATCATAGACATAGCCACTAGCCAGTCAGTTAAACATACGATATGTGCGAGATTGATCACATTGAACGAAAAAGCACGAGTATTTGGTGTGTTCATTCAACGGAGCACTTACGGTAATTAAACTTTTAATTGGCTTTACTTTTTTTTCTTTTGAATTTCGTATGATTTACGGCTTCATCTTATTATGATTCCAGATAAATAGCCGGATGAAACACATGCTTCGCCGACAATGGAGACTACAAACGTAGACACCGACTTTGGATCGTTAACCCATTAATTAATTAATGAACTACGACCCTCACGCATGCAATATGTTAACGAGGTACATTAAGCCCAATACAGAGTCATGCAAATCATTTTTGACTTGTCATAGTGCGGGTATGAAAACAATTGGTAGCATGCATTTCGTTATTTACCGACAATGTCCCTAAATGTTCGTCAAAAGAGATTTAATTTCACAACGCGATAGGATCTTAGTCAAACTTGTTTATTGGCGCATGTTCAAAGAGACACAAACTCTCGCTTAGAAAAACAAACTATCTAGTGGTCATTGATTTCTAAATTCGATAATCCCCATTGATCTTGTTTTAGACAAACAAAGTTAACCCAATTTAATTGCAGTCATTGTTAGCTTGTGAAGATTAACGTCAACAACATAGGACTTCCTCCCGACAAGGCGACAATGCAGACGACATTTTATTGGTTTGGGTGCGTGTCAACAAGAAATGACTAAAAATAACCTGAGCCGGGGTAACAGCCACGAAGAACTTAGATACAATAGATAAAAATATACTCCTAGTGTGAAAATTGAATTCCAAATGATTCCTAAAATGGTTTAATGATAGTGATGTAAGTTCGTGTGTGGCGCGAAGGAAGTGAAAAAAGTTGGAAAATGTGTACCATAGATCTATGAGATGGAAACTCTAGTCGTCATATCATCATTATATATACCATCTCTGATTCACTGTGCAGTAGTACACACATCAAAGCTGAAGTCGACGGTGTTACCCACATTATGAAAGAGCAAATATTTCAAGAAGTAAGTTTAAAACTCGGTCATGTGATGCGACGACGACTTTTGCAATTATGCAGTCGTTGTCCTATTTATGCAATCGTGCGATAAATGCAAATTTTATTACGTCGTTAACCGAAAGGCCGGTCGGTCGCAATTTTATCAAAAACACGTGACGCAGCGGTTGAAATGCGCGCGACATTACCAGATCTTAGCGAAAGGTCCCGCAGAGAAAGGCTCCAAGTGACAGCTGGTGAGGGGAAAGTGATAAATCCTGGCCGAACTATCCCACGTTATTTAAGTACAAGTTTTCATGTTCAATTACCGTGTATCATAACCTACATAGTTGATGAATAAAAAGCATTTGACAAGGTTTTACAAGGAAATTGAACTACCAAGCTCAAGCTCCAACATGACGCAATTAGCGATTAATTGAGTTTTACGTACCTTTGTCAAATTGATCTCCAATAATGATGACCATAGCTATACAAGTGCCAAACATATACACTATTATACATATTTCGGTCGCGATACCGAATCCCTTTCCACAAGTTGCTTCGATTGCAGATTGATATGTGTTGCTTGAATGTAGTTGAGAACAATATGCTAAAGCAAAAAGGCTGGTGACGATTAGAATCAGAAACATCTAAAAAAGAAAGTATTCATTTAATCTCTGCACTGTAATAACTTAATTAATTATTCATATTCATGTCATGTACCGCACTTTCGTCCTTAATAGTATGGTAACGCAACAGGTTGCATTGGCCTACAGGTATTTATAATTCATAATTTATTTTATACAACTTTACTCAAAGCGAAGACCCGGATGAAATTTTAAGTCATTACGTAATTTCTTTTGACCTAACGTAGGCGTAAGTCATTATCCATGAGCGCGATTTGCACAAACAAAGCTGTTACGCATTCATTGAAAAGTATGTTCATGTTTACCCTGCAATATCGCGCAAAATATTACTTCACTTACCAGTTCCATCGCTACGCCGGGACCAATTCCACCAGCCTGTCCAAATGCGTTTGGAAAATTGAGAAGTCCTGCACCCATAGCGGCATTAACCACTATAAAAACTGCTGCAGGTGTTGAAGTTTTTCCTTCGTCAACATCAGGCAGTTCAACCTTTTCATCCCCAGTTTCAATACTGCGGTAGCCATTTTGTATCGGTTCATTTATAGCTAAAATTCGTCGTCTCTCTTCTCTGTCTCCCATCATCTATTTATATGTATCAAAATCTCTGAAACAAAATATCACAGCAATATTTATAACTTACCTGGAACATCAAGTCTGATCGCTATGGAACGCGGTTATCGAATGGACATAAGAAGTTACAATAGTTTTTAGAACAAGTCATGCAGTTTCAAAGTACTTTTATCGTTCCTAGATGCAGCTGTTTCAAAGATATATAAGTTGAACAAACCCTTGTTCGAATTAGAGCTATATTAAATACCACATTATGTACAGCGATATTAACGTTAACGACTCATCTCTGCCGGATACCTTTGTCTGCCAAATGAATATAAGACAAGGTGCTTGCGCCTGAAGCTAATACCGCGCTCAAAATGAGAAAAAAATAAGCCACGCGCAGCTGATATCAGGCGTGCGGCATACGTCTGCTTTCGATTTTATAAGCATTCTGACGCTCTAATTATCTCAAAATGCATTACCTAGCACTTATCGGAAGCGGATTATCGCGAGATAGGTACGCAAAACGATTGTCAGCAAAATCTAATACTTTGCGAGATTGAATTGATATTCTAGATTCCAACTAAAGTGTTGATTTTACAGTCACTTGTACAGGTCTCATTCGAAAGTACGTTTTTAAACTGATGAAGTAAAAATGGAACAAGTTCATTATCCAGATACAATTAAAATACACAACCACACTAAAATTTGTTTCAGATTCAACAACATAGTTATGTTAACGTATTCTAACTTCAAAAATGCAGCACCAGTAAATGTGAAGTTAACTCTCATTCGCTCTAGTTCAAATTTTAGCTTTGTCGGCACTACGGGTTATGGTCAACACTTATTGATCAATATTTTACAATTTTGCACTGCCAATGAAAATTGAATACGAATGCGCACAGGTGCGAAAATGCTTTTATTAGCTGAACTTGCTGACAAGAATTAGCTTGCTTGCGAGTCGCATATATCAACACATCTGCTATTGATGTCGAAATTTTTCTACTTTACATGACATCATCATAGAAACGTTTTCGATTTCAAACATAATAAACAAAGTACAAAAATTTTCTATTACAAATGAATTCGATAAATAGTCTTGTTACACCCGTTCCCACGTCGATTCTTTTATCTAATAATAACGTTATTAGCGTCAGTTAGTAGAGCAGATATCGATTACATATCGCGTCATTCGAAGGTAAATTGGGTGCAGTAGGGCATCATTAGAGTCAAAAGTCAATCTCGTCGGAGAATCCTGAAATATTTACTGTCAACTTTCTCGCAGTATTTCGTACTGAATAATGTGTAACTCCACCCGACATTATGACCTCTGTGGTCAATCACGCAAGCTTTGATAAACACATAAGAAACTTCCCAAAGATATCGTTATGTCATTGAGAGTAAATAATTTCCAATGATTCAATTTTATTTTGTCGTAGACGGATTCAAATTTATTTGTATGACACAGCAATATAACGTCAAAATGGCTCACTGCGGTTTACGCAAAAATATGCATATGACATACGCAATTTTCCAACTTGACTATATCCATCAAACCTGAAAACTAAACATTCGAAAAACGTATGTAATTCACAGTACCGACGATGTCTAATCCCAAAACAGGTTATTAGAATCATTGGAAAAAAAATCTGAGCTAACATACAGGTGCGCAGCATTACATAAATAACCAACGTAAAAAAAGTCAAAAAGTGACTTGCGCAATTTGTTTTTTAGCAAGACGATGAGCTACTTTCTCCTCGGAACGATTTATAATTGAGTCCTCGATTCTCTCAAGTAAGAGATATTCTCAATCAGTTCACTCTGTAAATGCGTTTTCTCGACCACGGTGGACATTTATGGCATCATTATCTGCATTGATCTCGGAATTATAGTAACTTGCAGCTTACGTCTAACGGTGCCTTTTGTTACGATAATGGAAATTAGTGGAAGAGTGAGATTACGGGTTATTATCAATGTTATAGAATTTTTATTTTGGATTAACGAATACATTTCCAAATCGCTTTCCATCACATATGATTGATTAAATGAATAACTATTGAATACCAGTCAATAAGACACATTTTTTACGATATGTGAACGAATGTTTTTGGTACGAATATTTGGCAACGTGGCACACTTCACCCAAAGAAGGGTTATCGATTGAAACGAAACCTCATCAGATGGCATCCTCCACTTCCCACAAGGACATTGCCTGGCTAAACACTTACGATCTGAGGATTATTGAGCATTCCGGATCTGCAGGCTTTCAGATATCGTAAAGAAAAATATAAATAGCAAGGATTGAGCCGGCAAATGACCCATTCCATTCTAGAACTCGTCGAGTGCATCTGAACACTGAGCCTCCCTACCGAAGCAAAAATGAAACTGTGGATCTTTCTTGCCCTCATTGGGTTGTCTGCCGCTGCTCGTGAGTTTAGTTATTTCGTTTTATTATTCAAAAACACTTTCCAAGTCCCAATAAACTCATTTATTTTATATATATATATTCTAGCATCCCGCAAGTTTATTGTCAAAAAAGTATACGATGAGGTTGCTGGATGCTGGGTTGCAGATAAAATTGTGACCGACCCTGATGAGATTGCCGCAATTATGGCAGAACGCGGAGACAGTATCACTCGTGTCGACGGGAAAACACTTGCAGAAACTAAAGTAAGCATGTTGCTAATATTTGATCCAGTTGAAATGTTAGGCACGTAGCCATCGCTACTTGAAGAGGTGAAATAAAGTAGTTACTAAGTTCAATCACAGATACTAAACAAAAACTAAAATTCAAAACTAGCATCCAAATTATTGGTCAAATTGAGAAAATAATATGGTTTGTCAGTCCCTTGCCAATTCACTGACAATCATCGATGTTCCCTAACTCCTGTTTGATCTATATTTTCTATAGGTTGGAGATGTCGTCAACGGAGAACCTATTCCTTGCAATATCGCAGAATTGAAAGGACCAGCAATAAGTCTACCAAAAGCTAAGATCAATGCACCAAGCCAAACAAAGAAGGTCATTAGAAAACCATGCTTCAGAGGATACGGTCCGCATTTTGATTTTTTTCGGCTTAATCACTATTTTGTGTAATGATATATTTTTTTCAACTACTTAATATTTACTTACTTACAGCTCCCGTCACCTTGAAAGTAGATGGCGTAAGCTGGAGATGTACTCATGTCGGAAGAAGCCAGAGGTAGGTACCCGATTTCTATCTTCAATTACTGTTATAATTACCTTTCCAATGAACATAATCGCATCCCAACTAAAATTATTTCTGCATCTTACACTGTAATATGCCCGATTCCTGAACTAAATCCAATCTCTTTGTTCGGTCGGTTCGGTTAATGACTATCTAAACTGCCAAACTTGGAAATGACATGTCCAGACTAGAACTCAAACTCCAAGCAAAAAAGCCCACTCGGACATAGACCTCTGGTTTTATAAATCTATACGCTGTTGTCTGTGTCTGAAGCAAAAAATTGTGTATATTTAGAGTAGCACCATGTTTGCCTAATGGTCGTGTTCTCAACCGTGCCTGTGAAAAGAGTATCACCCCATGTGCAGCTCCCGAAATTGTGATTGTTGACGAACCCTGTATCGCAGAAGTAACCAAAAAAGTTGTTGCACCATGTGAAACAAAAGTCGTTGTACCATGTGAAACAAAAGTTGTTGTACCATGTGAAACCAAAGTTGTTGTACCGTGTGAAACCAAAGTCACCGAGAGAAAAATCGTGGCTCCTTGCCTAGACTTTAAACTTCCAGAGGTAAGTTGGAGACCAAAAGGGTAAATATTTATATATTCATTGTCACATAACAAATATCGTCTTTTAATATGGGTAATTTATTCTGTATTCATGAGTTTCATGATCTTTATTTACAATTCAGGTCAAAGTATCAGCAAGTGCTGGCGCGGGAGCGACTGCCTCTGTGGGTGACCACAGCGTCTCTGCTTCGGCCAACGTGAAATTGCCCGAAGTTGATTTGAGCAAAATGGCAACTGGATGTGGTGGCAAATTCTCAGCCAGCTTCAAGTCGTCCGCTTCGGCTTCAGCTTCTGCACAATCATCAAGTTCTTTCTCCTCATCATCATCGAGCTCTGTCTCCACCTCCACCAAGGTTTAAACATTTTCATAAATATTTTAAAACTTCAAACCGCAGTTAAAGTTCATATGCACAAATTTTCAAGAACTAACTAGAATTCATATATTAAGCATGTTGCCAGTTTCTAGTAGAACATACTATCTAGAGAATACAGAAGTTTTTTTTTGTTCATTTTGTGTTATTATTTATTGTGCTATCGACAGCTCATCGTTCAAAATCATACTGAAATAGTTAAATAAATAATAGGGTATTCTAACACCACATGAGGGCATATTAACAATATGCTACATAAACATAAGCTACTTTGATTGTTATTAATTATCTTTAGAGAATATGTACATTAATTTTAATGTTTCAATTACAACTTTTTGCAGTAAATCTGCGATGGAGAAGAATTAAAGTAGAGTAGAGTTATGGTATGTATATAATTAGTATTTGAAATTTATCAAATTAAAGAAATCAAATTCTAACATCAGAAATCAGGTTTATATAAGTTTGAATTGACAAATATATCATGAATTCTCACTTCATGTTTATCATAACATCAATTCATGCTTTAAATATTTCTTTGTTTCGAATTAATATTTTAAAAATTTCCTTCTTTTGTTTCAGGGTGCACCATGGATATTGAAAAACTGTAGAAAGAAAAATTAAAAAAACCTGCACTTTCGTTTTTAATATTGTCAATATTTGCGCGAATTTCTTTTTCACAATTTCATTCTTTGATTGTGTATTGTTTGTCCTGTTTTGTTTGCCAGAGTGCGCAATCAGTATTGTAACGTTATAGCGATTTAAAACATTTTTCAATAATACGTGTTCAAACCGGGAACAGCGTTTAACTAGCAATGGCCCTGGATTAATCATGTATGCTATGAAGTGTTGTTTCTGATACGTTTTCGTTATGAAATCGAAAAATCTTTTTCTATTACTTTTGTCTATTGTGTTGTTTTCTAAAGTGTTTCGTTCAATTTTCAATAAACTCGTGTCTTGCATTTGGCTTGTTAATCTTTGTCGGACAAAATAGTCTTGAAGACAAGTTTTTTCAAGTAATAAATTAGGACTTAATTCAACATGCGAACCAAACAAAATACAGACCAAATTTAACGCCTTGTCGCAGTTCAGATGGAATCCTGGTGGAACAAAAAGTTTTGCTTTGTGATAGGAGGTCGTTACAAAAACTCCGGGTACTTTTAAACTCAACAATAATCCGGATTTTTATTATCGTTAATTGTTTCACTAAAATCCCGTATGCGTCAGATAAAATAAGGTGAACATACTATATATGTCACATCCTACAATATTCTTTTCAGTAGCACCGGGCTCTTATAGTCAAGTTATTTTTTCCATCCAGTAGCATGGAAAATTACAGTTTAACTTTATTGTACAGATTATATTAGATAGTCCGTAACATGGTTAGAGTGAAGATATACCCCAATAAAACAGGCTTACAAGAAGCAAAGATGATGAACTGAGTAAAATGAATAAGGAGCTTTGGGTGGTAAATTACTATTTAATATCCGAATGATAAACAGACGAACATTTATAGTATCTTCAACTTTGAGTGATAAAACCATCCATATATTTTCACGTTGTCTACGTGCATTTTATTTTTCACGAAGACTCAAATGCTTCAAGTTAGATAACTTTAGCTATCAAAGTCAAACTAAATTCAGATGTTGAGACCTGATCTTCGTGAATAGCAGGATCTTCAAGTAGTCAGATTTTAGCAAGGATTTGTAAAAATAAAACACATTTATTAAAAAAATGATCCAATAATTTGATATTGCGTTACAAATGGATATTAGTCAAACAGCACCACAAATACTTTCTCACACAACTTATTTTGTACCTACATAAAAACTGCGAATTACCCCAACGACACGTGTGCTCATTACGTTTGAACGCAGATCTATGTTATAATAAATCATATTTCTTACCATGGCTAAAGACTGCACCCATCGCTTTCTACGAAAAATAATACTGAATATATATATATTGCAGGTATATATACCCTAATTCCGGGCATTATTTTAGTACCCTAGAATTTATATATATATTAAACGTCACGGCCGAGGCTATTCAATTTTGTCATTTCTAACATGGTGATCAACTCTACTATGAACTTTTATTCTTAAGTTCACTTCTTACATGGGTTTCAATTCCCCGAAGAACTTCTTCTATATGATGTTCAATAAATATAGCGAATAATTGAAATATTGATTTGATTGTCATTTTGAATAATTAATGCAAAATTGACGTATGTTGAAATAAAAAGCAGTGTATCTGTATTCATCGGCAACAGCATCAATTTTTATATGATATACATCATTTTCAAATAGTATCACAGTAACCAGCTACAGATGTGCACAGATATGTTATGTTGATGCTAGAACTCGAGACTTCAAACCTGTAAATAAAAACATCAGTCTATCAAATCACTGAATACCAGGACAGGATGGTGGCGATTATGGTGGACAAAGTTGAGAATTCTCACTTGGAATTTCTCAAATTGTTTTCAATATTCCTCCACTAACGGCAGACCTTTGATGAATTAATGCCCCCCTCCCCCCCAAAAAAAAAAAAACGTTGAATACAAACCAAAATTAGCCATTTACCTTCATTAAAATTTGTAAAATTACTCTAAATACAAACAATTTTTTTTGCAATTTATATTATTTAATTCAAGAGTCTTGCTGCACACTTACACAAATATATTTCTGTAACGTTTCGTCTGACTTCTTCAGACAGAAGACTTCGTCAGTCTGACCTTGGTCAAACGAAACGTTACAAAAATATATTTGTGTAAGTGTGCAGCAAGATTCTTGAATTAAACTGAATAGTTATTACTTATCGATCTTAAGATCGGTAAGTATATTGATAGGTATTTGTCTGTATGTATGTCTGTCTGTCTGTGTGTCTGTTAGATGAACGCGATATCTCACGAACGCGGACGCGGTTGAATCTGCTCCAAACTTTGCATGTGCATGTATCTTACCTCGGACCAGAAGCCTATAGATTTTGGGTTAATTATGTCGTATAATTAGCGAGTTATTAACTAATTACCGATCTAAGATCGATAAGTCTCCGGTCTCCGACCGATATTCTCGTTTTCACTCTTGCTATAGCATCCTTGCGTTATACGCATACGTATACACCTGCGCAAAGGCATTGAGAACGGAAAGGTAGTTAGTTTCACGTAACCCCAACGGTTAGCTACATTATAATAATAGCAAAGGAAGAAACCGATCGAACTTGGGCAGCCTTTCGTTTTTCGGAAAATTCAAAATTCTAGAATTCGACGTTCCAAGCCTGTTGGGCGCCTTTTCTGGCCTTATATGGAAAAAAAATTATATACAGCAATCAAATCAATCATGCGTATTTAAGTTAAATGTCCTTGGTGAACCCATGAAAACACGACGAACAAGATTAGAACTGTCAAAATATAAAATATTTTGAGCGAAAATGCTATTTGCTTCGGGGAGGGAGCCTGGGGCAAACAAAAACAGCAGGTGGGATACGTTTGTAGTGTTTACCGTGCGTGGGAAAATATTTATTTAGTTGGCTGTCCTCATAATTTTAGACTTATCATCCTATTTTGAAAGCGTGCCAAGTGGCAAGTGTAACTTTAGGCATCCTCCAAACCAGGATACAATTGATTTTGTAGGCTAAATGCCACTTGGGCAATGTCCTGGTAAGGATAGGCTTCAAATTTGAAAATGAATAATATGTCATTTCAAATAATAAAGTACTTCAGTGTTTCAGATTACAATTTTTGTAACCCCAAATTATTGAAGTATTAGATTAGTTTCGCGTGACCTTCGTAGGGCAGTGGACTATTCTAGTTGATGGGGTTCGTAACAATCCTCTTCTAGGCTTATAAGTACTCATTCACCATGCCAAATGTGCAGAAATGACACTTAAATCTGTTGGATTGTGAAAGTAAGTGTTTCTGTAATCCAGAAAAGTGGTTACTTTGGCAGCTGGTTCTGCTATGCAAACTTTGGAAAATGGTGAGCTGATGCAAATATTCGTAACCCAGATATTTCTGGCTTCGAATATTGACTAGTGAATGAATATAAAGAGAATACTTGTAGCCACGTCATTGGGGTGTGTGGCGTTTAGAAATAAAGTATCTGACGCTCATACTTGTTGTTTTTGGATAATATTGCATTTGTCTTAAACTACTGGTGTTAGTGATTTGAAATTTTCAATCGCATGAGGCCTATTATCCTCATATTTTAAAATTTGCTCAACTGATTAAGTTCCAAATTCAGCAGTTTTGAAAATAATTACCTTACCACTCGAGTTTTTCATTAGTCTATTTCTGCGATTAGTGCTCAAGGAACGTTGACAACAACGCTACATCAGTGTTCAAATGCTTCGATCTCTGGTTTGAAGTTCATTGAACACGAAGTGTTTGCCGGAATGTCGTTGTTGGTGTTTTGGGGGTCATTTTGAACTCGTGAAACTAATGGGCCATCGATTTCAAATTTTTAATGCCTACAGGTGGTTGAAACTTTTGGATTAATCTTTATTGCTTCAAAATTTCTCTGATCTCTATTGAACCTAATATTTCACCCACAATCAAAAAGATTGCTGTTTCATTCTACACCATGGGAACACTTTTGCTTTAAAAAATATGGGAACGTTTTATTGTTGAACACTTTTTATTCACGCTTGCTCGCCGACTTCACAGCAAACTCTGTGATCATCTACAGATAAAGCTATAACGGTATATTTTTAACATTACAGTATCAAATTACCGAGCTTTTTAAAGGGTACATGAACTCAATTTACTATACCAAGTACACGTGCCAGGCAATTCTTTTTATTTATTCTTCGAAATTCCATGCATCAAATTTTTTTTAAACAAAAGGTATAGAGTACTCATTTAAACATCATATAAATCAGCGGTCCATAACTGATTGTTGTGAACTGATTCAGCTATACTACAGTTGGTAAACGCTCTATGATGAACTGAAAAGATGAGTGTACAAACTGTTCATCGTTCAACATACGTACTTGCCAAAACACTTCAATGGGACGAAAAAGGCAGTGTCGTTCGCATCCGCCTTCTAGTTAATATAAAACCCAATGATTGGATCTGACAAGCCACTATCGTCAGCATTCGTGGATTTCATCTGTATCTTCGACCAAGGATCCGACATCATGCGCGCTTTCATCGTTATTGCCCTACTGATAGGGGCAGTTTCAGCCTTTGACTTTCAGCTGCCCAGTACGTTTCATATTAGCTAACTATATTAAACTGAAATTAATATGAAAATTTTTGTTGAAGACCAATTACCTTGTGTATATATATATATATATAAGCTAAACAGAATAAACGTATAAAACAAACCTATTAAACGTTTTGACCATAACATATATATTTATTATTACAGATGTAAACGTGAACGCGAAGGCCTCCGTTTCATCGTCAGCATCCGCTTCAGCGAGTGCCTCAACAGGTTTAGGCACAAGTGCTAGCGTCGAAGTCGCAACACCAGAATTAAAATTTGAAAAGTCAATTTCACTTCAACCATGCGCAGATGTAGTTGCAGCACCAGGAGTCAAGAAAAGTTTCTCCAGCAGTTTCTCTGCCAAATCCAGTGCATCCGCTAGCGCCAGTGCATCATCCAAATCTAGCTCATCATTCAACTTCAGATCAAACCGACGACCATGCGTAAGACGCCAATTCAAACCAAGACCCTGCGTCACCAGGAGCAGCGTACAAATCAGAAGTCCATGTGTAACACGCGTCTCTGGCCCATGCACCTACAGTCGCCCATGCATACGTGCTGGATGTGTCCGTGCTCCATGCGCCCGTAGAAGACGAACATTCTTCCGCACTGCAAGGAAACCCGGATCCGGGCCAAGACAAGCACCAACATGCTTCAGACCAACTGCTGATCTTTTGCAAGGTATGTCATTTTACACCATACCAAACATCTTGAATATTTAATCAAGTTATTGAACGCAACTGAGCTTCGTTATCAGTAGAATCGAAAGAATATGGCGTACATTATTTTATTTTTAATCCACAGTCTCGTAGAAGGATTGGTAAAGTATCCTACATAGTATTAATATGCTTTGAATATACAGGTAAGGACTTAGGCGTCCAAATGCTTACGGTACGAGGAATGGAATGGAAGTGTGAACCAGTCGAACAAAAGATCTCAAACGAAGTTTCAGTGTAAGTCAGACTGGAATGTTATATAATGATTTCATTGAAGTCTTCAAGTGATTCTTAAATATTGTCATGCGTTCCCCTTCATGTGCGTTTTGCACAATAACAACGAGGCATAAATAATCCTCCAATAGTATCCGGAATTTTTTCCGAATGGGTCACTGAAAATCGCAACCAAAAAATAGCTAATGTTGTCGAAAGCAGGATTCTGTAAGAAGCGCTAATAAAATAAAAATTTTAGCTTGCCAGATCCCTGTCCTGAGCTCCCAGCGGCCCGCATCATCGAACGTGCATGCGATAAAGTAGTCGAGTAAAGAACTTGCCACAACGAAGGCAAATTTCATAGAGTAGAGGTGAGTTTTACTTGTTATTCGGTGTCTTTGATATTTATTTTAATCTAACGAGTATATTTTCATTTACAGATCTTGGTGCCAACTATCTGTGGTGACTAGACAAAAAAAAAATATAAAAATATTTGCAAGACACGTGTTTACTTTTTTCTGCTTCTCCATTTAATATACCTCCAAAACATATATATATGTTTTTTGTTAAATGTTTCTTTCTATGTTAACACTTTCTCTACACTTTTTCGCGCATTTGTGACAATATTTTATTTTTATTAAAATACAAAAATGAAGTGCAATCCATTTAATTGTCTCATCTTTTTATTATTATTGCTGCAATTTCGATAGCGGATGAAGCTCAAGTGATACTAGATAATTGCAAATTTCGCAGTCATATGAAAATTTTGGCAACCAGTATTCGCGAATATTTAGCGTGTAACAGTAGCTTCCGTTGCGGCGTTGCCGCTTACTCGGCACTGGGCAAGACTTGTGCTCTGCTCAGGCATGGTCAGGTAGCGGTGTCTCCAAAATGTCGAGTCCCAATTTTGAGAAAATATTAGCTGATATCGGGTGGGCTTTCTACAAATGATCCCAATATTGATATTTCAGTATTTGGATGTCGATTCTTGGCTAGTCAGACCGCATCCACCACCTATCCTACCATAACATACCCTAATGCAATATAATTACACGAGACCAATGCTCAAATATATGAATACGGAGGTCAAGTTACTACTTCAAGTTAAGCCTAACATAGAGGAAATAGCCCAGTTTCAATGCCGTTGTGTCAGATTCTATCGTTTCATAAACAAATATCCATTACCCTCTTTGCGCTTGCTATAGTAAAATACGCCGCGTTTTAGTGAAGAAATACAAACTTTAAATATTCATCAGACGTTAGGAAACATCGGCCGTTATTCGACTCGTGAACAATAGAGGCAAAATCGCTTATGTTGTCACTGTATTTCTTTTTCGTTGTCGTGTTCATGTTTTCCAATATTCATTTTCCTGAATTGGTGTGCTTAAATTCCATAAAGGACTTAGCAAAACCATGCACATGTCCAAGAAATGCTGTTTGCGAATTCAAACACCATAAGATAAGATGTTTGTGGATAAACTAATACCGGTTCGATAATAATTGTGAACCCAAAGTTTTCTATCAGAGTGATATTTAATATTTAAGTAAAGCTCTATGGAATATTACAAAAGGCCAAAAATTCAAAAAAAAATTTCTTTCTTTTATATCAGTCCTAACCTGTATTGTACATTATAACTCCTAGACATCTATGGTGCCATATTGAAAATAATAGGCAGTATCGAAACCTTCACCTACTAATGGCTATTATAAAATAAAAATTAAAAACGTACTCACAGACAGCTTATAAAAATATACTACTCTACAAACTAAAATAGAAAAAAATAATGAAACTTTGTATAAAAAGGTAAAGTAAACTTTTAGAATATAACATGTCAAGCGGATATATTAAAAAGCAATTGATGAAAAAATATTTATCTACCTAACCTCAGCTTAAGTGAGGCCCAAGAGAACGTACCGTCAATGTGAGTGCCATTTGTGATAGATGCTCGGCCTATCAAATACTATCAAAATTTTGGTTGCTAAGGTACGAATGTCAACACTGTTAAAATAACTCATATCAGGTATTCCATTAATTACAAATATTAATTATAGGGTGATACATGAAAATGCATACTTTTCGGAATGAGTTTTGAGTACAAAGTATTATCTGGGCAAGGGGTCGCAGTTCGACTTATCATTAACCCATATTATTAATTTGTACAGTTAATGATATTTCATAATCTCGAATGCTGAATTGAATATTTGGACATAAAACATATGAACATACATCAGCAATACTTTCAACTAAGTGGAAAAGAAGACTTTTCTCATTTGCAAATATACAAACATGCTATTGCTGGTAATAGCTAATTATCCAAGGAAACAAATCACGAACAAGAACCTGCCTAATTCAAATAAATGTACTGAGTGCTCATCTACAAATTAATTAAAATAAATAACTACATCACATTATGCAAAAGACACTACTGCTCAGTGCTCACATTTAGGAATAAATTGTTATATATCACACTGTGGTGTGATTCAGCCGGTTCACACCGGTTCTATAGAACCGTCTCACGAAATTTAATGAGATCAGCGAACCGGTTAGCATCATCGGTTACTGTCAATGTTCTGTTTGTAACAGAACCGGCTGAAAAAATAGGACTTTTGTGAAGGAACCGGCTGACAAAAAATTTGGATCCCACCACTGGCATCACACCTCGTCATGGTAGTTCATAGCTGTATAATCGATCAACTAAAATATTTTAGCATGGTTTTTGACAATGAAGGGGAAACAGCTTTGTCTCTAGATTGATGCTTATTCAATCAAATGCATTTTGTGCGGAATTGATCTGATCAGAATAATAAAAGACTAACAACATCTGATATGCGGCAATAATTCAATTCATTGAATTGATGTTCTTTTCTGACAGTATTTATCTTTTGCTGAACAAAATCCATAAAGACTTGGAAGTTTTGTATTTTCATCTGTAGCGATTACCTCCACTTCCTCTGAAAAAAACAAAAACAATTACCGGTAGTCAGAATATTATTCTTAGAAGATATGATAACTATTAGTAAGGACTTATTGGTCAATATATCTTACTGGCACACACTTTGATATGGTACAATCAAACAATTCCTTCAGCATTTGGTTTGATTTTAGCAGACATTCTAGTGGCCATATTAGTCGTGTTTGATCATTTTTTGTTTTGTCTCTTTCTTTCTTGTTTTATCCAAAATTATCAAACTCTGTTTCTATCGAGTTCAGATCACCAGGATAATTAACTGAAGCAGTGATTGAGGTATTTACACAAAAGCTGATGTACAATTCATCGACATAGATCAGTGGTTTTTAATCGGGGTTCCACGCACCCTAGCATTCTACAGCCATGAATACACAGGTAATCTTGGGTAAAGTGAAGAATCAAAAACTAAGGCCAAAATTGTTTCTTAATTACACCAACCCTTGTGGTATATCCATATAAATTCTAAATGATCTTTCATATATATTTTTGTTGAATATGGTATTGATTTGAGAAAAAGTGCTTTTCTCCTCATATATTGAACAAATTCAACACTTTAAAATTCTCAATAGTTAAAAGTTGATAATATCCCTTATAGGGCTCATAAATTAGTTTGTTTTCAAAGTTCATTATTCCAATTTTGTCTCTGCTACAGTAACTGGCAGTACAGTACAGAACAGTAACTAAGAATTGCAATACACTCACCTGTTATTAGATTGTGTTGGATATGTTTTAGTGCCATTATGATTTGAAGAGTGGTTATGTTGTTGTTGCTGATATTTAACACCAGCTAATTGACTATAAATACTTCCTTGTGGTATTGCAGTATGATAAGCACGATGATCTTTTGAGCCATGCTTTCTTGTACCTAGATATAAAATAAACGTTACACAGTGTAACAGACTCTCAAATCGAAAAATCTTGGCATCGAATGCCATTCAGTTTAATAATCGTTAAAAGTTTGAAATTTTAGAAATGTATCTGAAAAATTGAGTTATCATGGTTCTATAAATTTTCTTAAACTTCTGACCTTGTGAACTTTAACCCTAATTGAATTAATAAATCAGACAATCTCGTCACTCCGAAGAGTTCGAACTATGATTCGGGCAGTGATAATATAAAATGTGCAAGACTCCAACTGCACAGACCACCATTATTTTGACATGACGTGTGTAGACTGGTAATTACTGTCCTTATTTTGAGAAAAATACACCAAGATTTATTATTCCTTAAGTTAGTATGCAAACATATAAGAAAATTACATGTCTGAAAGAGCCTTATCCTCAGTTTTCACTATATTTATTATAACCAAGTCAATTGGCTCGAGCAGATTAACAAGTACTCCCAACCTGCATTTTTTGCAGGCGACCACAAGACATGTCCATGTTACCCACATAATTTTATATTTACAATAGTGATAAAGTGCAGTAGTTACCTCTATGGTCGTGTTCATCATAATGACCAGAATATGGAATTGTGTGTCTGTCATTGGTAACTGGCATGTGTGTTACTTTGATTGGTCCAGCTCTGTTATGAGGTGTAATACCAGGTAGAATTGTCTCCATGTTGGATGGGTTAGGCTGAAACAATGAACAAAACTTAATACAAAATCTTGTGTTTCGTTAAAAATGAACAAATCTTGTGGAATTTTAGAGATTTCAATATTTGCACTTTTTCTGGCAGTTATTTTTTGTCCATTATATGAGTCACTAGTTTTAAAATACACCCAGATTTCATATTTTTTCATGAGAGTTGAGCACATAATATGGCTCACTAATGAAAATAATGCCAAATTATGTGTTTTGTGATGATCAAAATAATTGGAATATGGAAATCGGCATTTAATAGTTCAGTTTTTCCCTATACTGAAAATGCACCTTGTACGAACAGAATATAAAAAATAGCCTAAAAACTGCATTCCTGAGTGAGGGAAAGCACAAAAAAACCAATATTGGTTATTGCGCAATGACACCTGTGATCAGGTCTAACAGTAATTAATACAGAAGTAGAAAAAAAAGTAGAACATTACATATCGAAAAGATAACGTCAAAGTGCCTGATCCGTGATATAAAAAAATCACAAGAATGGGAATGGCATAACAGAGACATTTGAGCAATAAAATATTTTTGAAACAAGTATGTGGTAAACAAAAACATTTCAATATCTATCAAATCTATATTATCAATTACCGTAGTATAATAATAGAGTATGCTACAAATCAAAAATTGAAAAAATACAAAATAACTGCTAGAGGTAATAATTTGTATTTTGTGTTCCCAACCATATGAAGGTTCGCAGCTGAACAAGATAAGAGAAAATTCTTATTCTTGTTAAAAACTATAAGCTTTTCTATAAGCAAATCAGACTACCTGTTGGTCCATAAAATACAATTCAGCTTTTGTTCTTTCCTCTGGAGTAACAGGAATTCCATCTATGGATTGTAAGTTAGGTTGTTGAAAAACGAGCATCGGTCTGTGTAAAAGACGTCTTGAAACCGCGTTTCCAATCACAGATAGTTCAATCAAATTTGGAAGGCTCTCCATTTTCTCAAGTTCCATCATATCCTAGAAAATGAATTAAAAATGAAGCCAATTTTATGAATGTTTACCACCGATTTCCATGTCTATTTCCGTAGCAAAGACCAATCAGCAACAAGTCAATAATGACGTAACAATTGCATTTTGTGGAGCCGCTCAGATACTTCTTTCGCTCAGACAGATATTCAAGTATGCTTGTAAACATTGCCTTGTTTAGATAGTATTTGTCAGTTTTTAGTTGTGTTTTCAAAAATTCCACATTTTTTTTTCTGATTAGGCAATTAATTCAAAATATTTAAAACAAAAAAATTCTGAGGAATAATTATAGACTACAGACTATTCAGATAATAGACATCCATAGTATTTTGTTATAATAAATATATCATCAAATTATGGTATTAAATAAAAAATTCAGGATAAGTTCAAAATAACAGGAAGTACGTAAATGAATTCACCTGTATTCTATTCATTCCTAAATATAATCTCTGTAAGTTTTCCAAATGATGTAGATTTCCAAGGTCCCGGATTCTATTTTCCTCAATATGAAGTTCCTAAAAATGCAGGAAAAGGAAAAAGCGTTATTCATTAATGTTAACATTATTCAATCATAGAAAAGACTTTACAGTATATGCTACATTCAGAATAAATTGTCTCTCATTTCCAAGACTTCCAATAAAACTTGCCTGCAGATTCCATTGATTTGCAAATGAATTTTCTCCGATGACTTTAACTTTATTACGATCTAATACTAGTTCTCGTAATTCATGTAAACCGTCAAGTCCTTCTATTTTGCTGATTTCATTCCCTTAAAAAATAAAGTTTTTAAAAAAATTTATCTATCATTTCAGGCCACATTCTTTCTGGTCTCTAAATCTGCCTAATATGATAAAAATTGCAAATTATGATTGAGCTCTTAAGCTACTAGTTAACTATATATACAAATTCACCATTCTTATAGGTACAATGGATGTTATAGCTTAGCTTGTAACCAATCAGTGGATGCTACCTTGATCATTGACTTCCTTGTTTACTTTCGTAACATTGGCAAATCAACAGGATGCCAATGGTGAAGTAACAATTGCAATTTTAGCCCCGCTGCCCAGACACTTTTTTCACTTAGACAGATTTTCAGGCATGGGGATAAGCATTAGCTAGTTTTCATGGATTTGCTAGCGATTTGTCAGTTTTTAGTTGTATTTTCGAAACTCAGGTAAAAATTGAATAACTCAATGACCCCTACATTTTATGACAAGTTTTGATTTAGTTGCAGTAATCGAAAATTAGTTCCGAAACTCCGATATACTGGACAAAGATTTACTACATGGTAGGCGGTTGAATATCTTAAATCAAATGATGGTTTAAAACATGCAAACCAGGTTGTAAGTGCCAACTCACGAAACCAGTCTCAAAATAAGCATTGGAAATTTACCAAATAGTAAAGTATTAAAAGGATTTTCCTGGGGTCAAAGGTAGGGAAAATATCCATTACAAATGTTAAACTAAACATATCAGAGAAAAGTTTTATGATATAGGATATGATTTACATATTCCTCCCAGGGGAGAGGAAAGCCAATAAGATGACTTAATGATATGGCGAACCACGGCCTCTCACTTGGATACCAGTCAATGTCAGGTATGGGATTAGTTAGCCAGTTATTTATCCCAGATGCATGGACTTGATGAAGTGGTGACTGGTGACACTTATTTCACTTCTGACGGGAAAAAAACTTAACCGAATAGAGATGCAGTGGGCTGTTCAGAGTCATTGTGATATACAATTCAATAAAATTTTATTATATATATAAAAGAACCAGAAGACTAGGGAGATTTTCACAATTACCTTGTAAAAACAATGCTTTTAGGTTGACCAGTCTTCCAAGTTGCAATCCACCCATGTTATTTATTTTGTTATATCCAAGATGTAAAACTTCGAGACTTTCCATGACTGGACTCAGTCGTTCGGGTGACAACAATTCCGTAGCTACTTGATGGCTGACGGAATATTGGGAACGAATCTGAGAACATATAGGAAATGTACATTTTAGACGACGGTATGTTGCATTGTGCTAAGCGTCAAGAATAAGCTCGCCACTGCACCCCTGATCACCTATGTCGCTAAGTGGGATCACCTATGTCGCTAAGTGGGTTAGCAGGTTAAAATCCTGCAAGGGATAATTATGTGTGATAGGATTGCTGGACTCCTCACCGCCGTAGGGTGGCTCACATAACCGCTACTCGATTACAGCTTCCTCCACCATCAAGTTCATGCATGTGAAACAAATAACAGGCTAACTAATCCCATACCTGACATGAACTGGTAACCAAATGAGAAGCCATAGTTTGACATAGGATTAAGCCGTCTTATGGGTTTTCTGCTCCCCGAGACTAATATGAAAATCTTATCCCGCTATCGTAACAAACGACGTTATATCTGGTTGTCAGTTGTTCTCATACATTTTAAAATTTCATTAATCTTGCGGAAATTACAGTGACTTGTTTCATGGTTAGAGTTGTATTTTACCTGTTGTTTAAGATTCTTTGGTCTCTGTACGATGCATTCAATGTGGTTATGATTCAAACAAAGAACTCGCAAATGTCTCAAATTGATCAAACCACTGAACGATGTTAGACTGTTGTTTTCAACATTGACACTGTGAAGTATATAATACAACAAAGTTAGTAATACCGTACACTGAGAAAATTGAAAAAATGATAAGATTTTCAGGTATTCAAAGTCTTCTGATAAAATGATGTCAATCAAACTTATTGATTGACTATAGTACAATAATAGCTTTCAATTCTGATGCTAAAATGTAGGAATTTTGAGAATTTAAGAAGTTCAAAATTTTACCCCGACCACATCACTTGTGGAAACTGCTAACTGACTCTAACCTAATGACCATTTTATGAAACTCTCATTAGAGCATAGTCTAGTTTTTGTGAGGTATAGCGACTTGGCGAATATATAGAAGCTTGTAATGCCTTAGATACAGAATGTCTAAGAAGTTTCGCCCGATTGTGAAGTCTTTATTAAATGTTATTTTTTTTTTATTTCAAAAAAGATTTATAGTCAACCTGTTTCTAATTGGATGTTGGATGTTGTAGTCCCTATTTATCATGCAACAAAATTTATTCAAATTTGCAATTGGTTATGCTATGAAATCGGGCGCAACTTTTTGGACACCCTGTATATACCATAATAATGATGGTGATTTCTGTATAAAGTTCTCTCATGTTTCATTCATGTTATGTGATTTGTTATTCGGAAGAAATGATTTATTTTTGATTAACTGTATCCTTGAAAATGTGGTAAGGAACTAATGTGGTATAAAATGATTGCATTGTTCTCTTTTATTACTACGTTCATTTTCAATTTTCAATTATTTGATTGTGAGCATGCTAAAACTTCTGGTAAGTTTTGTTCACTTTCCAGGCCCTTAAATGATGTGTGCTATATGCAGAGGTCAAAATAAACTTGTTTTATGTTCTAGACTAATTTAAAACAAAATTTTGGTCTATTTTGTATAAAAATCATTCTGAAAGAAAACTTCAGTTCGTTCATGCATGCTCGTGCCAGATACCAATTAGTACCACAGTTGAAAAACTTTATTGAATGATGGGTAGTTGGTCAGATTACCTAACAGTTTATATTTCATCCATTGTTTTTATTTATTCATTCAAGATCTGTGATAAATTTGATGAAATATTCAAAATTATTTCATTTTGTAGAGTAAGTAAAATGATTCCATTTGAGGTATAATGCAACAAACCTTCGTAAATTTTTAAATGCGTCACCGTTACCAAGATCAACTGTTCTTATTGAACAATGAGGAAAATCAAGTTCTCGAACTTCTGTGAAATTTGCATGTCCAAGTCGTTCAGCAACAAAATCAGTAGTTAATCTGGAAATAGGATGACATACATAGGAAAGGACAAAATCGAATAATATACTATCTCGGAAAATATTTTGAAACACAATTTGAAAAATAACAGCTGTATACAAAACTAAAAACACTAAAGATGGAAACTTAACTGGAACACTAAATTGTGCAAACAATTTTCTAAAAGTTTAATCTCAGTAAACTAACGGATGCCAATATTATACATTAAAATGATAATTATGCAAATGAGGATATTCGAAAATATTCAATTTAATTTTAACATCCTGAGATATCAAAAAAAGTCATTTCAAGAGATGAATACTCCCGCATGACTGTGGTTGGTCAATAAATTCATCATTTCATTATAATTGAAAATGATTTTCAACAAGGCCATAGTTGGCACTGGAGTCGTAGCTTGGTACGTTTTTATTGATATCAGAGCCGATGACGTATTTTTAAATTCCTCAAAGTCATAAGTTGAGTCAAAATTTTGAATTTTCTATCTTCCAATGGTGATAATGGAAATCGAAATTTCATACAAATATTCAAAAACCATTAGGTTGACCAAGTATTCTCAACAGAAAAATTAGGGCTAACATAAATTTTTTGTTATTAAAATTTGGTTTTCTCAGAATTTGGAGCTACAGTTAAAGTCAAAATTTCTGTCTATGCGAAGACGACAGGCGGAGTCATTTTACAAACAAGTTGGAGTTAGAATCAGGTGTGAATTCCTCTGACTCCAAAGCACTGATAAAAATATAATGTATGTGACACATTGAGTAAAAGTGATTGGCCATTTGGTATGAAACAGACGTATAAAACAAGAGAAAGAAACGGAGATATCTTCTTACCTGCCACCAAAAGCATCTTTTGCAGCACTTTCTTCTGTAGTTTCAATAGCACTTCCATCTAATGCTTTCAAGTTTGGTAAGTGATAAATCACAAACAATCTGTAATTATCTGATTGAACGACAGGATTCCCATAAACATCAAGAATCATAAGGTTCACCAAGGCCTGTAAAAAGTAGCAAGAAACAAGATTTTTTTGTCGAAATGTAGAATTTTCCGAAGAGTCGGACCCAAATTCGAAATTTTCAAATTTGATCAATTTTTTTTGTTCATATAATAAAGACAGACATGCCAAAGAACAACAAAATATCAGTAAGACATTCTAGTAAGTCCACTTCCAAAATGGCATTTTTATAAATATTATTCCATACCTTAACATTGAAGATTTCCCTGACATTTACAATTCTGTTATTCCCAAGATAAAGTTCAACGAGAGAATGCTGTTCATGCAATCCTTTCAAAGAAGTTAGCCTAAAACAAATATGTAAATTTAAGGTAAATTTCAAAGTCATTACAATCATGCATGTATATCCTTCATATATTCGAATAATTTGACATTTTAGAATCTTAAATTTATTTCAGTTTTGATACTTTAAATTAGTCACTCATACTCCTTGAAAAATATTGTTACTTACGTAAAAGTTGCTACTTATGCAGATACTTGTTTGAAGTAAAAGTGTAAGGAAAATTAAGATGACAAACAAAATGATTTTTGTGCACAAGAAGAAATATTTCTTATAGAATAATATTCTTATAAATTCATTACATCTTTTTTTCCAATTTCCTTATAACAATTTTTTATGCTTCTACAAGAATAAGAATTCAAATTTTTATCTTGTGAGAGAATTCATCTATCTTCTCGAACATAATCACAAGATTTTAGCCTGCGTCTTACATGAGGAATGTGGAGGTTGACAAACAAAATTCCATGTGCCAACTGTATTAGGGAAAAAACTAATGATTTTGCCAAAAAGTGGGATAGAATCTACCTGTTATTTTCCAGAGACAAAAACTGTAAACTTGTTAATTTTTCCAAGCCACTGTTTTCCAGTGATATCAGGTAATTACTTGACAAATCAAGGTGACGTAAATTTGTTAGTTTCGATAAACCTAAAAATTATAAATAAAATGAGTAAATAAAATTCAGCAAAAATAGTGAATCTATTATATTCTTGAATACTGGTATATGGACACAAAAATGTTATCATCAGTGTACGTTAGTTGGACCTCTTTGCTGTCTTTTTAAAATTAATAAAGGAGAAACAGATAAAAGTAATATAATATAGGACAATGGTTTTTTCATGTACCATTGCCACTTTACAGCACCTATATATACACCATCATTATTGTCTCCTGCCAAAATGTAAAACTGCAAATAAATTTATGACCCATCAGCATAATAAGTGTACTCTGAATAGTATTTTTTTTCTAAAATAGGGGGGATGAGCTTGGTGCTTGAAGTTTTCTTTCCTAATAAAGGAGACATTTTCATGGGATTTAGCCCCTGGACCCCTATATTGAAAATACCGAAATGTCTATTCCAGTATAAATAATTAAAGATTAGTTACCGTCTAGTTTATAAATGCAATTGTCAACAAGAGATAATTCTTGCAGATTCGTACAACATTCCAAACCTTCCAACTTAGTTACACAATTTTTATTAAAAGATGCAAATCGTAAATTCTCAAGTTTATCAAGTCCACTCAGCTTCCCAATATATTGACCATCCAGGTTCAGCACAACAACCTTTTTAAAAAATAAAATATTAGTGTTTCAAATATCGGTAATCATTCCACCAAGGGGTGCGATAACTTAAGGATTAGATGCAGGGGTCCTCGAACTTTTATTATTCGTGACCCCTTCCAAAGATTCTCAACGCTTTTTGGCTCCTGTTTGTCAATAACAAATTTTTTTTGTTATTAACAGGTTTCTGTCATTCATTTAAAACAATTAAAGATAAAAATTTAACAAATGTAAGTTAAAGAATAAATGCATTATGACCAAAAAATTGAACAAATCAGGGTTATTTAAATTGAAATTATTGTAGACAATTTGGATGACATATTGATAGCATTTGCTTGTAAACCAGAGAATAGCTTCACAGCCAAATAGGGGGAGGGTACAGTTGGCGAAGCCCCGGGTTAGAGTGATGGACCTAACATTAGCTTTGCAACTAGAGGAATCGGGTTCAAATCTTATTCGTACACCGTCATCATGGGCAGCAATGAGTTAGGCCCTCGGCCATCCAGAAAAAGTTCTTCTCAAAATAGTATTTCCATCCCAGAGTTTTGATCAAGGTGAAAATGTCATGAAAAAAAATTTTCGCATCATTTTGCAAATCGACTCAAATCAATTTATTGAATCATTTTTGCCTAACATTGTAAATATAAAATACTTTTGTCATCCATGTTGCATCCTTGGCATCTGGTTTCAATTTCATCATGTCATGAAATACTTCCGAACTAGATAATAAACTCAATGAACGAGGTTTGACTCCTTCAACTCTGGAGTTGTTTATGATAGTAGCCTGGATGAAAAAACGCTTTTTATTTATTCTTGCTAAAGCAGTTGTTTACAGGAATCTATGATAGCAATAAGATATATACAAATAAAAATAGACAATGATTGATATTTGGTCCTTCGTTCCATGTGCAAGAGTAATATTTGCCTGTGCCTATCCTGATAGGAATTTTCTTTAGGGGTAGTCTTGGTTGACCTCGCAGTCGTGACCTTGAATCTGCTTTCGACTCGGCAAAAAATAATCCCGAGTCGTATTCTACATTTAAGCTGATAGCATCGTATTGCATAACTAACTATACCTGAGATATGCGAGACCCTGATACTAGTCTCAAAGCAGAAGCAGCATCACTTTCTGTTACATCAATGCCATTAAGTTTGGTGAGAGATTTGAGTCTTCCGATTACTCTCAAGTAGAGATTGTCAGCCTATTGTTGAAAACAAATATATAACATAACAAATTATATAAATATGGGCATTAGAGGAGATGAGACCATGCTGACCTATATCACAAGTGTACCCATGACAATTTATGAAGACAGACAGACTGACTTAGCAAACGTTTTAAAAGATAAACAATATAGACAAACTACAAGGTGAGACCAGGGGAAAAAGCCTGTAATAGACGAAATTCTACAATGTGTATGAAAATGTAGATATGTTTGGCTACATTTTTGTATGATTTTAGGACAGACAACGACTATATAGTGTAGGAAACAGATTTTTATATACCATATGTTTCAATGTTTGAAATCTTTAGTTCTTTAGTTAAAACAAATATCAGATAATTAAAACTCCTGCTTTTATTAATTTTTGCAGTCAAATTTTACAATATCGGAATTTTAGTACTCAAGTATGCAAATTTTTTTATGTGAAAACATACTTAATTTGTCTATTCAATGTCTTCCAATCTGCTAAATACAAAAGTACCACTGCTATCATATTTAAGTTCACCAATTTTACCTTAATCCAAGGATTACTTCTGATATCAAGAGTTGACAACAGAGGACAATGTTTTCTCATCACTGTGAGATCATCTCTCAAACTTGTCAACTGATTCCAACTCAAGTTGAGCGTTTTCAACTTTGACATACCCTGATGAAAGAATAAATTGGTACCATCAGTATTGGCAGTAATTGACGTCCAATGTCAGCCATTTCAACACCCATGTAGAAAATGAAAGTTAGACACTGCTTGTTCTCCAGTCAAAAAATTTTCAATAACCTAGGAAGCTCTGATTTATCTGACTTATAATATGTTCTCTAGAATATTTCCAAATGATGTGAGTTCTGTTTATTTGGGTCATCCCATATTTTGAATTTGATGACAGTTAACGCAGCAAATCGTTGTTAACAGAAAAAAAATTTAGAAATTGACAACTATATTATATTTGATGAGCTATTTTATCATCGTCTTGATTATGTTACGAGTAAATGCAGCATACCATTTCAATTCTACATGATACTAGCCTGCAACTTTGCTTAACAGCGCATGATGAAAAATGAAGCAAAATCGGAAAGCGCCCAAAATATAAAACAAGTTAATTCCAAACTCAAATGGCAGCCAATCAACAGAATTTTGTACAAGAAAATCAAAGACGAGACTACCAATTATTCAATTAAAACTAAAAGTACCGGTAGTTAAAAAAGAAATGTACTCAGCCATACTAACCCTCATTCCTTCAAGAGAATTGATTTTATTGAAGCTGGCATCCACTTCTACGAGATTCGGCATGTGTGCTATATCTTCAAGTCTTGTCAGTTCATTAAAACTCACAACCAGATGCTTAAGTTGAGACAATGTACCAATGCCTTTCAATCTTCCAAGACCATTACCATGAAGATTGAGCACCTATTGATAGCAATGGTTAAATTATTTCCCTCCACAAAGCTTTGAACCATAGGGACATACTTCATATTGATTGGGTTATGTCGAGTACTGCTTGGATGGTAATTTAACAATCAATAGATAACAAATTCTCTCTTTTTATTTGTACAGAGTTACAGTAACTTAAATTATCTTTATCATCTGGTGGACAATGATAGTAAAATAGCGAGTTTTTCACACTGGACACACAGTTCAGAGCAAGAAAAGTAAAAATTGTAGACATTCTCATGGCACAAGACGTACACGAGCAGAAAGATACTTGTGAGACAAAGAATGTTTGCAGTATTATAGTTTAGCAACATAATACAAGTTTTACAACCTAAATAACCGCATCAAGCTGATAAAAACGAACAGCGATTTCACCAAAGTTAGTCCTGCAAGAATCGCAGGCAATATTTGCGAGCAATAAGCCAACCCTAAGAAAAATAAAATAAGCATAGCCCCCGATAAGTTATTGTCCAAAATCAGGCCAAAAATTAGGCTCAAAAAGTGGCTTTGCCAGAAAATACAGTATTAGGAAAAAAAGGCGTGAACCAAATTACAGCGCAGCCTCTTATACTGCAGTAGCATATTGCCTTTAATTGGATCCCACTAGAAAGCTGTTCGGTCACATATCTGGAAATATGGTGTCTAGAGGTTCCAATAAAATATTTCTGGACCTCCTGAAGTCAGGTTGTGTACCAGGTTAGGGTTCAGGTTGTGCGACATCTTGGTGCGCATATTTCAGGAATACCATATTTCTGTCACAAAACGAGAGAACTCGCTAAACATCTTGTCTTGCCTCTCATTATTGTTATGATATCGTAATTTGAATGTACTTAGGGTGTGAGGTTTGGCTGGGCAATGCCGATACAAATTATAATTAGGACCAGAAAGTACTAAATTTTAGTACCATATAAATCCCCACCTAAAATAAGCTAAAGACTAGGTGGAAAACTCAAGTAGGCCTATTTCCAAAATCAAGTATTCTATACATACTGTAATTTGTGACACTGACATAGCTCTTCCCATTTTCAACAAGAGATCTTCTGATAACGACACAATTCTTGGTCGTGGTCTGATTTGTGGAGACATTTCTAAGGATGCGTTGTCTTGTTCTAATTCCCATGCATACACAGTGGTAGAATTGCCAGAATTTGTTGCGTTCAAGTGTGACGTCCAAGTATTAGCAATGTAGTTAACAAGTCGAAAAGGAGACGGTGGATTCTGTTGGAAATAATTATTAATATAAAAAAATTTTAATTTTTTTTATTAAAAAAGTTACGTAAAATAAGTTTAACAGTGGCATGTTAAGGTAAGCTAAATATTGAGTGGTTGACTCAATATGCACTCTTATTTTATCACTAGCATATCTTCTGCACTCTCTCTCCCATATCAACATACTCAAATTGTGATTGCGTTGACTCAAACTGTTTCAACTCTGGCATGAATCGGTTTTATACTGGTACGTAATGCAGAACCATTATTTTATGTAGTGGCCCCATTTCAGTAATGGTTTCAATTTTAAAGATGAGTATCTTTTTTGCTTGAGAGTGAGTGCTCTTGATCTTCCTTTGTTGAGTAGACAATTACAGCATAACATGAGGCAGAAGGAAACTTATAACACTGGACTTTTTTGGCAAACTGCTGCGAAATTCAGTAACGAACAAATAAACAGTTATGATAGCTTTCAATATGTGGGCAAAGGGGTAGTCAACACAAAAACCACTTGTGAAACTAAAGAGTCTATCGGTTTTCTAGGCTTGTGGTTTTCAACTTATTTTGTGAAGCGAAACCCCAATGAAACATTCCAGAAGCTTGAGGAACCGCTGCTCAGTTAATTGTCTTTTATTGCAGTAATTGTATATACTAAAACTATATAGGCCTATAAGAGCAAACCAAATGCTAGTGAAAAATGATCTTCAAAAGTAGCTAGTTCAGTAACAGTGGCAAACCTATTAAATACTTGATTATTTTTCAAAAATATACTTTCACTAATATGGACTGGATTTGAATGAAAACTTGCGTGGCCCCTGGACTGCACTGGCGAAATCGTATGGTGCCACAGTATCCTGGTTAAAAAACACTGATCTTCCTCCACAGGATTCAATCTTGCAAACCCCGAAATAATTAAATTGTTTAATTAGAAATGTGTATTCCAGATTTGCAGAGTAAACCAACTGAAACATTTCATGTAAGTGCGTTGATTGCCAGCTTTAATAGAGTTGAAAGACAGCATGTGATAATATAAATTACCTTCGCATGGTATTCGAAATCGATGACATATTCTGGCAATACTAGATATTTATCAAGGATATGCCATTCACATTGTCTACTACTGCATTCACAATCATCTGAAAACAGACAAAGAACTTTTTTTTGCAAAAAAGGAAAAGCAAGCAGATTATAGCTTTATTACCCAGAGCAAGACCGTGCAAACGAATGCGCTAAAACAACATTTTTTGTACACTACTCCCTTCGCCAAAAACTGTTTCCATTCAGCCAGTGCAGTAGCAATATGTAATTTCACTGTATGGCTTTTGTACAGTAAAAAGTTTATAATGTGTGTGAAGTAGGGCTGGGAATTTCAGGGAAAACACTTTAACCGTTAACCAGGTAAAATTAACCGGTTAACCGCTGCGTGACGTTTGACGTAATAATTTTTTAATTTCAGCTTGTTACGTCACAATGCTGACAAAGCAGTTTTGCGTGTTCTTATCCCGGTATCGCTTATTAAAATTATTCATGAATCGAGATAGTTTCATGATTGCTCTGCTGCAAAAGATAGGCAGCGTGGTTCGGGCGTGTGGAAGTATTTTAGAAAACCTATTTCCGTTGTTAAACGTCATTTATGTGACAAATTATCAGTGTTCGATGTGCAAATTTTGCTTCGAGATATATATCATATAAAGAAAAACGGCATCAACTGCGCACCTGTTGTATGACATTGAATATCCGATTTTGCAATGAAATCGTGAACAATATATTTCGAAATCGACCGAAAACTGATTCTGAATTATCATTGTCAAATTTCCATAATCAGCAATCTTGGTACTTCCATTATTTTTCACATTTATTGAGTCCTTACCCACACAGTTAGTAATATTCTTTTGAATTAAATGCTACAACAGATGAATTTGCGATGACGTAATCATATTTGAAGAAATTGTACCGTATGAAGATGATTTGTACCTGGGATGTCAGTTAACGGTTAAAATAACTCGTAACCGTTAACCATCTGAAATCGGTTAACCAGTTAACCATTCCCAGCCCTAGTGTGAAGGTATTACTGTAATGCTAATTTACCAAAGAATATTAGAATACTTGAATATAAAGTAATATTTAGAAAGTGTTGATACATGAGACTTCTAGTCTGAAGCTTTGTTATTAAGAGGAATAAATAACCATAACTCATAAAAGGGCATAAGGCTTTCAATGTTTTTAGAATCAAAGAGTGCCGTCACAGAATTACTCGGTAAAAAGATAATGCTGAAATTTCAATTTTCAAATAGATTTGATTCCAACACAAACTCACCTCTTGTCTTCATAGCAGCAGCGTGGTTTAACTCTGAACGTAATCGATAAACGCTGTCAATTTTATAATACTTTTCCTGTGTAATCCTGAGATAGAAAAGTTCTAATTTAATCAATGTTGTTGTTGAGCATTTTTTATGAAATAATCCAATATCTTACTTTCCATTGTCTTGTGCAGGAGCACTTTTTCCGAGAAACACTTTAGCAATAATGACAGATCCTGAAAGATGTGAATATTTAATTTGATGAGCATCAACAGTACTTTGAAATTAGATGATATAATATAGCCACACCATAATATAAAATTCATAAACTGTTCAAATCCTAACCAATAAATCAAGCACAATATAGCCCTGGACGGCAAAAATTTTGACTTAAATCCTATCCTATCTGCTTAAAAGCTTAGAAGATGCATAGTAAGTAGTTGGTCCCACTGGATCCAATTAATCACACTGTCGTGGAATAGATCTTTTAAGATTAGTGGAAGCCAAAAACATTTTCAGAATAAAATTTTTGAGGAATATTACGGTAATTTATGTTTCTATTGACTTGCAAAAGCCGCTTTGGAAGTCGATATCGATAATATATAATAAAATCACATATAAAATTACCATGTCGAAATGGGCAAGAATCTGGAAATTTATTTTCTTTTGCTTGACTGATGCAATCATCAAGTCTCTTCTTTTCACAAATGAATAAACTGTTTGATAATGGTACAGCGGCATCAAACTATAGATAAAAAGTTGAATTGACTACTTAGAAATTTTGAATGGTTAGGAAAACTTCTCAATAAAAATACAAATGACTGAGAAGAAATAATTACAGTAATCAGCAATTTATCCATTGACCATACCTGAAAAACAAGTATGACTTTGTTCCAGTTTATTGGCATGATATCTCGGTGTTTGATACCCGCTGAAATTAAGCTAAACCAATGTCCCCCCACCTCACCCAGAGTGGATTGATGGAATAGGTTTCATGATTAGTATAAGAGTAAAGCTCATTCCCTTTTTTCTCGATAGTGAATGCATAGCCACATAGCCAAATACCAAAGCCACAATGTTGGGGAAATATACGACCTCTATTCTAATCCAGCTCCCGGCTGAATAAATTTTGATTACAACTCTATTTCAAAATTCCGAAAAGAAAAATCTAAATTAAGTTATCCCAGATTCCCCATTACAATCCAAGAACCAAAAAAACTTCAAGCCTCACCTCATTTGAAAATCCATTTTCCAAAATATTTTCTACTTGCTTGGAGTTGTCAGTTTGAGTGGGATCAGGCACATAAAACAAATAGTCAACTAATTTCTTGTAATTCCTAAAAAATGTTGAAACTAATGATGTAATTTGACTTGTATTTACACATAATTATATCTAATAATTAATTCCTTAATATATGAGATAATCAATTTTCTCATATTAATTAATCATAAAGAAAAAACCAAACCAAACCATTTTGAAATAAATAAATATGAAATATCAAATATGTTTTAAAATGGAATGTAATAAACAGAGAAAATAGGTTACTATATATTGACAGAGATTGATTTTTATTTACAGAAAAAATGAAAAAAAAAATTACATTTGGTAATTAAAAATTATCTGATTTATCATACATTCAGATAAAAATACGAATGAGACAACCCCAAACAGCACCCACTTGTTCATCATAAAGCCGGTTTCATCACAAGCTAATTCATGAACTTTTTCATCGAATCTAGACCGAAGCAACCGGTTATGGACTCTTGTTATTGCGTGTGTTTTTATGCCTGTAACTCCATAACTCTGAAAAAAGGGAAATATTCAGAAGAATTATAATTAAATAATCAAGTTGACATAAGAAAACCAGTAACTTAACTATGTTGGAAAAGAAAGTTAGACAACTCAATTCTTTAACAGTCTTTAATAAGTAGTTAACTTAAGCCTGCCACCTGGACAAGGGTGTAACAAATTCTGTAAGCAACGCAGAACTGAAAATTCTAGTCTTTACCAATTTTTGGTATCACTAAATCTCAGGAGCCAGTTATACAGATACTGATGTTAAAATTCGAAAAATTGTTTGTGAAATTATGAGGTGAAATTTAGTCGGCGGTGCGATGAATCATGATGAGCATTAGGAATCTGCTCACCACCGCACTTCTGATCACCCTGTGTGCATTCGCAGGTTCAGTCCCATGCAAGGAAAATTATGTGCGAGAGATTTGCTGGCCTCCTGCCCGCCGCCGTAGGGTGGTTCACGTAACCGCTGGTCGTTTACGGCTTCCTCCACCATCAAGTCCATGCATCCCAAAACAAATAACTGCCCAACTGATCCAGTACATGCTGTGTCTCATCATATTATGATTAAGCCGTCTCATCGGCATTCCTCTCCCCAAGATAAATACCGGTATGTAAAATCCTATTCTTTTCAGGACAAATTAGATTATGTAAAATTTATCGCAAATTTGTTGATTATATATTTCCCAAATCAGAATATATCGCGTAAATTGAACACAAGAACCACAGAGGGCTACAACTCGCATCAGATATAAAAACTACCGGTAATATTTCTGAATAATACACATTTATCCCAACAACAGCAAACAATAGCTATTTAAAATTCAAATTGCATACCTTATAATCCCAAGCACAGAACCTTGATAAAATCAAATCATGGCAAGTAGTAAACCAAACATCCTTAGTAGATCCTTGTTCAAATCGAACATTTCCTCCTGTCTCTAACTCAAGCATGAGACGATCAACTGATATTGAAGTCAAAGCTTTCACTTGATCTAAGGCTTGTTTGTGATATTCTTCAATTCTGTATGATGACGAAGTAGAGTAGGGATATCATATTAATATCAGAAATTTATCAATGTATCAGTATTGCTGTATCAGTAAGTCCGATAGTCAAGTCGAGAGTCATCTTAGTTTAAGTCAAATCTGAGTTTGAAGTCAAGCCAGAGTTAGGACTCATGGCTAGTTGATGATGAGTCATTTCATTTCATTCGAGTCCTTTTGAGTCTGTGTTTATGGTGACTCAAGTGCGACTCAAATCGAGCCAATCACTCAAGTCTCTAAAACACTGACTTTAAGTCACAAATAGTGTCCGAGTCATAATATATTCCACGAATAACTATGAGATGGATTAATATGAGTCGATTTAAAACTAATACTTGAAACTTCCATTTTGGTTAAACCAGGGGTCACCAAACTACGGCGTCATTTTATCCGGCCCGCAATAACACGCAAAAATGGCTAAATTTTTTTCCAAGGAAGATTTCCCCGAGCATCGTCTTCCTTGTTTATTTCGTAACATTGACCAATCAGCAAGATGCAAAAAAACGTGACGTAATAAAAGGCCTCTTCGCATCTCAGCTCAGATAACTTTTGTCATCCTGACAGATTTCCAGTCGTGGTTGTAAATAATACTTCGTTTTTGTGACTTTGAATGCTATTCGTTAATTTTTGATTGTGTTTCGGAAATTTAAGTATGAATCAAATAAGTCAACTATCATTTGCATCCTTAGGAGTTGTAGTTTTAATAGTAGTAATAAAAAATTAGTCTAGAAATAGCTGTGAATAAATAGGCTAAAATTCTCTACCGGTACGCAACGTTTTCTGCGAAAGATGCACTTGTACACTCGTGGCGCGTGCTTTTGACGAAACTGTTTACGTTTCTTGTGCTAAAATAAATGTTGAATGTGCATTTTGCGCTAACAGTACTATAATCCCTCGCGTACTGCTCCAATTTCATAAGTCACACTAACTTTTGTACTGCTCAAATGCGGATATTCATGTAGTATGTTACAAAAAAAAATTAAATTTCATCCGATTTAAATAAAAACTGCGCCAGTGGATAGATCTGAGTGAAAATAGAAAACAGTACCAACTACCAAGTTTATAAAAAACGATCAAGAAATAATCGAGATATCGGAATTTTAGTACCTCCCGACAGAGCAATTATTTTCATAAGGATTGTATTACTTTTTTGATGGGAACTGTAACAAATATAAAAAAATAACACATGTCAATCACTAATATTGAGACTATTTCGGGATTTTATGCTGGCAACGGTCATTGACACCGCCGAGAGATCGTCGCAAATAAACGCTGGAGTTGTGCATGATAGTTTAATTTGCACTACGAATAAAAGGGGGGAGGCGGAATTTTTAAAAGCGTCGGGAGCTAGTGAAAAAAATTAAATGCCAGATATGTTGTTCATTTTATCTAAATTATGTCAAAATTTCATGGAATCCCAAGCTACAGCAGGCAGTCCGTAGTTGTTTTTAGCAGTAGCAGTATTCCAACACGGCGCAACAGTACCGGTACTTAGCAGACATGAAGCGTACATTATTTTGGCGCGAAATAGCCGATTTTGTAACATTCCTAATTCATGACAGCAACGTTTTGATAACAGCTAAACTCAGGATAGTTGTCTAGATATAGAAATCTTGTATATTTGTTTTCCTAGGATGTTTTTGATCTAGATAAAATTAAATATTCAAGTCTTCAGAAATGTAGAATATATATTGTTAAATAAATTGGATGAATTTCCCAACTTTTGTGAATTTATTTTATTGCATTGACAAATATATTCATCCGGCCCGTTTCAATCCAGTTTGAGTCATACCCGGCCCGCGGTCAAAAAAGTTTGGTGACCCCTGGGTTAAACCAACATCATTTTAGGAATCAAACTAGAAATAGAATTTATCAGATATTGTCATCAGAGCATATATATTATATACATGCACATAATCTATTTAAGGTAATGATACAGAATTTTTATTTTTGTTAATACAACATTAGTCAACGTGGTGAATAGTATTTCACTGTTTTCTTTTTTCACTATTTGAAACACAATGGCATTAGCATTTATATTATTGACAATTTTACAGATATTTCCAAATTGCACAAAAAAGAAATATGAATCAGATCTGATGTTCTAGGACTGGTTCAAGTTAGAAATAGCTGTTAGTCCAATTCTATTTTATAAGATGGAGTCTGCTATCTTCCTGTGTATAAATAACTGCTTGTACTGAGCCTCGTTGCGAGAGATAGATCTAATTCAAGGGTAGACAAATTACAACCTGCGGGCCGGAACGGCCCTCGGAATGTGTTTCATCACTTGTGACTGCTGAGATTCCAATTATGGTTTTTGTGGATATAAATTTCTCCTGTAACAAATACCCATTGCATAACATCAGTGAAATGAGCAGGAAGGAGATTGTTATAGACGCAAGTTATTTGCAAATAAAGTGTTTTACATTCATAGTTTCATATCGAGTTTTGAACTCCCAGACCAGAAACCAAATCTATTATCTGTATGTGGCCCACTTCAGAATGTAACTGCCAACCCCTGATCTAACTAAAGTACTTACTCTTCGATTTTATTTTTCCAATGAGTTATTCTTTGCTTTAAAGATTCAATTTTTGATTTGATTTGTTCAACATGCATGTCAACTTCAGCATCTGGTTTGTTCGCTTTAATTTCGATGGAATCAGATTCTCCTGCTGCACCTAATTCATCTGGAGGCTTTTTGGCTTCATTATCATCGATCTAAAATATGAATAATGCCCAAAAAGTATGATTATGAATTTATAACAATGATAATGAGAAACAAGCGATGCTCAAACATATGAACACAAATGCCAAAACAAAGTGGTACGAGTACATGATTTGTCACAGCAGACTACTGCAGTCTTACGTAATTTGATGACTACACGAAACAACCACAAAGTGTGTAATTTTTTAATTTTGAAGACATCATCGAACACAAAAAAACGAATCTCATAGAGCTCACAGGTAATTTTGCAATAAATAAAAGTGCCTAATAGCCTTCTAGCGAAAAATACAATCGTTAATCACTGGAAACTTCAAAGCAATTGGTCCGGTAGTTTATTGAAAAAAAGCGTTTTTTTCACAAAAAGAAGAACAAAGAAAAGAATGACTAACAACAACATTATAATAACAAAACGATCCATAGGTACACTTCGTGTCCAATTAACAAAACTTTTGCACATGGTATATTAGGGAATATACCAGTACAAGGGTTTCCCGACTGGGCCCTCAGCCCCCCTTGGAGTGGTTCTTAGGGGGTCCCCGAAAAAGGAATTCAAACCGGAAAGCCTTCATCACCAAAATAGTTATGGCAACCCTATAACCACCAGGCTAGACCCATCTCAACTAGGAGCCCTGGTCAATGTTGATTGTAAACCAATAATATTTCGGCCTACCATAAGCAATAGATTTATAGATCTTTCTTGGATGTTTGCTCAGTGCCTTGTTCAGAATGAAAGTTGATAACTCTCACTAAAAATAGTTACCTCATCTTCAGATGACTCACTTCCTTCTTTTTCATTGATATTATTTGATTCTTCGGAACCAATCTCTGACTGTTGTTGTTGTTCAATCTGGCAGTAAAACAAATTAAATTAAAAAAAAAAGAATTAAAATCTTACATCATCAAGAGTAAGACCAGTGTTGGCATGGCCCGGAAATAACTATTGCAGGAAACTATGCAAAACGAAATACCAAGAATCAGTGCTGGGTTGAGCCCATGGAAAAGTGGCACTCACTGTGGCCGCATAGGTAGCGGTAGCCTGATAAGGATGGTCTTGAGTGCTGCGTACATTGGATACAGTTTAAAATGGATGAAGATAAGTCCAACTAATACAGAGACCTCAAGAAGACAGGCAATTCATTGAGGCGGAAGATAATACACAAATATTCGATTCCCCACAGTATTATTAATATACCGATATAGAAATGAGAATACCAGTACTTCATATTTACGACTAAACAGGTTGTTTTTAATTCTTGTATCAATATTCATTTGTGGCTATGTATTTTGACTTGTTCAAAATGCTTTACTTGGGTGAGATAACAAGAGTCTTGTAACTGGAAATGATAAAAAGGGAAGATTTACACACTTTTCACTCTGAAAAAGTGGGTGTACTCTGTACTGGCACTGATAGTAAGGATTTAACTTAAAAAGCTACTGTATTTAGGAAAAACCAGGATATTTCTGTTTCATCTATTTCTACCAAGTTTTTACTTTTACGACCTTGGAATACATGGTGGATATGGGCTTAGTATTAGGTTAATTGATTACGATTTATTTGGAAATTCAGAAAATTAAACTTGCCATTTTTTGTCATTTTCTAATTTGAAATCATGATTCATGAGTAAAAACTATAAAAATTAATCGCAAACTCATTGTAAGGCCAAATTCCATGATTGTTGATCAAATAATGGTAACAACATGTGTAATCTTTACTGTTCACACTGTCTTATGTAGAAAACTATGTGAAAAGGTTTAATTTTATAACGTATTACTTTCACAAACATGAGAACTAGTTTTCTTGCTCAACAATAGGTACAAAGAAATTCTTCGATGCGAATCAAACACTAGCGAAAACAAAAGATATTTAACCTATCAATATCCTATCTTTTGTTCGAATGTTTTCTTCGGATTGTGAAAACATAATGCTCATAGTAAAGATGACGATTGATACAATTCATACACTACTACTTATCTTTAGATAAAAAACTGAATCCAAAATAATTTCAAATTTGTAAACAAAAAAGTGTTGATGTATCAAAGCTGGGTCACCTGGGAATCCTCTCTTGTCGCTTTGTGTCTAACGACAAATTAATAAAAGTTAATTCAGTTTATTTCCTTGTAAATTTTATTAAAAATCCCATCTCACGTCAAAATAATGTTATTTCAATATTTACCATCACAGCCTATTAACAATTTAGTGCAACCACTATCTAGTGAATTTTCTGATTTTAAACAATGCCCATAACCAGTGTTCACTATTAGCGCACTTTTTTGCGAAAATTGCGAAGCACTTTCGCAACTTTTTTTAGGGACTGCGAAATAGCACTTTCGCAACTTTTTTTAGGGACTGCGAAATAGCACTTTTTTCCGATTTTGAAGAGAAATAGCACTTTTTTCCGATTTTGAATGGAATAAAAATTCAAAGTTAACAAATATTTTCGAGTATTAAGTTGACAAATAAGTAACATACTGGTACTTTTGTAACTCAATTCTGCATATCATAACGATATTTACCGGAATTCTAACCTATGAGATGCAGACATAGGAGATAAAGCTTTTGCATTAACGGCAAAATTCTTGTTTATAATATGATTATTATACAAGCACACGGATTCCGCTTCTCCCAGCAAAAAACGCTCCCGGGGCGTTTCTTTGAACGAGAGTGGTCATGTGACTATCAATGATATCGATGAATTCAAAATTACTATAAAAAGTGTTAGTAACGTGTTTTAGTCACTTTGGATGAATTGTGACCAAACTGCACGATTTTCAAATCAGACGAAACTTTTAGCAGCATGTCACAGATTTGCAAAATCACAAAATACCATTAAGTGTCATTTTCTTGTAATCACAATGTTGAAAGGACGTGGCATTTTCCGGAATTTTGCGATATTTACACAACTATTTCTCATTGATATGCGAGGAGGGGTGGGCAAAATTCAATATTTTTTTAAATCGAATATTTTTGAGGAGTACCGAATAAACGTGGTGGAAACATTAAAAAATCGGCAACAAAGCCTTTCTACTGGTTAATTCCGTTGTAATCGCTAATTGTTCTTGTCACCGATCGTTTTGGCGGCGATATCCAGGTTTTGGGTAATCTATATTCCCGCCCTCTCTTTTTTACAAATATGAATTCTTGTGGGTTGGCGGACATCGAAGTTTTATATTTCGGGTTTACCCGTTCGTTCACATCGGCAACAGCTGTTGAAGACATTGAGGACTCAAATTAACATTTGCGCTGGCTCTAATATTACCTATCAAGATTTGTAAATTTACCGTCCCAATTTTATGCGAATGGTAATATTATTGTCCATACCGTGATGCAGATATTTATTAAGACGATAATTAACTTTCTCATGTATTTCTATGGTGATTAACTTCGCAAATCTGAAATTGTGCCAATCCTGAATGTTGATTTGAAATAGTGATTGAATAATTCGGCTATAAAAGCATTTCTGCGTGGTCATAAGACGAGATGACGTTAATGAACAGCACTTCTTTTATAGGATATTTTACGTATGCGACTTAATGCTAAAAAGATTGGGCTCGAGTGCTTTTTTTTCGAGTGCTCGAGTGCCTAATAGAGGTCAGGCGCTAATTGTAACTAATTCTCTCAAGTTTCAACGTGTTTTCAACAAAACAATACCCCGGCGATAATTATAGCTAAAATGTTACCGAGCAATTCACAATTTTATTTATGGAATTTGCAAATTCACCAGTTTCTTGACAATTTTGATATTGTCACGCCCTAATTATTAGTGCAAAAAATACTCCCCTTCTTCCGCGGCGGTTTGACGGGTTCTTTGTTCCATTCTTCAGAAAGTTCTGACACGGGGGATATAGAATACTGAATCCGGAGGGTTGAATCCCTGTCCACTTAGTGGTGATTTTCCGTTTTGAAATGCGTGAAACATTCTCTATTTTAAATTAAATGACGTTTCGCGGGCTAGAGTTCTCCCCGAAAATGATGTGTTCCAGACGTTAGTTAGACGATAGATAAAACATTAAATTATTAATTTTCGTGACGCCACGTTTTCGAAAATACAAAGTTATATCGCAAAAAAATGCGTTATGATTCATTTGGAATGAAACATTATTTACGGTGAATTCAGATCACATTTTACTCTCCATGACACCCGGTATCCGAAAATACAGTTGTATCTCGAAAAATGTGTTTTGTTACATTTAAAATAAAACATTTTTGCGATTAATTTAGATCATATTTTGCTTTTCACGACACCCGTTTCCGAAAATACAAGGTTATATCGCAAAATGTGTTTTGTTACATTTAAAATAAAACATTTTTGCAATTAATTTAGATCAAATTTTACCTTTCACGGCAACCCGTTTCCGAAAATACAAAGTTATATCACAAAAAATGCGTTTTGTTACATTTATTTTGCATTCCCAATAAAATACATATTTTCCCTAATTAAGGTCCTCGATGAATCTGTTCCTGTTGTTCAAGCTCAACACACGTTTGGACGAGTGTGGGGTGGTTTTTTGATCGACGATAAATTAAAAAGTTGCCACACGTTATTTGTATAACGATAATAACTGAAAATTAAGATTTTATAATAGAAGTGAATTTGTCTCAAGATGGTATTTTACGATTCCTGCCCACAGAAAATAAACACGCTGACAGGCTTGGTTATAATTGATATTCGTTTAATTTATTTTACACTATTAATAAACGCGCCACACCAATTGCGACCATATAAATTGCAGTCGCATCGGTATTGACTGTATGTTTTTGGCGCTCTCAAATTAATAATAATTTTCAACAAAACAATACCCCGACGGTCATTAAAGCTGAATTCGTTACCGAATAATTCGCAATTTTATTTACGGAATTGCAATTTCAAGATCTCACTTGACGATTTTGATGATGTCATGCCCTAATTATTACTGCTTAAATGCCTCAAAATACAACAAATGTAATCATTTTCGACGATAACAGGCGCAACAATTCGTAAACGAGCCGTTATAACGAAATTCGCGATTGATTTTATCTCTCTCTTGTTTACTATTTTAACATCCCGCCGGCCATGTATGGTCGAATAAAATGTTCACATATTCGAAACATGACTTGGCCAAGGATGGAAGGGGTCACTAAAGAGCTAATAGAAAGTATATACGTGAGGGTATGATATTAAGATCGAGAATATTTGTGAGCATATCTCAGGACGGAAATATTTTGCACCCGGCTGTTTGTTGGCAGAACAACGATGCGCTAAAGTTAATTGATCGAATACAGGAAAGTATTTATTTATCATCTCACTTGCGAACATCGAGGTTTTGGCGGAATTGTACGATCATGTTGTCTTTCTTAAATAATAACTTTTTCAATAAATGTTCATTTTACTTTTGCGTCTTTATTATATGTCTGGTTTTCATTTATTTCAAATTCGAAACTGTCCGAAATACTCCAACAGGTGTATAGGTACAATAATAATGGTACTTACCAAAGTACCTACCAGGGAAGTTTAATACACACGATGTGTAAAGGGCGTCGTAACTCCCGTTTATTAATTATAAATTTTTTTACATTCTGCTTAAAAAACAACGGCAGTCATCTCACGTAACTCTCGCGACCAAATCTTTTTTGTTTTGTATGGCATCGTCTTGGCGACGAATTTATTGCCGACTGAATTTTAATTGTGTTTTAGGTTAGTTATTTTCTGTTTGTTGGTTTCTAAACTTTACAAACTTGGGTAACAATTACTATTAATGTGAGATTTGTGCATATGAACGATTGAATATCGCGACTGGATGTCCGATATCTTAGAATGCGTAATTCTCTTTCAACATTAATTTTCAGGATATCAGCGTTCATGTGGTCGAATAAAAATTATTTATCAAATGGATTGGTATTTCGAGACACTCTCAAAATTATTTGGGATTCATTATCATATCATTCGTTTATTTTTTATATTCATGTTTTTCTCAAGAATCACCCTCGTTATATTTAGTGTACCTTCGCAAAAGAAAACTCTTTGATGTCATCGTTCCTATTACTGTAATTGAAATATATGGAAACCTCGCAAGTGGCGTTGTGATGCGAATATTTGATACTAGGTCAGCAGCATTACAAAAAGTGCTATTTATGAATGCTGAAAGTACATGACATTACTAAACATTTTGCCAATATATGATGTTTTCTGCCCGATTTAAACTAACTCGCACGCAAACCAAGGCATGTGGACATTTAAAAATTACTTGTCTTTGGGTAAGCTCTGAAATAGTATAATATAAATGTAAATGAGAAATTAGGTCACTCTAGCTCACGAAACGGGAGGATTTTCAAAGTGATCTTGTGTAATATTTCGGAGAAAAAAGTTTGAAAGGAAAGTAGGTCAACCTATCTCCTAAAACAGGGGAGTATCCTGCATAATATTTCGGAGGGAACGTAGGTTAACCTATCTTTTAAAACAGCCGGTGGCGACTTTCAAAGTGGTTCAAAACACAAATTAATAATTATCAGATTAGGTTTAGGGATGAATCGAAAAGATGATTGCTATTTATATTTGGGGGGGGGGATTATTTTGCACCGGATTTGTACAAACGATCCACCCTGTAACTAATATGGTTTCCAGCCGGCCTCGTGTCTGTTAGATGGAAGGAGTAACAAATGTGAAAGTCTTTGCTGTTTACGCGAGTAAGCAACTGACACCGTGATACATTGCATGAAAGTTTTGTCCGCGGCAGGTGTTAGCAGATGTCATTTCGTTGCCGATGAATTCGCTTGTTTTAAATAAACATGAATTCGCTTAAAGGGAACTGGGTTAACGAAAAGGCTTCTCTTTAATTCATAATATTAACCGGAGGAGCGCTTTTTCGAGTATCTATGCCGTTTTAAATGGGTTATATGAAAGGCTAGGGCACCTAACTTGTTAAAATCGGCAAAAGCACTTTCGCACTTTTTTTTTGGACTGCGAAGCACTTTCGCACTCATAATTTGCTTAGAGTTAACACTGCCCATAACATTATTTGCCCTTGTAAATTGAACTCAACCAGGATTTTTTTTAGCTATTTTAAAGACTCTCCTAAAATTTTCTTTGAGTCTCTGGTGTTTAGTTTAGTCAAGTTTGAATCATTTCACTCCAACACTTCAGTGACTTCGAGTTGAGTCTGACTCAAATTAAATAAATGACTTGACTTTCCCAAAAACTACGCTGCTATCCACTCCTATATTCCTACTCTTGCTGCTTTTGGTTGATCTTGAATAAACTGTGATAAAAAATGACAAGAAAATCTTACCGATTTCAAAGCAAAATGGATTGTTCTCAGACGTTCTTCTGGAACTTGCAATAGAAGTCTTCTATCTTTGTTCAACCTATTCTGTAATGTTGTTAAATTTCTTCTAGTATTTTTCACTCTCATATTGTAATACATTTTCTTTTTTTGAACTGTAGCCTGTGTATTATAGAAAATTGTATTATAAATAATAATAATTCATGTTACATCAATACCTAAATTTTGAAATAGAATTGTAAAAAAGCAGATAAATGAGCTGACATTTTTCAAAATTTTGATTGTACTTTACTTTGTCAAACCCCATATAGTTTGTTTGGCTCGACGATGTGGCGCATCTTTGTAAGCGTCAGGAATGCGCTCTCCCCCATGTTTTACCTGTGATTACCCTGTGTGAGTTTGCAGGTTTCAATCCCACGTGGGATAATTATGTGGGAGAGGATTGCTGGACTCCTCGAAGCCGTAGGGTTATTCACGAAACAGCTGGTCGCTCACAGCTTCCAGGACTGGTATCCGGATGAGAGGCAGGATGAATATGTAAATCCTATATTATGTTTGATCAAAAAATAAATACCATCCATTCCCAGTCCACTCATCTAACACTTCAAAATATGGAACACAAGAAAGAATAATATAAATTCAAAATAATAATACCTCTGCTAGTTCTCTCATTTGAGGACTTGAAACATCCAGAGAATCGAGTCTAACCAACTTAGGTAGATGATATAATATATGTGTTGAATAATTGCACAATAAACATACAGGGTTGCATGAATACAAAGGATCCTGTTAATAGAAATCCGGGTTGATGAAAATTAATTAAACACAATATTAGTAGTGGTTTCAGTTGATTATATGCATTTAAGTTTGCTCAGAGAAGGTCATATATACCCAGTACCATTAATATTAAAAACTGTGATAAATGATATTAAAGATAGGAAACAACTTATGGACATGATAATACAACAAGCACCATAAAGTGCTGGAGGACAGGGTAGACAAAATTTCTATTCCGAAACTAACACCAAAATTTCCAGAAAAACGTCCTATAACCACCAAAAATTCCTATATTTATTCTAGTGAGAAGTATAACCATTAACCAACATGTATAACGAGAATATCGGTCAGGGAAAGAAGACTTATCGATCGAAAGTTAGGGGATCCCCCAAAACAGCGCTCTTACTCCATAGTGACACCTTGTGTCCCATCACTAATTAATAACTCGCTAAATATACGACATAATTCATCCAAAATCGATGGGCTTCTGGTCCGACATATAATGAATGCACATGCAAAATCTGGAGCAGATTCAATCTCACTTTCGTGAGATATCGCGTGCATCTAACAGACAAATACCTATCAACATACTTACCGATTAAAATCGATAAGTAATAACAACTACGGTATATTCTAGTACAGTATAACAACCAAAGACTAGGTAAGAAAATTGGCATTACCATTCACATACTAGTCAAATACCTATAAAAAGTTGTGTTAACAAAGTCATGCTATAAATCTGTAACCAGAGATGGTCAAAACCGAATAATATAATGTTTTGAAATTCTAAAATAATGTATTCGAATATCAAACATTGAACATATTCTGTTCACAATGGATCTGTTCCACAAAAAAAATTCTTCAAGATATTGTAAATTTGTAAAAAAAAAAAATTAGTCACACAGAATCATGGAGATAAACATTGTTTTAGGTAGTATTCTCTATTATAGGCTTTTCTGTCAGAAGTTACAAATTTTTTGTCTATCATAAGTTAATAAATGCTTAAACAGACATTTTCAAATGAAAATATTCTAAATTATTCCTAATAATTCCTACTATATCAAATATAACCAGTTTCAAATGTATCCAAATATTCAATTCGTTTTGGACATCCCTGTCTGTAACCACTATAATTCAATATAGTGTACCGGTAAATAGATCAAGCCCCTTCAGTGGGGTCTCCTGAAGTACGCGTCCACAAGTACATTTAGTGGGCGTAGCATAATGATTTTCGCCAAGAATATTCCTAACCCCCACCTGAGTATGACATCCAAAAATTCAGTCCCTACGAGCTACGAAGTCGCAATCACGTCCTAAATCTTGCTAAAGTATAGCTATGATCATCTGAAATGGCATTCGTGTCGATCATAATGAACTCACTAAAGCCAGCGCTTTCTCTTGTATCGGTATCGTTACTACGAGAAAACAAGGGAAATAACTCGCTCGATTCTGGATGATTGTCTGCGTTGGAGGGCCTTATTACGTCACTGTGACTTCGCAGTGATGTAATTTTCGGATGTCGTAGTCAGGTGAGGGTTAGGAATGACACATGCAAAAATTGTTGAGCCAGGCTATCTAGATGTACTTGTGGGCGTGTATACTTCAAGAGACCCCTTTAGTGTTAGCCCAATTGAGTGAGTAGCTTTGCTTTGAGCAATTTTCATATAAAAATTAAAAATGTTACCTTGAAACTCAGATCGACTAGTTTCGTAAGTTTTGTTAAATGTGTAATGTCTTTGAGTGAAGAAAGTTTGTTTCCAGATAAGTTTAGGACATGCAAATGACTCAAGTTATCCATCGAATGTCCTTCAATATACAAGTAAATGGATTATGATAACTCATAACGAATTATAAAAATAGGAAATAGGGTTTGTGAAATGGGAAATTTTACACTCAAATTTGAACCCAAATTGCAAGACATTCAAAATACTACAGGTTGACAAAATTGCAGACTCGATTTCAACTTTCACTCTTGTCTCCTGGAAGTTTGAAATGACGCCTCTGGCTTCAACACCAATACTGATAGAAACTTGCCATAGTTTTAGCTGACTTTGTCAAGAATTTGACAGTTCTTACCATATGGATGAAATGAAGGGGTTAACTCTGATTACCCTGCACAGTGTTCGCATGTTCAAATCCTGTAAGGAACAGTTATGCGCCAGAGGACTGATGGTCTGTCTACAGGTTGCCTGTCACTTTATTTACATCAAAATTTTGCAAAATTTTTCTATATTCAGCAATGCTTACCTATTGATTGGATTTGATTCCCAGCAACATTCAATTCCTGAAGCCATTTTAGATTCTCAACATTCTGAAACAAATTTTTTACAGTTTGGTAAAGCCTCATCAAAATTGAAAACCTCGATTGACATATTTAATAAGGAAACTTATTCGGTCAGAATCTCAAACATCGGGAATTTACAATAGATCTTCATCATCTTCAATAGATACTGATCATAAAAACACAAACCTCAATTCTTTTCAGTTTGTTTTTAGAAAGCCATAAAATATCCAAAGCGTGAAGGTGTGCTATATTCTCAATTTTTTCAATCTGATTGTCATATAAGTATAACTTTGATATTCGTTTGTTATTTTCAAGACCGTGGATTGTCTGAAATGAAGAAAATAAAGTATATAATCCAGAAAAATTTATCAAATACGAAGCAGAAAACTGAAAAAAAGACAGGCAATAGATATTCACTGGGCGCGGTGGGCAGTGGCCTAGAGAGAATGAGCGTCGTATAAAAATATGAGGAAACTGTGAAATCTGTCGCTTCATATTTCGCTACTTACTGACATCTCATATCGATAACGAGCACATGCAATATTGTAATGCGCGATATTTAATTTAGAAACAAAATAACAGAAGTAATGACAGATTCAGTCAATGATTTATTTTTTCATAGCAGATAAAGTATGTGAGATGAGAACTACGATAATATTTCAGCAACAAAGTTTATTTTATAGTTTTGAAGATGGAAATCAACAAACCTTCAATTGACATTCCGCTATCCATAATTCTCTCAACTCTGGACAATGTTCCAAGTTTTCAATTTTTGAAATAGTTTGACCTGAAAAATTATACATACGTGGCATAGAGATGACAACTAAACTATAATTTTCAACATTAAGCAGAATATGTGTGTCCTACATAACAAGCTAATCAACGTGATATTGGTTGGGAAGAACTACAACGTTTTCCTTCTTTTTTTGTCTACAAGTATTGTCAAATTGGCAAAAAAGGTTGACAATTCTCCTGTGAATTGTTTAGATAAAAATTTAAGACATATGAAGTGCTGCATATATTTTCCACACTAATTGCAGTACCTGACCCCATTTATAATTGACAGTACAGAGTGTTCATAAGTCCTGTATTAAATTAGGTAAAATGACTTTGATTTGCTTTGGCAACTAATGGTGGGCATAAAAAAATATATTAAATGAATTGAAAAACTAAAATAAACTGCGATTAAATTAAAACTACTGAGATTAAGATATTCAGAAGTGACTTCATTATAAAATTTTGATTATAACAGTATTTATGAACACCTCGTTTATTTGGTATTTCTTACCTACGATGATCAAGCTTGTTAAATGAGGAAAATGAACGAGTCCAACAATCCTGGGAAAGCCGGAGAAAAACATTTCCAATTTCTTGATCGACGTTCCATTCGACGCAAGTTGAGAATATTGAAATCCATTGCTGACACACTACATACAAAGAATGACAATATGAAAACTCATTATTCGGAAGGCTTAGGAGCTGGTTTGATTTCACAGTGGTTCGGCCTCAGCTCTGGAGCCACAATATATTTGAACAGCAGTTCTAGCTCCAGAGATTTATTTACTTCACTGTTGGAGCTGAGCACCACCCACAACTACTACCATGGTGCATCAGCCCAGATGCAGTTTCGCAGAAACAGGACACAAAACTGTGATACAAGGGTTTTTCAAATAAATACTAGAAATTGAAATTTAGAAAAATATTATGAGCTGAAAAGGATAGATCTTATTAAATGTTATTAATAAGTTGATTTGTCATATATATTGCTGATATTCAGTGGCGAAAAAACGTTTAGCAAATAGGATGGTTTAAAAATCCCAATTACTATTTGTCAAACAACTAACTGTGATCACTAAATAATACAAAAAAATCATAATACTCACAATCTCTTTGATAATATCTTCATTATCACGAGGTGAAGAATCTTGTGTCATGATTATTAGAAATTGCTGCCTCTGTAACAATAAACAGAAAATATTAAAAAATATTGAATATGATAATTGCATGCTTCTGGAATGAAACTAAAAAAATATCAGTAATTTAACATTTCCATGTGGCTTACCGGTATTTATCACACTAAACGTTGCTAAAATGTTCTTAACATGGTAGCAAAATTTTTAATTTGGTCATTAATATCCACTTATAGATGAGACTTTGTCACTTTGATTTGGGCAATTCTAAACAAAAAACATGTAATTATTGTGAAGCCTGACATCCCGAGCATGCTTGATTTCAACAAAATCCATAGGATTTAAAATTATGATTAAACCTTTGATATGAGAACTTCTATGACTTAGGATAGGACTTATATATTTATCCCGTGGGAAGGAAAGTCAATAAGACGGCTTAACCATATGGCGAACCACAGCCTCTTGTCTGGTTACCATTCCATCCATGTCCGGTATGGGATTGGTTAGTTATTTGTTTTCGGAAGCATGGACTTGATGGTGGAGAAAGCCCTAACCGACCAGCAGTTACCTGAACCATCCTACGATGGCGAGGGGTCCAGCAATCCTCTCGCACATAACTATCTCCGCATGAGATTTGAACTTGCGAACTCACGCAGAGTAATCTGAGGCGCGGTGGCAAGCGTATTCCTAACGTTTAGCACGATGAGCCACACTGCCGAGAATTAGAATAGCATATTGGCTTGGCCATTTAAAATAAAATCCTGAAAATATGATGATATTCTTATGCGAATTCGGGTAGGATTTTCATATTTAACCTGACGAGTTGGTTAGGATAGGATTTATAGGATAGGATCATATTTATCGTGGGGTAGAGAAAAGCCAATAAACTGGCTTAATCATATGGCGAACCACAACTTCTTGTCCGGTTACTAGTCTATGTTCAGATGTAAACGTAATTGTTAAAAGTACAACAGCCCGAAAGTTTAATACTATCGTGTATTTTGTTTGTTAAGTTTGGCCCAAGCCTCATTTAATTGGGTGGGCAGGCACATGAGATACTTTTCGTGTTTTGAACTTTTTTATAGGTTTTGCTTGCCCTCCAGAATTCTCCATTTTTAATTTATGTTTGTTATGGAGTTTTCGAAATAAACTATCTATCTATGTTGGGTGTGGGATTAGTTCTCAGGTCAGCAGGTTCTGTACGGTACCGTAGTTCAGTAGTTAGTCAGTTATGTGAATTTGTTTTCATATGCGCCGACTTCAAGAAGTTTGTGTGCAAAAGTAATGATAAATATGGACCTCACAATATTATTGCTGAAAACTAGCTAAAAATATGGTACTGTACCTGAAGTGGCGCCTGGAAACAGTTTGGATGAAATAGTCGAATGTCAAATCACTGAATCAATCAGCTTTCTCAGAAAGTCAGCACAGTAGTAGACCTACCGGTATCCTGATATCAGTGTTTCCTAACCTACAAGTTTCACCCATCGTGTAATTTTGCACATGTAAGTTACATAACACAAAACTGGGGCCACTAAACTGCCAAACTGGAATCACATTCTTCCCAGACTTTGTTTTCCAAACACCGAGCAGCCGAGCAGCGTCTTCAGTTGCCTGAGTGATATTGCGCGACACCTGATGGAATCTTAGGTAACATAACATTAGTTTCATCCGGAGACGTTGAAAATCACTGTAATGTAATATTCATGGTGCTTTCGATGATATTTTGTATGAAAATTTGAGTCCGAGGGTACATTTCACCACCCAGCCGTGACAAGTATTAGTACTCAATAGTAGGGGTCGGTCGACATAGTTGACCTTGTAGTCTTGACCCTTATATTTTAGGATTGTTTTTTGTGTCCATTGCAATCTGTACATTTTTGATAAATTCAGAAACAAATCATTATCTCTCTCAATACCGGAGTTAGTTAATTTGAATTGTAAAATTGATTTGTTGTGCGCGCATACCATATATTTGCGTAATGAAATGCAGTGCTGGGCACTCCTTATGCGTAAGAAAAGCACGCATAAAATATCTCACATTAAAAACAGGTACATGCCAAATCATGTACAAATACAATTAACTCCTGTGAGAATTTTGCTGCTGTTTCGTTTCCAATATAAGATTGCAAACGAGGCCTCAAAGAAGTTTCTGCAACAAGTAGCTCTGCAGCCGCGTGCAGCCGATTTCTTTGCTTCGTTTTAATTGAATCTAGTGATGAAAATGATTTTTCGCATAACGCAGTAACTGGCTGAAAAGACGGACAACAGTTTGATTGCTCGATTACTTGGCGATGGGTATTCGTAATCAAGAGATATCTAAAATTGTGATAAGTAATTCTTTTTTAATCTGGAATATAAAGTAGAATCGCCACTTTAATCAAGTCTTTTCTTATTCATTGGGTTCATTATATTAATTCCTCTGCAGTTGATCGACGCCTCAAACGAAATGAATTTGCATTACAATGACAAAGTCGTTGACTTGGCAACAGGCTTAAAATCCTACTGAAGTCTGGAAAAGATCTCTCAAAACAAGTTTATATCTTACTGGAATATTATACTGTTCTTGACTGTTCTGGTTTAAAAAAGGATATATGCATTACGTTTCATATGGGTTTCATACGCAGAACAGAAAAAGCACACGTGCCGATTTTGAGGCTTCTTAATTTTGCGAGATTTGATGGAGCGCATTCGCGATGAATCGGAGGCGAAGAGTGTGAATGCTCGGCGCCAAGATGTCGCGTAAGACGGCGTCAAGATGTCGCGTAAGACGGCGTCAAGATGTCGCGAAAGACGACGGAAGGAAGAGAATTGCGTAATGAGCCAACGCAACTTTGTCTACGGTAAAGCGATTGAGACGGCATAAAAACATCAAAACAACCAAATTTATCGCGGACCGGCAAAAAAGCTTCACCGACCGGCACCGGTCCGCGGACCGGCGGTTGGGAGCCACTGGTCTAGCTAGAGCCACATGCGGCCCGCGGTTTGGACCACCCTGAGATATACTTTGAATATTTTAGTTCAGGCATTTATGTTTAGATCAGTGCATCCCAACCTTTCTCATATCGCGGCCCACTTTCATGGAGAGTTTTATTTCGCGGCCCACCTTTTTATATATTAGTTTTTTTCAGGAAACTCAAATTTTTTGAGGCAGGGTTGTCCAAAACGAATCGAATATTCGAATATCAAAGTAAGTTCGAAGTATTCGAAAATATTTTCGGCAAATTTTCGAATAATTCCAAATAATAGTCATTTTTTGCCGTCAGCTAGGTGTTTCGTATTTGAGAGAAATCTTCAAACGATTTTCTTCGTTTTTTTCACGTATTGTAATGACGATAAAACAGAATTCTTCTGTGCGAGCGTTCGCGCATTTGGTTGCGATAAATTTGCACCGATGCGTATTGGGTATTCCCTTGCAAAGCTTCTTTTTTACGCATTGTTTCTCAGCACGTCAATAAGTGAAAAATATGTAAAGCCGTAATTGTTACGAAACCAAAAATAGTTTATACATTTTCCCACTTTTTGGCGTATAATTTTGATAATGATAGTAAAAAGTAACGACTTTTATCGGGATGATTTTCTGTTGCATATTTATTCAAATCCATGACCAGTACCAGCTTTTAAAATGCGGACGCTATATTAATTCAATTTTGTCCAGACTTATGAAAATATATAAGCTTACCTAAGATACCACGAAATCTGTGGACATAAAGAGTGTGGTAAGCTGCCCGATTATATTTAATTTTTAATTTGTACATGCAGAAAAATGAGAGCAGTACTATTCTAAAATACCACGGCAATCTGTGGACATAAAATGTGTGGGTAATCCTCAATTATAATTAATTTTTTATACGTATTTTCATACTTACAGAAAAATAAAAACATTACTTTTCTCAAATCCCACCATCGTATATAAATGACATGAATGGCCCCAGACTCATCCGATTTACGTTCGAGCGTCTGTAATCAAAGAGAAAAGCGACTTTTTAAAAAAGTGTCAAAGAACAAGTACAACAAGAAGAAGAAGGGTGCCAGCATAACATGCGAAACGATCGTTATGTTCACTGACGTGTCCAATTATCGTGTTTTCTCAATAATATTCTTTTACAGGATGATATTATTAATCTATTACTTTTATGTCTCATGTTCAAACTTTATTTGAAGTTTTGGCAACTTTCCTGAATTTTCGTACCGTCTGTTTTTGGACACGTCACTGTACATAACGATCGTTTCAATATTATTGTTTTTGGTATTCTTCTCCTTCTTCATGATGAAATCACTTTTCTCTTCGAATACTGGACCAATTGCTTTGAAATTTTCAGTGGTTAAAGAATAATTTTTTTGTCAGGAGGCCATTATTTTTACTCATTTAAAAAATTTCTGTGGACTTTAAGAAAAATCCGTTTTTTGTGTGTCAGAAATAAAAAAAATAGCGCCGCCTTGTAACGTGTCCATATATTTGAGCATAGATCTCTTTTTTTATTGAAGGTTATCATTTTTCTACTACGGTTGAGTTCAAAATCAACGTTCCCCAACCGGGAAGGAATTCCCTTCACCTTAAGTCAGGGTGGTCCAAAACCAGACCCACGGGACACATGTGACCCGCTGTGTCATTATCTGTGGCCCGCGTCACATTTGATGATATAGGTAACATTTAGTGATAACCAAATAAATGGCATTTTGGTATTGTTTCATCATAAAAAAATGGAAAAATCTTCTGCCACATTGGCGTATCACTGACGTCGTTGAATTTACCAGTGACATGGATAGCTAGTGTGAAAGTCAGTTATTCGATTTCGTCACCCCTGGATGACTTCCACAAATTGATCCTATCTCTTGCTTCGGGAATATTCTTTAACAATATATCCATATCAGCCTAGCATTATACTCGCTGCCGCATTGTATTTTTCTGTAATCAGAGTAAAAGATAACGCTAAAACTAGTGCCTACATGTCAGAAAATTTAGTAAATATTAATTAATGTGGCGATATTAACCTGCTGTAGCCGTCGAAATTTAGTAATCGGTCAATCTGCAGTGATTTGTAAGTCGCTTTGTAAACATGAGCTCCAAAGAAAAGCTGACCAATGCGAACAGATTTTTCAACTCGATATGGGTGAAAAAGTACTTGTTTGTGGAAATTTAAGTCTCAATGCTTGGTATGTCCGCAAGTTGTGTCGGTGCCAAATGAATATAATCTAAAACGGCATGTTATCGATGTTTGGGAGCGCTTCATTTATGAATGTTGTAAAGAGTCTGAAATCTAATACAAGGAACAGGTTGCTTAACAAAATATTTGATGCCAGTTAAAGACTTTCAACGACCAACAAAATTGTTGATATATATAAAAGGATTGGTTAATTAATGCTAAATAATAATCAAATGTCTTGGGACTAATGTGGCCCGCGAACAACACAAAATTAATATTGTGGCCCTCGACGCCTAAAACCTTGGACCACCCTGCCTTAATTCATTTTATTCATGTTGAAATTGGTTTCAACTGCTCGCACATTGCTGGTACTGATTTATAGATACAAAAAAGAGAAAATGAAAATATAAGTGAGCAAAATATGCAACGCAATATTGGACTAGGACGTCCTTGTTTTGCAGTCATGGATATTTATCGGACAAAAAGATCACAATCAAAAGATATGTTGTACATATCTTGTTTCAAATGAAGAAAATGTTTGGCAAATGTCTGTGGCTTGAAATCTACATGGCATTTTCCCATAATGGGTATGGCTTCGATGAATACGTTGTGATTGTTGAATGCATACTACGTGATAACGATAGTGCCCAATTCACGATCTGCTTGCGACGAGTCTTGATGAAGCTTTAGACATGGCGGAATCCATTCTTGTAAAAATATCAGGTCCGCTGCGTAAACTATGTTTGTCCCAAACCGGCGAAAGATATTGCATCAAGCTTTCAAAGCGTTCGTCCTGCATCTTAAATCCAACTTTTCGCCCTCTTGATCGCTGCGTTGTTGTAGCACGCGAGGTCCAGTTAGCGCTTACGTTGTTCCTTCGTCGACCACTATCATAAAAGCTGTTTTCTTGAGCTGCTCGTCCCACTATATTGTTGGATCCATTGGCTTGAGGCAATTTCACTTTATCTCCAACAGCCCGTTCTGGTTTGTCAACTGCGCTGTGTTGGTTGTGACGAGCGCCACTTCTCGAAGGGGGAATTTGAGGCAATCTGTTAATGTTCATCGACGTTTGCGATCGAGATGCCATCTGAATGAATAAAAAAAAATCGTTATCCACAAACGTTTCCTTGATTCATTTTAAGTGCTAAAACGGCTTATACAAAACTAATAAAATCCATATATATATATCTATATATTTAAAGTAAACGCGCATATGTATGCTCTACTTACCTTCTGGGGAGATGGAGTGTTTTCATGTGAGATCTTTTGCCTCGTTGTAATTGCACTGTATGGATATTTTGCAGGACGATAAAGAGCAATACTCTGGGGTGTTGCAAGAAGAGTTTCTGGATATCCGTCAGTAAAATCAACGCTCATTGGTCGACGGGGAGAGGCCATGATATTTAGGTTTTTGCTGACGTAGTTGTCTTCCTGTTAAAACACAATAAAAATGTAATTATTATTGGCACACATCTCGTGATATGTATGATTTGTTAACATACCTTCATCCATCTGTTTTGCTTTCTCTCAAGTCTCATCTTGAAAGTATTTATAAAATGGTCATGAACATCTCTACTTTTCTTTTGCATTTTGTTCTCTGTCGAAACCTATTATAAACAAATAAAAATATTATATCTTTTATTTTATATTGTTAATTTAGTGAAGAAGGCTTCGAGGAAAGTACGGAAATACAACATAAAAAAATATAATAGTTCCCTAAAAACATCGCTGTTCACAATACCAATTTTCTATTGATAGTTGAGAAATTTAAAAAAAAATCTGTGAAAAGAGATAGGTTTCATTTTTACGCATAAATATGCTCATATTCACGAGTGATTCTGCAATTTATTCTACATTTTAAAATAAATATTTGTTTTGCAGCTTCGGAAGCAATAAATATTTTATCGTCTAAATTGACTGACAAGATTCATTTTGTCGTACAGAACATAACTGACAACGATCACTTTCAATTTATTATGAATTTATATATTTTGTGAATTCTATAAATATTTATTTATTACTGTATTAGAAAATACTATTTGTTGTTTTGTTCAGAAGTTTCTCAAATGCTAATTGGGTAAGTTGGTATAAATTTCTTACTTTGTTTTCAATTTATAAAAAGCAAATGTACAATTTTTATTTTGACTGATGTTAATCGGAACTCAAGACACCCTATTTAATGACTTGACATAATATAATGCTTGCTAAAAATTTGTTTCGAATTAAAATCATTCAATGTCCATGCAAATATTTTTTCGATTTTGTTGATAATCATTTATAACCGACATTCTGATTTCATTAAATTGTTCGAAAGCATGGCAAACATCTTTATTTATCCTCAACTGCACATTTGTCTGAATTAACAAAAGATCAATCTATCAAAAATTTATTGGTAAGAAAGGTGTAAAGCAACAAAAATCTTATTGACTGAGTGGTTTCATCGACATTTTCTCACATGCTACTTGAAATTGACTACTGGGCGGGGATATCTTAAGTAAATAGCAATCGATTGTAATAAAGTATCACTTAAGGAAGTCTCTACGTTCATTCACTTTATTGGTTTCAGATATATCTCTAGATTAATAGAATATATCTTTAAAATTGCGTTGTGAAAAATAATTGCTCAAAAAATATTTGATTTATAAAGATAGAATATTGTACATATCAAGATTTGAGGTCTGAAAACAGGGAATAAAATTTCGTTTAAAACTTTTTCTTCTTTAATTCAAAAAACATTAAAGCCCAAACAAACATAAGGCCTAAAATGGCTTAAATTGAAAAACCAGGGACCATACACAAAATTTGCCATTTAAGTTAGACTCATATATATAACTTATTTTTTCCCGTTTGAACGAATCGAAAAAACTTGTTGGCGTATAGTTTCATAAAGATTAATAAAGATAAGTAATTATAAATGTACACTGATTCATTAAATATTATTCCTGGAATTCTTGTTTGATAAATAATATTATATTAACCCACCTTCATATCTAGAAATCTCTCTTCACTCACATTTGCGTTCAGGATAACATGGCTGATATGTGACTTGGGAAGCATTTGCGTTACAACTCCTTCGGCTCCATTTTGAGATGAAATATTTATGATTTCGTCACTTGCTCTTCTCAAATCACAGAACATAACAATTGGTTTTCTTGCTTTCGTCCTTCTAGGCATTTTCGATGTTTATAATAGTTAATTTGATAAAGAGTAAATATCTGAGAACAAAAACGATTAATTTATTTTTTAAAATTTATTAATTTTATTGCTTTGATTCTTATTCAAAAGTTTTTTGAATTTTATTGCTTCTGTCCGGAAATACGCGAATAAATAAATATTTCTGAATTACATGCCTGTATAATAATACCAAATTTTGATTATCGCCCTCTGCTAGTGTTAGGCAACTGGCTTAATACCATAAGAGCAGTTCACGAAATGCAATACAAGGTTGTTAGTTTGGACTTATCCTAATCTACTACACAATAAACTTCTAATTGTTTGCAGACCTGCCTAATTTCTTAGAATATGCTTCAAAAAGTACGCTTACCATTGAAATGCTTTTATCCTCTTCAAAACACATTCATACCTTCGGATTAGCAAATATTTCCTCACCGTGTAGTTTGTTGTTAAAGATGAACTTGTACAGACTTGACTAGTCTCGCAATAAAACTACTATATTCAGGTATTTACGCGACGCAACGAAGACAAGAATAAATTTAAATTTCGATGCTAAATGTTGAGAAAAATTGTCACCCCAATCTGGCCACGAAATAGTACCTTTCTCGTTAAAAATATATATATATATTGATCTAGAGGTCGCTGGTATAAATACTGCTTTAACGAATGTTCTATTTTTAGATTTAATATAATCTCATTTTTTAAACCAAGCCTAAGTTCAACTATTTTTTCAGCAGTAAAGCTTCGAGTTATGTTTCGCAAAAAAGAATACTTGGATGAAGAACAAATTGTTTCTGGCGTCAGAATACAACACCAAACCTATTACATACCCGATCTTGTGTCATATCGCAAACTTCCAGGACACTTTTATTTACGCCATCGGACTGACGTATATTCAAATTCCCAAGTTTTTTGACCTTTTCCGTGACAAATTTTAATGACATTCCTTATTCAAACATAGTGAATAATATTACACTGGTACAAACCCCATATATTGGATCATAATTCTAAAACTAGGGAGGTAAGCCTGGACATAGTTGGCCAATTTAACTTATCAATATCGGAAGATTGGTTGTGCTTAAACTTCTTAGTGTCCCAAATTAGAAACTACTTTACGGCTACCGTGCCGCTTGGTTTAGCATTTGTTCATGTATGTCCGATAAATTCCGCCTCTAAAAGCGCTGATACCGTGCATGGTCGTTGAGTTATATAATAGATGGGCTTTACCGCTGCGCAAACATCCCATTATAAAGTTGTGTTTGGAATGCACAATACATTTATCTTCCGTCTATTATTTTATATGGTTGGGTAGACAGATCGCTCTCGATCAAAACCTTTATTCGCGGAAAATTGACATTTGAGTCTGCCCAAACCTGGGTATTTGTTAATTCAAAATATGTGCCACTATCTAACCATAATAATGTGTTCGGTTCAACTTTCTGAAGTACGTCAAATCATTTTATGTATTAGATACATGTATTGGATACAGCACACTCAACAAACTACACTATCTGCTAAGCTTAAAGTATGATATCACGAATATTTATCTAGGCAATTTCTCCTCATCCTTTGAATTAAAGTATCGCTGTAAATTAGGATATCGTATTATAAAAAGTGTTCGAACTTTAGCACATTCGTATTTTGAGCATGGACGCAAAGTTTTGACTCTATTTTTGCACAAGAAAAGAATTTCCATCATGTATAGATTGGGCTACATACCCTTTCAAACCATGAATTATATAGCAATCGAAAATTGTATGAGCATTTCCAGAGGTTGGATCATATAAAGCTCGTACTTTTCTAGACTTTATCACCAATGTTATAGATGTCTTAAATAAATTTTTCACACCTTACTATTACTGCTCTCCCGAAGCGTGTATATTGTTTTTCCTTAAGCTGTTTCCAAAATTCTGTGCAGCACTTCACTATACATTACTCGCCTGACAATTCAAAACCTGGAAAGTTGATCTCATCACAGGTGTACCGTACGATTAAAAACGTTCAGGATTTTTACTTTCGATGGGTTGTTAAATTGGTCTTACGAATACGTGAATCTAAAGTGAAATTCCTATGATTTTTAATAACATAGTATTCTTAATAAAGGACACAAAGAAAACAATAGCCACGGGATGTTCTAGTCTTTCCCAGACAAAGAAAACTCCCTCCCACCGGCAATCGAAGAATGAGCGTTTCTAAGTCTATTAAAGTTTTCAATTTCATCATCGTTAAGCCTGTTGTTATTTACAATTGTCTGGCGGTTATTCAATCTCTCTCAATGTATTGGCACAGGTCCTGTTTTGTTTAGTCCTTTTGTGAACAGGTCAGAGGTAAAACGAAAGATAAACAATCTTGAAATACCACAACTCGATATATATTAAAAGCAATACTTGTACGTTCTGGAATGATGAATATTAATATCTCTCGCAGAGTTGATACAGCTGAAATAAGAAAATCAAGACGTCTTGAACGTATATTCGATCGTTGATCAATTGCAATCCGACTTCATAGAAATAAGATTATAATAGCATATGTATTTTATGAGTTGATGAATTCGACGATGGGGGAAATTTGTTTTGGTATTCTGTCAGAAACGCCCACTATTTAATATTAACGAGCTTGCGCGAGAGGAGTTGAGAATTCGGGGTATGACCTGTTTTTAGTGTGACGCCATTTTTTTTCAGAATAAACCTAATTCTCAGAAAAACACCCGTAACAACTGAAATCCCTCACAAAATTTAAACCTGAACCATGTTATATAAATAGATGTAATTTTAACCATAATTGCTGATGATTCTCTTGGAATATTTATCCGTATGTTGAGAGAATCGGGAAATTTAACGAAGAATATTCAATAACCCCTTGCACAAATGAATTCATTTTATATCCGACAAACATGTCGCATCAATTTTTGGTTTAAAATATCGCGATAAGATATATATATATATTTTTTGAGGGGGGTTGCTACTGTCATACGGGTTTTGTTATACTGAATCGTTTTTTTTCGTTGCATTTAAAACTTATAAATATATTTTAGATATGTAGTATGACTTAGGCAGCGGCACCAACAATATCGTACATTTTGTATATTACGCGTTTGTTTATATCATTCTTCTGACTATTTTTGTGGTTCACGATTTGAGAACCGTGCTGATATATATTAAATTTCCCATACATTCATCACGGGCAAGCCTTGTCAAAATTGCTTTCCATAATGCAATATATTAGAACCCTTTTTATAAGTGTCCAAATAGGTCGACACTTGGTTGCGCGAGAGAGCCATTCGCAGTGCCTGTTTTCGATTTTTAATTTTGGCTATTCAACGACATGACATTGAAATGAAGTTAATATAAAAGTTAGGCCAAATATCCCGGTTAAAAGGGATATGCAGCGTTTTGATCATAACTTGTTGTTATATTAAAAAACAATTGACCAAAAGCTGTGTGGCGTATTTCAAGAATTTTCAATAACTTTGGGAACAATTACAATAGAAACAATAAAGATACTGACGTCGCAAATTTCGGCTAAAAGATGAAACCCTTCGGTTAATTCCTTTCATATTTATTGTAATACCATTCGAAAATATTCAAAAACAGCTCTTGTGCGTTGTCTTGTATTATAAAATTTTATTTGTATTGTTACCGATATTCACGTATGAGCCTCACCTCAATGAGTGAAAAATATTGAACAAAATATGTAAAACATGCTAAAATCGTAAAGAATTCAATTTATAGAGACTGTCATGAGATGTTGAAAATTTGATGAACACAAAGTAAGATATAATGGGAATTTCACGATGCGGAATACGATGGAAAAGAATATCCATCCAGATATATTCTGAATGGAACTCCACAGTAAACCTCTAATCGCAATGAGAACTATCGGTTAATATTTTGTAACGAAGCAAAATCGCATTCTTTTTGAAAGAGGGGGCAGACAAAGTCAAACATACAATGTCCGTTGTCTATAATACTATATAAATACGATAACAAAATCCTAAAAAAGATTTTGTTGTTCTATTTTTGTTTATGCATACTGATTCCCGTGTATAAATACCAGCAATACCCTTGATGTAATTTGCAAAGATATAAAATGTATTCTGCTGATAATATTGCTAGAAAAATAAAAAGTATGTGACATGCATTGAAATAGCATTTCCAATATTTAGTAGGATATGGTAATGTATTATTACAGCAATACGAAGTTGTGGCATGAAATGGACAACGTAAAGCAATCTCTTTAATATTCATTTTCAAATACGATAATATATTTGGTTCCCCTACCTATTTTAAATATCTACACGCATTGATTCAAATCAAATCAAAAAAGGATATATCGAAAGCCAACTTTTAATGAGGTAAATGTTTTCTGTTATGTCTATTCGTATTTTAATTGAATGATTTCTATGCGAAATAGTCCTTGGGTATCGTATAGGTCGTTTACTAATAAACGGTAATTGTAACAGAAATGTTCAAAACAAATCGCTGAGTGTTTGTTTAACTCTTGTCATGAGTATAGTATGACTAATGTTTAACATTATATAACCAACAGAGCCGAGGCTAGAATTCGAAGTATATATTATTTCACGGCAAATTTAAGTCATAAAAACCGCAAAAAATTAGAAAATATTCTTCTATGATTATTCGCCATTCAAATGGTTTTAAAAGTGAACCCATTTTCGTGAGATGTTGACAGATAGTAAGAACACAAATGAAATCGAGTCTTTGTCGTCAGTGTTTCTAAGAATTCTGTTTTAGCCTCAAGGTATTAAACTGATTTGCAATATAAAAGCAAATAGGGCACCTCTAATTCTCAGTAATAAAATGATATTTATGTGGAAGCAAGCTACAAATTTATAAACTACGCTCGATCAATTTATTTGCGTGTTGTTAACTATAAAAGTGCTGTAATACCTTGTAGAACATCTGCAATCATAAATCACCAATTAACTTGTATACGCATTTCACAATAAATTTCACGATAAAAATCTGTCACATCTATCTTAAAACATGTTAATATATTTCATGAGGTATATAAAATTTTGAAATTTGCTGCCAATTTCAAATTTGCATTTCAGGTTTAGTAAAATGTTTTAAACAATCGTTTATCTGATTTTATTATAGATTTAAATCATTATACGCATTTATTTATTTAAAATGTTGTACGGAACCTTCATTTTGCTCCTCGGAATGTTTTCTCAAAGCCGAGCTGGTAAGTAGTCTAGTCAACAATTTCTTTAATAGTTTATACGACTGCAAATAAGTTATTTTTGATTTATTGGCTGTGTAAAAACTTGTAAATGTAAAGTGCTTGTATATATGAATTTTCATGCTTTTAAAACCTTTTTACTTGTACCTTCCAAAATAAAGTCACCGATTGATTTGGATCATACCTAACTGTTGTAAATTTTTATTAAACAAATTTTGAAGTAGAGCAAATTGAATTAACATACTTTTTCCTACATAAAACTCGTCTTTATCAATCAAAAACAATTTCAATTTTCATTCAAATAGTTCAACGTGAAACGGTTTATGTTCGTAATTACGAACTTACCTTATTCACTGGCATTGATGATGCCACAAATCATGTACGTGCTCGGTTAGCGTGTACAGTTTGGAAACCTCGTTCTCACTTGGTTTATATCAAAGACGAACAAGTTCAAAATGCCGTCGATGATTTGTTAGAAGCCTGGTAAGTAGGGTCTACTGCTTTTATAGCAATCTGAAATATTTTCTTACATTTTGCCTAACTATTTTGTCACAGCGAAGATAATGCATCGTTTCTCTTCAACTGCCTATTATTAGATCTGTGAGGCTAATTCTTTCTTTGACTAATCTTGCTTCAAAGAGTTGAAGGATATCATTAAATATTCCCATAATGAAGAAGGTTTTATTTCAATTTTGGACTGAATACTCTGTTTTTCGTCACAGCTGTAATAATGGAAATTTTTGGTTTCATGTTGACTTAAAATACTAATATAGTTTACATTAGAATTTGTATTTTTAGTCAACATCATGAAGTGGGCAATCGCAAATTTTTTTGTAATAAACTAATTTGATACATATTTTGCAACGTTAGGGGTTACCCAAATGTGTGGATAGGAGCAAGTGACTTCAACAAAGAAGGCATCTGGGTATGGGATGATGGAACACTCGTAGATACTGGATTTACAAACTGGTGATTGCTTTATCAATAATAGAAAATTTTGAGGTTTTCTGCTCGGACCCAATGACTTAATTTCCACAAATCATATATATTTTCATGATTATATTATTAATTTTAATGTAAGATGGAGCGAATCAATCTTATTATTTGGTTACATGAAAATATATTGTTTTAATCGTAATCGACTACTTTGAATAAATATTTTCCTCACTAGTAATTGTACCTTTGCAGTTTTTTTAATCTATCTTTGTAAAAGTTACTTTGATTCCAGAAATTAGGATTGTGCCGCCATTTTGCACACACACACATCTACATCTCAAGCGGATAAAACTTATTTGTGTTTTTAGGGAGCCGGGTCAACCTTTTCGTGTTGCCGACGATATGGATTGCTTGGCTCATTGGAATCATACATGGAACGATAAATATTGTCGCCATTATTATGGTTACATTTGTCAGATAGGTAAATTGAAGCGTGATACCATATTCCCTTTTGTATTATACCCTTTATAACGATCTTCGGGGCTATCATGTGGATTATAACTTCTTAATCCGCAAAAAAAATTTAAAAAAAAAATTAGTTTTGAAGATTTCAATCTTACTACTTCGTTTACAGATACTTCAGATATTTCAGCTTCGTTTTATTCGGATTTAACATTCAGTTTTTCGTCGAGCAAAGGTAACGCATCAACAGCGTTGACATTTAATAAAGCCAAACAGCATTGTGAAAAACAAGGAAGTCGACTTGTCAAAATCGGAAACGAAAGACTGTATAAAAAAATACAAAGTGAATTGAAAAGGCAAGAATTAACAATTTTAATAAAATTTATGATAAATATTGATTGTTTAATATCATTTTTTCACGCTCAATTAAAATTTCTTTCATTTTTTCGGCTAACAATTTAGTAACTAATCGCAGCAATTATGTGATACGCAGATCATTTATCGATTACTTGAAGAGTTCACATAGTTTATCATTGCTGTTTGGAAAAATATACGAAATTCATAACCGACAAACTTTTTATGCATGTTTTTAGTGACCCGAAAAGGAAATGTTGGGTTGATGTCGAAAACCCTCCAAAAAGGAAATGTGTCGCATTGACACACAATAGATGGGAAAGTCGCGATTGTCAAGAAAAACTAGAATTTGCATGTGAAAAAAGCAAGTTGAAACAATATAACACAGCAATTATTTTGAAAATATGATCTCGATAATCTCTGATAGTTACCAATAGGGGAATACCCTAATGCACCGAGTAAGCTGATAGGATTGGCGGATAAGCAATATGAATAAAATATCTGGTCTCGTGGGAGTCGGTCAAAATTTGAGAAAAAATAAGAGCAATATTTTTCTTGTAAATTCTTCCATTTTACATATTAAAAATGTGAAATCATTCCATGAGTCAATTACTTGCCGGAAATACAAATTTTTTCAAGAATAACTAACAATCTTCCCAACAACAACAAGAAATACCAACAACAAAAAAATCAGCAAGGCGATTCATAAGTCCCCTTAGTGTCCAGTTATAAAATATTTAATCTTTGTTAAAGTTTTCAAAACCGTAGCTCAAGAATTCTCACATTCAAACAAATAACAATAAGAAAATCGAGGAAAAATGATTTTTTATTCGCAAAACAGATACTTATTATCGTAAAACGATGGCTTTGAAAGTTCGTTCCATTATTAACCGCGTACCCGTTAATTAATATCCAATACTTTGTTACAGTTTTTCCATGGAATGTAAAAGTTTCTGACGACAATCCCAGAATCACAGAAACAACAAATTTGGAAATTGAATGCACTGCTTCAGGTTTTCCTGTTCCAAATCTTAGTTGGCACCGTGATGCCGTAGAAGTCAAAGATGAAGTTAGTGAACGAGTATATCAAACAAAATCTTCCGGAAAGTCTGTCTTGTTTATCAAAAACGCAAAATTAGAAGATTCCGGAAAATATCAATGCTTTGCTTCAAATAACATGATCCGTTCTGCAAGAAGTTTTACAATAGTCGAAGGTTTCTATATTATATTCAGTATAACTATTGTGCAGATATCCCACATTCCAGTGAAATGAGTTAAACATATAAAAAAATATGTAATATGTGATAAAGATGTATTGTTGTATTTGAGAAGAAGGTTTTGAACAATAAATCAAACTGAAACATTTTTGTTCTAAGATCCAAGACAAACGAAAATAATTATTATTTTTATCAAACTAGAACGACTTTTATTTTAGTTTACGACAAAGAGTTTGATTTGACTTCTCTATCGGAAGTGGCGATTTATGGGGGACAACAAGGATTTTACGCATTGCAAAAACAGTTATCAAGACCAAAGATGGCAATGTCTTATGCACAGAAACCCGAACCAAGTTTACGTAAATTAAATTTTATTATCGATCAATTGTAGAATATAGCATTCTTGAAAGAAAAATTATTGCTTTCATAATAATTCAAATGTTCATGTACACAGGGTACATTTCAGAGATCTGATTTGGTTCAAGGCTAACACGCAATATGGCGATACCAACTATACCTATGGGATCAATATCATAAAATATGTTCCATACCAAAGATAGAATTTCTAACTGTGAAAAGCGAATATTTAAATCACATAATTCAAACTTAATATAATCAAATAGGTAAATTATAGAAGTTTAATTCTCCCTTTTTAGCTCTCATGTTGAAATACCTTGATTTTAGATATGAATGCAACAAGTCAATGCGGTACTTCCAGCAGGAATTGTGCTGGCAGTTTTATGGTTCATATTATTGGTTTTCCTATTTCATAAAAGGTATATTAACATAATTATAAATGATATAAGTTATATAACATGGTCAAAAATTTATTCTAAATTCATTCCTCTCTACAATCAAAGATAACTAAACTGACTGTGAAACTGAAAAATTTGCAAAACGCGCATTCGGCGGAAACACAACAGAAAGTAAATTGCACTGAACTGAACTTACTTTCAACTTTTCTTTCAAAGTTGTTTATTTAAGTATTAATTGGGTAAAGAATGATACTAATGTCAAATGAATCATAGACGAAATGTTCTATGATTAAATTAATATTTATTACTATAATAGACGGAGACTTTCATTGATTTTTATTTATGATCTACAGCCGTTCTACACAGTGTGGAAACTAGAAGTTCATTCTGCAATTGGCAATAGTATCATCTCACCATTATCAAAAATAATATATATTCACTGAGGAAAAGAGTCAAAGAAACCCGACGTTGTCTGAATGGATGCGATGAATTCAATTTTATTTTATAATATTTCATTCTGAGTTATTATTTCATGTTTGAATAAATTGGAATTGGATATATTGTATATAATTTATTATACGTGCAGGGCTAGAGAGTTTATTCAAGATAGTTGGAAATGTTCAATTCCGTTCAAACTTCACAAATTCCCGGACGAACGAAATCTTAAATTTGCGTACAGATATTTACTCCCAATCTATTTTTTTTTTTCAACAATAATTACATTGATCATTGTATGAAAAACCTAGTCAATACAGAACGTTATAGCTGCCATAAAAGTCTGTGATATATTATTTTTAGTTTCTTTAAATTCAGTCATCTGATGAATATATGTAAGACAATATCCTAAAAGATTAATTGAACTCGAATTTGTCTTTGCTTTACTAGTGAAATTTTGCACAATACTAGACGAATGTTTTATGAGACGTTTTCACGGCTTCGGTTGAACAAGGACTATTATAATCGCCCATTGGTATACGTTAGGTTGGGAGATATCTTGAATGACAATTCCCAAGACTGCCTATACGATATATTACACCATGGGTGGGGCGAAGGCAGAGCCGGGTTACCTATAACCTTGATAGTCTGGACTCTGGAGCATGGGGCCTCAAAATCCATACAAACCGCGACAGTCACTTACCGGTCGTCTATTTTTATAACTGTTTTCAATTTATACGAGTTTTCCAGAATTTAATCGGTTCGAAAAATTTTAAATCTGAAATTTGTTGCATTTTTATTCTGGCTAATTATTTTTATCCACATATTTTCCGTTAAGGAAGTTAAAAAATTAAAAATTGGTAAACGAATAAGTTTGACTGATTTTGAAAAAAATGCCATTTTACCCTCATTTCTCTTTTATTAAATATTAATAATAGCTATATTATCTAATCATCAACGGATCCAATGATTATATTTATATTTTTACTATATTCCAGAATACTAGAACCGTTTGTAATAAAAATGAAAGGATAATTTTGGTTATCATTTCGATGACATTCAATTTAAAAATGGGCTTAGAACAGAGAAAATAGTATATTAATTCAAAGTTTTTGATTTTGAACTCAGTAAATACAAAATCAAAAAATGGTTTATTATTAACTATTTGAATGCTGAACACTGCACAACGTTGAGAAATCGTTCATTCAGCATTCCAACCTAATTTAGTGCCACCCAACATTACCTTTTCATTTCATACTCACTTGATATATCTATACCCGTTTCTATTTACGATTTTATTATTACAAATTTACTAAGTGACTTTTATCTTTGCATATAGGTATAGGTTGATTTGATTATTTTTAACTCGCAATTATATTACTCAAAGGCTTTTATTTATAGTTTCATAGAGTGTGGGATATAAAAGTGTAATCTTACATTATAGTGTTTGAAGTCATTGAATGAATTAAATAAGTGCTATGAATCAAGCGGACCCATGGTAACTCCTCGCTCATGTCGGCAACACCTTGTAGTGGCTACAAACTGGGATATAGGATGTAGCTCATTAACTGGGCCAGGCGTTGCGATAGAAATATCCTACTATAGTACTCGTATAAAACAAAACAAGACATGCCAAAAACAGTTTAATGTTTCCACTGGTCAAAAATGGAAACCAGAACGACCTCTGCATGGTATTCGATTCTGACGAAAATTTAAATTTCAGCTTGGTTTTATTTTTTAAAAAGTAAACATCTACGCTTGTTTAATAACTAAATGAATATTTATGGAATAAATTTGTAGTCACACTTAAAAAATATTTGACTAAACATATGATCACTTATCAGACTTTATATTCCCTTGGCTGGTTTATACGTGCGCCATTGAACTCACCAAAATGTAGAAAGAACGTAGTGTTTACAAATGATTTAATGCAATTACTGATATTTTTGAATGAAGAAATTTGCTCATTGCAAGATCACGCCTCCTTACTCAGAAATAGAAGAAATTCAAGTCTGAGCGCAGTTCCGGCCGACCACTAAAATTGCCATAAGCTACTAAGACTATTGACGTCATACTTAAAAAGCCAATGTGATCAGGAAAACAGCTATAAGGTTATGAATCCCACATAATAGCAGTTCTTGGAAAAAACTTTGGGCATGATTTTTTTTTTATATAGTAGATACACTGACAGTGAACGAATGCAAGTTCACAGCTAACCGAGTTTCATGACTCAAAACTAATTTGGAGGAACAAATTTCCACATTTCAGAAGAACACATTTGTTTTTAATATCTGTAAAATAAACACAGCGACGCAACATTTTGGCGATGAACGAGAGGTTGCGAATTTGATATTCTTTTTAACTATTTCCAAAGTGTTTTAATACGGACACAGAAGTCCCATCCCAAACACGACAACCATACTCCACTCTTGGACGTATTACATTTCCATATAGAGATAATATCCAGATTTCTTGTGTGTAATTTATATACTTATACAAAACGAGATATGATTGGAACAACAACAAAAAACAGTATATTTATGTTTTTATGTCAATTGTATATGGCTGAATTTGACAATATATTATGGGCAATACTTTATTTGCGTATATATTATTTAGTCCAGCATATATAGATGTGAATAAAAATTTGATCAATAAAAAATTTATGATTAAAATGATACGAGTGATTCAGGTTGTAGGTAGGGCAAAGTTGAAACAACTTTTATTGAAAGAATATCGATTATCGATATTGAAGTAGATATGAATCAAATAATTTCGCGTTAAAATTTTACTGTAAAGAACATTTATTATACGGACGTGCAAAAAAACGTTTTGTAAAGACGGTTTTTTCTAATATATAAGCTCAGATATAATCAGTGGGTATAGAAATTACTCTGGATGGCCCTCAAATTTAGAGTCAAAATGCAATTCGATATGAATATCTATATAACTATATAACACGACCAGCATCGAAGTTTGTGGATAAATATGCCCCGAGTTAGTGTCAATTAGAATTGGCTAATAATTCGTTGAAAATTAAAATATGTTAGAAACGTAAAATTTGAATAAAATCAAGAGCCATCAGCTAGATATTACGCATAAAATTATCTTTAGTTAATAATGTTATAATTTGAATATTTTTTTTCTAATAACAAATATTGCCCACAACTGTTGAAAAATTAAATTAATGGTAGTGTCATATTGATGAATATAATGAAATATAATATAATGAATAAAACGATTTATTTCTATTGGCTTATGATTGTAATCAAACAATCGCTTGTTAATCAAATCATGTGAAACATAAATTTTATACAAGCGAATCTTTTCTGAATTGTGTTGGAATGATGTTCAACTTTTATAATATGGCACCAACCGAATATATTGAACTTGTTGTCAACTTTGGCCATTTGTTTTCCATGTTAATGGTGGTGACTAAGTTGATCATATGGATTATGTTGTCGGACTAAAAATACTTTCACATCAGGCGAATAAAAACACTTTTCATTCAATCTTACTACGAATTCCTTCAACCAAATATACACGACAACGAATTACAGATTATAATCGTTATCAGATATTAGACAGTGTGTGATTCAGATTTATTCTTGGAATTTTAAATTGAAAACTGTACGAACTGCTTCAACTAGTGAAACTGTAAGTAACTGTACTGCACATATGTAATAAAGTATGAAATATTCCCCGTGGTGATATCTGAATAATAAGGCTTTTCTTTAAGTTTCGTTTCGATCAACCTGGGTATAACGGCCACACGCACAGTGACTACATTTTGATAAACTGGAGAAATTAGTTACGTCAACGTCGTTACGTCGTTACATGGTGTATTAAATGTTAAAAAAAATTTATGAATATATATAGATAAGGATTTATCAATGATTTTTTATTTACATCTTTGTAGGAAAATTGATCGCAAGTTATACTTCGGAGACTATGAATTTACGTATTATGAAGATGGAAAAGACAGATATTACCGCGCTCAACATGTCGTGTACACATATTTTTTTAAATTGAAACTTTACGAACTGCTTCAAACAGTCGAACACTTGCTTCTATTTTCGACAAAGTTATTTTACACCATTGTTACAACGAACGATTTTTTAGCCCATTATTCAGCAAATACTTTTGATGACAATGTTAAAAAATCAGATTTCGAATAATAATGATCAATTTTTTGTTTCTTGTGATATAAATTGATTGAAAGTTGCCGCAGTATAAATCTAAGTTTTTGTGTGAAAGTCCATTGAAAGGGGCAACGAAATAATTTTCTTGGTTGACTTCGAAATTTGATATCTTTCGTGTTATGAATCAGAAATATGAGTTGCATCAAATAGGATAGCGTTTCCCAACCTTTTTTGTTCACGGACTAATTTCTCACCGGCGAAAACCTTTGCGGACTCAAGGTACGTTTAGTGCAACGGTACTCTGTGTAAAGAACCAATAAAACCAAACACAACAGAATTTCAACGATTTTCAAAATGGGAAATTCGCTGCAATTACGCGTTCGTTAAAAGAGCCGACTTGTTAGTGTATAATGGCCTGTTCTGTCGCACAATATTCAGTCCATGACAACGACGAGAATTTAAAATGTTTTTCTATTTTAATTTAATTGGGTTCATGGTAACTCGCGGCTGCGTCGACTTACGGAAGATTAAAGCATTACGTCTTTAAAATACTACGACAATCTGCGGCAATCGCCCGATTATATTTAGTTTTGATACATATATATTGTTTGCGCTCTTGCGAATTTGTTATTGCCTCAAGAACAATCCTACTATCTGCTATAAATTTCCAGAAAGTACAACTTGATTTAGTACTTATTAAAAATATATTTAAAGTATATTAGTAAATTAAAAATACATTAATCGCCTTGCTTTATTAATAATTTAATTGTGATCATTTTAATCTGCGGTTATGTTGACGAAATAAAAGCAATACTACTCAGAAAATATCATGACAAACCGTGGACAAAAAATGCGATTACATTTTGTTTTGATTCGTATTTTTGTGAATTCGACAAATCTGAGTTGTTCGTACAACACTTACGGCGCTCCAGCACTGTACGTACCAATGTGAAGGCGGTAATGCAAACAATCCTAAGGGAAAATGCCCTGGTACGTTTACTTCGGTGGCACCCGAAATTTTGCGATTGGCAATGTCTAAAAAAGCGTTTTCAATCGGTCGCGGACAATCATAAAACAAAACTTGTGCTATTCTCCGTTTTATTTTCCGTATTTTGTATTGCCGCTTTTCAAGTAAGAAAATTTGGGTTGACACCTGGAAGGAAAAAAAAAATATTCCTTGTTGTTCGAACTCGCGGGAAACACCACTTAGGTATCTATTGAAGCGTGTGCAGACTCGTATTTTCGTCGGAAATCCGCCAAGTGAGTTGGGAAATCCAATCGTTTGATTGAGCGACGCGCAAGTGACCTGTTGCGCCACTTGTTACCAATTTTCTAATAGTAATTGCTATTCTAATAGTAGAATATTGGAATATATGCCCAGCACTACTCAGTAACCATTAACTATTGACTCGATTAATGTTATGTGAATAAAATTGCTCTTTATGTTTTGTGTAAATTCTAACGTGAATCGTAACTTGGCTGATAGTTAAGTTTCGCAAAAACGTATGCGTCCCGCAGTGAATTTCTGGCACGTTGCGGACTCATTCAACCGCTCCGCGGACTCATCTGAGACCGCGTACTCGGGTTGGGAAACACGGAAATAGGATTATGGCGGAGTTTGGCAACACAATTCAAAAACTGGATAGCGATTGTCTCTTATTAATTGTAAAATTAGACCAATTTGATCACATTGTAACTTTAAAAACATGCTTCCATAATAATATACTTTTTAAAATAAATAAGCGTACTTCAATTTGTTGTACCAAATCATAATCATCAAACAGCGTCATAACGCAATTCACGATCATATTCAAAACAAAATAAATAGATTATGCTTACATCTGGTTATATCCATAGGTAGGTTGATATTTTTCGAGACTGCAATGCTAGAATTTCAGCTCATCCCTGCCATATAACGTGTAGAATCCACGAGGATGGGGGTGAGGTAAAGAGGCTAAATATGACCTTGGACGTTGTATAGTTAAAGTGCAATTGGTCGGCGAGAAATATGACTCTGTTCAGTTCTTGTTATTACTTTTTGCAAATATGATTATTAAAACCAAATATAATTTCAGTTATTGATGTGTACCTTTTTCATACCAGATGTATTATAGTGGAAGTGGATACTTTATGACTAAATAACGTATGTATATTTAGAATACCTTCAATAGCATCAAATTGCGATGTCAAAGCGACATGTAATAATGTAAACATGTAATAATTGTTCTTTTACTTAAGATTTTTAAAATGCCTTGAGCGATATTTGTTCGCAAAAACACCAATCGCTATATTAAATCTTCTGTTCGGAAAAAGCCAGCATATCAGTGAATATAAATTTTGCGGACGCCAGAGCACGTATGGTAGGTACGGGACCTAATTGTTAAAGCGTTGGAATTACACATCCCGGGTCCAGATCCTGTGCCCACAAATGCATTGTGTAGGTAATGCCAAACCGGTCTCCCAATAGCTTTTTGGTTTGTCAATAAAGAAACGATTCTTCAAAATTTGCAACTTGAAAAAATTGATTTTCATTATAAAACTTCGTTCTAGAGAAATACCTTGCATTTTCTTTTTTTGTTATGTGGAAAAATTCTGTTATCGAATGGAATCAGTTGAAGAAGTCAACATCAAAAATAGAAAGAGTTTTAAAACATTGAAAACATTAAACGAACGCCTTTATATTCGTTACCTTCTCTAGTCTTGTTTCAAGCAAACGGTTATATATCCGTATAACTTTAGATATATGAATCACTATTGAAATTTAAGGCCTCAGTATGGTGCGCACTAATTTGGTTTGGAAACATTTGCCACTGAAATTTTTGAATCCACATACTAACTAAATTATTTTACAAAAATATTCTGTGATAACTGGGTATTGTTTCCTAATAAATACATGTATCATTCTATTTAATATTGATAGAAGCATAAATATTTTTTTCAGATTTTTTTATAGAAATGGAATTTCAGACAATGAAAATTTTAGGATTAGCATTTGTTTTCTTTATTTCGCAGAATGAAGGTAAGTAAATATAAAATCGTTGATTGTAAATGAATACAGCTGCACAGAAATACTTCAATGATTATCAATTAGAGTGGCTAAAATTTTGAAATTCTTTGATTTGTAAAATTATTCAACATCAGTTCAAAGTGAAACTGTAAGTAACTGTACTGCACATATGTAACAAATTATGAAACATTTCCCGTGGTGATATCTGAAAAAAAGTTTTTTTTTTAAGTTTCGTTTTCTTCAAATCAACCTGGATATAACGGATACACACAATGAATACATTTTGATAAACTGGATAAATTATTTACGTCAATGCATGGTGAAATGTTACAAATTCTTATGAAAAATATAGATGAACAATTATCAAAGATATTTTATTTACATCGTTGCAGGAAAATTAATCGACACGTTGTACGTCGGAGACTATGAATTAATCTATTATAACTATGGAAAAGATGCATATTACTCCCATCAAACTGCTATTTACGAATGTGTTGTAAAAATGCCTGGCTCAAGATTGGTGATTACAGATAATGAAAATTTACATGAAGCAGTGAAAGAACTCTTGAAAAACAAGTGAATTTTATTGATTTTGTCTCTCTCTGTGCGTGTGTGTTTTTTTGAGTGTTTTTTTTTTATTTTATTTTATTAAACTGACTAAATACTGTTAGTCTAACGATGTTGGAAAGCAATAAACGTTCTGAAAGAAATACATATATTCCAGTAAAAGAATCAAACATATTTTGTGTTTCAGTACATCAAATAAAGTCTTGATTGGTGCATTTAAGATTAGAGAAACCAAAGAATACTATTGGATGAATGGGGAAAAGCTCAAAGCCGGATTTACTAAATGGTAATACTTTTTATTACTTTTTGTGTTTAAATTGTTTCCGACCCCTTATAATATTGAGAGTGTTATTTAATGTTAAAGGGCTGAGAATGAACCAACAACTGACTACCATGCTACAGAGGACGTGTATGTTACATTTGCGGATTCTGATTTAAAGTGGTTTGGTGAGCCATATATCTATGGCACTCGACTTGGATTCATATGCCAAACTAGTAAGTTAAAATTATTGGTGTGAGAAGATTTTTTTTGTACATAATATATATTCAAATTTCAATGCTGTGTTCATTTTTAATTTCATGTTAATAATTTTAGGTCGTTATTGGTGTTTTTTCTTTAGTAGAACATAAAAACTTTTATCAGAGGTTCTCATGCTGCAACGATAATCGGTTGTTTTTGTACAATTTCTGTAGCTTAGTTGTATTTTATATGTAATACGTATTTAGAAATATTTGCCGCTGTAGCAATATTCTCTGACGTGGAAATTGCCATTGCAGAATGTATATTTTAGCATTATAACCTAAACACTTATACTATATTGTAATTATGCAGGAATTGACAAACTCCAACCGTCGTACTACGCTGAACTTTCTTTCGGAGATACAAACTCTACAAACACAGGCATTGGAACTATGACCTATTGGGACGCACAGAAAATGTGCACAAGTAATCAAAGTAGAATTGTAGACATTGTTAACGATAGGGCGTTCTTTGAGATTCGTGAAAAGTGTGCCAGGTATTTCAACTTTTCCATAATGCTTTCTTCCCGTAGCGGACCGCTTCTATTGTTTATTAGATGACAGAGATATTCGATAGCATAATTATACAGTATGTGGTAAACTAAACTGAATACTTTCTAAATACTTTAGCAAAATTATTATGCTTTTATCTGTATTATGAGTATGATTCTTAAAAAATGTAAATATTTTTTTTAATATTATTCGGCCTCCAATAAACAAAATTGACGTAGCCTAGTTGAGACACGAGCTGGGTTTTTTTTTAGTCCAAATTTCTTCCCTATGTGTATTCATGACAAACTTTCGCTCAAGATAGATAATTAAGATTATATTTTTCAAACACCAATTTAATAGGAAGAAAAAAGAACCATCGAAACTTTTGTACTCTTATTTAGTGACCCGACACTTAAGTATTGGATACGAAAAGATGAAAACTCTAAAAACTGTTTAATTATGGGAAGTGAAGGATGGTCACAAAATGATTGCGATGATCCGTCTATTTATCCCATTTGTGAGAAAAGTGAGTATCATGCACAAATTACGTTGTTTATAATATTCACAAGTTACATAGTAGATGAATCGACGATAAAAACAGAGCGTGTTGACGTTTAAGCTATTAAATAATTTGTATATGCTACATTTCCTGGGCGACTAGCAGAACAAAATTTGACTCTCGGTTATATTTCCTGTGATGTGCTTCTTTGTGAATATCTCATCTACAAATAGTCCTAATTCCTGCCTCCGTTTTGGGCGTGCGTTTCTGAGCAATTTTACTAAAATTGTATATGAAAATGATTTAATTTTTAGTTCCACCATGGGGCTTGAGAGTTTCCAACGAACGACCAGTTATTAAGAGAAAAGAAAGCATTACGATTGACTGTAGAGCATCAGGATATCCAATTCCAATTGTTGGTTGGCAACGAAGGGATAGAACTGTCAGCGAAGTGTTAAATCGACGAATCCATCAGATAAAATATGACGGATTTTCTCGACTTGTGATAAACAACGCCAAGCCTTTTGACTCGGGAAGATATCATTGCTTTGCCACTAATTCAATTCATTCTGTGAGAGGATACGCAGATGTCAGAGGTAACACAAGTACAGTTTGTAAACTTCGTACGGGGCTACGCCCTGGCATCATTCGTACCCAATTGTGTCAATATATCAAGTTAGATGTACTATTTATATTATTATTATTATATTCTTAGTTGATGGTATGATGCAACATAATTTTACAACATTTGAAGAGAATTTTGGACAAAATACGTAAGTGATGTATTAAAATGGATCTCCGTTATGCAACATGTTATATGAATTAAATTACGTATAAGCCCATGTTATTAAAACGCCGGCTGTTTCCTAAATAACATTAGTCAATATTACAATGTTATTCTAAGCTATGTTGTCTTTACTGTTCACGCACATATGAAATGAAATATTAGCTTTTGTAGAAACATACGAAGGAATGCATCTTTCTTGAAAGGCTTGGTCGATCCACAATTTAAAATAAATAAGCATTCAGTTGATTCAAGATTCTTGAGTAGTCATCTTTATTCTCGCTAAGGCATCTCTGTATTACAAGCACACTGATCCATTTGCGCAAAAGAATAAAGCAAGGAAAGTTAGTTTCGCGTAACCCCGACTTAAAGTGTTAAGCTAAATAAGTATGTGGTATTTGTGCATTCTAATAAAATCGGTATTCCCTTAGTGTGTGTGTACCAGGTGAGGGTTAGGCTCTAATTTGATTCCGATTTCCCCTATTTTAGCTCTATTACGAGTTCGGGGACTGTCCGTCTTAGCCAATTCAATTTACCCCCTTACCAATGGGCTTCAGTCCGTCTGCACAATTTGTTGTAAAATAGGCCAACACAATTAATTACCACCATATTGATACACACACTTCGGGAGCGCCCTAAAATCAAATATATTGTAATATTTTGATTAAAAACAAGATTACCTGATACACACTTTTCATACAGAATATCTGAAAGCAATAAACCAAGTGCCGCTCTATCATCAATTGGTCGACCTTCAATCAACAATTTAGGTGAATATCACCTATTTTCTGGAAATATTTTGATATATTTATACGTACGATCATTGCAACCACTTATTTTGTGTGAAAATAATTTTTTATTATTCAATATGTGGTTATAGTCAACTTTAGATATTAATCTGATGTAATACAAAAATGCATATTAACCTAAGTTAATATTTATTTTAAATAATATTATTACAAGATAAATACTTCATACTATATAAGAGAGCACTTTTTTTTTTCAGAACATTCGATGTGCAGTACATTGGAGTTCTCAGTTATTGCAGGTTTTGCGTTACTCTGGTTAACTGTTATCCTGGCGTACACAATATATCTTTGGTAACGTATTCTTATTTGTTTCAAGTTACGCATTTTATCCAACAAAAAGCTGCTTTAAAACCTATTCCAACCCCATTCTCATAACTATCGAAGTATTTGCGAATCATCAATTATGAGCATATCAGCGCTAAAAACGAATTTTTATCAAACTTTGAAATTTACGTTTCCACAATCTATTACAATATTTATTTCTACTGGTTAAGCTAACTATATAATAGCTAAATTATCAGCTAATGCTGTTTTTTGTAAATAAGACTTCCAGTCTACGCGAAAGCGACATTTTGTTTAAATACTTTTTACTATTTCACAATAACTTTATATTTTTTATTTATTTATATAGTTGCTTCAGGAAAACAGCGAAGTCGGCTGATGTGTTCACATCCAATAATCTTGATGGTAAGTTATATTTCAGTAGGTTACAAATGTTCTAGATTTATTAACAAGCACCTCGGTAGTTTTACTAGCGATTCCTCAGCCAAAAGTTAAATTTTCAAATGTCTTTAAAATTTTTGTAAGTGTTGGCAAGCGCAGGTGGTTCGTCGTATCTATATCTTTATTATATTAAATATATCAATGATGATTATTATTCTTTATCGGCTTTTGTTGGAGTATTGTTAAATAAGGTACTCAAACACAGCGTTTACATTGCTTATGATATTTTTTTTTTCAGAATCAGCGAATGCGAAAAATGTGATGTCAAATACAAAATAACACAAAAATGGATATATATATCTTTATTTTTGAGTTTATTATGATAAATAAAACATTGTTATGCTATAAACTGTTGTTTATTTTGTATGAGTCGTAATTATTTTATATTTATGATGAATACAAAGACAAACCAGTAGCGTATTTATGATATCTTATAGGTGCGATTTGGAAAGATTCGTGGAGAATAGATTGTATCAAACCTCGTCAAAATATAAAAATCCTCTGTCCAGTAAATTGTTTTTTCTGGGTAGCAAGCAACGCTGATAAAAGTCCATTACAAACAAAACAATTATTTAAGAAAAAAGAGGACTATGCCCAAATATGGGAACACGGAGTGCAAAATGATATATTTTATCACCAATTCCCCGAAAATTATATACGGTTGCTTACCAGTACCTGTATCAGCGTACCGTAGACGCACAAGGATTTCCATAGCTTTCCCAAGTCCCATGACTATGATCCATTCTCCATAATTCAGTTTCAACGTGAATTGATATACCAAGTGATCCGAGCCACGTCTGGATCAGGTACCGCAGTATACAATTCCCCATAAAAACAAGAATTTTAACAATCACATAATACCAAAACAATCTGTATGTCCACATTATGTCCAATAAGAAAGACACAATATTTTTCATCTTGTAGTTACACTGACAATCAGTGTGTGACAGCCCACAGTCAACCGAGTTTGACGGCTGAAAACTACCGTATTTCTCCTCGTACAATACGCACTTTCATGGCCAGATTCAGTCTCCCAAATAAGAGGGTGCGTATTACCCATTGGTCTAGCAGGGAGGGCGAACCACTGACCCGCGGGTCACAAAGTGACCCACCGCGTTTTTTCGGTGACCCGCCAAGGCACGAATGAAATAAAAACATACTAACTTGTAAGTGATAAAAATTGATAAAACCGGCTTCAAACAGAGTTAACAGTAAGTAAACTACATAATGTAACGTCAGTTGGGCAGCCAGACCTGCGAACGCTCAAATTCAAATTTCCGGATCGATATGGTAATTTTCGGAACTCCCAATCTTGGACGCAAGTGTTCACACATGTATACCTTTAAGCAGCTATTGGCTGTGATATGATTTATGGCAAAACAATCATTCTTATTAATACTAACATTGATAAAATATTTGTGACCCACACTCTTCTGTTCCGTAATTACGAAAAATATTAATTCTCATTTTATGCTATAATTGTCACATTTATTATTCTTAAGTTCTTAATTGCATGTGGCAAAGTCTGGTAGAATCAGATCATGCTTGATCATATAAAAGCATATCCAGTTCAACAACAATTTGGTATTGATGAAGGCTAAACAGTTCATTAACTCAAGCGTCGGAAAAAAACAGTGAAATTAAAGTGATATAAACACGCTGTACATCCATTGATTGCTGTCATTGTCTGGTTTGTTTCTGTGGTTTCGCTAAATCGGCAAAACTTTACTGTTATAAATCACCATAAGTCACTCAAACCGACGGTGTCTCTTTGAAGCGCGGCGTCTAAAAACACATTCTGACGTGGGCCTTCTCAGCTTAAGGAGGAGAACCAAATACCTTTACATGATACTCTATTGTCAAAAAACATCATGGTCAAATTCATATACATAGTTAGCAAAAGGCAGGCAGACAGAATGCCTGAAACGCTTGCCGAAAAAAACACCTGCAACATAAGATAGAGACGGAATTTTTATATGCGTATTGTGCATAGAGTTTGATAAATTCCTGTAAACAACATACTAAAATCTAGGTGCGTATTATACAAGGAGAAATACGGTACTTTGGGAGAACAAGTTCCGACAGTTCAATAGAACACAGCCCATTAAAATATCTATAAAAAATTATTTCTCGAATTTTGTTCAAGAGGTTCAATACGGTCACAGGAGCACCATCCCAAACACGACAGTAATACTCCACGCTTAGACGAATTACATTTTAATATGGGGACAGTATCAAGATTTCTTGTAGGTAATTTATATACTTATATGGAACGAGATTTGGATGAAAAAAAATTATATTTTTATATCAATTGCAAATGGCTCAATTTCATAATATATCATTGGCCATCGTTTGCTGTTTACAAAAATGGCCACATCGTTTAGACATGAAAGAATAGATTACACCATAAACTGTGTGAAATTATAGATATTCTGAAAACATCATGTGTTTGCGTATAGAAATGTTTAATTAATTAAGTAAAATATTTATGATAAAAATGATATGAGTGATTTATTTTATAACTAGGACAAAGTTGAAACAACATTCAAAGGATTAATATTGTTTTAATAGATGCGGAACCAAATAATTTTGAGTTAAAATTAATATTGCGAAGAAAATTTTATTTTACGACCGTGTAACAAAACGTATGGTAAAAACAATTTTTCTAATGTGTAAACTTTGATATAAATATTGGGTATAGAAATTACTCAAATAGTCTATACTCTATATACTCTCAATTAGAATCTAGCTAAGACTTCGTTAAAAATATTTAAAATATGTTAGAAACATTCATTCACAATCATTCATCTTCTTACGAGTTCCTTCAACCAAATACACGAGAACGGATTACAGATTACAACCGTAATCATATGTTACAGAGCGTGTTATTCAGGTTTATTCTTAGAATCTCTTTTAATTCCACGGAATTTTAAATTGCAAACTTTACGTACTCCTTCAAACAGACGAACAATCGCTTCTATTTTTGCCAGAGTAATTTTACACCATTGTTACATTAAACAATTTTTCTTAGCACATTATTCAATACTTTAATGAGAAATCAGGTTCTGAAGATTAATCATTTTTCTGTTTTTTGTTTTGCACTGATATAAAAAGTATTCATCCAAGTTTTTGTTGTCAAAGTCCAGTGAAAACGGCAACGAAATAATTTTCTTGATTGTCCTCGAAATTCCGATAATATGAATTCCGTGATTCCGTGTTATGAATCAGAAATATGAGTTGCATCAAATAGCATTTACGCGGAGTTTGGCGACACAATCCAAGACTTGGGTAGGGATTGCCTCGCATTATTTGTAAAATTAGACTAATTTGATTACATTGTGACTTTAGACACATGCTTCCATAATAATATAATTTTAAAAATAAATGAGCTCAGTGAAATTCGTTGTATCAAATCATAATCATCAGCAGCGTCTAACCGCAATTCACGATCATATTCAAAACAAAATAAATACCATACTGCTCACATCTGACTATATCCATATGTATATTGATATTTTTCTAGATAGCAATGCTATAATTTTAACTCATCACTGCCAGCTAACGTCTAGAATCCATGAGGTTGTGGGGTGAGATAAAATGACCAAGTATGACCTCAGACTTGTATAGTCAGGGATTCCATTGATCTGGAACCCAAAATAAGGACGACTGAAAAAATTTCTGCATTGTGAGCAGAAATGGCTGGCTTGCCTATGGGCTCCAGGTATAAATGTCACAATTACAGACGTCACAGTGTGCGAAGCACTCACCCTTCAAGCTTCGTTTAACTTTGAATTCTTTCCCATATTTCCCGTACAATAAAACTTTGGCGACAAGACAAACAACACAAAGCTTCCTTTATGACAGGGGTGGGCAACCTATTTCGGCTCGCGTGCCAAAATCGGCTAAATTTAATGATAAAATTCTTCTGCGTGCCGACCAAAATCAAAAACAATGCTTTGCTACTTACAGAGCAAAAAATGCACAATAATAAACCTTTTAAAATTGTACAGACAGATTCACTATTCGGGAAAATATCAGTCCGACAAACAGATTTGATTACTTTTCTTATTCAATATCAGTGAGACTTCTGCTGCTGCATTACCGCTGATAGAGATTTTACCTTGGGTTTATACATTGTACATCTCTAAGAAATACAACAAACTACTGGTTTCATCTTTCAGGCTACTCCTATTATGAGACTTAATAAAGTTCATAACTTAGAACAAATGTTGACACGCATATGTGGAGCGTATGGACATATGGCATAAACATGGAGAGTAATGCAGTTACTAATTTTTTTAAGACACGAAAAATTTTCTGGACTGTAATCACGGCGACTGTTTCATAAAAGAATGCGAATTTCCAATTTTAAAATTTTTCCTAATTGAAAATCCTGACTGCGCGCCTGGTTACGTGAATCACTATCGATCAAGTCACCAACTTCGGAACGATTGATGACCAGCAAACAATGCATATCTCACATTGAATAGCATCACCTTTGTTTTTGAATGTATTGTTAACATAAATTTTCTAACGCGTATAATTTATTACATAAGCTTAGTTCGTTTGTATGAGGTGGTCCCCCAAAATTTTGGTCAGGCTTTCCCCGTCCGTCAACTTGAAAAAAGTTGCCGATCACTGCTCTAACCAGCATGAGCAACTTCATAAATTGAGCAGAAATGAAGAAGATGGTGGCACAAACAAAAAATATTACGTAAGAATGTAGCCAAACGAATGCTGCGCTCTTCTCGACAAAATTTCTCGAGAGCTCACTCATTTGTTACGTCATAATATATTTCTTTGTAGTCATATGTCATGAAATAACGAAAAGAGTTAAATAAATAACGGTTTGTTTACGAACCCTAATGAATAAACAAACATCTAGTTTCATCATATAATTCAGAGCCTTGAAACTTTTTATCTCAAGGAGAATGATCTCGTTTCCGAACCTCGCTCGCGTGCCGAATAAATGGGCTCGCGTGTCAAGTTTGGCACGCGTGCCAGGGGTTGCCCACCCCTGCTTTATGAAGTACAAATAAGACAAAATAAGGACACGCAAGCAAAAAATAAGGACGCAAGCTAAAAATAAAATAAAAATAAGGACAAACCTTAGAAATAAGAACGGTATGGAATCTCTGTGTATAGTTGAAGTGCAATTGGTCGGCGAGAAATATGACTCTGATCAGTTACTGATAAACTTTGCGTGTATATGCGTGCTTATAAATCATTATACCGTTATGACTCGGACATGACGTGTTAATGTAATACTGATCCGAGGAACATTGCACTCTAATCCGTCAAATAAAAATAATAAAATGCCAAATACATATTTA